GCCAAGTCGACGACCGGCCATGTCTTCATGATGGCAAACGGACCCATATCATGGTCCTCATATCTTCAGAAATCCGTGGCTCTGTCTACGGTTGAAGCCGAGTACATGTCCATCTCGGACTGTTCTCGCCAGGCCAAATGGTTCGCTCAAATGATGGGCGAGCTTGAGTGTCTGCAGGTCGGTGCTATCCCGATCGTGGGCGATAACCAGGGAGCCCTGCATAACATTGCGAACCCTGTCACTGAGAAGCGGAGTAAACACATCAACATCCGTTATCACTACGTCCGGGAACTTTACGAGGATGGTGTCATAGACCTCTTTTGGATCCCGGGCACCGAAAATCCAGCGGACTTGTTCACCAAAAACTTGCCCCTGGTTAAATTTGTCAAGTACTGTCGTGAGATATCCCTTTTCTTCAAAACGCCGCTGCTCCTAAAGCAGTAGAGCGAATACGATTCGAGGGGGGGTGTCAGAATTACGTCTAGTATTCGACCCTTTACGGCTTTATTGGTTCATCCAGAAGCCTCCTACACGGCGATGTTCCTCCTAGAGGTCTACAAGTAAACATCGCCTTCATACGTCTATTTAGGCGCTTGGTATCCCAGCGGTACTTTAAGCGCTCACGCACTCGTGTGGCTCCGCGTTCATCGCATAGGGCCACGTTCTGCTTACGTAGCCGTCTCACATTACCGTGGGACTTGGACTGCACAGTAGTTACGAATACGGTAGTGACTTCACACGCTCCTGTCATATATATACAGTCGCTACCATGAATATCATCTAAGTCTTCTCTCTACCTCGAACGACTACCATCGTCTACCAACCAGCCTAACCAGCTCTACTCAACCTTCAATACTAACAGCCCGGTGAGTTCGCGCCTTTATAGACTTCCATGTCATACTCGCGTTCGTCCTTTGTCATTCTAACTGTCAGTACTGTTAACATAAAGTGATGTGTGTGAGCTTGTTGTTCCTCAGCCAAAATAAGGTGCCGCGAGCGCTCTTTACATTAAGCGAGCATTAAATTGATACTGTTTTTGGAGCCGTTCTTAGGCTTCAGTAGCAAGTAATAATAACAAAGAAGTAAGTACTTGGTTAATAATTAGACACCGACCGTTATGTGTCCAAAACATATGATATGTTAAAATTTCAGGCGAGTGGTGATCAACGGGTACATTTCCAGCACCAACACAGAAGCAAGCGGCGAGAATGCCAAGCGCTGATCGTCGAATACCTCAAAAATTTGCAGTGTTACACCATTTAGGCACACAACAGTGGTGTACCATTTTTAGCGCAGCCACAGGAGTCAAAACACCGAGGATACTGATCGTCGTTTGCCTAAAGCGTTTCCGAAACACCCTCTTTAGGCTAGTGAGAGTGAAGTTGGTGTGACACAAGGGAAGCATATTCAAATATTCAAGCTTCAAAGCTCGATCGCGTCCGGAAAGAAGCACCCTTTGAATTCCTTTGGCCGAGTCCAGCAAGAGGTCCGTGCGTGCGCCACCGAGGCAAGGTGCCTCTTAACATCACAGAGTCTGTGATGCGCCCGAAGAAACCTCTCTTGTTCCCCCCGTTCCACTTCGTCGTACCGAGGACTCTTTGAATGAAGAGTCCATCTGTGTTGTGAGTTGTCCATTATTTCATCAGGCTATCACTGATTCATTCTCATAAACCAATACAGAATCTGGCTACCGAGACTAATGATTCCTAGGGCAATGAGCTTGAGCGCCCAATGAGCGCGGTGATCAGTGTACCAGAACGTCTTTGCAGAGCATGTAGCTCAAGTTGTACGTCCTCTCTGTTTTCTTATCAGTTTACTGCTGAATCTCCTGCCCATTCATCCTATACCAGCGTTGCTTATACACCCCCTCAGTTATCAGCATCAAGTTCGTCCACCCCTCCACACGACTCCAAGCCCCAGAAAGCTTGTAGTCCTGCTCTCGCCTCGCGTGATGGCTCAAAGACTCGAGTCTCCGACCTCAACTGCAAAGCAGGCACCGGCAAAGGAGAAGCCGCTGTTGAAGGTTCCCGCAAATATTCCCGCAGCGTCAACGCCGGCAGAGCCGGGATCTCGGAGCAGAGTATATAGGTGAGTAGCCGCGGTCCTCGTTTTTGGCATTCCATTAATTGTATTCTTTCTATGTGTGTCTAAAGTATGCGACGCTCTCCTAATTATCACCCTTCTCCTCACATTTCCAATTCTTGTATGCTGACTTGTGTACTCGACCATGTCTACACCGTGTATTTTGATGCTTTGACCTGTACTATACAAGGTACCATCAATTCTAATAGACTATTGTCGTCTTGATCATGCATTGTGTGACTTGAGTATCATTATAGACCTGAGCTTTGCGTGTAATGCCATGTAATTTCGCAGCCCTTCTATCGTGCTCGATCGTATCAGCCTTACTCTACCGTGCACGATAATATCAGCCTCACTCTATAATGCTGTATCGTGACTGGGCTCAAAATGTGAAACCTCGAGGTCTTCCGTAATGAAAGTTGGACCTGTACTTCGGTGATATGCATTATGGTCATTGTACTGTAAGTTAATACATGTTGTCCGTGTACAATATCTCCCTAGTTTTTGTGATGTCCACGTCACCTTGAATCAAGGGCAGGCGGGGGCGGCGCCGCCAACGACGCAGCGCAATCGTATGAGTCAAATTCTGACCAATGCTTCCTTGATATATTGGAGCAATATCACTCAGTTACATGGAGGTTCACTCGACTTCATACATTGCTGAAACAAAGAAGACACTATCCCAATTCTAGATAGGTTGCACAGTCTAGGTCCTGTGTGCAAGAACCATCTTACAATATCAATGACTCTTGCTTGAAACCTCATGCTGCAGAGTAAGATCAACAATCCTCTGGCGCGAAACCCATCAGTTTTATCCCCACACAGGACAAATTGCATTGAAGGAACATAGTGGATTGAACTATTATCGCAGAACGAGGACGCTTATATATAAGCTCGGGCATGACGGTTAGCAACGTTAACATCATGATAACGCACTGGTAGTGTTGCATCTAATACTATTAGTAGTTGTAGGGAGCTGTGCAACTATTGCAATAGCATTTCAATGCAGAGGTACACTGCCAGGCTGAGGGCGCTCGCCTGAGGTATGGGATCGAAAGCTGGACTGGCAGAGTCACAACGCGGACTGAGCTGTTAGTAAGTTACTCAGGCAGCCACTGCGAGCGCCGGACAAGGAGCTGCAAGGAGCGAGGATAGTAACCGATGAGACAAATGCTCGCCTAGTTCCCGGCAATCTCGGGTTTTAAGTCCGCTTTCTCAGCAGGCACCGAAGATAAGTGGACATTTGCTCCGTCTCACTCTGCCGCGCGACATCGTCATATGCATATCACTCGCGCTGCGGCGTAGTATCCTCGTGTCAAATGCACTTCACCTTCATACTTCTTTCGATTATGAGCACATAGCCTCCTCCCCACACCACCTTTCGTTTCTTACAGGACACTGCGCCATGTCTCTCGACCGCTCCCCTCCCGGTGCTGAGCACACCCCACTTCTGTCTCGCGCTACACGCAGCAGGAGTGTATCCAAGGAACGTACTTTCTCCCCCACAGCGCGTATCCTTCCCATCGCTATCGCATGGCAACTTGCAAGCCTTCTTCCTGTTACAACAACGCTCGACGTCGTCCAGCGCATTGTCTGTACCATCTGGTATATACGCAACGATCCGGACCAAATTCCTGACACAGGCTCGATTCCGGTGGAGCTCTGCAAGAATCCAGCCGTCTCACAGAACCTCTCAGCTATCATCACGGTGGGCAGCCTTTTTAATGGTATATGTGGTGAGCCCGTCCGTTGGAGGCATATCACAGACGAGAAGTACTAAGGCAGGCGCTCAGCTATCCTGGGCTATAGTGTTGTGACCCTTGTGTCGCAACGCATTGGTCGCAAACCCGTCATTCTAGTCCTACTCGCTCTGGGTGTCGTCACTAATGTATGTGTCGTGGTCGTGCGCTTCCTTCCGGCCACCCTCGCCATCGTCTGTTTCACGCTTTGGGCGGTCCTAGGAGCGTTTGTGAATCCATTAGTTGTCTCGCTCGTGATAAATATGTACGTCGTCGATGTGGTCAACGCTGAGGACCGTACGACCGCTCTCAGTACGCTGCATGGTGGTTTAGCCTTGGGTAAGTACACGGCTATTTCTCCATCAATCGCCCACCCTTTGCGGTGGCTAACTATGGACCACTTTCTAGGCGCTGCATTCTCGTTGACGGCAGGTGGACTGATCACCACGCTCACACACCAGCCAAGCTATGTGTACATCATTTCAATTGTTCTTTTGGTTTTATCATCGGCATACACCTTCTTCCTTCTTCCGGAGTCTTTCACTGTCGAGAAACGTTCTGAACTTGCTCGCGAACGGGAGCTCGCCCAACTTGCCTCTGCGTCATCCATGCTGTCCGCCGAAAATCGTACGTTAAAGATGCGCGTGAATATCATCGGACAGGCAGCCGTATCCCCTTTAGCTGCTCTCGCAGAGCCACTGCGTCAATTCAAGCCAATGAAACAGCTACAGTCTGGGAGAAGAAACTGGCGATTGGTATGGTGTGGGGTATACGCGTTCGTTGAGAGCATCGGAGACGGATACGTCGCCACGGCCCTTATAGTCTACCTCACTGGTGTAGCTGGCTACACTCCAGCCCAGGTTAGCCCACTCCGTCCTTCTCGACAGTTTCTTATAGGTTTAACCGCGAATCCTACAGAACGGCTACGCACTGACCATGATGCTTATATCTGGTGCAATCGTCATGGCCGCCGTCATCCCGTTCATCCTCACCTACCTACGCCCCTTCTATGCGCGGCATCTTCCCAAGAGATTTGCATCGCCCATCGACGGTACCGCACGCTACGGAAGTGCCACCGAAGGCGAAAATGCGACAGTAGCTGCAGTCTCAGGCGATGACGTCACTGTTTCTGCAACGTCTGATCGGCTCGACGTGCACCTCGTCATGGCCTCCGCATTCTTTGATGCCCTCGGGTACGTTTCCTTTGCAGCCGCCCGTAGTCTACCAGGGCATCTAGCTGCCATCATTGCGATTGGATTCGGCGCCGGCCGTGCGCCTGCATTCCGCAGCCTGGTCGTGGCATCCGTGGACCCGCTCAAGACCGGCGAGGCGCTCGCGGCTATAGAGATGGTGTCGCGCGTCGGCGGGTTCTTGTCGACGCTTGTGCTAGGGAGCATTAGCACTGCGTGAGTAGTGTGCTACCTACAATCCTTTGTGCGCTCTAACTTACTCACTACTCATGATCGCAGGACAATTTCGACTGTGCCCCAGACTGTGTTCTATGTGCACGCGGTGAGTCTTCCTGTGTTGAGTAAGCACGAACCGAGGCTCATCTTTAAACAGGCAATTGGCGTGCTAGCTGCTTCAATCCTCCTACTCATTCGTGACCGAGACCGGTGGGTTACCCCGTCCGAAGGAGAGCAGTAATTCGTCAAATGGCACTTCAAACCCTACATTCCTTTTTGCAGTCTTTACACATATCTATCATAAAATATCATTATTCTAGCCATGTAGTTTATCAATTCTTATAAGATATATTGCTTTACGCTTGATCTTACCAGCCTGTCAAACTTGTGTGTAGAACTGGGTTGGCGTTGAAAACGCCGATCGCACTGAAGAGCTCGCGGCGATGGCTGTTTTAAAGGTCTGATACGTCCAAAGACCAAAACGCAGGAGGGCTCGATATTAAAATTAAATGACTAGTCGTGTATATACCACCAATCTCCGCTTCCCTACCACCTCACACTGCAAGTGGCAGCCCGTGGCTTCATGACTCCGCCTTCTCAGTCGTCACCTCGGCTCTACCTTTCTTCGCCTCGGCGATCGAGTCATGCACGCTCGAACTCGAGCCAGTTCCGTCAGCGGGCGCATCTTCAATGTTGGCGACAGGGCCGGTGAACCAGTGCACGCCGCCGTAGACGGGGCAGTAGTACCACATGAGCGAGAGGATGAGGACGCCGCCGAGGACGACGATGGTGTAGTTCATGTCGTTGACGTCGGTCTGTGGGGTGGTCGGGAAGAAGAAGACGAGGTTCATGAACGTCATGAATGACACGGAGATGATCGCGATGGGGAGGGACTGTTCAAGCACACAGCCGATTTAAATCAAATGGTTGGGAGGATTGATCGAGTCAGACGCCTTATTCAGGAGGCAAGAAGAATACAAAGAAACGGGAACGCACGAAGACACCACAGTCAAAGGGGCCGGGCTTGAAGTTGTTCTTGAACGCGAAGCGAGCAACGATCGGGATCGCGTATGCGATATACAGCGCGGTGATGGAGATGGCGAACACGGCGTCGATTGCCTGTTCGCCCGCGAACGCGAGCAGGCCCAGCGCAAGCGAGCAGATGGCGACGAACCAGACGGTGTTGACGGGTGTTTCCGTGAATGCGTTCATGCGGTAGAGCCACGACGAGAAGGGGAGAGCTCCATCACGCGCGAAGGCGAACGATTGGCGCGAGGCGGCGAGCAACTGCATGTGGCCATTAGCTGAGGGGCTCGAGGATAACAAACTGAGAGGCGTACCATGCTCGAACCCATCATGTACTGGATAATGACCACGAAGGCCCATATGGCGAGTGTACCCTTCTGGCCGAACGAGTTGAAGAAGATTTGTGCCATAGGCTGGCCAATCGGACTATCGATAAGGCTATCAAGGTCGGTGCCCATGCAAAAGGCAAGCGACATATTGATAGCTAGTAGACATTATCAGTATCGTGAGGACAGCGCACAAAATTCGCCAAGCGAACTTACCCCAGCCAAGAACACCAGCAATACCAATGGCATTGACGATGGCCCAAGGGACGGCGGTGGCGGCATTTGAAGCCTCTTCGCTTATGTGCACACTGGAGTCGAAAGAACCTTTTGTAGATACCGATAAGTAGATATAAACAGGCAGGTCGGGATATTACACTCACAAATGGTCCACAGCGGAGCAAGGAAACTAAGGATGAACGCATAGCCATCCGGCCAACCGTTCACTTGCCGGGTGTTTAGATAAAGGAGCGCTATGAGCAGGGTACGTCACTTACTGTTAGTGAAGTTTCCGAGCGCAAAGCTAGCGGTGTTCTTGTACTCGGCCGGAGTCACGGCGGGGAGCGCAATGATGACCGCCAGGCACAGAAGAACGTTCAGGATGACATACACCGTCTGGAGCTTGGCCAGCACGGCGGTTGCGAGGCAGCAGATGACGGCGTGGCTGAGGACAATAGCGGCGTAGATCGCGAATGTCTCTGCATCCGTCGCAACCCATGCCTCGCCTGTCCCGATGCTGGCTGCAGCAGCGACCTGGACGGCGCAGCCCCAATCAATGGAAGCTACGGATGCAATGGAGCCGATCGTGTTCGCATCTGCGAAGTGAAAGAGACGGCCGCAACGGGTCAGCAGACGTCCAGCGGGTCAGGTGCATTGAATCCTCACATCCAACGATCCAGGCGAGAAGGTTGCGGCACCGCGGAGAAGACAGAGAATGCGTCCAGAAGTACAGCTATCAAATTGTGCATATGGAGACATAGTGAGCACCAGAGGACAGTCACACGAGGTTCAGATAGACGGCTCGCTTACCCCACCAGACGTCGGCGCTGCTGAGGCGAGCTCGGCCATCGATATACCGACGCAGAGGATGAATACACTTGCAACTGCCCACTGTGGAATGAGATGGGGTCATTACCATAGTCCGAGGGGCTCGGAAAGAAGGTGGGAGTGCACACTTACGCCCCAGACCATAGCTGCGGGACCACCATTAGGGATGGCGTAGAAGAGGACTGAACTGAGGCCGGACAGGTTAGACCGAGGATCATTGAGTGCCGTCACATCAACGCTGAGGCGCTGATGGGCGACAAGGTTATAAGAGGACATACGCTATCGAGGGCAGAAGGCCGATTATACTGAATGCAATGCCAAATACCTGGAAGCAAGTGTCAGCTCCTGCTGAATTGCGGCAATTTAGCGACGGTGAACACGGCACATAAACACACCTGAAGTGGGGTAAAGGCACGCTTAAACTCTTGCTTGTACCCGAGCTGGGCGAGGAGAGCCTCGTCGGCGGCCGCAGCGGTTGCAGCGTCGTGTGGCATGGCTACTGCTAATAGGCGTCTCTTGAGCGCCGACCGCGGAGACTGGAGAAGAAAAAAGCAAAGGGCGTAACTTGAAGGGGGGGGAATGAACGACTGCAAACGATGATGGCTACTCCTTTTTATACATCACTCCCCTGCGCGCCAATAGACGCCTATCTTGTCTCGTGCGTATGGAGTCGAGATGCAAGAATAGGACTCGGCTAGCCGACGATAAGCACGCCCGGGTGGCGGGGCCTTTCCCTCATTTGATCGACAACGCAGACGGTGAGAATCCGGGGCTCGCAACGCGCCTATAAGAACGCAAGCCAAACGCAAGCATGACCAGGGTGCCTGTCTGAATATGAATGCTTACAGTAGAGTCTCATAGAGTAGCCTCTTACTCGTTGGGGAGGCGATATCATGGAGATCCTTCTCGCTGAGATGTGCCTGGATCCCTAGAGGTCACCCGCCTGCCCGACGAGTACTTGGTCACCTTATCATGCAAGCTTGAACAGGGCCAGGTCAGTGATCGCCAATAGCAATGATAGCCCTTGATAGTCACAAAGAGTCGCGCTGTCGGACTTGATAAGACCCTATAAGTTCCTATAAGACTGATCTGATGGGGCTCAAAGTTGCAGCCGAGTGTTAACGTTCAGTTAACGTTCACTGTTGGCAGTTGTTGGCAGCGTGTTGACTGGAGCGTCGGTGGGCCAGATTTGTCGAGATCGTACCTCGAAGTGATCGAATCGCGTCGCGTCGATGTGTAGATCCTGGCACTGGCACGCGACAAGCTCAGACCGACAGTTGTTGGCAGCTTCAAAGGAGCAATAACCCTGTAACGCACGTCTACCCTCGTCTACCCGAGCCCCAAGTCTCAAATCAGATATACAACGCATCGCGGGCACGTACTGGGAGGAACAGGGAAAAACTGAGCGAACATATTTATTTGCAAAGCAACGTCGGGTGCAACAAGTATCAATATCATGATTCTTCCCCGCACTGTTGCTAGCGCGGACATCAAGCTTACACCCTTAATAATGATCGTCTGACAAGTGATTGTTCTATCAATAGTATTGCGTGCCCTTACTTGCGCTCGTATGTCGGGGACAGCAGCGGACACCAGTCCTACATCCACTGATTAAAATACCTGTCTCATCGGTTTATTGCAAGTCTAACGCAAAGTCACCATCCTCGAAACGTTCATATCGATGTGGGAAGCAATGAGTCGCCACCAAGCCGAGCCATCCTCTCCGTGTATGCTTCATCTGTGGATGAACTGGGGATGGTGTTAGACCAATGTTGGTACCTCGGACCGAGAGGGTCCGTGACTCGCGAAGATGTTCCAGAGGTTTCGGGCATGGTGGAGAGGGATGAAGAAGTGTCGTGACTGGCCACGTCGACGAGATGGTTGACACCAAGAGGAACACGGCGTGACCATTGGACTTGCTCGGCAGCGGAGACGGCGAGAAAGTGAGTACGTGTCCAGTGCAATACTTGTGCTCGGTGTTGCGTGGAGGGAGGGCCGTGGGAAAGCACAAAGTGTTGACGTGTACCGGAGCGGAGACGTGGCAGAAAAGTTGAGTGTCCATAAAAGCAGGACTTGCCGACCCGAGCCCGCTCAGAACCAAACCACCATGTCTGGCCCTCACCGCCGCCCGTCTCGCGCACAGTCGCGCAAGATGGTTTCATCTCTTTCTCTCATCTTCTTTGCTTTCCTCGCCATCCTCTGTCTTTGCCCCGTGGCCTCAGCGCAGGACGCCAGCAAGAGCGAGTATGGAACAGTTATTGGTATTGGTACGTGTGCTTGGTCCCGCTGCGCACACTGGCTCTAACATCTCTTGAACAGACTTGGGCACTACGTATGTCTCTGATGCTCCCCTGCTGAATCGCATACTAACCATCTTCGTCATTACTTAGCTACTCATGCGTTGGGTAAGCAGCATTCTGAACATTTCCACCGAACCTCAGGCTAACGTGTTCCTTCAGTGTGCAGCGTGGCGGTCGCGTTGAAATCATCGCCAACGACCAGGGACACCGTATTACACCGTCATGGGTCGGCTTCACCGACGACGAGCGACTGTAAGCTTCCGAAAATTTAACCTTACTCCTGTGTCTAACCATGGATCTAGGATTGGTGACTCGGCCAAGAACGCCTTCCACACGAACCCCAAGAATACGGTCTTTGATGCCAAGCGTCTCATTGGCCGCAAGATGGACGAAGCTGATATCAAGCGTGACATGAAGAACTGGCCATTTGAAGTCATCAACAAGGGCGGCAAACCGGTCATCGCTGTCGACCACAAGGGCGACACCCGCGAGTTCACACCCGAGGAGATTTCCGCCATGGTGCTTACCAAGATGAAGGAGACCGCTGAGGCTTACCTTGGCGAGAAGGTCACTCACGCCGTCGTTACTGTCCCTGCCTGTAAGTTTTCCTGCTCTAGTTCTACCATTTTAAAGCTCACCCAAGTGTCGTAGATTTCAACGATGCTCAGCGTCAGGCCACCAAGGATGCCGGTACCATCGCCGGTCTCCAGGTCCTCCGCATCATCAACGAGCCCACGGCTGCCGCCATGGCGTACGGACTCAACAAGAAGGGCGGAGAGTCTCAGATCATCGTCTATGACCTCGGTGGCGGTACCTTCGACGTCTCCCTCCTCTCCATCGACGACGGCGTCTTCGAGGTTCTGGCTACCGCCGGTGATACTCACCTTGGTGGTGAGGACTTCGACAACCGCGTGATCGACTACTTCGTCAAACTTTACAAGAAGAAGACCGGTACTGATGTCCAGAGCAACCTCCGCGCCATGGGCAAGCTCAAGCGCGAAGTTGAGAAGGCCAAGCGCACCCTCTCATCACAACAATCCACTCGCATCGAAATCGAGTCCTTCGAGGACGGCAACGACTTCTCGGAGACCCTAACCCGCGCTAAGTTCGAGGAGCTCAACATGGACCTCTTCCGCAAGACCATGAAGCCTGTCGAGCAGGTTCTGAAGGACGCTAACGTCAAGAAGGAGGATGTTGACGAGGTACGTGGTAGTCTATACTTCTTGGCCTGATACTGATTTTGTGTTAGATTGTGCTCGTCGGCGGTTCTACCCGTATCCCCAAGGTTCAGCAACTCCTCAAGGAATATTTCAACAAGGAGCCTTCGAAGGGCATCAACCCCGACGAGGCCGTCGCCTACGGTGCTGCCGTCCAGGGCGGTATCCTGTCTGGTGAGGAGGGTACCGAGGACATCGTTCTCGTGGATGTCTGCCCCCTGACCCTTGGTATCGAGACCACTGGTGGTGTCTTCACCAAGCTTATCGCTCGCAACACCGTCATCCCTACCCGGAAGAGCCAGATCTTCTCTACCGCCGCCGACAACCAGCCGACTGTCCTCATCCAAGTCTACGAGGGCGAGCGTTCTTTGACTAAGGACAACAACCTCCTTGGCAAGTTCGAGCTCTCCAGCATTCCCCCTGCTCCCCGTGGCGTCCCCCAGATTGAGGTCACGTTTGAGATTGATGCCAACGGCATCATGAAGGTCGCTGCTGCTGACAAGGGAACGTAAGTGCCGCATATGGAATCCTATCCACCATAGCACTGACATGGGCTCCCTTTAGTGGCAAGTCTGAGTCGATCACCATCACCAACGAGAAGGGCCGTCTCTCCAAGGAGGACATTGAGCGCATGGTCCGCGAGGCTGAGGAGTTCGCCTCCGAGGATGAGTCCAACCGCCGCCGCATCGAGGCCCTCAACTCGCTCTCGTCGTTCGTCTATGGCCTCAAGTCCCAGCTCGCTGACCAGTCCGGGCTTGGTGGCAAGCTCGAGGATGACGACAAGAAGGCGCTCCTCGACGCGATCAAGGACACAACTGATTGGATAGACGAGTACGGCCAGACGGCCAGCACTGAGGATCTCGAGGAGAAGCTCAGCGAGGTCCAGAGCATCGTCTCGCCCATCACGAGCAAGCTCTACGCTGGCGGCGAGTCCTCCTCGGGCGACGCTGACGACGACGACTATTACGGTCATGATGAGCTGTAGAGAGTTTATTTCGATGGGCATACGTGCAAACTACACTACTGTTTGGGCACGCGTAAAATAGAACAGCTAGCTATAGTCAATCAGAAATTTCTTCAAATCTCTGGCATTGCCTGGTCTTGTTCGGTGGGGGAGAAGTTGGTTTACGGTATGTTGTCTCATTCGAACTATGTGAGTTAGTACTCCAACGCATCTTGGCGTCTCAGATCTCAGCTCCTTCGTACTGTTCCTTTGCTAGCTATCTCGTTGCTCCTTTGGCTGTCTTCTATATTCCATGGTATGACGTGGTAACCACAAAAACAATCAGCCCGTGAGCTCGTCCGCAGAACGCTACCAAGCTTATGGCAGAAATGTTGCACAGTGCCGCAACGTACATGAAGTTTTGGGCCCAATGCTCAAACAAATGATAGCGCTAGTGCGTTAATACAGACATTAGTTGCCTCCATGTTGTAAGCTACGTTTGCGTCTCTTCAAATTCTCACAGAAAGTATGGTGGTAAAAGGATGTTGGGCAGTCGTCGATTCTCTTTTGAATATGAGTTCCTGAGCAAATTACTGCCGTTCCTCCTCCTCTGGCGGTGTAACCCACCGGTCACGGTCGCGAACGAGTAGGAGTATGGAAGCAGCGAGAGTGACGATTCCCTACGTAGTTGTTAGCATACAGACGTAACAGTCGAGGACAAAGAACTCACTGAATGCACGTAAAAGACCGTTTCAGGTGCCGTCGATATCGTTCTGCAGATTTATATCAGCGACAAAGCGCATACATGAAGAGAGAAGAAAAGCAACGAACGCAGTGCTGATACTCCCCAACACAACCGTCGACACGAACGTCCCGACGCTAGCGACCATCTCCACCGCTGCGAGCGCCTCGCCCGACTTGAGCGGGTCCACCGTCGCTACTACCAGACTACGGAACGCTGGCCCGCGCCCCGCGCCGAACCCGATGGCCGCGATGGCCACGAGATGCCCCGCGAGACTGTTGGCGATCGAGAAAGCGACGTAGCTGAGTGCGTCGATGAATACAGATACGATGGAGAGGTGCACGTCGAGCCGATCAGACGTTGCAGAAACAGTGTCGTCGTCGCCTTCTGTCGAGTTTGCATTCGCTGGAGCGCTGGTACCGGCCGATTCCTCGGTGGTGGTGCTTCCGTAGCGCGGGGCATTAACGATACGTGTGGTAGCTACAGCATCAGAAGAAGAGGTGGAAGTGTGTGTAGAGGCGTGTCGCCGAGCGTAGAACGGGCGGAGGTATGTGAGAAGCAGCGGGATGACCACAGTCAAGACGACTGCCGCAGATATCAGCAAAGTCGTTAGGGCGTAGCCGTTCTAGGATGCGTCTGCAGTGAGAACGAAAGCTGCTGCTTTACTACGCTGAGGGACAAACCTGTGCTGGAGTATAATGGTACCTGCTAGTCAGATAGAGAATGAGCGCCGTGGACGCGTATCCCTCGCCGACAATCTCGACGAATGCATACGCGGCGCACAAAACAAGCCGCCAGTTCTTCCTTCCTGTCTGCGGATCCCTAGTTGGCTTCAGTTGACCCAGAGGCTGCATAACTGCAACTATCGGGGCTCCAATAATGTGACCAATCGCCTTTGCGTGCGTCTTCAGCGTATGATCTCCAGCGGGCGCAGAGAGCGCAGCGGACGACGAGGCAAGTCGCGCAAGCTCACGCTCGCGTGCGAGTTCAGCACGGCGGTCCACGGTGAAGGACTCCGGGACAAATAACGTGACATACCCCGCAGAAGAAATGAGGATTACGAGGGCGATGATGAAGACGTAATCATTGTGGTGCGAAAGCGTTGTTATGAGCCCGCCGGCAGTCATTGATATAGCAGCGCCTAACGATTTAATGACAATGAGCGGATGCGTCGTCACAGGGTAGATAATGTACACACCTACGGTTACACCACCTTGCAGTGTACTGAGTGCGGACATGCGGGTCTCAGCAGCGACTTGGTCAATGACGTACATATTAGCAACGTAGCCGATGACCAGGGGGTTTGTTAACGACTGAAACAAGACCCAAAGGATGAGGGCCACAGCAGCAAGGTTGTCGGGAAGGAAGCGAACGAGGACGATGCATGCATTTCCTAGAGCGCCTATACCAAGTAGGGCCAGGATAACGGGTTTACGGCCAATCCGCTGTGAAGCAAACGATACTGCACTGTACCCAAGCATGGCTAGGCGTTCTTGTGAGCCCCCATCACTAACACCTATTGGACATACTGACCGCATATACCGTCGAGCAAGCCAAGTACCGTAATGACAGCTGAAAGGTCTCGTGAGATATCTGGATTCTTGCACAGTTCCTCTGGAAGAGTGCCTCCGCTGGGGATTTGGTCCGGATCATTGCGGACAAGCCAATAAGCACAGACGATTTTCTGGACGATATCGAGCGTGGTCGTGATAGGAAGCATGCTTGCGAGACGCCATGCGATAGCGACGGGGAGGATACGTGCGATGGGAGAAAGAGCACGCTCTTTGGAGACGCTCCGGCTGCGCCTACCATGGCGGGTGCGAGAGACGAGTGGGGTGCGTTCAGTAGAGCGAGTACGATCCAGGGACATGGTGCACGTCACTCAAGCTGCTAGGTGCTGGGGTCGAAGGGTGATGGGACTTGGAAAAGCGCGAATGGCAGGGATTTCGAGAACTTGAAGCTGCGCGCCGCCCTTACGACACGAGGTTTGCGATACGGCAACGTACACAACATACTGCGGAAGAACGTTTGAGCTCACGAGCAACTGCGCGGTTCTGTGGTGGCCACAGATGGCCACATGGACAGTTGCGCCCGTTGCCCCAGAACAGACCTACGAAATCACCGGAGGACACTAGCATCCCACTAACCGCTGCGTCGGAATAAGGTGATTGCAGGACACGAATTATTGATGATTTATCTTTGACTAACCAATAGTGTCGAAAGTTGAGATTTAAGCATTGAACATATAGAAACTAAGCAAATGTGGTTCAGATCTTAAAGCATTATGTTGATTATATTTACTATATTATAACATGCAATTAAGTCGCATCGAAAGAACAATTAGGAAGTGTCCATGCCGCCAGATCCAGCTGAAAGCCTCTAAAGAAAAGTCTATGTTGAAGGTCCTATGCGAGCGATATGGGGGTGACTAGTATGAATCTTCAAAAGGGCTGGTCAACTCAGACCATATTCTCGGTGTGCAACGTCTGAGCTGGCGCCGCCGAAGACCAGGGATTAAGTTGACGCAGAACACTACAGACTCGAATGAGGATATTTTTCCCTGCCTGGTAAGGATGGTAGGGAAGACAAGCGATGCCGTCAAAGTCCCATTGCGGCGAGTGCGAATGATTTTGTTGAGGAGAATCGATCATTACTTCTTTGAGAGATTGAAGATCGCCCGTGAGGATACCAGAGGCGTCTGGTAGACGTTGTTGTATTGGGGTAGAGATATGGTCACCAATCTCGTCTGAGGTCAAGGTATTGCGCGTGTTGATTGTCCAGAGTCCCACGGCGTCTATATCATGTTGCCAGAACATATGACCGCCAATGGTAACCGGGCTATGGATGTCGGTTCCACCAGGGTCTTCTTCCTTCGTCGCCAAGTTGAGCGAGATATGTTGTCCAGTGGAGGAATCTAGCACTGCACCATCATCGCCGGCAGTTTTCTCCGTGTCAACAGTAGCATCCTTATCGAGAGATGAACCAGTAGGTGTAAGACTGGAGCTACACAGATCGACCACGGCGCCAGCGATTCTATCGTCGTTGAGGTTACCGCCGTTAGAAGCATCGTCGCCAAAGTCGAAAGCATGCTTCATGCCCAAGGGAGCAATGCTGAAAGTTGATGAACCGACGATGATCTTTGTGGGAGAATGGCTGTCGGCAGTGTTCGTGCACCTGGTCACAGGCTCGTGAGCTGCAGCGTCGATATCATCCTCGAAGGAGCCAAGTGCCACGTTGGGCCTGGTGGTAGTGGCACCAAAAACAGCATGAGTATCGAAGTTGTCGAATATGTCATTATCTTCGTGTGGGTCGGAAGAGGGTGGAAGCGGAGTATCCACCAAGCTATGCAGATAAATATTGCCCTCCACGCTATGGCCCACCGCGTTCTCAAATCGCAAGTTGCTGGTTAAAGTAGGTGTTGATCGATATTCCTCGTCGAAATGGCCGTTCATACGTCCGATCCGTGGATCCGAAGGCGCACGAGGAGAAGAGAGCGAGGTTTCTACGGGGCAGCACATTCTGAAAACTTCATCTACAATCTCGTCGCCTTCGATTTCTAATTCGAAGCTCGTTGCTTCATGGCAATCTGAGGCGCACTGCGCCACGAGAAAGTCGTGTTCGGATTCGAAGAGATGCTTGAAAGCTGAGGTGAACGCGCTGAACGATGACAGTTCAGCGATAGCCATGTCTGAAGCGAGGGCTTGGAGAGCAACGTCAGTATCTTCGTCAGATAAGCCAGCATCTTTCCAGGAAGCGGCTTCGCCGAGCAAGCACGGGGAGAGATAGCTTCGTGTGGCTGTTTCCAGAGTTCCAGCGCTGTCGCCAGTAGTTCCGTGGTTGACAGTTGAAAAAACATCGTCTTCGACAACGACAGTGTCCTCGAAGGATGGCCAAGAACGGGCGTGAAGACTACTCGGTGGGCTGCATTGCTGATCAATTTCCTCGATAATCGCATGATCACATTCGGACCATTGCTCAATGGCCGATGCCGAATCCCGGTTCACCGCGGCGATACTGAAATCACCTTCCCGCTCGAACAGTCGTTTGATGACTAAGGAAATAACCTTTAACGAGGGTATGTCGGTAAAAGCCCCACCAAGGGTGCCAACGTCGAGACAAGAGGCAGATCCTTTGGCGAGGGCGAGGGCGGCCAGCTCAATGTTGTCGACGTAAAGTCGGGCACCTTCAGCAGGAGTGACAGTGACAGTGTTGCACCAGCCGTGGTATGCGATGGACAGCGGCTTCGGAACTTTGAAGTTGAGCGACAAACAGCCAGATATTATCACGTGAATACGAGGATAAATGCCGTAGGTGAGGCCATCAAAGAGGTCTTCCACCGCACCGACTAATGGCAAGATACGATAGTTGTCGATGTTATCATCGAGGGTCTTGTGTGAGACAGTGGCGGAAGGAACTGAGGGGGGGAATAAAGGGACAGAGCGCGAAGAGATGGCAGACCAGGAGACCTCCACAAAGTAGGGGTGATCTTTGATAGCATGTAGAGAGTATCGCTTCCGCTTGTCAGGTCGCAGAACCTGCAAGTCATGCCTTCAGTACTTTGCTGTTACCCAGACGTAGGTAACGTAACATACCTTTTTGAGGAGATCTTTCAGCACCGGGTCGATATCCATGCATTCCGGAAAGGGCAATCCGTTCCTTATCTCGGACCTGATTTTCTCCGGACTATTTCCCCTCCAAGGAAACTGAGAAATACCCGTAAGTCTACGCCGACATTAGATCAGGTTTAACTCACCGTTCCCATGGCCATGAGATACATAGCAATACCCCAAGACCAAAGATCCAGCTCGTAGCCATAAGGACGGCCAGCCAGGGCCTCCGGGGGCAGAAGCTCCCATGTGCCGCAGCATGCATTGTCCAGGTTTCCCCTCAGACCAACGTACCTATGAGACCCGCTCAAGTAAGTTGCACTGGCCTTGGAGCCTTGGCAAGAAAGCCCGAAGTCGCAAAGGAGGAGGTGACCGTCGTCATCGATGAGGATATTCTCGAGTTTGATGTCACGATGGAGGACACTGCGTTGTTGCATGGCCTCGATGCAATCGAGCTGGCAAGAGATGAGCAATACGTTGGAATTAAAGGATGCGATCAGACGCACCAGCTCGGCACCGCAGGTTTGAAGCTCATGCGGGGAGAATCCAGGCGCCTGGCCAGTTCTATAACCCCACCGCTTAAGGAAGGTGTCGTAAAGGGAGCCGCGCGGGTAGAGTGACTGACATCATTAGCATCACTCAGGATACGTTAGAATAAACTTACCATAGCCAAGTGAACGTTTCGCTCGTCGTGAAAGGACGCGTGCAGCTGTGCAAAGCGTCTGTCCCCGGAGAAAGCCTTCATAATATTAACCTCTTTCTCGAGCAACTGGATCGAAAATGGTTTCTGAAGGGATTCTTTGGAGATAACCTTGAGTGCGTAGGGCTCGTGATCCAAGTCTGTGACGTGAAACACCCTGCCGAACGAACCGCCGCCGATATATCCTTGGAACTTAAGTTCTTCGTGAATCGGAATCTGAAAATCCTGATGCCGATTGACCTGGTTCTCGAGCGTCGGCCATGCGTTCTCAAGGAAGTCCATGAAAGCTTGGACTTCCGTGTCGCTCCAAGAGGGACTAACGTGCGCTAGAACGCTCTCGACGACGTCACAAGGTTCGCTGTTAGCCCCAAAATCAATCTGCAGAGCAAATAAACGATGATAGAGCGGTCCGTATCCTTGGTGGTCTACGTTGATGACATCGTTTGGAGTCAAGACTTGACAAGAGGCATCGTCTCCACCTTCTTCTCCAAGGCCTTCGTCGACCTCAATATTCAGCAGAGTGCACGGACGACGGTCCGGACGGAGGGGGGACAGAAACATCTCGAAGATGCCGTGTCGGAGGGATTTAACGAACTGTACCATGGCGAAAGTGTTGGCAGATAGTGCGGTGTTGCTTGAAGGTGAGTTGGGTATGTGGATGAAACTGTAGAGGGAGAAATCCTCGAGAGTATGCGTTTTATAGAGGCTGACCGTCAGCCCCTTAGCCAGGGGTTGGATGGGGTCCGCGGCCTATACAACAGGTCCGAGGGTAGCATCAAGATGCTAGACGTACGGTTGTTTCTTGATTTTCAGTATCTCCTAGCATTTTGACGTATCACATACGCAGGAGTAAGTTGAAACTGTTTTACTCGAGTACTCTTGAGTGGATGGCGCCCCTTGAAGGTTGTGTTCGAGGCCCACAAGGGTGAGGGCCAGCCTGTTGGTCGGCGGATCTGTATCTGTTGCTGTTTCAAGATTTAGACCAACTGTAGAGTGTCAGTCAGAACCGTTGACAAGAACGTACCGCGAGCTTGCCTTGCTCACGGTACGTTTTTGTCACAGATTTCAGCGTTTGCTGTTGAGTGACAGTCGGATATTTCCGATGGTGTATGTATGCCGCCTGATGCACACACAATGATGTACTAATCTACACGGTTCGTTTGTGCAAACAAAAGTGATACCGTGCTCACCCTAACGTGTTATGACAAATAGGATAGACGTACAACGCTTAAGCCACGGAGAAGCACGAAGAGCAACAATGAGATACAGGAGGAGCCCCTAATGCTAACTTCCGACAGTTTCATCACAAGGGGTATCCTTGGCCTTGTTGCATGTTGCGAAGCCGTTTTGTTTGGTGAAACGGACAGGGTGGAGCCTTAGCGATAGCCGAGAATATCTAATGTAGATTGTAGAAGAGTCGTAGATCAAGCAAAATGTATGCCTTCATCGTGGAACGCTGACAACAGCCTACATATGCCCAGCGTCAGCGAAGGATGACGAACAATTTGAAAAGCTTACTTCAACAGGTCATCGATGGACATCTTTGCGGCTCGCTGTTCTCCGTAGCCTGTCGCAGTGAGAATTTCCTCGACTTTCTTTTTCATGTCGGCATTGTCTTCAACCATCTATGAAGAAAATGAGGATAAAAAACGAGAGCATTAGGCGCTACACTCACGCGACCCTGCTCCGAGCACCACGTCCGCCAATTCTTCTCCATCATATCAATGACGCCCCGCGCCAGGAACGATGCATGAATTGTCTTATTTCTGCGGGAGAAAACGATTCTTCCTAGACCATCGAACTCTTCGAACCGGACAGGTGGTGGCGGATCCCGGGGGACAAGTCTAATGACACTTGACTCGACTAGAGGTGCCGGGCGGAAGTTGTTTTTTCCGACGTGCATTATGAGGTCGACCTTCGCATACAGCTGGACGTTGGCACCCAGACGTGACCACAGTTCGGTGTCTGGTCGAGCAATGAGTCGAAGCGCAAATTCACGTTGAAACATTAAAATGGCACAGCGGAAGATGGGGCGATGGGAGAGAAGGCGGAAGACGAGCGGCGACGAGATTTGGTATGGGGTGTTGGAGATACAGACGTCGAAATAGGGGAGGGTAGCTTTGACAAAGTCGCCAATAATGATCTCAAGCTTGCGTTGTTCGGGTCTAAGATATAACTTATGGGCTAGGCTTCAATTTTAGGGACCTAAGAGTACGCACGTTCCTTGCACACGCTTAGTGACCTCGGCAGCCATGCGTGGATCCATTTCTACGGCCGTACAGTGTTTTGCCTTCTCAAGGATGCGCACAGTCAGGTTTCCAGTGCCTGGACCGACCTCAAGCACACGGTCTGTTGGGCGAAGATTTGCCTATACGGACATCCTCAACATGCTGTGGTTTTCTGAAAGTGTTCCAAAATGCTCACCTTTTCAACAATTCTATGAACCTCTAACATCAATCGGTGCACGTTCCGAGGCCCTATGAGGCCAGCAGCGACAAAACTCACGTAGTGGCGATCTGAGGGTTCTTCAATATGTGCTGGCCAAATCTTTCGGTGTTGAAGAGAGGGTTCCGTGTACCGCTATTCCCTCCGCCTGCATCGTTTGCTGAACTGGCATTTTTTGAAGACTTGGCAGAGGGTTGGTGGGCGCGCACAAAACGCTCCGATGTAGCCCTTGGCATATTGAAGGAAAGTGCAGGGTGGCTATCTGTAGGAAAGAGAAGGCAAAACGAAAGGGCTCGCTATGAGGGCCAATAACCAGTGGAGTTAATCAAGCGAGAATAATGGTGGAGGAAATGAGGATCGCTGGATCGGACTTCGGAGATGCACTCATTCCGGTACCGAGTTCAGTCAGTCCTTATACTGAGGCGCGCAATGGCTCCAAAATGGCTCTCCAATCTCTCTCGCACTTACTTTCGTCTTTCTACAGGTGTCCACCTGCTTCAGATCTACTTCTCATATAAGCACCCTCTGTTTCTGTAGTTGCTTCTGCAGACCACGGTACTCACTGAGATTACTTGTACGCGCCCCTGATGTTCAAGAAACCCCTTGGGAATCTCAAAACGTCCGGTATGCCGTTGCAATGTACCTGCAAAGCCGTCGACGACTAATGCTATGTAATTCCCTTCTGTTCAAACTTGCTTAATGCGTGATTGGGCACCTTCATCCCCTTGACTTGGCTTTACACGCATACCAATGTCCTTACACTGTTCTCATAGCACCAATCCGGAGCTCAGATAGACGCAAATTCAAAGAGCGCGTCACAAGGACATTCTCCATTTCCGCAGATGTTGGAGATACACTCGTGCCAGATGGATTACAATCCGCAAAGTTTATCACGCACCTTGACGAGCCCGGCGTACGTCGCGTCCTCTGCTAGAATCCCGCCCGCTGAGAGCCTGAATGCATCGATGTTACTACGCACTACTTTGGTGCGTCTAGGTGGCATATTTGGCTCCTGACGGTGATCCGATCTGGTTCACAATCGGGAAAGGCAAAGATGCAGACGAGCTTATCCCTTCTGGTACGTCAGGCTAGGTAACCACCGTTGCGGATGTTTAAAAACAGATCTCAGTGTACACGCTATGGAAACACCCCAATCTCCTTCCAGTACTTTCGACGCCGTCTGCTGTCGTTCCCGTGCTCATCGGTGGTGCAGACCTAATGATACCTGGTGGTAAGCTATTATAAACGTGTTTGCGGTAGTGGCGTGACACATAAACCAGTGTTCCATCACCCGGCCAACCTTGTCGTCGGGCAACTTGTCAGCATCACCACCGTCTCGAGAGATGGGAGCTCACTGGGCGCGCCGTTGGCTGTTGCCCGGGCTGATGTAGATGCCTCGGTGATCACCCAGCGTGGAAAGGGGAAGGCAGCTCGCGTGCTTCATACTTGGAAAGACCACCTGTTTACGATGGGTAGAGGTGGGGATCCTCCGGAAGGAAGCAATGTAACCCTGTCCGACGGAGAAGAGGCAGACATAGCCAACGATCCTGAGGAGACCAATGTGGGGAAAGGCTTGAAGGATCTCAGCATCGGGGGAGCCGCTGAGATATCAGGTAACGACCAAGTAAAGCTCGGCAAATCAGAGTTTACTCCTTCGAACCCCGCATCAAAACCTGCAGCTGCATCATCTTTCAGCAAAGAAGGTAACATGTCGCATTTATTCCTTTGACTACTTGCTAAATAGTGAGCTACAGAGGTGTCAGACATACTAAGAGCGTCTCTCATACAGGCTATCGCCACCACCGTCAGTTCCTTGCCCGCGGCTACTTTTCCCATCCCCGCCAGCACGTTCTACTCAGCACATATCCTCCCTGCGCGCCCAGCGTCTTCACAAGCAACCCCAATAGACATTAAGCACTCATCATACAAGTCTCTCACCACCTTCCTCAAGGCAACTGAGAAAGATGGCCTTGTAAAGCTGAAGGACCTCAAAGGAGATATTTTAATCCTATCTATAAATGCGGGCCATGTTGATGTTAAGAGTCACGCCAAGTACACGACCATTCGCGACGTTGAAGCGAAGAAAGAGCGTCAGGAGCAACGCGAACGCGCTGAGCAAGACCGAGCACATGAGCTTGTAGTGAATGAGCTGTGGCGACCGCATTTACAGACGTTGTCTTTCTTTCAACAAGGCGGCTTTGAGTATGTGACCTCCCGAAATCCGTACATATCTGACTGATTCTTACTCGCGTTCTTTAGCACAGAGGCACTCTACACACACCAAGATCTTAAGTCGACCCTTAACTCCTATATCGCTGCCCATCATCTCACGAATCCCAACGACCAAGCCTATGTCAATGTAGATGGGGTTATTCGCACCGCCATTTCATCCAAGAAACCGAGCGAAACTGCGTCAACCTCCAGCGAACCCCTTTTCGTAAAGCGCGAAGAGCTCATTCAGCAGCTCTCCAGCAAAATGCAGAGTTGGCACCAGATTTACCGTGAAGGCGATTCTGTGCCACCACCGCCCAAGTAAATCAGCTCTTCGTGCAAGCATGCACTTCCGCTTACCCCGATTTTAGGAAAGGCCAACTCAAGCGAATTTCTGCTGCGGTCAAAACGCGCCAGGGGAATCGTGTGGCTACGCTTATCACTGGCTTTGAGCCTTATCTTCTTGACGCCGACGAACTTGCAGAAGAACTACGAAAAACCTGTGCAAGTGCAACCTCAGGTGTGTCCATTCATCCTGACCTGCGTCTATCCTCTTAGAGACACCACTTCTTTAGTATCACCCCTGGCCGGTAAGAATGCGGGGTTGGAAATCTTCGTTCAAGGCAAGCAGGTCAAGCCAGTTGTAGACCTCCTCATCTCGAAAGGTGTGCCAAAGCAGTGGATCGATGCAGAGATACCCAAAGCCAAACCCAAAGGAAAGCGATGAGCTCAATGTTACTTAGTGATTGTCCGTAATCGTCTTGTGTTCTCCTCCTGTCATGAGCCACTGTTTGTAGACATCCAGACCGACATTGGAAATGGTAACATGAGCGCGCATGAACTTCAAAATCTACATCGGCGGGCTGCAGAGTACAAGTCCGATGTGCGAGGACTCGCGCTATTCTCGTCACAAATCATGATTTTAGTACGCAAGTTTTACGGCCCGATCACCGGGGGTGGGCCAATGAGGAAAATAGATTACCATTTGAAGGCAGCAAAAACCAACGAAGTGGCTATCATGATTCTCACCGGTGCCGAAATTTGTTCCTGAACGCTCGTCCGTTTTGTTCCTGGCAAGATCCTTGTCAGTGTTGTATGAGGTTGTATGATAGCGTTTTCTTTTCTTCTGAAATGCTTGAACTCGCTCTCGGCATAGACAAGGCGCGTTTTGTTGGAGAACACTTACCTTCCGTGCCCCCACTGGTTGAACGATCCGTTGCCATGGAGCAACCGTAATCACGGCCTCTCCATTGCCGCCGGCAAAGTCGACATCGTCTCTTTTGTCAGTAACGCACCAACGCCAAGAAGCCATGCTCCTATTTATTTATGACGGCGGGCGCGTACGTAATGGAAGGCACAACCACGCTCTAGCCCGCTTTTGAGTTGGTTGCTTCTGACCCTCTCTTCGCATCTTCCACCTTGCCCAGGTATTTTCTCCTGGTTCTAACAACGCTCTCGACCTTCTGTCGCCGTCGACCGCTTCCTTCAGTACTCAAAAGCTGTCCTTGAGTCACGAAGCGCATTTGAACTCAGAGCTGTGCACTGACTTGGAGCGGAACAGGGCCGATAGGCACATTGAAACTCGGGTAGCTAAGTAGGTGCTGGATCCGCGCCCCAAGCTTTCCAAGTTCAAGGCCCTTTTCTCATCTCCATCAACGCAACCCTTCCACACTACCATCGTTTCGTGATCCTTCTCTCCACCCCCTCTCTCGATACCGGTGCTCATCTAAGTATCTCAATCCCCACCCGACTTTCCAAGTGCGCTCGCCGCCTCATTCTGTACGCCACCCTATCCGCTACACAGCGTCGTGCAAACCAAAATAGAGCCAAACCTGTACTCGTCCGCATAGGTCGCGGCGGTCACCCCACATCGCACAGGCTTGGTCCGCCCATTCCACCTTAAAACTGAATAGTGGCCTAGTCCACTTTTGCCTTTGAACCCGCCGTTATATTATCTGTTTGGCGGGACCTATAAAGCTCCAGTAAGGGTCTGTGCTTAGACCATGGCAACCAACCCAACCCAATCAACCTCCCCCCGCAAGCTCACGCGCTCGCGTTCCGCCAGACAGCTCGGAAAACGACCCGTCTCGACCGCGACGAAGGCGAAGCTTGACGGTGATATCTCCTACCCATGGTATTTTCAGGTATGTCCTCAGACGCGTTGGAAGGATATCGTCTCACCATTGACAATCACCATACTGCTCTGCAGCATAATGTTCATGTTTCGTGTACAACCCCACCAAAGGATGTCGCTTCCTCAAAGCCGGGCTTCACTGGCCTCCCCGCCGCCTGGGAAGAAGAGTTGCGCGCCCGCGTAGAGGCAGACAACACTGCGCGTGCAAAGATCAACGGAAAGAAATTGCCAAAGCACACAGAAGCGGCTAAGCCGCTCGTGCGCCTCTGGATTCTTCTCGCGAGCCTCGTTCATGGAATGTCCCCCACTGCGCACAAGGAGGGCAAAGAACCCGAAAAGGCGGACGAACAAGGAGACAAGGAGATCTCATCCCCATGGAACTTCAAGGTACGTGTCTGAGCTTGAGCAGTCGAGGACTAAGGTTGTTGACATGGAGATGCCGACAGCATCATTACCATGGTAGTGTCAGGTAAGAGCCTTTCTATTGTTATTGCGTCAATGAGCACACCTAACATCGTTGCTTGACGGTGCAGCATGGCAAGAGATGGCTTTGACGGTCTCCCGCCCGGCTGGGATGACGTGGTTACTAAAGGACACCCCCGTTCGCGCCCCAACCCAAATGTGCCGCTCAGCATAGCGGAGGTCGATGAGTTCGGGACTATCTCCAAAGAAGCAGCAGACGAGACGAAGTCCGTCTTTTCGCCATATGTACAGCTGCTCACTTGCTAACATACTCCACCTTCCAGGTCCGAAGACGTGCACGATGAACTCTCGTGTGTCCGCTCCCTTCGCTACCAGCGACGAGCAAGGTCTATGGCACCCATATCTCCGACATCACGACGCGGCGAGAGCAGCGGTCGGTCAATGACCAGGCATTTTTCCCTGCGGAAACCAAAGTCGCGCAACTTATCAACATACAGCATATCATGAGGCAACAACGCCGGCCTTCTCGGCGGCGCAGTGCGTCCTCCGTGGGCAGAAATCTTACTCTGCTGCTTCATTGCTCGTGCTACTCAACGCATTGCTTCCGCAAGTGCTATCTCAGCTCCGCTAGGACTCACTAGCCCTGGCACTTCCAATTAACCAGCCCTGGGCCTCGTTACCCCAACCACTCCGTTCCTTTCCTTTCGCAGCTTTCTTGTGTCTTAGTTGAATTGTTTTACCGTTGAAGCCGGTTCCTGGTGCACCGGACCACGAAGTACTATCTTTCATATCTTTGAATCTCCTCACTCAAACTGAATTGCTGTATTATACTCTTGCACCTCGCTTCTCCGCTCTGCTATTGCCAAGCCCTCGATACGGGCATCCGCTTCGCTTGTTACAGCTTACTACAACCCGCTCCTTCCATTTCAGATTACAATAATCGATAATGTACTACCCAGTGAATCTATTAGCTAGATTGAATGTCTAAAAAGTGTGATCAGGTTGCCAGTGCGATCCAACGCCATCAGAAAGAAACCTGATACTTGGTTGAATTTACTGACGGTAAGTGGTTCGAGAAAACGACCTCCATCGACCCAAGTCAAGAATACTCAACGACAGAGGGGTCATATCATTTGCAAATTTACATAGCGGAAGGCCGTCCACGGAGTAAGGTTATTTACTCCAGACCATTCTCCGTACCCCACTTGCCTTCAAGCCCGGCGGATCGAGGTCGAGTTTCCAATTTGTCACCTGTAGCACCGTTTAGGAGTAATTAATTTTGCTATCGACATCGGAATGTCGACTGTCGGTGGAACTGACGGCTCGCCTGACGAGGCCTGACGTCAACTATGGTTTAGGGCGTTTGGAGAAGTAACATTCGATGCCCATTGCTCAGCTGCCGCTTGACATGAGCGAGTTGTGAGCGAGCGTTGCGAACAACCAGAGTCAACGCACTAGACGTGATTCTGGAGTGAGATCAGGAGGCGATTAGTTGCGAGGGCATGAATTCTGAGACGCTGCGCGCTCTTGTGAAGTGGCAGCTGCCTATCAACTAACCGTTATAGCCTCTGCAGAGCTGGAGGCGAGCAAAGTTAGCTGCCGGCAGTCGGAGGCAGTCGGCGGGTCCACCAGCTGGTCCACCACAATCACAGTTTTGCGAATAGGTGCAAATATTGCTAAGCGCTGCTTATCACGTTGCTTATCTTTATCAGATTACACTGCGCATCTCGTTTCTGATCGACACCGGACGACTCAAAGTGACACGTCCTGGCAAGCTGTCAACGAAACGGCGAATGACATCGTCATTTCCGCCGTCGAACACGCGTGGGTGCGATGCACACAGGCGTACACCCACAGGAGTGCTCCACGTATAGAGCGCGGTGCGGACGCGCGCGGTCTTCTCTTCGGTGGTGGCAACCGCAAGCATCGCCGATCATTTGCTCCATGGCCTTGAAGAGCTCTGGAAGGTCATCGGCCAGCGAGGCGGCGATGAAGTGGTTCGCGACGCGACGTACAAGGTTCGATGCGGCTCGGCTATCGCTTGGCGAGAGGCCACATCATGGCACAGTCATGACGCGCCCACAAGCCCAATTGCAAGCAAGTCTAGTGCAGGTCTCCACAACAAGTTGACAGCTATGATACATGATGAAGGCGCCGACCCGGCGTACATACGTAGGTCCCACCGCGTTAGGCAGCATCGGGAATGAAAATTGATTTGGCGAGGGGGAGGGGGAGCTGGAGCGCCAACTTTGTAATGGGTGTCCGATATGCCTGAAAGATGGGCATGCGGTTGCGTAGGGTTGCATGATGGGCGGGGATGGACCAGATGGACTTTGTGCTATTCTGGGCAAGAGGATGGAAGGATAAGGAAGATAGAAAATGTTGTTTTCCTTTGAAAGAGGGTGCACGGAGTCTCTTAAGCTGCTCGTTGCTGTGTGGTCTGGGTTGTCTAAGCTCGGAGGGAGTACAAGCTAGTATAGTATAAGCAGCGAGTACGAGATAGGACAGAGGACCCCCGGTGAGCTGGGCAAGTGCTGGGCAGTGCCGCGGGTGTCGAAAGAGACAATAAGCCGTACAAACGTCACCCCTGAGTCATCCGAGGGGGCAACCACATCCGGAAAGTATCCGCACAACCCCAATCTCGGTCTAGACCTTCCGCCCACGACACCGCTATATATTCCATCGACTCCAACCTCTCCTTTCCATTTGTTCACCCCATACTCCCCCCCGGATTCACTTTCCCTCCTCGCACGACAACAGAATGCTCGCTTCGCCTCGGTACCCCTCTGCCCAAGAACTCGCAGGCTACGATTTCCTTCTTTCTACCGCGGCCTCCCCTATCCATGCACCTTCGCTTGATATCCGTGGCCGTCAGACCCAATATGTCGAGTCCACGGCCCAGCGTCGCGAGCGCATCGAATTTTTGAAGAAGCGCGAGTGGGCTCGTCGGGTCGCGGAGTGGATTCGCGAGACCAGCGCGCAGCAGGACGTAGTGCGTGTTATTCCCCTTAGTCTCCCTCTCGCATCAGTGGCTTACCAATAATTTTAGATGGCATTTGGTTGCTCAGGAACTCTTGCACGCTCACGCTCAAACTCCCTGGAGGACTTGCGTTGCATCACCCCTTCGCCCAAGTTGGCACCCCCTGTACATGCGGATGAAGAACCATATGTCATCTATAGTTCTTCGTCGCCCTCTTCCTCCGTGTCCTCCCTGTCAGAGGATTTGTCTCCGATCTACTCCACCGGGGGCAACGTTTCTCCCCGTCTTGCGGCTTCGCCACCGCCAGGCCGCCACCATCGCAAGCGCAGCAGCGCTAGCCTACGGGGCCCACACCGCCGTCCATCCCTCTCCAGCATTTGCGAGGAGCCCGAGGAGGACTAGATGCTTTCCTCCATCGTAACCCACCCTGTTCTCGGCGCAATTAACGTGCCGTAGCAGTTCAATCAGTTGAGCGGCGTTGATCGCTCGCTCTGCTCTCCCATCATCACCCATCAGCGTTACCAAAAGAACAACGCGCGCATGCTCGGCCGGGTGCGAGCGTGCGTACGGGTCTTTCCGTCCCTGGTTTCTTTCTGTGTCTCAGCATATACAAGCATGCATCCAACCCCCGTCGCTACGGGTTCGGGCCTATTTATACCTCTGCCGCCGTATACCCTGCAGCATTCCCATCCCCACCGCTGACATGCATCCCACCCGGACCAAGTTGCTCAGGCACATGCTCCGTTTGAGCTGGCCGGTTTTGTCTCCGGTGTGTGCATCGTCACGCAATCCCCACATACATCCCCTCCGTCGCAATTTTTACATACCGTCCGAAGCTAGAGCCTGATCGGGTCTCTCCATCTGTGTTTGTGTTTGATGCATCAAGATTACCGGACTCTACTATGTACATGTACTATTAGTTGCTATAGCCTACTTAACATCAATTGATTCCCCCGACTGTATGTCTTTCTATCTTCCGGTGTGGGTAAAGGGACAACTGGTGTGAATAGCCTTGGCAACGGTGTGGCAGAGTGTGCCTTCAGATTCACGTCTATCGAAGTACATGATGGTGCTTTCTTCTGATCCCATATGCGTATAGCTATGAACTACTCGCGGCCTGTTGAATACGCCACTTCTCCTCGGACCGATTCTTGAGCCCATCTGCCATGGCCTGAGCACCCTGATCCAGACCACCTTTTAGGATAACCTTGATGATATACGCCAAGACGCCGCTGAAAGCCTCGATGCTCTCATAGCGTGTTCTCTGGCCGCCATCGAGCTCCGAGAGGGCCTGCCACCGCTCCGTATGGAGCAGCCAGGACGCCACCTGGTCTCCGCCCCACGCGACGCGGTACATGGACGGATCGTACGCGGTAATGTTGATGAACGTTGAGCTCGGGAAGCGCTTTTTCTCGAACGTGGGCGGAATGTGCACAGGATGGATGTACAGGTAGTCCCCCTGCTGCGGCGCGCGGGCGAGGGGGTTCTTGGATTTGTCCGTTATGCGCTGGCCACGACTTTCGAACCGAATCAATGAGAGTAAGGCGACCGAGAGAAGGACCGTGGTGGACAAGGGTAGAGGGTTTGTGAGATGTGTGAGATGGGGCGAACACGATGGGTCAACAAAGGAAAGCGATCCGGAGTTTTGCAGGTACGAAAGGAGAAGGATGAAAAGATGAAGAAGGCACGGTGCACGGCACGGTGCAGCGTCCAATGAAGTGCAGGGGATAAGATAGGTAAACGTTAGACCAGAGTTGAATGATCATTTTTAAACACAAGTACGTACACAAAAGGGTTCCTGTGGGGTAAATGAAAGTTAGCACACAAGGCATAAGAATGCGGGGACGCGAGGAACGCAGACACGGGGGAAACGCGTGTTTGCGCCAGTACGACCTTGTAATTCGGGGAGGTACAGGAATGGCAGGACTATGTTTCGTACCATTCGTGGTAGGCATCCCAGTCCATGAGGACGTCCCAGACGATATCGCGCGGCGCGTCGATATCAATAGAGGCGGCCGAGGTGAACACGCCCTCTGACGCGAGGGGTGGTAGGCCCTGCTGCGATGCGGACATGGTGATGATAGGAGTTTTGGTGGTGTTTTAGCACTACCCAAGTGGGAGTTGTTCCTGTAAACGGTTGTGACCATACGTTGTGTCAGATACACGAGGCGTGCTGAATGAAAGTCCAGCATACCAGACGCGCTGGCCTCGACAACGAGACAGCCTACTAAGCACTAATGGACAGGGCCCGCGATCAGTTCGAGGTTCGACGTCAAGCCACAGTTCGCTGGCAGTTCCGAAGGACACGGACGCCGGCCCGGAGAGGTTTCCGAAGTTACCGACAGGAATTTTTCCCAGGCTACGAAGTTTGGTTCCGCGAAGTGGAAGCTGATCTTTCTTCTCCGCGATCATCGATCTGCTCCGCGTTTCTTCCGCTTTACAGCCCGTCGCAGCTCATCGCCTTGTCAAGTTCCTGGTATTTGCCTCGTGGTCGAAGACTCACGGCTGTATAATTCTGTGCAACCGCCGGGGAGGTGCTTGCAACTCAAAAACCTTTTTTTTTACCCTGCCCTACGAGACCCCGATCAGGTTTACAGGTTGGAGGCTGCGCTGACCATGAGGCTGCAATCCAAAGCAAAGATTTGGTTACGACTGTAGATGCTGACAAATGCGCTATTCACGACTTTTTTCAATCTACATTGAACATATACAAGGCTTTTGCTCCATGCTACCCCGCAAAAGTTTACTTTCTAATGTTCTCGGAGTTGCCTGAGATGCACTGTATGCGTTGAGCTTTCCTTAGCTCAACGATCCCAACGATCCCTGCGGTTTGATTTGACGGCTGCAACACACCGCCCGCGCTATATTGTTTGATCCTCAATCTTGTGTAAGCACTACACACAGCCAAATATCTGATCTCTCGCGAAAGATGGCCCTCTGGTCGTTCTCATGGTCTAGTAAATCCCGGACTGCTTCTATCGGGATATATAGCTTCGGACTTCTTGGTCGTTACCCCTGGATCGTTCTCTCTGCTGGTTTAGAGTGCTGGTTGGTCCAAGATGGAAGGCTTCACACATGGTAGTCTTGCGCAGAAGCTCACCGAGGGACCACTTGTGGGGGCATTCTTGAGCATGATGTAGGTTCTCTGCTGTGACTCTATAGCTGTGTGCGTCGGGCTATGGAACTCACAATGAACTCCATTAATGCGCTAGGTTGTATGGAGCGGCATGCCTGCAGGTCTGGCACTACTTCTTTAATTATCGGAAGGATCCTCTCTGGATCAAGGCAATGGTATGTGATACATTCATCCTATCACGTTCTCGCCAGTCCTGATCGAGAAGTCTAATTTGATTCTCCATTGGCCGACGTAGGTTTCATTTATCTGGTACGCCATGATCTCAATAGGTACAATATGTAGAAATGGCTAAACATCACTGTGGCGGTCTAGGGTTCTGGAGACCTTCAATTCGGGACTTCTAATCAGCCTACTGCTTGACTGCCTTGTGCTTGGGCGCTCCGACAAAGTCGCTCTTGATCAGATCAGCTGGTGCGTTTCCCTGATGCATGCCACGGATAGCACCAGCATAATTTGGTAACATTCAACTTGACATACTCATTGTCTGTTAGGCAGAGCGCATTGCTTTTTCTTCTTGGCGTATGTTTTTGGACACGTCCTCCCGATCAGTATGCCTACTGACGCGCGGTTATCGTAGTTCGTGCTCGGCTTCACGTCCAGTATGTGCGTGCCTTTTACGCGTTTGTCTAGGTGCATGACTTAAGTTTGCTAGACATGCCAACTGGCGCCTATTCAAGTGTTCGTGCCTGCTTCTCGCGTACACCGCTTTTTTATTTTTATTCATAGCTCTTGTCTACAGTGAGCAAGAACGTGTATGTGTCAATAGTCATTGTAGGTGTATTCGTCGTTCCTCGAACAGAAGTTCTGCGCTCATACTATCTACTGTTTGCCTATACCAGAGCATCTTTAATGTCTCCCGTCTTGGTTAGCGCTTTCTCTGGTTGCGATTATCAACGGGTCACTGAAGGGCTTGGTTTCTCAGGAGTTGGTTTATGGTTTTTCGACGCGATGTAAGTGATCCCCCCCCGTTTCTGGTGGATCGTGCAGTGAACATATTCAGACTCGGGAAAGATTGGCTCAGCTATGGGAGGAATGCACACGTACGTCATCTGTGTGAATGTTACGTGTGTCCGTGTCGTCCTGAACAAAGATCGTGGTCTCCTAGACGGCGCTGTCGCTTGGCCTGACACTCGTACTCAGTGGCGACTTCGCTTGCAGCTGCATAATCGTTTTTTACCTGTGGCATACCTTTACCCACGGCGAACACGAGGGGTACGTCATTTTGTCCTGCCGTGTGCTGCTTCATTTTGACTTGTCTGAAAATAGCTGTAGAACAGACCGTCTGATCAACCACCTTGTAGGATACACTGTCATTACTGGGCTTTTGAATACGTAAGTTCTCGATCGACTAAGACCCAACGTTGAGAACTGATGGCCTGTAGTATGTTAGAGAGTGCCGCCCTTGCATCAGTATGTGTTCACACATGATGAAGAGGAAAAGAGCTACTGACGAAGGATTTGCCACCACTCCATGCAGTACTTGATGTCACCCCATACCTTTGTTTTCGCTGGCATCTTGATCGTACAAACGAGACGTACGTATTTTGTAAAAAGAACTTTGTCCCTCAGGCTGGGTATTTGCTGATACTTTAACAGTGTATGCGCAAAGCACACTCACCTCGTACGTGCTACATTGCTCCTACGAATGCTCATGTCATGACCAAACAAAACAGACTCAATATGAGGTCAAGCAATCGACAACTTCTCAACACTTCGCCGGTCGCATGTATTATGGAGAGATCATCACTCATAGGAAAACGGCCTGGCTGCGAGGAGTTACGTCGTGAGCCTGAATTTTGTGAAAATGAACCGTATTTCAGCGGCATGACGGCGAGTGCCCGGCTTTCTGTACCACCACGGTGAAATAATAATTTAACAAATTGCTTCAGGTTGTCTTACATGACCCAAGACATTCCATCCTTACAGGTCCGATTTACTATCGGCAACGTACGAATGGGTTCGATGGCCGGAGTGATGTCCAGGAACATTATGTTCCTGGCATGTCCCAGTCTCAGACGGACGAAAATATTGACTATTACTAGTAGCATTCGACATATCCATACATTTCAGCGTATCGTGCGGCAACCTGCTTCGACCAGTGATAAATTGTTTTAAGGTGGCTAACTGCTAGGGGACTGTCGTTTCTGGGGTAAGTAGCTTCGGTGATTTTCGAACATCGATGTCTAGTTGGTTGGGAGTTCTTCAAGTTCTGAGTCGACTGTCCGTTAACTCTCCAGGTCCTAACGGGCTACAAGAAGTTTCTCAGCCTTTGTGCATTGTTATTTCATGGACCTCTCTATAAATGATGTCAAATATGGTTTAATCAATACCCTTCAGGACTTGTGTCGCGACATTTAGCAACATCCCACAACCACGGACATTGCAGCCTGTCCACATGTTATGAACCCAAGTTGTTCACCTCCTTATGGCTTGTGCCTTGCAGCATTCTGAGCGTGGACCCGTTCTCTGACCCATTGTTAAATTGGTTGTCTTTGATCCCTTTCAAATTCTGCAGCGAACGACTCAGATATTACGATAGTTGTCTTTATCCCGGATTGGTGTTTTTCAAGCTTGAGTAACTATCTCGCTACGCTAAGCATCAGCTACGCAGTGCTCTCATTCTCAAAATTTACGTCATCCATGAAGACCCGGGCATCACTACGGTGACACATTGAAAGCACCGTGCGTACATTTCGAGCACGCAGCATCCGTCTCCCCTTCAGTTCCTCGACGAAAGATGATGACAGTCTCAGATTCCATATTGTGGATGTAACTGGTCCGAGACCGTACGCGGTGCCCCTTCTAACATCAAGGGGGCTGGAAGGGTCAACTTTCTTCATAGCCCATGCAATGAGAAGAGCAATGAATCGATGTAAAGTGCGCAGTGATCCATTCTTGATGTCGCCGTAAGCAATAGAATTGATCCAATGATCCAACAACGCGCTTTCATCATGGCCCGAGTCTGAGCCGGAGATATTCGATAGCTTGGCGAGCTCGAGCAGGATGCGTTCGCGGGAAGTTAATTTGCCCTCTTTAGCTGAGATGGAGCTCCTGAGTGCCATGAGCGGGGTCTGGGAGATAGGCTGTGGGTTGGGAAGCGGTGAGGGTTTGGGGTCGAAGGTATATGGCTCTGTGAGTTCGGAAGATGGGAAAGCGGGTAGGCGAGCAAACTTGTATTCAACCCGGTCGTAACGGCCATGATACCAAGGCCCGCCGTAGGGAGCCAGCAAAACGACCGGATAAGTATCCACCTCAGCTGCATCAAATTCATCCAGCAGAGCACGTAGCCTCAGCAGCTGTCCCTTGTTTGGACCCAACGTGAGATGGAGCACAAGCGCGCTTGTGAGTTGCCCTGGTGCCCAGTTGAGCTTGTCCTCCACGTCCTCCATCGTCAGAGAGGGGTCTGCAAACAGAATGTCCTCAATATGTTGCTTAAGCCGGGGAGCCAAGTCCACGGCATCGTCCATTCCAAGACGCGCGACATCCCCATTCACGCACAAAAGTGCCGGGAAGAATGCCGCCATCGGCGTATAGTCATTGAGCCACTGCCTTCTATTCCTCATTTCCTCCTCGTCGAGCGCAAGCGCAGACTCTTGATGTCGCAAATTGCCGTAGACGGAATTGCATCTACTACCGATATCGTCCAAAAAGGGCAGAACAATCGGGAGGAGGCGGACGCCTACGTTAATGGAGCCCATTACGGTCGGAACAAGTTCGTTTGCGCTGGTGGCCAAGGCGTCTCGATACTTCACGGCCCTCAGCTGTACCCAGGCCAGGTAGAGTTCGCCTAGTGGGTCAAGAAGAACCTGGCGCAGTTTGGTGGCGTCGTCGCAGAGAGTTGGGTATATGTACTGCATAAGACCTACCGGCGTTGCATCAGCCTGCAAAACATATAGGGAAAAATACATGTAACACGGACGCACCGCATCGTCTGCGCAATACTTTAGCTACCAGCCTCGCAGAGTCCCAATGGTTGTTCCATAGAAAGAGACGCCCGTCAGGGGCCTTGAGCCAAGTCTCGAGTAAGCCCAGGATAACCTGCATTGACCGATGGGCGTGTTGACACCAAGCAGCAAGAGCGTCAAGACTGAACCGTGAGCGCGTGCCTTTGTTCGCATATAGGCCACGAGGTGCGGCGAGAAACCCCTCAAATCCGTCGAACAGCCCGAGCTCGCCTTTGATCAGCTTGTTGAAGATATATTCGGTTGTATAGTTCTCCTGAGCATATTCACCGAACGCACACGAAATGGTGTCCGCGAGTAACGTCGGCGCCTGCGCAGCAATTGCAAGACATATCGCAGCAAGCAAAACCTTTGGGCGTTCCTTTCTATCGCTAGCCGCCGCCCGTACCTTGAGGTCCTCGATGGCTTGAACGATTTTAGGATCAGTGTGCTCGACATCAGCAATTGTATGAAGTCTGTGCATTGTTCGCGATGCTCCGACCAGGAGCGCATGGGGTATATGCGCACTGGCGCCTCCTTCTCTGATGCAGGAATCCAGTGCGCAAAAAAGCTGGGTAGAAGTGGGATGATACCCCCTGGACGCAGGAGCGACGATGAATCCACCGTGCGTCTGCTTGAGCGCATTCGTGGACACGAGAACCGCCACATGGTCGACGTGGAGCACAGAGAGAAGAACGGACGACATCATGCTGTGTCTCTTCGGGTGTGAAGTGTCGTGGAGCGGGTCTTTGCTCAACTTTCTGTCCCAGTGGACGCTCAGGCGTGAAAGTCGTGCGGATGCCCGGTCCAGAAGACTTGGCGAACCTTCTGATAGAGCAGGATGCGCGCGCGCGAAATGGATAATGTTCAGGAATGGGAGTCGTGCCGGACGAGGTATTCTGAGAAGCCACTCCATTACGGTGCCCATAAATCGTGGACTTTCTTCAGAAAGGCTGTCGGTGTTATAAGGAAGGAATCGGCATATGGCTATCAGAAGGCCCGTCACAGTCTGCGTGTCCTCGAACGATCGCATTTCTTCGGTCGTCATGAGATGCCACTCTTCGGTGCACTTGGCGTAGTGCTTCAAAACGACTTTCACGAGCGGCTCCAAATCACTAGTGTCCCAGTCCTCGTGTTTTGCGAGAGCAGCTATGCGCTTCCAGTTTTTGAGGCCTAAGCGAGTAACATCCACCGACTTTTCATGTTTACGGAGAAGATATGATAGATGGTCAACGAGCACGTCAGGGGAAATGAGGTCGTCCGATGCGATTCGAGTTTTCTCACTTGTCACATACATGAGGTAACGATCCATGAAGGCAGTGAGAAACTTTGCTCCTTGACCATCGGTTGCCCTGCTTAGAGGGCCCACGGTCTCCAGCAGCTGAGGGCACTTCTCCAAGATATCTGCATGGTCCGGAGCTCCTGTTACCGCCGGTACGCCAAAGTGGGTGAGGAGCAGGCGACGGGGAACGTTTGGGCGTTTCTCGCAGAGTAGCCACCACAAGCGGTGATCAAACCATGGCTCCGAGCATTTTCTGAAGATAGCGAGCAAGGTCTCCTCCGAAGCTGCTGGAACAAGAGTTCGAACCGCAAAGTTGGCATACCGATGTAGGCGGCACGATGCTAGCACACGATCACTGAGAAATGGATAAATTTCGCGCAGGATTGCATCAACTCTTGACGATGTGGAAGAAGTGAGCGGAGCTTTGACACCAAGCAGAGAAAACAGGCGCACAACAGCACGCTGAGATATGTTGTCGTGCAGTACAAGCTTAATGATGTCTTGGATGCTCGTATCGGAGGTATGGGTCAACCACGATGCGGCGAGAACATCGACGGCTGCAAGTGTAACGTTAGGATACTGAGAACTCTTGATAGCAGCTGCTGCCCATGAGGTCGACTTTGACTGGCGGAGTAGGAAAGCATAGTCGGACGGCGTCATATATAGGTGTGAGTCGGAGAGCATGGCATCAAGCTGGGTGGGTAATTGGATGCGATCGTCTGAGCTGAGGCTTAACCAAAAGGCTGAGAGGCGCTGTTTCCTGTTGGATAGTGAAACATCGTAGAGCTCCTTGAAGAGTGCTGACAGAGCAGAAGATGTGTCTGCCATTAGCCTGATGGTACGTTAAACATGTGGTGCAGTGTGATCGTTGTGAAACGCACTTTGAGTAGGGTAGGCTTGGACGGATAGTTGATACGTCAGGGATACCTAAGTCGTCTTCACACAAGGCCCTCTAACATGTGACGAGGCTCCTGTGAAGCAAGGCAGTGTTGGATGTCGAAGCTGAGTGCTGATGCTAGGCAGCATGGTTGCCCGCTCGTGACGATGACAGGTGACAGGGCTCAAGCTCAAGTGGCAAACAGGAGGTTGGCATTTAACATCGGAGAATATTGGCCTGAAAGGAAGGAGAACATGTCAAAAGTCAAGCTCGTGCAGCGGAGCAAGTTGAAGCAACCAAGAGCAGTACGCCGAAGACTCGGTAAACAATCAGGTAACCGATCATCGATCGAAATGTCACGTGCAATAAATTTCTGACAACGCTAACGGAGTCGGCTCATCGGGTCCTGCATACGAGGACAGGGAGGGGTTTTGACTTGTCCTGGAAGAAACACTAAAAGGCAGCATGCCATCCTCGCTAGCGACCCAGCTCGCGACGACAGCGTCGCTGAATAGCGCGCTTCTCAATACTACCCGGCGGCAGCCCGCTCAATCTTATCTCTTTTCCCAAAAGGACGCCGAAGCTCATGACCTCGACTCCATTCACGCGCTTGCATCCTCCGCATATACTCAACTTTCGTCAGTTGACCCAAAATTCGATAACGAATATGAGCAGTCTCTCTTCTCGGACGCAGCTCGCGCGACGGACCGTACCTTGCAACCTACCGAGTTCAATGACCAGCTCGATCGCACCCTCCGTACATTCTTGGGATTATTGGGGCCATGGCTTATGGACCCTCCAGCCGGCAAGATCTTAGAGTGGCTTGTCAAGCGCTATAGGTTCGCCCTTCATAACAAAGCCTTCTTCTCTCTGTCTCATCAACGATTTTGTGAAGGATAAACGAGTTCAACGTCGAGGACGTCCTTGCTCTCTTCCTGCCATACCATGACTCCCCGCATTTTGCCAAGATGCTTTCCATCCTCCATATCAAGTACGTGAATACCACTATGGTGAAGCACATGGTCTAACTTGTATTCAGATCAAATTCACGCTTCGGATTTCTACTCCCCTTCAAATCTACCGCGAAGCCTCTACCACGAACTGCGCTCATCAAGGGCATGGTCAATAACAAGGACGTCGCAAGATTTGTGGCAGAGATGTACCCCAACGCCATCGCAGGTAAGTCACATTCACATGAACTCTTCCTCAAACCTCTCCAAAATTGCTGACATCGATTATTCCCTGAATTATTACTCTGATGATTTTAGCCTCCACGACCCACCGTGCCCTCCTCGCCTTCCAGTCGGCTACGATGCACGACTACATATCTAGCGTCTCCCTGGATGAAAGCATTCTTGCGATGCTGCTACCCTCTATTCTAGCACCATTGCAGAACCCAAATGACCGGAATGCTATAGTGAGCTACTCGCTGAGTGTGATTGGTTTGAGAGGTCATGCTAACTTTGCACCCAGCTGAGTGCCTACGTGCTTGCAAGTACGCTTTCTCATCGGACAACGTTGACCGAGCGCGCTCTTGTTTCCATACTCAAGATGATGGTTCCGCGGGCTACATCAACTAAGGGTCGGTGACGTCTAGCTGTACTCGTGAATATATATTAACCAGTAGTCAAGGTCCTTTGAAAGGCAAGAACCGCGCCTCAACTACGCCTACTGTCTCTGCGTCGCACTTTGTGCAAGCAGCAGTAGCCGTGTGTGCTCCGCAAGAGGGGCTTCAGGGAGGTGAAGAGTGGGGGAAGATTGCAAACGGGTGTTTGAACCTCAGGTAAGCAGACTTTGACGCCCACATAATCACTTTGTCGTTTCGTTGAATTTGGTTCCTCATTTCAGAGGCTTCTCGGAAGCCGTTCTCAACGTCCTCCCTTATCTGCATGTCGACAAATTCATCTACCCCCTCCTTGAAGCCGTTCAGGATCGGTCCGTGGACACCTATATAATTCTTAAAAGTATACTCATCACGAATATTTTAATAGCATAACAGAGCCCGTTGTCTCGACGACATTCGAAACTATCTTCAATACACCTAACCCGCCACTCTCGCTCGTGAAACGTCTCGTTAGCCTCCTTATTCACACAGTCCAGAAAGCAGGCAGCGATGAAGATGAAGACGTGTTTGATGAAGAGTTACCCGCTGCCTCGCAAGACACCGTGGCCAAACAAGCAAACGTCGCCGCAGCGCGTACACTACTTGCCGTCGTGCACCAGCGCTACTTCGGCTTGCTGAGGGAAGTCATAGGAGAAAGCGGAGAGGACTTTGTGCAGGTCAATGGGGTTTCGGACAAGAAGGCGAAGAGGAAGAAGGTTGGGGATATGCTTGGGTTCGTTTCTGCCGTGAGTAGCATTCTCGAATTATTCTTGGTCGTACTCATGTCTAACCAAATGCTTTTGCAAAGTCCCACCCTCTGGCTCAGTCGACAGATATCAACGACCTGGTCGTTGCTTCGACTAGTGCGGAGAAAGAAGACCGTGTTACTGCTGTGCAAGGGCTGTACAAAGTTATGCAGAACGGTGACATTCACGACAACGACATGGTAAATCATACATCTTCCCCTCCCCAAACAGCTACTCAGCACTCATCACTCAAACGTGCTAGGCATCAATATCGTCTGCTCTCCTCGCCCGCATATACGACTCGGAAGCAGCAGTTCTTCACGCACTCTACGACTCTTCTGACCTCTTCCTTCGCTCCTTCTCATTGTCTCCGTCTCAAAGCCTTCCTACCTCTGTTCAGTCTCCCAAAGGTCTCCTGGACGCATTGCAGACGTTGCTATTCCCTCCCTCACCTGCTCCCCAGCCGTCGCGCACTGTCATCCAGGCTCACATTGTCTTCCTCGCTGGTCCGTTCCTGTGCATGTTCCCAGACCTCAAGGGCGAGGCGGAGGACCTTCTTTGGCCGTTCCTTCTCGCTAGCCGTGCGAAGGCACGTACAGCGGTTGGCGTATGGGGTGCGCTCAAGGAGGGCAGCACGGATAAGCATGGACGGTGGCTGAAAGGTTGCGTTGGCATCTGGGAGGAGTCAGGGCTGTTAGATGGCAATCTGAAAGAGAAGGGCAAAGATGACGAGGACGCGAAGAAATTGTGCAAAGCCAATCTAGGGGTTGCTTCAAAGGTCGCAGGTAAGACTCAGCTTCCACTTTTGCGCTGCGCCTTGTTCGCTAAAGTTGTCGACATGAAATAGAGAACATCCTCTCTTCCCATAGGGATGTCGAGGTTTCGGCCCTGCTCTCAAAGTTGCACGATCCCCAGCCACATGGACGTGCGCTGGCTTACCTGGTGGCTCGTGCTCTGTTGCTTCAGTCCTCAGGAGGGCGGCAGGTCCGCATTGCGTCGCAGGTTCTGAAGGTCATGCGCTTGAACTCGCTCGACTCCGGCGATCAAGTCGAGAAACTGACTGACGTTCGTGAAGGTTATTTGTTGATTTTTGTTCCTTACTGACGGATAGATCGCTTAGGTTCTGGATGAACATTTTGTCGGGATGAAGGCGACAATGAAGCCCCATGGAAGCGTGACTCTGCTGGTGCTTCAGACGTCCGTTCTGGCGCTCATTCCTGCCATTGAACTGCCTGAGGGTCCGGTCGACTGGATTGGTGACGCTGATGGGGTGAGCTTGTTCCTGATTTTTCTCTGCCGGACGTCGTCCTCAGTGTAACTTCAGGATGACAAGAGGTCAGATGCCGCCAGCTATGTCTCGCTTATCCGCACCCTCTACACTGTCATTACCTCCGCCCGACCCTCGACTCCATCCACGTTATCTATAGCTTTCCTACAAGCGCTTTTCACTACGCTCAAAGACGCTTCGATAAGCTTCCTGTGCGGGCTCCTTCTCTCCTCGGACTCAAGCTCGCAGTCACCAGGCACTGTCACGCGTACTCACGCCTTGCTCCATGCGCTCGCCTTCCTGCGCGCGCACACGTCCACAAATGCGGTCGACTTCCAGACGATTCTTCCATCGCTGCTTGCCGTCTTGCTTGCGCCCGAGACAGACAAACGAGCACGCGGGCTCGTGTTCGAGTGCCTAAAAGCGCTACTGGGACGCCAAGAAAGCGCCAAAAATGTGCATGTGTATGGGTTGGATACAATCTACGGGACCGCATCGGGTATGTTTGCACTCTCTCCTCTTTGGATAACATGGTTCTGTTCTTTTTGTTAACAAATTGTTGATGTTTCAGGCGAGCTGCAATACTTGGAGTGGAAGGACCTGTCGGTGTACCTCCAAGCGCTGGTTGCAAGTCGAGAGCAGCTCGTGCAAGATCCAAACTACATCAAGACCTTCCATCAACAGCACCTTGGAAATGCGAACGCGAAGTATGGTGACCCTTTGCCTCCTGTACATTGACCGCTGATCGCATGTCACACTAATAGATACAGACGTCGCGTCCTCTGTTATCTGCTTTCGCATGTACTGGCTCATCCCTGCCCTGGAGCAAAGCTTGTGCTCCTGGAAGCTCTGGGTGACGTGACAGATGCAACACAGGCAGAGATGCTCCTTCCCGCGGTGAATCAGTTCGCACAAAACCCTGAGTCGTTTGCCAAGGGTATGCGGCCTTCGGATCTGCAAGAGTACTCTTCGCTCATTGTGCACGGATTCCTGATGGTACCTGCCGAGGACCTGAACGAGGCGGATGGCGAAGAGAGCAATGAAGCCTGGAAAGTCTTTGTCGGTGCACTCGAGACTGCCTTCCACTCGAGTGAGTTTTCTTGTGGAGTTTAATGCCGTTCTGACCTCGGTAATGTAGATGCGCCCGTGACTGTGCGTACTCTGTTCGGTGATGAGATTGAGAAGCATTTGTTTTCGAAGCTCAATCTCGAGCGACAAGTGGATATCTGCACAATAATGCTTTGTGCAGGCCTTCAGGGAGGAGATGCAGTAAGTAACGAAATTATCTAGACGTTGGACAAAGTTTCTCAGACAAGTATCCAGTACTTGCAAGTCAGGGAGCGGCTCAAGGCTATTCCCATGAGCGTGCCCGTTATCGTTCAATTGCTTGCCCAGTACGAGCCGATCGTTCAGGAGCAGGAATCACCAAACTCGAAACGTCCAAGACTGGATTCGTGAGTTGTCTCTCCTGCTTCTTCCGAAAATGTTAGTAAGATGTGATTGACCCAAAAAACACAGCTCGGACACCAGTGCTTCGCAAGATGATATGCCGGTGTTGACACTCCTCGCTGAGATCATCAGCGCACGCGATCTTCCTGGCTCTCTGGATCTCATTTCAAGGTTGATGGATACACTTGCCAAGGTCGTTCAATACGGCGTCGATCGCTCGCTGGATGCAAGCTACACCTTGCAGACGTTGATGTCGGCGCTTGAAAACGCTTCCGAAAAAATCAAGGTAAGTCTAAGAGTACGCATGGGAGAGAGCTTCTGATATTCAGACGCAATTTTAGGAGAATTCTGCACGCTCTATCCGTCTCGACGTTCTTGTAGAGATCATAAGAAGTAAGGCCTTGCCCCATAAATCAATATCTGACTAATATTTCTTCAGCATCGGACAGCCCGCAAACATTCCATCAGGCACTTTTGCTCATTGCAACACTTTCGCGGCTGACGCCAGGTTCCGTACTGCACAATGTCATGCCTATCTTCACGTTTATGGGCTCGAACATCTTCCACCGCGACGACGCTTACAGTTTCAGAGTCGTTCAAAAGGTAAGCCTCCATTATACATGGGAAGCGGCCGCCCGTGCTGAATATTTGGAAGACCATCGAAAACGTTGTACCGGTAATGGCTTCGTCGCTCAAAGATGCACACGAAGACGGTCTGGCATTGTACATTGGAGCTAGTGACTTCTTGCGCGTATTCACAGATGCATCTAATCATATCCCTCGTCATCGTAGAACAAGGTGCGTTATCGTATCAAATAGTCGCTTGAAACCATATTGCTGAACACTGGCTTCAGCTTTTTCTCGCATTTAGTCGAAGTACTTGGCCCAGCAGAGTTCCTTGCGCCAGTCATTATGCTTTTAGTTGACAAGAACTCGAACCGCATCAGCCGGCAAAATGCAGAGGACGTGCAGAACTCGCTAAGCTTGGCCGTCTCTGTTTTACATCACTTCTCCCATGCTCTTCAATTGCATGTTTGTCGAGGTTCATCTTCTAGAACGTCGTGATTTACTAACTAATTTATCCAGGTCCTTTCGGAGGTGTTGCTCGAATGTCGACGTCTTGCACTTCATCTCATCAGTGGTGACGATGCAGGAGCCACTCTCCTCGACTTCCCTCGGTACGTAGCAGTCTCTAAGGACATTCCAATTTACCGACTCCTTTTCAGCGATGAGGAACATCCAAAAACCACCATCTCCGTCTTTAAGAGGCGCATACAAGCTCTTGTGATATTCATCGGCTATGCAGTCCAGCCTTACCCCCTTGGTCCTTCGGCTGAGACGATTAAAGGCGCCAACATGACCTCGATAGTGAACTTACTAATCGACCTCATGACTATCAAGGATCCTTCATATACGGATGTCCTTGTAACCGTTCAGGCAACCGTTCCTCAGATCATGGGTGTCATTTCTGCATCGGACTTCTTGAAGGCATCTGCTATCATGCTAAAGTCTAACGAGGATAGGGCAAGAAACTTTGTCTTATATTGTGCCACTGGGAACTTACACCGTATGTCTAATTTTACAGGTTCAGACAGGTTCCTTGGGACTTTTGTCACAGCGCATATCAAATATATCCGACAATGCTCGGCGAGACAACTTGTCTTCCATAATTTCCACAGTTGAAGGTATACAGCAGATTCTCTCCAAGCAGTCCGGGGGGTCACTTGTAGACGCTGCGCTGCATGCATTGAAGGCTATTGGATCTACCATATCTCCCGGAGAAGAGAATGCACTGACGGCCACCATACCATTGGTCATGAAGGTCGCGCGGGCTCGCGATTCTGTGTCCTTCGCCATGGCAGTCTTCCCTTCTTATGTGTATGCGTTCTTGTTCTTTGTATTCGAGTCTATCCACTAATCAATATCATGCAGCTCTGGTCTCGGCCCCCGTGTGATTCCTCACTTCCGTAGTCTCGTCGCAGAATGTCTCTCTATTTTAAGAGATAATCTCAGGGGAAGACTACCCTCCAGTCAGGAGTCCGCCGTGACCGATTCTTTGGAAACCTTGCGAAAACTTCTTGCTTCTCTTCCAACCTTCTTCGGAGACACCGAATTGACACAGGTCATCTCCCTATATCTCGAATCTAGCTCCTCGACAGGGACGTCAGGCAATTCGATGGCTTCTCTGGCGCGGTCAATTGCGAAGTCTCTTCCAGCAAAAGTACTTCTGCCTGTTATGCAAGGCATGTGGCTGGATGTCGAGCAGAAAGAAGTGATGCAAGGAGATGTCACCCGTCTGAATGCCTTTTTTGATTTGCTCAAACGATCCATCCGTTCTGCTCCACGACCGGATGTCCTCGAGCAATTGAAGGCTTTGTTCAAGATTTTCCTCGAGTCATTTAGCGTTGTCTCGAGTTCGCGAAATGTTTCAACCCTTGTAGAGGTATTTGATCGGATGGATTCAGCATCTAATTCCCGCTAACATATCGCAAAGGGAGAGTCAACGCTGATCTCAGCCTTCATCGAACTCGTCGTGAAACTCAACGAGAACGCGTTCAAACCTTTGTTCAGACGATTCTTTGACTGGGCTTTCGCGGATGAGCGAAGTAATTACAACTTGTTTGAAGTCGATATCTTGATCGCTGACGTAAATGCTTCAGGTGACGATGGTCGCAAGGTCACTTTTTGTCACGTATATGGCGCGCTCCTCGACTACTTTAAGGTGGGATATTGTCCAACCCCTTGGTGCTGTTCGCTCATGGGAAATCAGGGCTTGATGAACCCTTACATGTCGACCCTCTTGCATCCTCTGAGAGACGCTCTCAAGTCATTTTCATCGTCCTCCCGAGTTGATTCTACACTATGGACAAGCATTCTAGAGTTGTTGACGCAAAGTTTCAATGTTGATGACGGCGGTATGTTTAATTCATAGTTTCTGCGAGACTTTCGTATCTGACTTGGGTGCAGTATTCTGGAGGGATGATAGGCTGCGTCAGTTGGCTTCGCCTCTTGTTGCTCAAGCCAAGGTCTGCATTGAGCTCAATACCCTGGAAGGAAAGACTCTTCTTGGACAATGCCTGTCTTCCATGGTCGACAACATCGACGATGACTCGCTTTTGAAGAACATTAACCTCGAGCTCTTGATGCATACGCGCTCTGAGGAGGCACAACTGCGTATATATGCATTGACATGTGCTGAAAAGCTGTGGCGTGAGCATGGTGGAAAACTTTTAGGTTCGTCTCAAAGCTCTCCATGAGATCACCATTTTGCTAACGAGATGGCAATTTCCAGGTTTCGTCGCAGAGACAGCGACCTTCATCAGCGAATGTGCTGAAGACGAGAACGACACTGTCGTTCGGGAAGCCCACCAGCTCAAGAACGCAGTTGAACGTGTAGCAGGCAGTATAAGTGGATTGTAGTGTGACAGCGTATATAATATATAGCTAGCGAATGTAATATGTCGGGGGTATAAAGATAAGAATGAGGATAAATGGATAAGTAAATGTCGCTCCCGAAGTGTAAAGGAAAGATGAAGCTGGCTGGAAATGGGGATATGCAAGATGAAATGAGAAATTGTCCCTGGATATTACGACGCTTCTCCGGCCTCCTCTTCTTCAGACTCGCTCGCTTCCTGCTCTTCCTGCTCATCTTCCTCGTCCTGTTCGTTTTCCCGGAGGAAGACCTGCTCCTCGATAGCCCTGCATTGAGATAAAAGGTGGACATTGACGGCGCGACCGCACGCGTTGCGAATGAATGGTGTCTAATGGCAACAATCAGTAAGACATATTGTTATAAGAATGAAATCACGCACGTTAAGGAGTTCATTCGGGTTAGGTCTCGCAGAGGATTGTCTCTGGCACATACGCAAGAATTCGTGGAACGATTTGGAGTATAACTGGGGCTGGCTGAGAGGAGGCCATTGTGTACCGATATCGTTAGGATTCTGCGCCTCGGCGAACGGAGGCTCCGTCTCCGCGAGTTCCCAAACTGTAGCGCCAAGTGACCAGACGTCGACCTTGAACGCGTTGTAGGAGCCACTAGTCAAAACGAAATGTGTCAATAACAACAGGGAGTTTGACGTCCGGAACACTCACTTTCGCATCTCGGGTGCTTGCCAGTAGATAACACCGACAGCACCGGTGCACGTCGGAGAGTTGCGGGGCATCTTGATAGCACTGGAGAAATCCGCTGAGGGTACAACTCAACGACAGCGCGAGCAATATGGGAGGAAAACAACATACCAAGTTTAACAATCCCCTGAGCATTCAGGAGTAAGTTATCCGACCGCACATCACGATGGGCAATCTGGCGCTGCTGGAGATACTCCAGAGCATGGAGAACCTGTGTTAACACATAATCAGCATTGATACTTGCTCAAAAATGTGGCTCATGCTCACATCGCTAGCAAACCGCGCAATCATCCGCTCCTGCAAGGACAGCCCCTCGCAGACAAGACCAATCACGTCCGCGAGACTGCGCTCCATGAGCTCCATCCGTATCCACAACGAGTCTTCGGCAATGTCCACATACGCGTTCGCCATTTCGAGGACATTCTCGTGTCGGACATCCGCGAGCAGCGCGAGCTCCTTACCAAGGTCCTTGATCTTGTTGGCCGCCGGCGTATCGGATGTCGGGCTATTGGGGACCACGATGCGCTTAATGGCGACGTGAGTCGTGTCGGCGGGCAGGCGAAGGTATGAAGGAAGACAGAGAAGCCGTGCAGCATACACCGAGCCAGATTCGCCCTCCGCAATCTCCTGCAGGTCTGTGAAGAGCTCGTGAGGGTCGACATCCTCGATGAAGCGTTCGAGTGGTGCAAGTGTCTCGCTCATCCAGGTACCTTTCTTGAACGAGCGCGAGCGACTGTGGCTGAAGCCGCCCGACCTCTTTTTCAAGACAATACCACCAGGGGGCAGCACCGGAAGTGGAGGCGGACCTCGCATGGCCGAATGGCTCGAATGGCTCGTGGACGGAGGTGTTGGAACAGGCGGGACAGGAGGCTTGGTATCGGAGGTGATGTCGAGCACATCGTCCTCGGCATCAGTGGTATCAGCATCGCCAACTCCAAACGTGTTCACGGCCGACACCATCCTCTTCGCCTCAGCTGCGAGTTTCACTGAGCTTGCACGAGACGCAGACCGTGAGGATATCCTGCGAGACGCACGCGACGCAGACCGTGAGGATGGCATTGATTCCGCGTCTGCTGCTTCGACGTTGCCTTGAGACGGGAGAGGTGACCTCCGTTTGCCACTAGCCCCACGTGCAAGCGACGAAGCCCTCCGAAAGCGCGATGACTGTCGGGGTGTCGCGTCGGCCCCAACCATGGGAACAGGTGTACGTGGGGTTGAAGGCGGGTCTGGGATGTCCTTCGGAGGCTTTGGCCAAGCAGCGTTCACCGCCGGGAAGCTCATGCCACTAGAGTTGGGAGAAGGGGAAGGGGAGGGTGAACTACGGGGTTGAAGTGTAATCTTGGGTGGCGGGAGTGGCGGGTTATCGTAAATGAGGATGGTCTGGCCTTCTTCGTCCGATTCTGAGTCTTCCGTAGCTGTACCAAGAATCGGCACTTGTGACCTGGACTCGGGCTCTAACTGCACTGTCTTGTCTCCCGCCCCATCCAACTCGTCTGCCTTCCTGCCATGATCCCCTGCCTCTTCGCCCTCGTCTCCACCCTCTTCTTCGTTTTCGTCTTCCTCATACCTAGTGCTGGCGGCCGATGTCCTCCCATCGCTACCCACGACCCTAACTTCCGCCTCCGCCCTCCGCACGACGGCAATAGGTCCGCTAACAATCGTCGCGGGTGTGACAGTCATCGTCGACAATGAAGAATCCCTATCTGCAGAACGTGGGTTTCCTGGTGACAAAGGAACGTCACCAGGGAGAAGCGACGAAGATGGGCGTGAACGCGACGGCGACCGTGAGGGCGACCGTGACAACACCTCCCGTTCCACAGGCGAATCTGGTTCTGCCTCAAGATTAATTGTGGGAGCTACCCCTGCGGGCGATTCTTCGTGACCTTCGTCATCACTGCAAGTTCTGCCCACCGATCGCCCGCGCGATGTTGGATCAATCGGGCTTTCGCCATCGTCCAAAGCAGGTGACTTTGTGTTATTTGATGATATACCCGCTGAGCTCAAACCGCCCCGCGCGATCGCGACGTATTGGGCGTCGTTGTCGTTGTCACTTTTCGCAGATACAGGCAAAGCGGGGAGGGCTCTACCTGGCTTCACGGGCGCCGAAGCAGGTGAGGCGAACTGGCTCGCCCCAAGCGTCATATCTGCGCCAAAAGACATGTTCGGGAGGGAGGGCGGCGGGTACACGTGTCTGCCTATTGAAGACACGTTTGAGCCAAATGAAAGATCAGGCAACGTCGGCGTCGTTGGGTCGTACTCGTCGTGTGCCAGAAGTGCCGACGGCGGACATGAACTCGGACCCGGCGCTGCTGGGGCAGCAAACGATAGACTTGGCATCGGCCGCTCCGACATGGAACGCTTGACCTCCGACGCAGACGACGATGAAGCATTGCCGGGATCGCCAGAATCCATAAAGCCAAAAAGATTCGAGGTCCAATCCTCCAATCCAAGCGAGCCGTCCCCGTGGATGGAAAGGCGTGGCGGGATTACTGTAAGACGGTGCTCCGCACGCTTGTCGATAGAAAGTGGCGGTGTCGGATCCACCTCACGCCCAAGCACGGTCTCGTCGGGCTGGGGATACTCGCTAGATGAATCTGCATTCGTGGATATTGTCCGATCCCCACTGCCACTGGTGGAAAAGGAGATATCAGAAGGGCGAAGAGTCATCCTCCGGATCTGCGAATCGAGGTATGATAGATCGCTCTGATCCTCGCCCTCTTCAAACGAGTCACCACCAGCATTGCTCGGTCCTTCTTCGATGTCGTCCATGGGCGGAGCGGGAGGGGGATGTCGTGGCTGAGGAGGCCGTGCTCGAGCTGCCTCTACTCCGTTCGTCTCATCCCTAGATCCGTTCCTCGAGTTTGCCTTCTCTGGTGGTAACGAGAAGCCCTCGTTCCGTTTAGGCGATGCATATGCTGGCGGCGGTGAAGGAGGGACATCACTTTCCGATACATTTGCAACATGCAAAGTACGGCGCGGAGGAGGGGTACGTATACCCGCGTTGGGGTTATTGGATGGGTGTGGTGAAACGGGCAAATGAGGGAAGCTAGACTGAGAGAGGGGAGATGGCGAACGGGCCATTGGTACTGTGGGGTTCGCGCCAAGGCGCTGTGCACCTTGCGAGTATGCTGAAGTGGCGTACGAATGTAGAGAGGGAGCGTAGTCCGTCCCCTGGTCGTACGAACTGCTTGGCGGTGCTGGATACGGGGTGGGTGCAGCAGGATCCGCGAGCAGGGGATCGATGGGTCCGTCTGCGCCAACAAGCACATACTGCGACACACCATCCGATGAATACGACGTTTGAGACGCATGCGAGTTCTGGCGAGAAGGACCCGAGGGCCGATTTGGCCCACTGGTCCCCACCCCGGGCGGAGGGCCACGCGAAGCACCTTGCTGGCTATAAGCAGAGTGGTTGCTTGATGCGATTGAAGGTGCATGTGCAAGCTGCTGAGCTCGCGGGACTCGCTGGGATATCGAGTATCTGGGCATAGATAGTGTCGTGCTGGCTGGAGATACAGGACGCGAGGATTCAAACGTGGCGGCACGCGCCTCCTCGCGTCGTTGTTGCATCATTGCTATTTCTTCTGGACTATAGCCTGCCCCAGATAGTGCAGTAGCCCATGATGGCGGAAGTCCAACAAACCTACGCGAACAAACTTTAGTAAAGCAGAAATTTGTTCTAGGCCTAAGTACTAACCCCTCATCAACGTGAATGTTGTGCTAAGGGTGGGCGTATTTGTCAATAAAAGACATAAAAACGCGAAGAGAAGAGTCGTAAAGGTCGAACAAGGACCATCTCGGCGAAACAAAAGGAGATCAAGCAGAATACTCACCTGAAAATTCCAGGGCCTCGTAATCCCGTCGTCAGGCATTGGTTCTGCAGGTTCGTCGACATACTCGGCCAGGTTGCGTTGTGACTTGTTGCGCTTTGCCAATGAGCCAAGTTTGAAAAAGCTCTTCTTAGACATCGAACTTTTAGCCAACGACACGCTCGACGCGGCTGCCTCCATTAACGACCCGACACCGTTTGAACCTGACCCCCCAGCACCGTAGGGTGAATTCCCCGGCACCCCTGGATTCGACACAGCACGAGAGAAACTGGACCCGAGATTGGGGGTAGAGGTGTATATGGGAGGATGGGGAAATGTGTTGGGATCAATCGAACGCGCTGACGCAGGGCCGGACATTTGTGAGGTAATGGACGGAGACGACCTGGGGAGGTATTCTGGAGAAACAGGTGTTGCAGGCATCGAAGGGTATGAATCTGGTGAGAGAGAAAGCGAAGTCATCGAGCGCCCATAGAGCGATGCACCCGACCCATTGCCATACACGCCTCCCCCTCCGCTACCACCACCACAACCAGTCCCTAGCTGCTGCTGACCCTCCTTGGGTGGTAAAGGAGGTGGTGGTTTGGCTTCTCCGCCGTTTCCATTAGATGGGTTCTTGAACTTGAAGACTTTGAGGGAGGAGAATCGAGAGTTTGGCTTGTTCGTCGACATCAATATTGGAAAGTTGTGTGGGGTGACCGTGAAGGAATGAGAATAAAGATGTAAGATCTATGTTATGCGCGCTGCATCTATATCGTGCGGATATACAAGGTATCGCCTTGATTGTCGTCTGAGTTGGAGAGGGGAAAGGGACGTAGGGGACGTGAAGGACGACGCTCAGTGGAGAAAGCTACGTTGTCGGGTTGGGGGATTCGAGAAACGCCAAGGGTCATTACTGCACCCGAAATGTACTCAACTCTCTCCAATCCATCAGTCAAACCAGAACACTGGGTAGTATGTCTTTTTCTATTCTCGATGAACTAATCCCAGTACTGCAATCCTCTGACACAGGAAACATTGATCCCATCTCCAAGAAAGCAGTACCTCAGGGCATCGTCTCCAAACTACCTCTTGCCTCCAGAGCGAATTGTTACAGTACCCTCAGTGAAGGCGTCACGCTCGAGCGATTTTCTTCGTTAATTTGGCAAAAGCTCGTATGACCCTGTTCTCCGAGTCCGTAGCCTTGGCCGACTCTCGTCTTTTAGCAAGCCCTTTGTATTGTCCTCGCCATTGATCCTTGATGATTACCTTCAACCACTGTCCGACAGAGCCGGCACCGAGCAACGCTGCCGAAAGGCTAGTGGCTCGAAGTGCGCACCGCTGTATGATCCGTAGACCATAGCATCTAATATCGAGTGGTATTGCTCACTGACGCAATTCCTTGCCCAGCACTGTGTTTCACTCTAATTATACCTCCAATCGACACCTGTGTAGGGGATCTAGCCACCGCTCTTCGCACAGCCTTGCGGATCGCGCCTTAATGAACGAGAAGACTCCAGATCTTTTTACACGCGCGCGAGGGTCAAGAAGTAAATCCGAGCACAACATTTGAAGGATTTGCTCTTACGAAGGGGCGGCCCGAACGACCTGGTTACAAAATTAACCGTATCACCATAAGGTCCATAAATTCTCCTGAGGAATGGCCATTTCCCGAATATTGGAAAGACCTTGCCTGCACGAGACAATATTTGCTCACCGAGGCTTCAGATTTGTGTGTCTTCCAAAGACTGCCACGCCATTGTACTGGTTCTGTCCAAGTACTCAGCGCGAGCTAGCGCTAGCACTCATCTTTCATCTCGGCTACTTTATCTCGAGGATCTCGAGGACCAAATGAGCGCTTAAACCCAGAGCCGGGCGACAGACCGGCGAAGCACATGGTTATAGTCCGTGTACTTCGGTGGTACTGGCAGTGCCGGGTTTCACGAAGAAGCCTTGGACAAGTTCCCGGCTCGACCAGAAGCGTGAGCTAGGTCCAAGTTGGGCTCAACATACCCTACCTGTAATTGATGTTGGAACAGAGACATAATCAAACACCAAGTAGTCTCCTGCGTTCAGTCGCTGAGCGCTGAGCATTTGTTACGCACTAAGTATGCCATAAGTACGTGGATTATTATTTCGAAATACTAACTTCCGTCAAGCAGTGACTATACCACTGATCTTACTGCCCCCTCCACCACAAAAATCCGCCTTTAATGCAAGGTGAAAGAGCCGAAGGAGCCAGGGACGCGATGCATATCAATAAGCTTCCGAATGCCCAAAGATCTACTATAGTGGCTCTCTTCGGAGGTCATAATCGAGCGTCCTCCGTCGTTGGAAGCTCTAAAAATCTACAGGCATAAAGAGTAAGCATAAGTTGGGGCTGGACCGACGAGATTCACTCACCAAAATTAGTGTGGTTTGTACAACGTTTGAAACAGAGGAAACCGAAGTCGGTTCGGCGTCTAGCCGAACCAGCGACCAAGGCAAGCCGCAAAAAGGCAAGAAAAACCGCCCTTGCGAGCGGGCGGGAGAAGGTGAGAGCACCCGCACTCCAAGCTGTCCAAGGACGCATCGCTAAGGAAGCTGATGACTTCGGAGCCCACGAGGGACAACGAGGGGGCCACTTTGGTACAACAGGAGAAGAGGTCTTCATGTCCTTCCACCGAGTTACTACTCTTACGCTTCCCGCATTTATCGTGAGAGGTGTCAGCGACGATAAGCGTAGTCGTGTTAAAGTCCTTGTGGGAGCGAGAACGCTGAATACGAGGTGCGACGGGCGCCGGGATCAGAGACAATCCCTGGATGTCAACTTCAGTATGGGCGTCGTGGAGAAAGTCTGCTACTTTTGGGTGGTATCCGGTGGAGAGAATTGGTCGCAATTGCTGACAATATAGGCGTAAACAGGCTTAAGCTTTTTGCATCCCGAGCGCTCGAGGATGAAACAGCATCGGACGAGGCCAACAATGAGACTTTATCACCTGGCTGGTCCAGGTGATAAGGCGAGCATGGTAGCATGTCCACCGGCAATCCAAAGACTTTATTAGCCCCGTCGATAGCAAGCGGTCCTTCTAATCCTCTAGTGGTACGTGGAAGTGAGGGCTGCTCAGCTTGCAGCGTGTCGCCTTTCGTAACAGTGGATGGTCCCTCTGACATAGGCAAACGCCCTATGGAGTCGTTAGGCCACAGAATGATACTGTTAACATCGTCGACGTCGACAATTGATGGTTCTTCCTGTATACGTGAGGATGTCAGGAGTTCGACTGAAGATATGGCGACGACTTCGGAGGTATCCGAAGGTATGGGTGAAGATGAAACAATTTCATCTGGTATTGAAACGGGGAGTGGTGGATCGGAAGAGTGCGTCGACGACGGTAGATCGACTGATAGCTCCCCCACATCATGAACCGAATGTTTTGTCTCAGAAACGGGCAAAAATGTTGGCGAGTCGACTGGGGTCAAATAGACTTTGTCTGCCCGATTGACAGACGGCGGTGAATCTGAGTCAACTGGCGCAGGGGTGGCCTCAACGGCGGTCTGGAGGAAACGCATCAAATGCACAACCTCCTCGTTCGAGTGGTCCTTGAGGCAAGAACCAAGAGCCTGCACTTCAATCAGAATGTAGATCAAGGAACTGGGCCTGAGCTGCTCACGTCTTCTAAACCTTCCAAATTGCCCGGGTATTCGACTTTGACGAACTCGACACCTGCCTTCTGGTCAAACTTCACTCTACGTAGGTCTTCTCGACTCGTGGGTCATCGAGAGAGTAGCCCTGTAGCCTGTTGTGAGCTTCTGCAGCACAGTGTGACAAAAGGCCACCAGCCAACCCTTTCGAGAAGACAGAAGGTCTTTGCGACGACGTTGACTTCGAATGCTTGGTTGACGTTGTTCATGTTGCTGCTCGTATTGATCGTGTTTGCCGTGCGATATGCTGAGAGGGAAGTTGGGAGTTATAGAACAGACCAACACTAGCGACATATGAACAGATGTCCATCTCGACCGTGACTGGTGACGCGAGTTCCTTGTTGCAATGAAGACCAAGGTAGCTGCCGTAGTCCAGACCTAGCATACGAGAGTTGTGAAAGACGCACGTATCATTGAGGACAACGAGACAGCGGGCCTGTAGACACTTTGAGAACTAGTGCTGCGGAGGTTATGGTAAGGGCTACGAAGATAGACGCAACATATCTCGTGACCGCGTTGGGGACTTCGCGAAATGCTGAGACTACTACTAAGTAACTTACAAATGACTGTCAACTTGAATGAATCGATGCACAGGTCACCCACTTTTACGGTAGATGTCAAAACAAGCAAGATCTTACGGAACGTCAACCAAATTATCAGATGGCCCGTCTAGTCACATTGAGATTTCCGTAGCCACTCTAAATGCAAAAGATGCTTGTCTGAAGTACACGTCCATAGCCTATAACCACTAGCACATATGATGTCCGAGTCAGATTTTAGTTCTCTTTCTCCTCGTTCGCTAACTTCGCTCGGGCTCGACTCCAGCGAGCGCGTCCCCACGGTTCCCCGTTAAGGATAAACTGCACGTGTGCGAGAGCATACGCGATCCGCTCTAGTTCATCCAAGGCCAGCAGTATACATAGCAGAAAAACAGAAGACATAGTAGAAAACGACGATCCTGCCTCGGGCTTGTCAAGAGGGTGTCTAGCAGGGAGAGGGAGAGGAAGACCAGAGGCACGCTGCCTTATACGTTGCATCATCGTGGGATGTGAGTCTGGTGTTCGAAGGTGCAGTGTGTCGTCCGAAAAAAGTGAGAGGAAACCTGGCACTGCGCTTTCTTGCAGAGCAAACTGAGCATCTTGCGTCTCCGCATGATGTTGCATGTCGCCTTTCCAGGTTGTATCACCGTCTTCTGATTTCGAAAGTATTCGACCGCCTGCCAGGAGAGCAGCACGAGCGGAAGGTGCCATAAATAGGAGCGAGTAGAAACCGTGGGCGAGAACAGAGATTCTGATCACAGAGACGCTCCCTTCTATTTGAGATGGCTCGGAAGAAGGGGAGGCAAAGACAGCCCGCTCGCCGATGGCCGGTCCAAGTAGCTCAACAACGGTAGGCCTTGTAGCTTCAGCCAACCGATGAGAAAGCAACGCATATACTCGCTTCCTTGCCAAATCCTGTAGCAAAGAAGGTGGCTGCGCCTTCGTTGTTCCCGGAACGTGTATCGGACATACACCGTCGGCCTTTGCTGCCGTGTCGGCACCCGCAGGACACAGTCTGATAGCGGCGACCGGCTCTGGTCTAGCAAATATTGGTAGCTGTTTGCGGTAATGAAGGACAAGAGCTTCGCCCAAAATTCGCGGCATAGTTAAGAAGAGAGCTACGCCAAGGGGCATAGATAATCTTGAATTTCGCGTCGGGTCAAGAGGGATGACGAAGAGTGCTTGAAGAAGGTTAGAAGGGGTGAGTGGTAAAGCTGATGTGGGTCGCAGAAGCGCAGAGAGCTTGAGCGGGCTGAGTGTAGAATTAGAGGTATCGTCTTGTTGGTCATTGGTGTCCGGGTGATAATGTACAGAAACGGACGGGCGAGGAGGCTCCGCCTTGAGTGAAGAAGAATGGGGGAAGGGCGGAGATGATGGTGTCTTGACCGAGATGACGTATGATCCTGTGCGATTGTTGAATGGGGAGACGAAGAAAGCACGACGCAACGTCCATTGATGGTCCCACCCTGCTCTATGTATATCTTCCTCCACTCCTGGTTGCAGTAGATAGACGTGAGACTCGCCAAACGTATTGTGCACCTGAAGCGTAAATATAGGTCATATGAATGGAAAAGGAGTAGAGAACTGATTGCTCACTTCCAATACAGTGAGCCAGAAAGTAGCATCCACGTCGTAGCAGTAGTAAACCGTTAGAGGATTTATGCCCTCGAAACCTACAATGCGAGGCATTGTCAATACGTGTGTCCCTTTTTTCTTTGATGCTATATCAAATACTGACTACTATGCCACAGACATAACCATTCGCAGTCTTCATTTACCCATTCTCCTTCGACACTGGCTCGCCTTTTTTTCTAAATCGGGTCAATATTGCATGGATCAGCAAGCTACGTTAGCGGCGGACAGCGGGTCACTTGCTGATCTGTGCAATATCCCTTCTGGATCTAGGTTCAGCTTGTTGCCTTGAATAAAGCATCGACTCTATTCTGACATGCTGAAGAAGTCATGTCAGAATAGAGTCGATGCTTTATTCAAGGCAACAAGCTGAACCTAGATCCAGAGGGCGCTGCTTAAGGTGTGTGAGGCATAACTGCACCTTACAAGCACGACATTCGTAGTCCGTCGGAACGTCGTTCTCTCAGCAGTCTCTAGCTAGCTATCCTTACGTGTCAAGCTCCTGAAACCATCCTTCAGCAGCTTGACATGGGTGCTGGTCATGGGTAAAAGCAGCATCTACAGCGCGGCCCTCCCCAGCGATGGGGATCCCAGTCATTCACCCTGTATCTTATGTTCAATCTCTGTGTAACATATGCGTTCTGTAGAATAGTGTAACAATTACTGTAAAGACGTTCTGCAAACGTCCAAGTTCAACTTGGCGCCAGGAAGCTGCTCATCAGGGGCCGAGCCTAGAATAGATCTCGCGCCAGGGGTGTTGCTTTCGTCATGAACGACCACCTCGTCCCACTCTCTGAAGCCAATAGCAATGGATATCCACGAGGCTACATACTCGTAAACAGCGTCACTCATGCTCGATACCAACCTAGCACCTCTGCTCATCGTTTTACCCATCGTACCCTCTCACTCCTCGTCTCTGTATCTGCCCTCGAGTCCCGGCAGCTCGACCTCCCATACCGACTGTTCACGCACGACAAGCGGGCATCTCTGGTGTCTCTCAGCTCTCACCCTTACCTTACACCCTCCCCCGACTCGCTAAGGGTGAAACTCAGGAATGTCATTACCAGACATGGGCTTGACAAGGGACGGTTGCATGACGCATGGATGAAGAACCATCCCGGAAGATTTCGAAACGGATTGCCACTGGCGACTTCTTCGTCGCTGATACACAATGTTCCGAGCAGGACTTGGTATCGGCTTTCCAGACCTCATGTGGTGAGCACATGCCTCCGCCATGCTGCTTGGGTTGCTCATGCTCATACGGCACAACCCAGTCGTTCTGATCCGTAGACGGTGGCGGTCTTTTATCCTCTACCATAGAGGTGAGAATCTCGACCACCTCACTGACCGAAGGTCGATCCGCCGGCTCATAAGAGAGGCATGCGCTGGTTAGGCTCCACATGGCATCACCCATTTCAGGTGGGCGCTCGAGGCGCTCGCCCCTGGATATGGCGCAGATTGTCGCTGCCTCATGACGCCCCTCGTATGGGACACGATTGCTGTATAGCTAAGATATGTGATCAGCTGGTGTCGAAGTTTGAAGCGAGGGAAGAATGCCTACTTCATAGAAAATACACCCAAGAGCGTAAACGTCGCTACTGATAGTGACACCGGTCTCACCCTTCAAGAGTTCTGGAGACTGATAGCGGTACGTCCCTCCGCGAGCCATTGACTGCGTATACGACTGTGTCGTGGGTTCAATGAGACTAGACCCACCGATCTTTGACAAGCCAAAGTCGGAAATGACAGCTCTTCCAGACGAGTTGACAAGAACGTTGTCCTGTATGGTCCTGATCAGTACAACAATCGTAAAAGAATTGCCGTGGCAGTCCTTACAGGCTTCAAGTCGCCATGGATGATGACTGGTTCTTGGGTATGCAAAGATTCCAACCCTTGTGCGATATCTAGCATCTGGAAGTGGCATTACCATCTATGGCTGTCACGACATCGTAGCGAAACATACCAGCGGGTCAACTGTTGCATCAGGGTGCATTTTACAGTAGTTCCTTATGTTCCCGTTCTCCATCCAAGGAGAGACAAGACATGGTCCTCTGTCTATATGAAAAACACCGTGGGGTCCTAGTAAGTTCGGGTGCCGAAGCTGAGACCAAAAGATCAATTCCGACGCGAACTCCTGGAAAAGCCGATAACAGGATGTTAGCTCCCCAAGACATACTTACATTACATCGTGAGCCGGCACGAACCTGCATAGTGCGATCTATGCTATTTTGTACCATCCTCACGCGCTTAACAGCAACGTCCGTGCCACGAAAGCGGCCCTTGTAAACGTCACTGAACCCACCACTGCCGACAATGGCGTCCCGATTTACATCAACGTCACGCAGTTCAAGCGCGCGAGGATGGAGTCCGGTGTTGCGACATAGCTTGTACAACAGGCGCTGAACTTCCGCCCCGTACCGACTTTGCTTCATTGCCAATGAATCGGAGCTTGACGAGGGAAGTAACTTCGCTCATGGCTTAGGATGAACTAGAAACCAGGCTGAAAGAAGAGGTGCGCACGCTATGTAGCCCATCGATCGTAGCTTGAGCGGCTGAGCCCCTTAGAGCCAGCAGCTCGCGTCTGACAGTCCGAGAGCCAAAAATCGAAGTCAAAGCATCCGCCGTGACAGTGAAATCCAACTGGCAGGTGTTTTCTTCCACATCTCGAGAAACAGAGATAGAGCATCCACAATTAGGATAAACGAGTTTAGACTGAACATTCGCAACCCAGCTCAGCTGTACAAGTACGCGCATTTGATAGTGTCAACGCACCTTCGTGAAAAGAGAGTGAATCTCGTCGCGTACTTCCGAGCTCTTAGTGAGGAGCTCCAGGTCGGATAGAGACCTCCATAGATATGTCTTATCCAAGAACTCCTGGAAGAGGCTGAAAGAGCATTGAGTAAAATTACCCAGCTCCAAGGTATACTGGCCCGAAAATCGCTTACCCTTGATCATCGACGCAGCATCGCAGGTGGTAGAAGATGGTTGCGATGAGAATCTGTCCAAATCTCGATTAGCAGACCAAGTACCACATGAACCAAAGTGCCCTTACAGGAAAGACACGGGTCCGCTTCACACACTCCGCACAAGTGAACATATCATCATATGAAAGTTGACCACCAAGAATATCAGGATTCGATAAGGAGCCACACAGCGCTTCAAGGTAGTCCGGTGAAGACGGCATATCGTTTGTTATGGAAAGCGAGCCATCGCTCTTTGCCACTCGCCGCAGGCTAGGTGCCCTCGGGAGCGGCATCGACAGCTATAGCCTATACGTACGGGCGGGCCCAAGGTTCAAAAAAGTAAATGGACGCCCAAAGCACGCGATGGGCTGCGCAGCTTGAGATGCACGGAAGTTTGCCTAGTGTTATATAACAGTTTCAATCTCACTCTGGCGAGCGCTTCGTGAATACACAGGAATGCACTGGAACTTCGCTTTGAACCATATAGGCAACGATATGAGATGCTGTGTTGTGACTTGGCGAGCAACGTGTCCGTTTGCGGGGCAGAGGTCCTGGGAGCATAATGATACTCAAGGCCCTGGCGGGCACCCCTGGGACCGTCAGTCTCGGAGAAGGCGAGGCACATATTATAATAGACAGGGTAACGATTGTGCTACTCGTAGTTATTTGCGAAGTAGAGCAGACGAGGCATTGAAATTACAGCCTCTCTTATGCAATCACCGTGACTGACCGTGTAGGGTAACAACTCCAATTCGTCTGCAACCGTGGATAGAAAGCGTGTGTATCTGTCAGTGGTCGCAGCGAACTCCGTGCTAAAGGAAGAAGTGCAAAAAAGTTAGCCCAATGTGGAATTGTCCGTATGAATGGCAATGGAAGTGTAATAGAGACACGACAGAGATGGAGCAGAAGAACAGTGTAAAAAGGTGTGATAGAAACACCACCCCAGTCCTGCTAGTCTGAACGCTAAGGACTGCGGCTCTGTCGTGACAATATAGAACTATAGCACGAATGGAGCATGCTTCGCGAAGAGAAATATTCTGGTGTGTTGCGCCAAATGAGACATACACGGATGGAGATATCGTAATGTGGTATGTCTCGTTTTAAAACCTGACATGTAGTGAGCATGCAAAGTCACGAGCCCAAAAATGCGCACCTCGTTTGTTTGCATGGGTAGCTCTCCAACATAAGTTTCCCAAGACATGGGGCGATCCTTGAAGTGATCAAAGCTCTTGCAGATAAAGTTCGCAAGAATGAACGGGTTAGGCCACTGAATATTGTTGTACAGTGGGAAGCCTAGTTTCGCTAAGGATGCGTTAGATCCAGACCCATGCCAGAAGAGAGTAGGCAGCATGACATGGGCAAAGTCACGTTGCGGCCGCAAGGTCTGTTTGAAGACGTGTACAATGCTAGTACAACGAGAGTCGCACTGACGTCCTCGGAGAGCGTCACACAACGAATCGCGGCGTTGATTGACTCTGTGTACAACCCATGAACAGAACACAGGGATGCGTAGTCCTCCTCGAAAAGTAATTGAAGTGCTCCACAAGTGTGAAAATGCTCGTACCGCCGACAGGCAGGAGCGGACCGCGAGGATACACGTACAGCTCAGATATCTCCAAAGTGGACTCATGGTCTGCCACATGGTTCAACTCGAAATTCTGGCGTAGAGACGCATTCGCGACATGAAGTCGATCACGTTCAATGGAGGGGACATTGGAAATAGATATAGAGAAAACGCGAACAGGCAACATAATGGAAGTCGTGATCACCGAATTTTCAGGAAGTCACAGACATGTTCCGTGGCATGAGTGCGAGACACAAATGGCAAAAGCCAAAGATCTGTAGTACATGAAAAACCGGAAGCAAGTAACCGGGGACCGGGTATTGGAGGCGAAGGCGGAGACGGACGGACCGAGGGGCGGGCCGGCAAAAACGTAAACGAGATTTCCTTAAGAGGAAGGAATTGGCGAAATATACCTGGGTAGCCTAACGGCCCCAGGAATAAAACCCGCGCGAAGACTGACAAGGACCCAATTGTACAGCTTCAATACAGCTTCATCGCTACAGGGTCCGAACTCTCGTTGCAAGTCAGACAGAAGCCTTAAGAATGTTCGAGCAGTTAGTATCAGAAGCTGGGGGGAAAAGGCCCCGAAAGAAGCTCAAAGTACGGGGGCTGTCGAGTATTCGACTGGCAATGGTGCTATGGGTTCAAAGTGATTAATCCGCCCTAAAGGCGAATACTATATGAGATACAAACAAGACAGGGATACAATATTAGCTACAAAAGCACGTCCATTGAAGATGCCTAGATATGGATCTATCGTATGCCCTTGAAAGAAAAACTCGATGCACCCTTCCCTGAGCCTGCTGGTGCAGACCAGACCTTGAACATTTTTATATTGTGCTCGGTCGCGCTCATGGTGAACACACTACACCCATCAGGGCTCATACAAGAGTGTCCGACAGCGCCTTGGTGAGCCTCCACGCTGACTATACGGTCTCCGGAAGGATATGCGTGAACCGTGATGGAGTTGGATAGTGGAGATGGGACTGTTTTGTATTGAGAAAACCGAGAGGCAGGGGAACGGTATTGTGTCCAGGAGCCTCCGTGCGTGCTCAGAAGCTCTTTGCAGTGGGGTGACCAGTGTAATGATGTGACGGAAGTCTTGAGGGGTATCTTGAGGACGGGATCCGAGGTATCAAGATGTTTGGTATTCCATATCCGTATCGTACCATCTGGGAGAGCGCCGCCGGTGGCGAGAAGGTCGCTTTGCCACTCAGACCAAGCCAATGCCTGCGTATGTGTGGTCAGGAAAGCATTACTGCAAACGAGAACAATGACGCACCTTGACCGGCCCTGGGTGTCTCATCCGGGGATTGGAGTTGATGCGACAAACCACGTCATTCATCCGCCTATCCCACACGTTCACAAGTCCAACATCGTCTGAAGTGGCAAGTTGCCGAGAGTCAATAGACCACCGTACCCCATGTACATGGTGTTTGTGGCCCGACAACTCCGCAACCATCGTCCGCGTGCGAGGATCCAGCATGCACACTCCCCCATTCCGGCGGCCTACCGCAAGGACGTCATCGCTCCAATGCATCCCTCCCATGCCCTCGTTATCGTGTGCCCACGCCGCGCCCTTAGTCAACTGCTGAACATCCCAAAGCTGCACAGTGCCGTGTTCCGTTCCAGCGGCAATGGTGTTTGGCATGCGCCTGCCGCCCCAGTCAATGCTGTACATATGACCATCAGCATCATCGGCGGAGCAGATATGAATCACGTCTTTGGTCTCCAAATTCTGGTAATACACTGCTCGTTTGAAAGCTACCGCAATTAGGTTTGAGTGCGACCAGGCAATGGGTGATGAAAATGGGTGTCGTGACATTCCTGGACCGCTGAGAGCGACGAGAAAATGGCGGTTCTTCGCAAGGTTACTTGCGGCAGAAATGGATGAGACTTCGCGGCGGATTTCGTAGAGTTTCGTGGCACTTTGGCGAAATAGGGGAAGCAACGATATCCCAGAGTGTTCCCGGCGTTTTGGTGTTTCGGAGTGGGCGAGGAGGCGGTCCTCGAGCAATCCGAAGTCTTTGGCTATTCTGTTGGTACGAGGTGTGATGTTGAGAGGAACTAGGAAGTCTCGGCGGGCTGATACGAAACGATCGGCCTATAGAAGTGTTGGTTAGCGTATAGGTCCAATCAAATGCAGACATTAGACAATCACATTCGATTCCTCGAAAGAGCTCCCGCTGGCAATAGGTTGGGAGGTATGGGCATCGGTGAATATATCGAACGATATGGTGGCCGTTCGTCTGCGCTTTCTGGTTGAGAAATTTGAAGGGGGATGGTGAGGATTCCGTTTGCTGAGTGGCGCTGGAGTTGACTCCAAGCTATGTTTGCTGTATGGGAAGGATGTTAGCGAGTGAAAGGGCAAACAACGCTAGCTATTACACACCCAGACATCTTCGAGTGCGCTCAAGTGAGCTGAGATTCGAGTAAGCAAGCCGTAATGCGGGTGTAAAAGTCTGTATCAATTTGGGTTCATGGGTGTCGCCGTGACCGGCGGAAGGGAATGCTCCGTTTGTTTGGATCAGAAGCTGTTGCCAAACAATGCGCATCTCGCTCCGACCGAAGCGGAAATGTATGATCCTCATTGGAGCTTCCATCGTTTCTCGTCAGTTTTGCCTTGACACGCATCCACTCAAACACATCAGACGGCTTCTTACTGAACTTTTGGACAGACCACAGATTTCGAGAGAACAGATGATACCTACACTAATATCTGCATCGAACGCTGAAGCGCGAGTATGGCAACTTGAAAATACTGGAGCGTCGTATGTTCGGAATATAGCTAGCTTTGAATCACTCAATCAGGTGAGCTCGTTTTTTCTCTTTAGTAGATGACGATACGAAAGGGAACAACACCCTACACCGGCCCCATCACATTTCTGCAACGCCTAAAACAGCACCATTAAGCCGCCGGTATCGTAAATCGACGTGTCAGATCATGTCAGATCTCGATCAGTCTTGGGCAGCTACGATCTACTATACGATTGCAGCCTCGACCCGATGTAGAGAATATAATTGGCCATCTCAACAAGCGTCATGACAATATATATATCAATGTTAGGTTCCTTGTTTGCGAGTCCCAAAGCCGAGGGCCGGTCTCCTAAGGTTCGGACACTTCAGGCGCCCATCGCCATTTGGCCAGCTTGCCGGAAACCAAGGCCCCCTATTTCAAGGTTCAAGATGCCGATAGCAATTTGGTGGGAGAATTGATGCTGCCGAGAACGTTGTCGGAAAAGACCACCATTTCTGAGTTCACACCTCCACGGCAAACCCTACACGAGTTTGATTGGTTTGGACACCACGACGTCAAACGCTTATTGCAACGGACAACAGAGCCATATCAAGCAAGCAAGTTACAAAGATTACAATCTATAGTGGTTATGACAGCCATTATGTGCTATGGATAGCATTTATTACAATTCAGCATAGGCAACAGTGAGAAAGCAAAGGGACATCGATATCAAAGGAAAGCAGAATCAAGCCTCAACTCGGGTAATACCTACAATGCCGCAAACGGTACAAAGGGACATCGATATCAAAGGAAAGCAGAATCAAGCCTCAGCTCGGGTAATACCTACAATGCCGCAAACGGGGTTGGAATCAGTCGTCGCCACGGTAGATAATCAGCTTCTGTGTGTGCGTTGGTCTGTCGTAAGGGCGGTGTTGTCCGCGAGGGCGCCGCGGTACACCAGGGAGAGTCAGAGGTTTGTCGATAGCCAACAGGTCTTGATACTTCGAGCTTCGAGACTCTTTGTCATCGTCATCATCAGATGGCGCGAGGACAGCTTTACTAGATTTCTTCCTAGCCTTAGGGTCCACAATGGTCACAACGTAGCCTGAAGAGCGCGAGTATTTGACCTTGAGATGATGAGGATAAAACATGCCCAACTCGGGATCTACTCCGGTCGCTGACCACAGCCATGAAACTAAGGCTTGCGCAGGAGCCGAAATTGAGTAGTTAGGCTTCATTTTGGGAGGAATCACAAATGTATTGGTGGGTTGAGTGCGGGATTGCAGCAGCCAGTCTGCGCCGTTGCCGTTTCGCTTTTCCCATTCTGGCTTTGGGGGGTCACCAAACATGAGGGCGAGCGACACCCAGTGGGCGTCCTCTGCTTCTTTCGCCAGCTCGTCTTGGTCTTTGTAATGGTGAAGGGTGTTCAGATTGATGAACTTGACCCCTTCGTCGGTGATGAAGATGGACTGTATGTTGACAGCATAGTATAGTAAACCGTGGCTCTGGAGGTCTGATATTGCTTGGTATACCGCAAAGCGATCGGACGGCTCCGCCTTACCTACAGTACATTGACATTGAATGGAGATCGGCCTTCGGAATCATGCTCAAACACTTACGTCCAGTAGGAGGGACAGTCATGAGCCCGATGATAACACCGTTACGAGTGACATGACCCAACATCTCGAAAACGTATTTCTCTAGTCCCAAGGCATGCATCAATCGGTATCCTTGCGACTCACGAGATACGGCTCCGCCGTACATGTCGTTGCAACCAATCATTAAATCGACATCCTGACCTGGAGAGATGTAAAGTCAACAAAAACGGCCTCATAGAAGTGGTGAGTTTACCTTGCCAGACACCTTCGAGTGTATGTCCCCAACACAACCGGGTGATCTTGGCATTTGTCAGTAAGAATGACGAAACAAACCAAATGGGGATCGCTCGGTTTATTAGCTTACCTCGATATCTTTGAGCTCAACCAGCTTGAACGTTCGAACATTCAAATGTCAGGTTTGTGCACGCATGAGTAAACGAGACTAGATTGTAGCTTACCCTAGTCCACGCCGGGCAATTGAGCACCATGCGTTTCGGTTTATAAACCAACCGATGGGTTCCATCTTTCTGGCGAACGAGATACGCATAGTTTGACCGACCAAACTGGATTTCATCAACCATGCCCTGTAACACCTCGAGCAGTTCCCAGTACGCCTGCCTCGCCTCCTTTGTGGCACTCAAAATACTTAGGAGGTCATTATGGTCGACTCCCGGCACAGCATACGGCTCGCCGTGGATGACTATGTAGTCGTCGTCCTATAGTCGCAATCAATGCAAGACAAAACCATATGTGGTATGTATAGCATACCTTCCATAAGTAATACATGCGGCCTCTTGTGTGTTCCATGTCAGGATGCCCGTAGACGAAGACGAGGTTGCGGATGTCCATCTTGTGCTTGAGGTTACGGATACTGAGATGGTGCTTTGAGAAGGTGCTTCGTAAGCGAACGGTGTGAATATAAGGAAGGGTGGACCTACAGGATTGAAGTCTGCCTCCATGGCTGGTGAGCGGAAAGCTTAGATGGTGAGTCCACTTCTCGATCGATAGAACGACCTTCGCGGCTACGCCAGACCTCCGCCACGAGTTGCCTCCGGACTTGGGGAAGAACTTCCATTTTAGGATCGTCTCTGGACCGGCCCGGAAACAACCCACTTATAGCCGAGGTTGATTCCTCCGTTCAGTGGCCGACGCCTTTTCGGAGCCTTCATGTTAAGCGTTCAAGGCTGTCAACCATGTCTCTCGATGCAGCTTCCCGTTATACTTGAGGTTGTCATGCTCAGCATGTTCTCTGTATAGTACCGTTCTTCCCGACTCTTGCCTACAACTGTCTATTGACTATGACATTCTCCTCCAGCTTGGACTCCTCATCTGGCTCAAGTTCATGTGGCGTCCCGCTCGCGGTACACACAAATTCACTGCAATAATGAACGGTACGTTTCACCCATTGAACATATTGATCGGCCTAATATAGGTTTACCCAGTTTTAATTGCATGCGATTCCATCATGCTACCCTTTTGCTTTGGTCTGAGGATAGAGAGCATCCGTTTGCATCATTGCTGTCCTCGACCTGAAGCATGCCACAATCACTCAGGTTTCAATTTAGGCGAACGAATGCCACTGCATGCTTATGGCACTAATACTTAAGAGAATCCACGAGGTATGTCGACTGTACCTGCAAGTTCCAGATTTTCTCATATGTGCCAACGTTCATCGGGCTATTGTGCTAGACACGGATCGTTCCATACGATAATCAAGTGCACGATCGCGCTCTCCGGGCGTACTTGCATAAACGTCGCACAAGGAGGTCCGGCACCCAGTGGCTCTTGTCCTCAATGCCGCGGTGGTAGATAGCACTTGGTGAAGCCCTTAGCTGTTTGCCTATTTGAACCTTGGCTGACTCGGACTATAGATAGTTTCACTACTCATGAACGTGAACATACTGACATAGCCCTTTTTTAATCCTACCTCAACATACGCACTTTCTACTAATTAACACTCAAATCTCCCTCATCAAAGCATCCCCCCGGTCAATCCTACGCCATGGCACGGTTGTCACTATTCTGCATCATTCCTATTTCTTCCACCGCTATTTTCTCTCCCTTTATTTCTGTGATAGCCTGCCAAGTGGTCCACCAGACGTCTCGCATGATACGAGTCTCAAGCCCCATCATTCAACCTAATGAAACCCTCCCCGCCATAGCTGTAACAGCGCACGAACTTGACCAAGCGCTCTCCCGATAGACGCCACGGCTACATTTCCCTCTACGAATCAAGCATACCCAACAGAACGTTATACCCCCGCTTGGACTCTCATCAGGATATCTGCATACATAATTATTCGCATTGACACTATTACTGTAGCCATGTCCACCTTTGGTCGTTAGCACCAGCATTAAAGTATAGTACCTAGATTATTCTCTTAAATGAAGCAGCACCGAGCCGTTTGACAACTGAACACACATGAGATGTTGATCCAACTATCTCGGGTGATTTACACGACGGATCAAGTACAAACTCCGTATTAACCTCCCTCGAAGGTGAAAAGCAGAGCACACAGCCTAGCTGGAATGGAGCCTAACAACTGTTGTTCTGGTTTCAGTGTGGCGTCGCATCGAGGATGATGAGCCGCTTATGCACATCCTGTGTGATATACCACAGGAAGGAGTTTGAGATTGACAATGGAGGTGCCAATGCTCCCATCTTCTGGTTACCTTTACCAGTGGCGCAGTCCGATAATCGAAGTCAGCGAGGCTCCAAGCGTTTTCTTTGGCGCCATCACCTACTTGGACTTTTCACCGGTATAGAATTCTCGTATACGTTTCACTACGCTGGGCTATAGTCAATAGGACAATAATGATCTACTTTCTTCGACTCATGACAAAGCAGCCCTCATAACCGGGTACCTCAGTTGGGCTGAGCGTGTCTCGCCAACGCCCTGATAGGTTACCGTTCACATTTCCCACCAGGTATCCCCGGTAGAGCCACCGCCCGCGCTCGCCGTCTGTCTAGAAAGAGAGCAGGGTCTTCAATCATAATGCAGGTTACAAAGGGGTATAAGGGCTCACGTATTCCTTCGCCAATGTGATGAATCCATCCAGCGGCCTAACTCTACCAATCAAATTAAACTGACCCCAAGCAGAGTGGCCCTACACATTTCGTCGGTCAAGATGTTACTTTTGTAAGCGGCAATTGCTTACCTCGCCAACGATCATGATATCTGCGATCTCCCTCCAGTGACTGTGGTTGGGGTCCGAGCTTGGAGAATGTGGAGATGATGACGAGCTCTGGTAGCAGAGGGCATCCTCTGTGCGCGGCTGCTGGACTTCGATGCCCCCGGATGTTTCCCGGATGTGAGTACCTACCGGGAAAAAGCCTCTGAGGGGATCACCCGTGGCTAGACAGCGCTTTGAGCGACCGTCTGTGTCAGCCACCATCAAGTGATACTCCCTCAGCCGCCACGTTTGCCTGTGTTGCGCGACCAGACTTTTCTGAAGAGCAGACGGAGGCCCGCCAGACAGAAGCGCCGCATAGGCGGTGAACTCTGTGTACTAGTACGGTTTAGTATCGACGATATGGGTCTCTCGCGCCGCGCACCGTAAATAAACCTTCCCAGATCCCTTCCATACACCCCGGGACGTACGCCCCACAATGCGCGCGAGAGTAGTCAGCTTGACCTAGGCTCGAGCATCGGTACCAGTCCGCTTCCCATTCAAGGCTAGAGTTGACAGACGCGCTCAGCTTCGAAGGCGTATGAGGCGCTCGATGCATGACCTCACGATCTGAAGAGTACTGGATCGCCAAAGTCAGATACGAGAGGATCGCCGGGGACGTCAAGGGGGGTGGCTTCAGATGGTAAGTTTGCGAGAAGTGCTCAATGGGGTTGCCGCCTCTTGACTTCGGTCCAACCTGAGGCAAAAACGTTGCCCAACTTGGTAGACAGATGGGATACTGCGTGATATAAGCCTGTGGACATCGAATTTGGACAAAGGCTTACCCGGTTGGCAGCCAAAGCCGCTAGCTTCAGCACGACCGGTACGATGCGAAAGCTAGCCTTGCTCCTGATGGGCTGTTCTGTAGTTTTATTTAGCGAAACTGGTAAAAGCGTACGCAAAGACTGACCAGGATCAAAGAGAAGCCAAAATAGCCACATGGCCAGCGAGTTCTGCTCGGTATCGGGCAACCATTTGTCCATGCTTACGAGCTGGGAGGCCCGTGACGCTCCACGAGCGTCGAACCAGTAGTCCCACAACCACGTCTCCATCTGAGCATACTCTCGTAAGTGTCGCTCGTTCTTGCCATCATTCTCTAGCATCATCAGGTATGCCATCCACAACAGCTCTGCCCGTACGCCATCGTCTGACAGATCGTCGTCGTCCTCATTCAGGAACGCAGACGTCCGCGCCTTTATCTTCTTGAGATACGCACACCGCTTCTGGAGCTCCGCTTTCAGGACAAGGACGGTCATGGCCTCGGCGCCTAGCCGGCGGGCCGCAGCGCGTAGGTCGAACTTATACTCGAATATGCGCGCATATAACCAGGGATTGTATGAATCGGCTAGTTGCCGATGGAAAGCCCGCGATGTTAGCAGTAGAGGAAGCAAGTCCGATGGAGGTCCAAGGACATACTGGGTCCCTGCGAAGAAGGCGATGTGTTCTATGATCTCTTGGGGTACTGCTTCAATAGAGACCATAGGCATTCTTGGGCACGTAGGAGGTATCGCGTAGCCTCTGGGAAGGTGGTGGGACTGAGGACAGGATGCAGGCGCTGGGAACGAGGGATGGGATGTCGGCAACTCTCCCCGCACCGGCCGTGCCTCTCGGCTATTGCCTAGACGCTCAGTGAGCAAAGGTATAAGTGCCTGGTGACGCATCCGACGGGAATTCTGTCAATGTTCATACTAATAAGGAAACATATAGGAACACCCCTATAACAAACATGTTATTCAAGTATGTAGTGCAGTCTAGTGAATCCGTAAGTGGAAGTATGGTACAACATTTGTGAGCATCGTGAACGATGTCTAGATCTATGTTATATGAGCGAGTAAGAAATAAAAATAAGTTTATGTTACGAGAGAGCAGTATCCTTGCAGAGGCTGAAAGCAGCTTCCCATTGGGCAGGTTGGTCCCCATCTACGAAACGCCATCGGCCAACAAAATTACGGGAGTTGATAACTAAGCTATGGTCAGTACCGGCAGAACGTGGGGATGTTCACTCTCACTATATCCACGAAATAAAGCTCTATCCATTGTTCCCATCGACGGATCACTCTGAATGACGTGCTGTTTAGCCGCAGTCATCGGAGCAGCGAGGGTAAGTATCGAAACTGCACTCACCCGCATGCGAAGCAGCACGATCAGTCCATCAGAGTGCCGGATTCGCCCAATATACTTGAAATCGCCCCACGCATCACCGAACCGCTTCTCGGTCTGTAAGAACCATAATCAGTCAAACAATAACCGGGAATCGGGGTAATAGATACAGACAAATCCGGTTACGAGAACGTCGCAGGCCCCGAAAGAGGCAAGCTCCGTTTCATGTTCTTTTGAGAACGAACTTTTCAAGTGACCTTGCCTGGGAGCGCCATAGAAAGACGAAAACGACATGCCGTCACCTTGAACCTGAACCCCTGACTGCGAATCATACTCAATACGAGTTAAGCATTGTAATAACCAACGGGAAGCTCACCTGGGTTTCCGTCAATTTGCTCGCCACAGGCAGGAATGCGTTAGTAAACGAGTTGCTATTGGGCGAGAAAGGGATCGGAAGGGCCGGACTATAGCAGTAATGTTCGCGAAAGGTGATATAGAGTGGGTGCCTCGAGCAGATTGGATATGAGGATTGGGGAGGGGCGGCAGGCGTCGACAGCATAGACCCGTAACTGAATATACACGGCGACTTAATGGCCACTTGGCATGAGTATAGTACAACATCAGCGTTGTACTCACCAGTGATGTGCCTTGCCATCGTCCTGTCAACGTGCCCATTAGATACGGACCGGCGTATGAGCAAGGCGGAGATTGAAGAGGGCTCCCAATAGACCTTCGCCAATCAGCATCATACAACAAACTCTCGCAGGCGACGTCGAAAACATCGTTATAACGTGTGGACGGGAAGTGTGTCTTGCAGCGCGTGACAAAATGTAACACATCTTCACGCGTCGGACCCTCGAAGCCGAGTTGGGCAGCTGCGGCACGGTTTGCTGGGAGACTCTCAGGAACACCCATTGGACGTACTTCCTGTCGAGCAAAATAAGATAGAATTGCGTAGGGTGCAATTGGCGGCAGCTCGAAGCGTAGGTCTTTGCCAAAGTACTGCACGGTCATGGTTTTTGATCGCTCTGGGGGGTATGGACCATGTGCGGAGGTGGAAATAAGTTTCACAGATCCGCAGTGACTGGCATCGAAGTCTTGCTCGGGAAAAGAGAAACACGGGTACTGTTGGCGGAGTAGGGGGAGTTAAAGTTATGGTTAGTCGAAACCTCATGATCCAAGGGGGACGCACTCGGAAAGCAGCGAAAGTGTACGGTGCCAAAAGGTTCAGGTACTCCTCGCGAAGATCTATCGGCTCTTCAAGGATCGACTCTATTTCCATCAGTAGGGAAGTGGATAAAGAGGGTAATCATACACACTAGAAGATGTCATCAGCCACAGTGACGCAACAGCCAAGGCGTTAACCTCGTTCTCCAAAGGCCACCCATGATTGTCCACTGCTCCCTCCCGAAGGCGGTGGCGGAGAAACATTGAAATGAACGCGGGGAACCTGGCCCAACGTAACTGCTCCAAGTTCCTAGCGTCAGCCTCCAAGATCATGATGTATGCGGTGACGAGGGCGGCAAGCAGGTTCGGGTCATAGATGTCTCCCGCACGAAAGCACTGCAGCGCAACAAAACGCTTCCGCAGTTCCTGCTCCGAGTATTGCATCACAATGTCGTCTCTCAAGCGTCTTCGAAGAGCAGAGCTGTCAAATTTCTCAACGAACATATGGTGATACAGACGAGGACAGTCGCGGGTACTCAAAGCACGATGGATAGTCCGGCAGGTGAGCAAGAGGTTTCGAAGGTCGAGGGGAGGACCAAGCAACTCGGCACCAACGGCGTAGAAGGCGATAAGCTCCCAGAGTTCAGGCGGTGTAGCGAGCCAGGACAACAGCATACCAAGAGACAGATGGTCGCTGACGCACATAATATACGTATCAGCCGCGAGCGTTCGGTGACTTCAGAAGCTTCATTTCCAAGGAAGGTTTAGCTTGGGTGGAAAGGCAACTTCCCACGCAAACCCCGTAGGCAGCTTGAGGGACAGCCAGACGGGTCCGCGCATCGACGTATATGGGTCACGGAGGTCGGGGAAGAAATTTGGGAAAGAAGCAGACGCTGAGCGAAATTTGTAGCTTCGCCCGGTTATCTCCGGGAACATACCGTTGATCGCGCCAGCCTGCCGGAGAGTCCGCATTGAGTGAGGGTTCCTTTTGAGGACTGAAATCCAGATCTGGGCCCGCCTAAGCGCTAGAATTTGAACCCAGCGATCAGTTGATGCGAGCTCACCTTGCCGCACGCCTATCTGTTGTCGACCCCCATGACCCCTCGAAGGAGGCTCGTCTGTCGCACTCCGTCGCTCGACAGGGGCTTGCTGCAAGCGAACATCGGGGTACTTTGTAGTTGGACTTACAGTGACATCAGTGCTGTGGGGTATTAGCTCGATCGCCGCCGCACCATCGAGACAATCTCCCGATCACATACACGGCTACCTCAGAGGAGAGGGGCGTATAATAATAATGCGGGCTGTACGTGTAAAGGACGCCGTGAGAGGGAGCTGCCGTCAGGTTGTATTCATTCTGCCGTCGATAACCAGGAACGCACAGCCTATTCAATCGGAGTTGAAGAGTAGGTGCATTGACGGTCCTTTAACGAACGTGGCCGCTGAGATCGTCTCAACCTATACATACATCCTTTGCCGCGCTCGGACATCAGTCGAATAATGCATCACTGAGTCATGCGACATCTTACCATCATGATCAAGCGGTGAAGGATTCTCAAGCCACCAGGATTTCTGTGGTACCGTTTGGCCCGAATACCGCGATCAACTTGGGCATATGCTCGAGTGGATAGCCCACGCCACGATCCTATTATTTGGGCCCTCCAGCCATCAAGTGGTTTTGCTGTAAAACGTGGGGTCATCATATGTCAGGGGAGTACGCATATGGGAGAGCCGGCGTAATCACCGTTGGAGCTCGAAAGATATTTGGACTGCTGCAACGCCGCTGATGTTATCTTTGTGCCCTCTTGAGAGCCACTGGGTGGGGAGAAACCCACACTCATTTTATGAGCAACCAATGATCTTCGTTGACGAAACACGTCAAGTGAGAATCCTTGAACACGTCGAGGGAACCCACCGACCGGCCTCGTGAGTGTCCGCGATTCACGGTAGCGATGGTGATTCCTCGGTGGCTGATGTAGGCTTAGGTTTACATGGCGCTTCAAGAACTGCGGACGAGAACACAACTATTTAGTCTTCGCCGATATACGCCACGCGGCGTCAGGAGAACGAACACTAACGCCGCATGGAAACGTCCAGGAGACGTTTCTTCCAATGGCTACTTTTTCTTCATCGTGGTCATTACGCATCATCCCAGAGTTGATTTCGGTTCATGTGAGTACTCATCTAATGATAGCTTTTCTTTCAATGCACAAAGCGTTTCCCTTGTTCATTGTAGGTCACGGTGTATGGCCAAGCAAGTGTTCTCCATGGTGCCGCGAGGGTACCGTACTTGGCGAAAGCTTGCTCTGGTGTGCTTATCGGCTGTTGAAACGTTGACGTCAGGACGGCGGCATCTAATCTTCAGCATTCATTGTGGACATCCTAGTATAACGAAGCTCCGACTAACGCGGCGCTATCGAACGAGTTCACCGTCAATCGAGATGCAATGCACATACGACCGGCTTACTCTGACCATATATACCCTTCCCGCTTGTAGTTTGAACGTAGTCGGCTACAAGACTGGTGTGAAAGCGCTAAAGTTGTCTGACATCAGGTGTACATCTCGTTCCTCCATCGGAGTTCATCGTTCCCACACTCGGCGACAACTCAACCACATTTCAAAGGCGGAAACTCTGATATCCTTGAAGAAGAACCTGGGTCCTGCCAGGCATGAACTCCCATTCCCGGCGTCTAACGGAGTCTTCCTATCGACGAAGTGCAGCGGAGACTGCTCTACTATAGCTCTCGGTGAGTCTTGACAGTACAAGTCATGGGTTTATTCGATTCCTGTCATCACCCATTATCGACTTGCATGCAGAGGATGCTACCGCCTTGCGCATGCTCGCCCTTGATATTTCAATGCCAGTGGTGGAGGAGTTGCCTCCGATCATTAGCACGTCACACTTTGATTGATCGGTATTTTCAACACCTGCATTGAATTGTGCAATGGGTTCCTTCCTGGCTCTTCGACCAACTTTCTCCTGGCCAAGTATGGATACATCTGCCATGCAGGTGTGTCGAGACGTTCACAATTTTACACATGACATTGATTTGCATGGATTAAATGGGTTTGCCATTATAATGGTGCTGTCTGCGTAGCCCATGTGCTGCGAAACAAGGAGGAAGTCGGGCGAGCAGTCAATTTCCGAGAGCGCGAGTATAATCGGGACCTGGGTAGCATATATGCGTTGCTAAGCCAGAGCCTTATCTTTGCCTTAGAAATAGATACTGATTGTACGTCGAAAATGGTGGTGCTGGAGGCGACTTTCATGTACGCTGTGGACGGAGGAGGAACCTGCAGATACCGAATTAAGTGTGAACCTGGTTTAATTGATCAAGGTCGTTTCTGGTAGCTCATGACTTGAGCGCTTGAGCACGTTCGCGAAGTTATGTGGAAACCTGTAACCTTCAGTAGAAACGCAATAATGAGACGTGAGTTGTTTGTTGCAGTTGCAGAAAGAACACGCAGCGCTTGACACCAGTGTGGAAACTTGCGGAAGAGATGGACGTGCGATTACTGAGCCCGAGGACGTGAGGGCCGGCTCTCGCGACGCGCCGAAATTTTAGGCTCGAGTCAAGCTCTCATTTCATCTATCGATCATCCACATCTCTTCCATCCTCTTTCACTATCTCACTCAAAAATGTCTCTCAACGTTGACGCTCTCGAGAAGCACCTCACCACTCGTTCCTACATCGAAGGGTGAGTATCAAATCTCCTTACCCTTACTTTTATCCCGATCTTGCGTGATGAACACAACGCTATGGTCCGTGTTTCCAAGAAGCGACTAGACACCGCTGCTTCAGTATGCCGATAACTTATTACCTAGCTATCTGATCTTTTTCTTTTCTTTCTACGATTGCGATCTTTTGAGTCATCGAACTAACCCCACGCCCCTCCAGATACGAGCCCTCGCAGGCCGATGTTCACGCCTACAAGCTCCTGACAGCCCCTGACGCCAAGAAGCACCCTCACGCTTCGAGATGGTACAACCACATCAAGTCCTACGCCGCTGAGCACGACTCTCTGCCAGGATCGAGCAAGGCTGGCGAGGCCTTCGTTGGTGCCGCCCCTGATGCCGCGGAAGGTGATGACGATGAGGTTGACCTCTTCGGTTCCGAAGACGAGGAGGATGATGCCGAAGCTGAGCGCGTCAAGGCCGAGCGTGTTGCTGCTTATAACGCTAAGAAGGCGAACAAGCCCAAGGCCGCTGCCAAGGTTGGTTTCGGAAAAACTGGCGAGGCTTGCACATAAACTCATCTTATGATCAGTCTGTTGTTACCCTTGAGGTCAAGCCATGGGACGACGAGACCGACATGAAGGCGCTTGAGGATTCCGTTCGCTCCATTCAGCAGGAGGGTTTGGTCTGGGGTGCTAGCACACTTGTTGCTGTTGGCTTCGGTATCAAGAAGCTGCAGATCACCCTTGTCGTTGGTAAGTTGGTGTCACGCGCCCGGGTTCTCGGTTACTCATCGCTCCGCAGAGGACGAGCTTGTGTCCACGGATGAGCTTCAGGACAAGATCGCCGAGTTCGAAGACTATGTCCAGAGCACTGATATCGCCGCCATGCAGAGTAAGCTCCCCTATTTCTTGGTGTTCGACGTTGTATTGATCATCTTTGCAGAGCTTTAGATCCTTTCTCCTGTGTTAGTAGTCCACATTCGTTGTAGTTAAGGTTGTACTTGGATGTAACTGGGATATGTACGACTATCCAACAGTGTATTCTGATTCCGGCAGGGTTCACGTTCCGAGTGAGTCTTGACCGTGGTTCATGAAAGCAAATATGACTTGTGTCCATTAAGCGATGCCAGCGACTTCCCGCGAACCGCTAGTCCTAGTCATGAACGAAGAGGCTGTCCTATACTGACGTACATCCGGACCGTCGGGAAAGGTTTCCAGTGATGTCAAGATCATCAAGTTGCCGGACCATGGCATGAGGCCTGAGGTCTTTCTGAGGTGCGTCGGGGAGGTCCAAAGCCTTACTTTGTATGGATCAACGGACATTGCGACAAAGTTAGCTTCGAACGGCGGCCTGATGGGGATATTCTAGCCAGGCTTATATTGAGATTCGTGGCTGCCTCGTGCGTCTTTTTAACCTTTGGACTTATGCATGATTCCCTAACCAATATGGGTCCCAGACTCGTTGTTCCTGCTCGTTTTCATCTTTCATATCCGTTCATGGCGGACTGACGTACCGCAGACCTTTGGAGTTGTCTCGTGAAAGGTTCGCACTATTGCTGCAGCAATGTCACTGCCTCCAAGCTAACAGTGCGCAGTTATCTGCCTCACGACACGTCGCGGTCTCGACCCAGGCGCCGCATCGCGCCTTCCATGGGAACTGAGGAACAAGCGGGCACTCGAGGACGCCGTTTCAGCCGAGGCGGAAAACTTGATTCCACTGGCAGCGCCTAACTGTGGGATGAATGAATGGATTCGGCTCGATCGAGAAAAGAACGGACCCTGTTCATCACCGTCGGAAGAACAGCTTTTGACGACCCCCGTTGCGACTGTCGTTGCAGCGATGAACTGAACGATCCGATTCGCGGTAACTTTTGTTGGTGGCCAACCGGATGTGGACCTGCAGATAGACTTTCAAGGTCACTGCCAAACGTCCTGTTCAGGCACTAAGACGCCCTTAGGGGCAGTCCAAGCTTGCCTCACCCTTCGGAATACGATCTCGGCACGTAAGCCATGCGCGATCTCGGAGACGAGGCAACTTCATCTGCATCTGAGACATTATGACGACCTAACCATTCTCAAGGCATACACCCAATTCAGTCGACGGTGGTCTCTCTCCTCGCCGTATCAACATACCACCCCCCGAACGCCGAGCCCTACGCGCTACTATATATGCTGGTCCCTCTCTACTGAGTACAGCTTAAAATCAACCCGGTCTTAAACATGCCTTCTCACCTAGAGCTCCTCCCTATCGACATACTCTCGTACATTGTCTTCCTTTGCGTCGAAGCTACTCCCTTTGAACCTCTAAAGACAATTTTACAACTTCTACTGACAAGCCGAACCATCAATGAGGCACTCTCGTCTTGTCCCCATCTTTATGCTTGCATATTCAGAGAGCGCTTTGATTGTGCGGCAGTCTTGCGCAGGAGTACGGGCCATCTTGTTCCAGCGTCGTGGCTTGCCTTGGAGCTTCGCCGGCGATCTATCGCTCTTCTTAGGGCTCGACTGGCTCGGGACGCCACTGAACAGGAGCTCTGCGACGATTTAACGACGCTGTATCTGATGTGCCTCGAGAATGATGGTCTCAACCAAATACACATACAGGGCGCGTCCGTGCCAAGTTTTGTGCACAGACTAGTCGTCCAACGTCTGCGACAAAATGTTGGTGATTTTAGTTGGCCCTTGGAGACACCTGCCGTTGCTCTGGCAGCTGCGATCATGGCCTTAACGTGGACTCGAGGTGTGCCCGTCCTCGGATCTTGTGCCATTGGTTAGAAACTGATGTTTTGTAGATGACATCAACAAGCTTACCTGCGAAGAGAGAGAGGAGCTGCTCACTCTGCTGCGCCCATTTACTATGCCAATGCATGAGGTGAGTACCGTTTAGTATGTCCAATGAGTGGGCGCCCTGACGCGTTCATATTTTAGAAGTCTCTCTCATACGCCTGTATCAAAGGTTCCGGCGGCACCCAATTGTCTGCGCGGAAAGACTTAATACAAGGAGACACCGACAGCGGTGCTTCAATTCGACACGAGATCGTTAGCCGCTGCCGGGGATTCTCACTTTCGCATCCAAATCTTCGATCCTCGGCCATCTTCCTCACGTTTGTCCTCAAGGAGACATTGTCCATACGGGCGCCGCATCACCTGCTTCCCACTCGTGCAGCAGCGGAGGCGGTCCAGCGCAGCGGTCCCACTATGGAAGATTACACTGCATTCGCACGAATGAAGACGCCGCTTGTCGCCGATGCGATCAACATCGACATAGCGGACGATATTCCTAGAAAGAATGGCGCCCATAGAGTGAAGGACAAGCGGGCATCACGAAGTCTGCGCCACGACGCCGACTTCTTTTCCATTGCCCGGAACTGTAACTGCTGCAGCGAACTGCACTCCAGTCTACCTAGTTCTCCTGCCTACGTCCCTGGCACACTTTCGGGTCTCTGGGAAGGCAGTATGATGGTGAGTTTACTAAATTGAACCTTAAGACTACCATTGCTCAGCATGCTTCGTTTGATCTTCCACGCCAAGGTTTCCCCACTGTCGTCATCCTCGAGTGCACCACGAGAACGTACCTTCGCTAGTGTTCCCGACTTCCTGTCCCGGCAACCCTGGCAGTGCAGGTTTCGAGAATTCTTACCTCTTCCTCTAAAGGCAATGAACGAGGCAGGCGATCCTCAGGCAACCTATTGGGGTGGTGGTGTTCAGGAACTAGAAGTTGATCGAGTAAGCAAACAGTATCATGCTTATCGGGCAACTGATGGAAGCCGACGGGATCGTCAGAACTTGCTGACAGATCTGGAGAGCCCAGTGAAGAGTCATTACGTGCCAGATGTGAGGGACGTGACGAAGAAGCTTCATGAAGGGGGCATGCGAGATGCTCGTGTAAAAGAGGCGCACGAGATTGTGATATTGGGAGAGGTACGTCTTCGCGCTATATTTGCCTCAGAACGCATGTCCGATCAGATGGCTACCTCATTCTGACTGCTGTGATTACCTGCTTGCTTGCCAGACCCCACCTGAGTTTGACGCTGCCTGGGGTGGTTTCTACTACCGGGGTACAGCCCGCACAGCAGACGGGCTTATCACTCTCAAACGGCAACCTGTGAGTAGTACCTTGTTTTGTGCCGCGGAGTTTGCTCATGGACTCGTGACCGTCTGCAGAAAGATAGTGGCGATGAACGTTCGGGTACATGGACATTTTCGGGCCGCATTATGAGCGGGCAAACGTTTGTCGGTACCTGGCATTCAGGTTGTGACACCGACGAGCCGTGCAAGGTTGAGGGGATTTTCAGCCTATCCAAGCCGGGGAAGTAGCTATCCCGCTTGGGAGATATAATCCGGGAGCGGGCGGAATGAACTTATAGATTAAATCACGCATTAATTTATCGTACTCACCGTATCTTTACAGCGGTTTGCAAAAAGATGCGGAAAAGCCTCTGACATGCAATGGCCCCGCCGAGACAGCCGAGTGAGGACCCCAAGCAAGACCTGCCAAACTCGGCCACGCGAGCACAGCAACTCAGACAGAACCTCCGCATCGTCCGCCCACCTGGTGTCAGTGGTCCTGAACCGGCCCCAGTTCGCACTGCCATCTCTCCACCCAGCCTTCCGCATTCATATGCAAACCGCTGTAATATAGTCTTTGACCTCCGATAGATCCGCGATTGTACCTTGAGGAGCCGCCGAGCACTTTGCTAGTGAATGAAGCTCCAACTGGACCATGAGCTCCAGAAGTGGATTGGAGGCACGCGGCTGCTCCCACAGCCGACGTCATCTACCTCGAGGACAGATCATTAGTGCTGAAGTTCGGTTAGATCAATTGATTAAAACCCTCAAGCCTATCAATACGCTACCTCAAGTGTCGTCGTGACTCGTGAGTAAGCCCTAGTTGAAACACCTTCATGAACCGGCCGGAATGAACACTGAGCTGGTATGGAATCAGGACACGCAATCAAGGCGTGGTATTAGCCATACTCCTGTTGTATGATATCGCTATATTCATGAGACCTCCTGACGGTAAGTCGACGAAAGGTGTTATTTGCATGCTAGTCCAGTATCTGTCATCAAAGTTGAGGTGAAGAGGCCTGGAATATTGTGCTATTTCATCACATCGCAAAATGCCCAACTGCAGCAAACAGGCAGGCGCCTGCCTTCAATCCAATGTCGCATGATCATTGTTCAAGTTAATATTCCGAGGAGTTGGGCAGGCTCAGGGGCAGGCGTTTTATGTAACAACAGACAACAGAACATACGGAGATGCCTCCCATCCTAGCATGCCTCCTTGCTACATATGACCCCGGATTCGTCGGGGCTCTTTGATAAGCTGAAGCGAGATCATGCGGTTGATAATGCAAATTACGACACCGTTCACTAGGCGATTGACGCTGAACCCTGAAGGTCCCACTCGGTGACATATGCCGAGTATCATACCCGCCAATGACACGTCACCTTGAGGTCCAAACCAGGGAGAAACGCTGGTCAGTAATGTTGTGTGTTAAGATCCCAATATCTTGCAGATATCATTGACGCCGAAGCTCGCCAACGAAGGCGCTGGGTGGCCGAGAAGAATATGGCAAATACGACATGGCTTCTTCAGCCTCACCGTTGCCAAAGTGGTAAGTTTGATGTTACTGAAACGCCGAATAGAGCCCCACAAAGTCGGCGTTCATCTAAGATGCCAATTGAAGGGGCGTGCTCTCCGGAGGCAACGTGAGAGTCGGCACTCGACAGAAATTATATCCTGTACCTGTGAACTGTGGCTGACATGAGGAAGATGGAATTCAATAACACATCCGCGTTAAGGGACGAAAGAAGATAAATTCAGACATATATGGCTAGAACATGGGCTGACTGGGGTGTTATACCGCCTCGACCAAGGTCGCAAGGGCAGACTAGAGGCTTCTGGGGAGAAGGGAAGAAAGCATCACTCGAAAACGCCGACGGAGTTGATATTGCTTACTAGACCATACTGGCTGTTACTGGCAGCTCCGTGTGGAATTTTCTTGAAACGATACTGGTTCTGCTCATCGTGTTATTCGACACACGTTTATCTCATCTATGAAGCTTATGAAGAACTCGTTTGCGTAGCAGTTTGAGGCGAGTTCGTCACTAACTTGAAGCGAATTGAGCGTCAACTGTAGGATCAATGATACTGACGATAGACTCACCACTACAGTATTGCCTCCGAAGGCGGTCTGCGAGCGAGCTCTTTAATCTCCCTCGGGATTAGGTTCTGATTCCTACGTTTGATCGTCCAAGAATAAGATCAGGAAGAAAGAACACGTATCATGGCAAGAACCGTGGCAGGGGGGTGACGAGAAGCATGTTGACCCCAAGAAAGAATCCCGCTCTGGCAAGTCCACCAAGAAAATCCGATATGCTGACCTTATATAGGTATCTTCTGGCGCGAAATAGCAGCATCGAAGCAAGCCGGCTAACAAGCAACATGTGTGCTTCCCTCGAACTCGACGTCTAAGATTCAGGCTAAGGAGTTGGCATTGGATGGTGAGTAATCACGAAGCAATGACAAGCCCATACGTACCACACGCTTACCTGACTCAAGCCGCACGTACACAGCGGCAAACCCTGGCAAACCCGAAGGCCTGACCACTGCCCCTCGGAAGCCCATGTCCCGGTAGCTATAGATAGAGAAGCCACCGCCGGAGCTCGTCGGATTGGAACAGCGATATTAAGTTTTGATTAATCGCCATGCGGCCCGGAAGACGGTTGTTAGAGGTTAATCTGACTGAGAAGGCACGGTACATGAATGCACTACGCCAGAATGATGTCCGTTCAATGTTCGCTCACGGATCGCCATCTTACTGGGTTAGATAGGTCAACCTGAGTCTAAATTTGCACATCAGCGCTCCGCAACCACTCCTGCGAGATTAATTGGGTGCGACCACGTTTTCTGAGTAAACATTTTTTCCTTGGCACGTTCAGGAATAAAGTAAATGTTGCTGGCTGGAATAGCTCATTGCAGACCAGATCAAGGTCTTATTAACAAACGGAGCCTGCGCAACCCAAGGTTAGAAGCAAATTAGTAAGATTTGACATGGAAGAGAAGTAAAACCTGACGCGCAGAGGCACGAGAACGTGCTTAGACACACCCACTGCACCTAATATTACCAGGAAGCCGGTCAAAAGCGGCGAGTAGGTGACGCGATTGGAAGGTAAAAGTAGATGCGGAGATGATTCCTAACGGGTCACTTTGGACAGGGTGGTCAATGTGGTGTGCGCGCTCGCTTTCTCCGGAGGACAGAGCATTCAAACCTGAGAGCTGTCAGCTAGAATCTGCCAAAGAAGGGTCTGTCGCCCGCCAAAGAAGGGGTCGAGAGTATTATCTCAATACATGCCGAAGGCCAGGCTGCGTTAGGTAGGTTCTGTCAACGGGCCAACCCATAGGAGAAGTTCACTCGTTTGTCGGTTTTCAGACGGCGACCAGGCCAATATTCGTTTCTTCACGTTCGGTAGCATGCGTCCAGATCAGAATGCACTGCACCGATGTCAAGAACCTGACTGTCATACGCACGGCGACGATGACCAAGCCTGCCAATTTAAAACATAACATTTGGCACTCCTGAGCGAGGCGAAGAGACCGCCTCGGCATTTCCCGGTGAGAAAATGGCTCAGACTTTAAGCAGCCGAAGAGGCGATGTCAGAGGCATCTAGAAAACGCAGCTGAGCTCGAGCGAAGGGCAGAGCCTCGTTTGCCATGCGGCGAGCCGTGAACGGACCCTTGATAACTGACCAGCGGCAACACTAACGCCCACGGCCGTCGGCGGATTTCACAAGAGGGTTGATTGAGCGGCGCAAGTATACCTTGGTTGAGCGGCGCAAGTATACCCTGACACGGAACCGAACGAAGGCAAAGAAAGTGAGCGTGGCATTATCATCCAGGAGGACGTTGTAGAAGCGGCAGCGCTTTTCGTCCTTGTTCCGTCTCCAAGCAGGCCCACTAAACAATTGGAAGTGCTGATCCCCGTTCATGTAGGCAGGTAGGGCGGTTCCCGTGAGACCGTCGGCGGAAATGAGAGACCGCCAGATAGAAAAGACAGAAGAGCGCGAGCGGATGTCAAGACAAAAACATTGAGTACGTGGACATGAATTTCGCCTTATTTGGGAGTCTCAAGCACAAGGAGGGCGCTTGAATCATATTCGTACGAGGCTCCGAGATACGATTTTTGGTGAACAAGATCCAAGGCGGAGATTGGCTGCCCGGGAGCTGCGGGACCTCAGAAATGTCTCTCACCTTCATAGCATGTCAGAGGGTCTGGCATTGCCAATTCGATTTGGACCATCTTCATCTCCCGTTGGTGAGTTGCGAGCGCACCCACTGGTGATCGTATCTTCATCATTCAGTACTCTTCATAAAGTGGACACTGTAGGAAGTCGGACATCGATGACAATGGCGCAAGACCAAGTGAATCAAGCAAGAAAGACCCAGAAGGGAGGATGGGAAGGTGCATATATCCAATGGCCGTCAAGAGCGGAACGATAGCGAAGTTGGTGGCGGCAAGCAAAGCCCATGAGGTTCCCAAAGCCTGCTTAAGACTGAAGAACCAGCCAGTACCAAGGTCTCTGCGCCCATTGGAACGGTGGCGAACATCACGTTGAGACCACCTTGAAGAGTCGGCATTCCTTCAGAACGCCGACATGAGAGGCGCAAGGAGGCGCATATACGCACTGCTCTGATAGAACGTAACCCAAAGTCGAGCCGTGAGGTGCGTAGTATGGCCGCGACGTGCGTTTGCAGACGCGTCTGCTCCAAAAAAACATACGCAGAGCGACCCACACAAAGAAGGCCGGTCGCCGGATGATTGGCGCGCCGTTGGGGCTGCATTGAATGAGATACGGACACCAGTGTTCAGGTCGGTACGTTGTGGAGTGCATCATGTCCAATACCGCGCATCGGGCAGACGGAAGGGGCTGGACTTAGCCAGCGACTGGGTAAGGTGAGTCTCCGTATGATGGGAGCCTGATGTCAGTCCCCATAGTATGCCAGTCTGTGATGATATCGTGGCCATCAAACTGCGGCGGTAGAACCCAACGAGACCAAACTAGAGGAACCCTTGCTTCTACAATATAGGGCAGCGTGCCAGCGAACCCAAGAGGTTGATTGTGATGGTTGAAAAAAGAGGGACACTACAACCTGCTTGCTTTCGCAGATCTTGTTGATATAGGCCAGACCTACGACGGTCCAACCCCAACCTATGCACACTTGTTTCAGTTGAACGCGTCAACGCCACTCACAGCTTACTGCTTGCTTGCACAGATCCTGTTGGACAGAGAATGCTTGCGTCTGGCTCCTCGCGGCAGTTGAGTGCATCAACACCAAGTTTTTGTCCACTTGTAACACTGATCGAGCCATCATCATGCATCATGCAAGAGGTGAACACGCCCTGGAGAAGGGCTTTCATACGCCTACAACCACAAACGTCAGTAAATATGCAATCGCATAAATATTGACACAATCCCGGGTATTATGAGTAAGTATGTGGGTGCGTCGTGCGCGCCAGTATGATATGTAATAAAACAAACATACTCTACGCTATGCGACAAGCACGGTCCACAAGGGTAACAGAAAATCTATAAGAAACACCACATCATCACTGCTCTCGTGAATCATACCAAACGACCAAAGAACGGACAACCGCACAGGGAGGCGGTAACAGTGAGTAAGCAAGCAGTAAAAGGACCAAGGCGAGTCAACATGTTTTGAGCAAACCGCGAAAGAAACCCAAACAACAAACGATTTATCTAACGAGCACCTATGCCACCATCAGCTGCAGCTCGTTTAGAGAGCGAGCGCGAGCGCGGATGCGCCGAGGATGGCAGCCACGGCGGCGCCGACGTTCTGGGTGGCACTGCGGCCGGCGTGGTTGGAGCCACCGCCAATGCCAGACGAGATGCCACCAGCGGCCTGGACGGCGCCGCCGAGGAAGCTCTGGCCGCAAGTGCTCTGCACGGCATTGTAGAGGTCGGTCTGGCCGCTCATGAGGGGCGAGTTGGCGAGGCCTGGCGCGTACGGGCGGTTGCTCTCGAACGAGATGTACGGGGTGAGGATGTTGCGCGTGCAGGTCGTGCAGAGATCCGAGCTGGACATGATGGGCTCCAGGAAGAGGTACACGAGGTTCGAGCTGGCGAACGTAGTCGTGTTGGGGATCAGCGCGGACACGGGGTTGTCACGGCGGCTCAGGGGGGCGTTCACGTAGAGGTAGTTCTGGAGGTCAGACTTGCCGCTGCCGATGGCGATATCGACGTTGACGGACGAGGACGAGGGCATCTGGGTGGCGCAGTAGCTACCGCTGTCAGACTTGGCGCAGACGGCCTGACGAAGAGGGGTGAGGACGTAGAGGACGTCGTAGGTGCGGAGGACATCGGTGTTGGAAGCGGAGGTGAGCTCGGACTCGCAGGCGGCATAGAAGTCACTGAGCTGACTGCCAATCAGGCTGTCGGGGCAGGAGGAGAAGGCATCGCCAGCGCAAAGCGCGGTAAGAGCCGACCCAACAGCCGAAGACGAGGTCGCGGTAGTGTTGCCAGGGGCAAAGGCAGACGTCGCAGAAATGATGGGCGCGGTGCAAGCACTGAAGCTCGAGTTGGAGTTAAGGTTGGAAAGGTAGTTGGAACATCCTTGACTGATGCCAGAGGGGATCAGAGGGTTCGAAGTCGAGGTGGGGGTAGCCGCGGACGAGGACTGGGGTAACAGAGAAAGATGAGAACCACCAATTACGAGAGCGCTTGCCGAAGCGATGAGATAAAATGAGACATACCGAGGACTGGGCCGCAACGAGGGCAACAAAGGCAGTGAGCGCTGCAATGGACTTCATGGTGCTGAAGAAAGGCGCGAAGGAACGTGTATGTTTGTATGCGTGGACGACGGCGACAACGATGAACAGTGAGATTGATGGGGAGAGGGGAAGTAAGGCCTCGCTTTTCACTGGTGTTGTTTCTCCTCGGGGCGTGCGAAAAAGGCCAGGACTAGACCTCGGTTGCCAAGGATCTTATAGTCCATCCGATTACTTAAGCAATATTCCCACAAAGGCCTGGAAGCACCCCACCACGCGTATGTCGCGCCGCATATGTCTCAGAAAGGTGAGGTTCAAACGTGGTCGAGGCCTAGAATACATGAACAAAGAGGCTTGGCGAACCCCAAACATACATCTAGGACGCATAAACAGTATTTGCATCGCCTGAACTCTAGCAAAGGCTAAGAAACGAGCATCTGGCTTGCAGTTTGGGCGGACATCTATCACCATGAGGATCAGTCTCCTGCACACCAGGCAAGAAAGGATGCTTTAGTAGTCATGTCCATTGTTGGGTATTGCAGATATGATAGAATACAAATGATGCAAGAAGCAAGTGAAACACCGAAAGCAAACAGATCCAAAGCAGAACATAGCAGCGACATGTCATAGGACGAGGCAGAGCCGCATAAACTCCACCTCCACATCTCCGAGTTGAGGAGCGTCGAGCTACATCGTGAAGATGAGCACAATAACACAGATCTCGGTCGCAGCGACGAGGCCCGCGACGATGAGCACACTAGCGCCCGCTGTGACGAACGGCTTGCCAAACTCCCGTGCGTTCTCCTGCCCTTTGGTGGGCTGTGCGAGCTCCCAGAGCTTCGCGTCTGATTCCGACGAGTCCGAGAAGGCGTGTCGAGCACTCGCTCCACGTATGTACTCGAAGAGAAAGAGGAAGGCGGAGAGCACGAGGTAGAGGATTCCAACTGCGGGAGATTGGTCAGTGCCCGTATTGACCGGCAAACGAGGCTGGCAGGTGTTTGCATATGCTGGAGCTCGTCCAAGCCGAACAGTGAATGCGATGAAGGGTCAAGTGAAAGGTGACGGTCATGGGCAGGTAAGATGGATCGAGAAGAGAACGGTTATGATGGAGGATGAATAGGGGTGCGGTGTCAAACGGGAACGCAAGGTGTCAGAGATACACACTTTTGTAAAATCTCATATCGAAAAGCCGCAGCACCGTCAACGCATATCCAAGATTTGCGAGCGCCGTCCTGCGGTAGGCGCCGTCAAATGTCCGATGGCGAGCACGCAGCTCGTTCATCTCCTGCAGGTCCTCCGCGCAGAATGACTGCTTCCGGTGTCCTCTGTACGTCGGTCGCGGTGTTTCCATCGTTGGTCACAAACGACAGGAAGTGAGGAAGAGAGGTGAGATTTGCCTCCGTAGGGGAGCGAACAACGGACCTATATCTATGATGACATTCGGTTGACATCTTGCAGTGGATGTCCGCCCATGATCCAAGAGTAGTAAGCTTCATCTTTCTCGTTGAGGGGTTTATGGCCAGACTCCTAACCGGTCGGTCCGATGTCACATGACCCGGCTGCCGAGGAGTTGCCTTTTTTGTACGAAGTACAAGGTCTGACATCTGACCGACTGGCAACAAATCCGGTTTGGCTTTGTTTGTCCCGCCGTGTCCCGCCGACTAAACATTGTCGACGTCGTCTTAGACGTAATCGGCACAGGGCCGAGTCGGGGGCGTCGGGAGCGGCTTCGCTTACACTTGCTTAGGGATAAAGGGGCTTGTATTAATAAGGAGTGAGCTGCGAGTCTAATGCTAGGGAAATGGGCGCGCAAACGCAGTGCGCGTGTCTACCACGCGTCGCTTGATGCCCTCATACCTGGTCTTAACATGCAGTAGACACATTACAGGCTACGTATTAGTTAGCATGCTGCAGTGGATATATGGACTGAAAGGACGGGCACTTACGTGTGAGAACTGTGGATGTTCCTGACCACCTCAGCACAGCGGTTAAAACCCTCGAAGCTATCAACCTGACTGCCAGCCAGCTCATTGAAAAACTTGCTCGTACCGAAGAAGCGGAGCTCCAAGAAGCTCGTGCAAACCTGTTCGCAAACGCGCGGAGCATGTGTCGCATCGCGATAGCCTGACGCATCAAGGCTAAGCCTATACACTTATTTATTTGACTAATAATTACTACTATAATACAATCAACAGGCCATTTTATTCTAAGCGAGCGTAAATGACCGACGCCCCCGACTCGGCCCTGTGCCGATTACGTCTAAGACGACGTCGACAATGTTTAGTCGGCGGGACACGGCGGGACAAACAAAGCCAAACCGGATTTGTTGCCAGTCGGTCAGATGTCAGACCTTGTACTTCGTACAAAAAAGGCAACTCCTCGGCAGCCGGGTCATGTGACATCGGACCGACCGGTTAGGAGTCTGGTTTATGGCATGCCCATGGACTGCATCATCTTGCGAGCAAAGCACGCCTTCTGTCAACCTAAATTTGGTACTATGACTAAGCACCTCATACAGTTTCTGCGGCTGCAAGACGGCTGCAAAGTTTTTAGTCGAACAAACTTTTAACGTTGTGTGCCTTGTGCTCAGAGCTGCTCAGAGTGGAGGTAAATCAGTGATATTAGTACTGTAAGAATCTACGGGGCTGTAATCCCACTGTAGCATAATCTATGGAGGTAGCACTCCGAGTCGTCGCCTATCCCATGCACAACGTCTTCCTGGGTACCCGCCTGGTCCTCTATTTTCGTCTGGACTGAGCCGCGGCCTGCTGTGAGGCTCCCGAGACGAAATTTCTTGCAGCGTGCAAGGTGTCGACCAAAGTTGGCCACTTCGCGGAGGACTTAGGAAGCGGCGCAATGTCGAGTGCCTTGCGCACGGCCGGGCGCCGAAGCACGGCTGATTGAATGGCGGTGAACGTCAGGCCCGAAAGACCAGTAACCCAGACACCCTATGGAACGTGCTGTTATTTTAAAACGCTCATGAGAGCGAATGGGACACGTACAGCAGGGAGGGTGGCCATGAAGGGAACCATGGCTACAGACATGACCTGGAAGACGTTCATTATATGGCCCATGTGGGGACTTTGATCAAGGTTCATATCCTTCTTCGAAAGCTGTCGGACTTGTTTCAGCTTTTCGTGTTGATACGTGCTCGCGAACAAAACTCACCATGATTTGGATATTACCCAGAGCTACGACGGCCAAAGGCAGCATGAACGTCGGATCGGGAATGGTCAAGTTGGCAAGGAACTCCACCCCACTATCCTGCAGCTGCGGCACAGGCAGCTGCGCCATGTTCTTGCTCGCAAAGAACGTCCCCAGCGTAATCGGAATATTAATGAGCGGCACCAAGAACATGGGGCCGACCTTGACGCCCGCGCGGCTGTACACCTCCCTGCTCGCCATCGCCGCGCTCTGCAGCTCCATCCGGTTCTGCGACGCCCGCGCGCGGTCCATGCGCTCGCGCATCTTGGCGAGCTCGCCCTGGAACGGCGCGATGCGCGCCGTGTTGCGCAGCTGCTTGATCATGACGGGGAAGAGCAGCGCGCGCCAGAAGAGGCCGCCGGCGACGAGCGTCCAGAACCACGGCAGGCCGGTGGACACCTGGAAGAGCTCGTGGGACCACGCGATGATGCCGGACGGCCACCAGTTCGCGAGGCCCATCGCGGCGAAGTCGCCGTATTGCAAGGGTGGAATGGCTGAGGCGGCGGAAACGAGGTCGGCGGAATTGCTTGCTGCTTCGGCAAGTTCGGAGGGCGAACCAGCGAGGTCAGCGGCGGATGTGAGGTCTGTTGCGGACGAAGCGAGGTCGGCAGGTTGGTTAGGCGGGGTTGGGGGAGCGGCAGCAGCAGCAGAGATAGACTCGGAAGTCGTGAGCGCATCAGAGGGGAGCTCAGCAGCTACCGGCTGAGCCTCCGAAACGGGAGTTGACGATTTGGACGACCAGAAGTTGCGTGAGGTCCCTGGTGTCAATAGCAGAGCGGCCGATGCAACACGAGGCTGACCATTCCGCGTCGCGTCAGTAAAAAGTCGTAGTAACGATGAGGCATACATACCCTACTCGAGTTCGAAAGGTGTAAAGCAGCGCGCTGTGACCTATGCATCCCGAATATAAATCTCTCTCCTGTGAGTTTCACGAAGAGACGCACCTCTGGCCATGCAAGCCCAGCATGAGCCGTCTCCCTGAAATGCGTGCAACAGTTGCCATCTCGTCCTTGTCTTGTCCTTCGTCTAGCTGAGTCCGCCCAAATGCACACAAGCTGGACGCGTGGGGTGTAGAGGAGTAAAAATCAAATTGGAAATTCTCGCAAAAGACATGCCGAAAAGCGCCGAGCTCATTGGGCGGACAAGTGACCGAATATAGCGTGGTGGCGGTGTCGTTGGCCATCTCCTGTCACCTTCTCCAACGGTTGCTCCAAACTTTCCAGGACAACCCCCACACCCATCGACACCTACCAAAGACCTTCCGTTCTCTCGTTTATATCTTCTATTGAATCGCAGACTGCTGCTGGCCAGAGCTCAACCAACTTCATCTCTGGCATCCTTCCGCTCCCTCCATATCTCTCGAATTCCCGCCAACATTTACCATGCCTGCGACATACTCATCGCCTGATTGTGGGTCGCTAACTGTGTCGCGACTGCAGCCATTGATGTAGTGCCTTCAGCTCCGCGTCTTGGGCACAAGAACGAGCCCACCGGCAGCTTCCTCATTCCTCTCGTGCTCACCATCGGTGGCCTCGCACTCGTGTTTCTCCTATGGAGACGCGCTAGCCAGCTCAAGAGCATCGTCGCTCACCAGTGCGTGCTTTGCTTCTCTGTCCATCTGAGCTCACCCGTTCCTCCTACTTCACTTTTCTTTGATTCGCCACATCTACGTTACACCAACTGTGCCATGTGTCGCCAACGCGCGCATGCACATGTAGACTTCAAACCTGGCGAGGCGACAACGCTGGAAACGTTCGTCTCTCAGAAGACAACGGCCCCCCGGCAAGCGAGTTCCTCGTCGACGAAGTCATCGATCTCGAGCGTGGCGAGGGCGAGCACCTACCCGCGCCCGGTCACAAGCTTAACAACACCAACGCCGAGCATCCCCCATACACAGAGGAAGACGAGGAAGAGGACGAGGACGAGGACGAGGAAGAAAGCGGCGAAGGTGTTCCACTACAGTCCACACGCACCGGCGCACACTAAACCCGTATGCGAGCGCAAATCTCCTACGACGGCGTGCGGTGGCCGACTTGACTCGGCGCGGTGGAGGCTCCGGGATGGACGGTGTAATACTATACAGGCCGCGTATATATCTTCTTTTTCTTCTCGTCAATTCTGATCTCTGTGCTACTCATAGACAGATGTGCACTGCTTTGGATATATCATATGCATTTTCAGCTCGAACTGCGCGTGGATTTATATAGTGAGCTGCGGGACTGCCATGCAGCGCCAGCACTCTATTTCCCCCCTTCAGCTTTCTTCTCTCTGATGTGTTAATGCTGGCTCGTTCAAACAGCTAGGACAAGAGACGAGAACCACAATGTTGTAGCAACCGGGCTGCCGGTTTGCTTTCGAATCCTTGGCATTCATGCGCTGATCAGTACTCTGACCAGGTTGGCCAACCCGCGGGAACACGTACAAGTATTTCATGAGCCAAAACCATCTAATGTCAAGGAACCTGGCAGCCGCTATAATATCGGCTTTTGCAAGAGTGGATCAACAGAGGATACCTCGTCATTCTTGGCTCGCAGCCAAAGGTAGAGAACACTGCAAGCCTGCCCCCAGGCTGAGTACATCAGCTGATGATGGTGCACTCGCACTTTTCGATAGCCTGCGGCATCTTCGTAGAGGATCACTGCCTACGGCGTTCTTGGTGAAACCCCATCGCGATTGTGATCCAAAGAACAGTGTTCGCTGAAGGCGGTTATCTAAAGGCTCGAACGCAACACCAGCCTGATATCAACAACGCTATGAGTTGATGATTGGGCGCTAAACGCAGCCTCCAACAGCCACGTACCGGGCCGTGCCGGGGCGTTCACCCTCGAACAGTTTTTATCTCGCTGACGTGCTCGTACTCGAATGCTGCAGGGTGCCGTCCAGCTTGCGTCTAGCTCACCGCCGCGCACTTACGCCATACTGTACGACCTCACGGCTTGCGCTGGCCCGCCGTCTGCGTAAGAGCCCTCACGCAACACCGGGTCGTGGGCTCCGGCTCACCCTGAACCTCAGCATCGTCCCGAAAGAGGACTGGCTATCTTGCGAATCCTACCAACAGACGGGACCGTGGCGAGGTCGGGCCGCACAAGCACGCACGCACGCGACAGAGGTCCCGGTCATCCAGGATGATGTCACGACGCTGACTTTGTGCCTCACCCCGCCGGCTCCGAGTTTCCGACAGGCTCAGAGCTTCCGGCGACGCGTACCAGAAATACTGTGATGGATCGTCGTGCCGGGTATGACGAGTTCAGGTGGTCTTGCTTTTTTATCACAGGCCGCGTAGGTGGTCACAGTAATGCTGATTAGTGCTGACACCTCCCGGGGCGTAATTGGCGTTTGTTGAAGTAGCAGGCTCTTGCGACATTCTCGGCGACCTCGGTGCTTCGCTCGGGCACAGGGCGGATACTGGGTAGGAATCCCGGGGTCGAGCCCGGATTGCAGGGCTATTCCATTCTGGGTGCCAGGAGACTTTGTTATTCACCTGCGTTCATGACAGAGTTTCATTTATCTGCCACAGATTTGGACGGTCAAGCTTCAATGCCGCTATGTGGTGGAGAGCGTCGTCATGCAGGTTTATGGATGCGCCCCACAGGCGCTTGGATGATCTCATCATTGTCTGATTTAGATACCGGGGAGGGCGGATGGTCTTGTTGGATGTCTATATGGGTCTCGCGGGGGTGTTGGGACAAGAACGTTAAACATCGTCGGTGCCTGGGTTTCTGACCTCTACCCCGGGTCGTAGTGAATTCATGTTTTTCTTCTCGATAGTAATCGCGGTATATCATGGCGAAGTATTCTTGACCAAGGGCGAGTTGAGCGAGCACCATCCTTTTGTACCTCCCTAACTTGCAGTACTGCTGGCAAAGGCCGGCATTAGGAAAGTCGATGTCAAAAGCGTACTTTTGGGTTTTGACGCGCGGAAGCAATTCTGCTTCTCGTGGCATCTTAATTATGATGCCTGCCTATACATGTGGTATCGTACGACACTCCCGCAATATGTAGTTTTGAGGTTATCTCTCTTCGCCGACGGATTCACTTCCTTGACTGGACAATAGCTTGAATAATTCCGAATATCGTGGCATCTATGCTTGTCTAGACATGCGGTATTGTACGACGGCCCTGCCGTAGTCCTAAGGTTCTCTCGTTTCGCCGACGGATTCATTTCCTTGACTGGACGACAATCTGCAGTGACAGCAGCCGAATAGGTTCGCCAGCTCAGACCGTGTTCTTTCGAAGCGCGCAGAGTCTGCGTTCATGAATTCGCCGTTGATATCGATGGATTGCAGACGATGCTGTGTGAAGCACTGACAACATCAATATCAGATGGTGTTTTTTTTTCGCTGTTTCATTCAGAAGATGTCAAAGGGCCAAGCTCGCGATTGGCTGTGCAGCAGGCGCTCTCTCTGGCCGGCGTCGAGTGAGATCGCTTGCCCTCGACGGCGCGCACCGGCGCGCGCAAGTTGCTGTAGAAACCCATGCGGTTCGAAGTGCCATGGCAAAGCATCGGCTGCTGGGACCTGCGGGCGGCTGCGTAGCTTGGCGGAATTGGACTGCGCGCTGCTGTCTGCTGCTGTGCAGTTTGGCTGCGCCCCCCTTGTGTAGGTGCTAGTGTGGCCCACTAGTGATGATGAAACGGTGATGAGTAGTCCGGTGCTGGGCAGGTGCTTGCCATGGTCTGATAGCGTGAGAGAAGGGAGGTGAAACCCTGGAATCCGGGGGTTGCCGAAGGACTTGCCGAGGAAACTTGCCGGGTGGACATCACTGACATCAAGAGTGGATGCAACCTCCTCCCGGCTATTTGATGCGCATGACAGCTCCTTGTCTTGGTGCCCAATCTCGCTCCCCCTTCTGAAGCCAGAGCCATGTTCTCGAGCTTCAATTCCTTTCTCCCCTCCGTATTTCAGCCTAACCAAGACGCTAGATCACCACAACCCACTCCACAAGAGGAAATAGAAGAGCCAGAGCAGACAAATGTCGAACCATCTGACCATCCCTCCACCATTAAGAAACGAGAGAAGAAGGAGAAACCTACCAACGAGGTGCGCTACAGTTCTATGTGTCCTTGCATCAATTAAATCCTCTCACTTTGCCTCCACGCAGACGTTCATCGTCGTACGACCACCTCCGTCAAAAACGAACCATCCGCTAAACCTCCAAGTTCAACTCGTCCCTCCTAATTCCCGACAAGATCGCCGTTCTGGCTCACTCGCCAGCCTTGATCCTGCAACTGCCGCTGGCGACCAGGCTGAGAACGGCCAGCCCTTGGGACAAGACCTCCAGCGGGTTGCGTCCAATAGGTCTGACACCTCGGCGTACTCAGGCTACGCGTCTGGGACTGCCTCCGTCAGCTCGTTCGCGTCAACTTCCACCAGCTCTAGCAGGCGCATGATCATTCCGTTATACAACCTCCAGGCACATAATGTCCTTCAGAACATCATCGTAGACGCCGGGACCGATGCCAAGGTCGCCAAGTTCGGGAAGCGCGGCATGGAGATTGTGGGTCTGGCGTTTTTGGAGCCAACGGAAGTTTGGGGTTCCCATTCACTGCCAGGCGCACTTCCAGCAGGTCCAGCAGGGAACACTAGCACCCGCGCTAGTTTGGACGAGCCGCCTCGCGAATTTAGTCTGCTTCCAAAGGTACAGCCTGCCACCGCATTACCCGCTACCCCCGAACGCCCCTCCACCGCTACCGGTATACCCCAACGCCCTTCCATCCCGCCAACGCCTTCTACGGGAGATGCAACGCCAACCCCGGAAAACACTCAGCAGAAGAGCTCCAAGAAGCTCTTCAGCAGGATGTTCAGGCGCAAGGACCAGGCACGGCCACCATCTGTCTCTCTTGCGTCTAACGCCGACTTGGGCGCATCACTCAGTCCCCAGCCCCGCGGCCTCCTCTCACGTCCATCGGTGGAGGTGAACCGCAACTCCATCGCCATGGACCAGGGTATAGCTGGTGACGGCCTTCCCACCACCACCTCAATGGCGTCAGCTTCCGCTCTTTGCCCGGCAGTCCTGGGCGTGCAACCAACTTTATATCCCCCCATCTTCCCTCCCAGGGGCCGGCCGACGAAGTATGTCTGGGTGGTGCGGAAGTGGCTGAAGGGCACTGACAATGGCATTCTCAATGGGATGATGGGCAAGCTGAGCGTGGGGACCCGGGCTGACTCTGGATCATCTGCGCTGCCGCACGTCGAGGTACGCATCGAGTGGACGCGGAAGAAGGACAAGAACGATCGCCGAGACAAGAAGGCGCGCAAGGGCACGCTCGACATCCCCTCCGAGAGCCAGACGGTGTCGCGGCGCGGCTCCACTGCGCTCTCGTCGGACTCGCATTCTGTGGCCGACGCCAACGGGAACGGGCCCGTGCGCGCTGAGCACGTGGACGACCTGCTCGACTCGATACCGCGGTCCAGGAAGAAACGGAGGCAGTCCGTGGAGCATCAGAGCTTGAGCTCGGGCACGGGCGGGAGCGACGATCATGAGGTGGCGAGCTCGGCGGCGCATGGCAATGCGTACGACTCGGGCGACGAAACGGATCCGGAGGACTCGGATACGCCGTGGTCGTGCACGCTGTCCATGGCACGGGTCGGCCCGCTGCGGGGTGTAGAGGCGAACGGGCAAGGGGCGAAGCAGTCGCCGGCGGCGCTGCGGCTCAAGGTTGCGATGCTGTCGCCAACGCCGCACCATCCCAAGGTCGTCAGTCTGCTCAAGGTGCCGTTCCCGCTGCCCGACGTTGAGGTGGACAGTCTTACGGTGCGCAAGCGGACGGTGACGCCGCAGGGTGTGATGCGGACGGTGAGTGACGACGTCCAGCTGGTGCTCACCGCGGAGGAGATCAAGGATACGATCAGCACGACGGCGCTCTGGCTTGTCGTGCGCGAGTCGTTCGGTGGCGTTGGCCGAGAACGCAGGAAGGGCGACGGATGGCGTATCAGAGGCTAAGCTCGAAGCTCCCGCGCGGCAACTAAACAAGTCAAGTCGGAGAATCCGTCACAGGGGTGATCTTCGACACCTCGCTTTATCGATTTATCCTTGGCAAGCTCGCATCAACCGAATTCCCGAGGGCTACATCTCTCTTCAAGCGCTCGTCGACCCGTATACCGCTGCTTGCTCGGTTCATATCCCTTCATCTTGCCATCGTGCCCATTTTTACCGCCCAAGGCCTCACGTCCTCGGTACTTGATATCAATCGCCTGCATTGCACACCCGTCTCCGTCTATCTATTCCGTAACAGCCTTCCATTCGTCCATCGTCCACGTCACAAGCACTTCTCCACGTTTTATAAAGGCTGATCTGCCATCCCGCTTTCCATGAAGATTCATCTCCGCACACGACTCACAAGAGTATTTATTCAAGATTCGGAAGTCAGCCTCACCGCACACGTTCGAACTCCGTGGTTATGCTTTATCTCACTCTCATCGGGCTCATATGCATCCTTCTTTCTCTCAAGCTTCCCTTCCTTTCTAGTTCCTCGCCTTCAAGAGTGCTTCTTTCATCGAGTTCATGAATCATCGAGTTTCATCCCATTCATTCATTGTCTTGTTATTATTTTCCGCTCCATCTCGATTATACATCGGCACGAGACGTGTCCGGTCATCGATTCATCAATTGACTGCTTGCTCGGTTTTACTACTTTGGGCTGGGCGCGCGCGTGCGCGCCTACTAATATTGAGAAGGGTACCATACGTTTTGTAATATATCACCCCCCTGGTCAGCTTGAATCTTCTTTCTTGTTCCTCTTCTCGAGCTCGGTGCGGATCTCTTTAGAATTCGGGCGTCGCGCTAGGAGCTAGGAACGTTCGCCGTGCGCCGCGTTCTAGCGTAGTAGCTTTAATGCATCGCACGGATGGTGCCGCGTGTCTTAGCTTCTGGTGCTGGATTTGCACATTTTCTTTCACGAACGAATTGAGAGCGAGCTTGACGGAGCGTGAGCGGAGAGTTCTGGCCAATGTCTTTCATTTGCCGCCTCCTACGTTGATATCGTGGAGGGTGATTCACAAGAGCGGCCCGGGGTGGCATGAGTTTGTGGAAGCCAATTTTCGCGATCGCGTTCGCGTTGTATAGGCCGAGTCCGGGATCATCGCTGCGAGTACATACCGCGAACCGACGGCCTCAACGAGTTCATATTGATGCTGACCGGACCAAAATGACATCGTTCCAGATCATTCCGCGAAGATTTTAACGCCGCGATGGTCCGGATAGAATGTTCTGCCGTCGGTGTTAGTTCCGAGTCCCTGTAAGTCTGAAGCTGAAGTCTCTCAGGGTCTCATTTCAACGAGGCACGATTGAATATTGAATAAGCGCCCCTTGCGCGTACTATATGCTTGTTCTTGTCTGGATCTACTGCGTTTTGTTCATCGGCACCGTCGACGTCGGTATGAACTTGCAATGAGGCTCGTCCATTATTGCACGGTCACGGACCTTGCATTCTGTCAAGCTCCGGTCCCAAGATGGTTCTTTGCCGTCATCGTGCACATAACCTATTGTCACCCCAGAATGAAGGCACCTCAAGGTACGTCGAAGGACACGCAGCGGATCGTCGATTTCGGGAACGAGAGCACGCGCAAGTTCGTGCGTTTTTTCTTTGCTCTTGCGCGCCTTTGGCAAGCTTCAAGACCGGGCCAGACTTCCGAGCAAATCGCTCGTCACGTCGCGGGTAGCTTGCAATTGCGAACGCCAACCCAGATCTCGGCATCTCCGCATTGACAAGCAATTGACAAGTGCCCGGACCTTAGTTCGGGAACAGTAATGGAAACTGGTGGTACGCGGTGCCGTCGGAGGGCGCGTGTAACACGCCTCACCCGGGCCAATCCCCGACCTTGCCTCAAGACCACCGCGGAACAACCACTCTTCAGCACGACATAGGTGTTTGCTAATATCAACCTCAACGTGGTATGAATGCTCCGTAGTGTTCCGAAGAAAAAACGCTCCGGACCGCATCGCGCTCCGAGTCGACCGTACATCGAGATAAACGCCCAGCAGACCTCGAATTTTCAAAATCTACTAGGCGCAAATAGCGTGCGAACCCAATGTCCACGTCAACCAAGATTCCTCCACCTTGTATCTGGCAGTAGTCTCCAGCTTGGTGGGCACTGATTGCGAGGTTCCACGAACAAAGCGGATCCGAAGAATTTCTGGCTGTTCGCTATGGCGTTGCTGGCAGGACGACGAGGCTCGTCACAGACGAAGATACGAAGCTGAAAAGTCATATTTAAAACGTTTCGGTGAGAGGATTGCGTTCTACTTCCATCTGATATGGGAAAGGGTGTCATTGAGCGTGTATTCTACACCGGCGCGGTGAGCCATATATGTGGATCCATATGTATCCAGCATTTGCCGGTTCCGAGAAACGTCGGCTGAAAAAGTGATGAAGCGAGATCGATGTCGTTCAAGTGTCAGTTGGCAAAAGAAAACGGCTGCTAACGTGCTTCAGCACTGTAGATCTGGCTGCTTCTGATGTAGGCGAGACCCCACGGCCATACTCAGCAAGGCGTTCTTGAATAGTTCTGCTTCAAACAGATAAACAAGTGAGGAACAAGGACTTATCCTCGAACGTTTTCTCAACGTTGTGCCACCAGCGGCTCAATTACGTTATCTTGTTACAATCAATGGAGTTGGCTCAAACTTCAGAGGCTTCACCCGACTTGCCCGATCGAAAGCTCTTCAATATTCGCGTCTACGTGAATTTGGCCAGGTTTGGCGAGAGTCTATCCGGGAAAGCAACATTGAACTAAAGATCGAGCGTGGCAGATCTAGCAGCTTTCTCCATATGTGAGGCGGTTAATGAAAATTTGCATGGTCAACTTCACGCGACTTCATTTTCAACACCCGCCCTGATAAGCAGCTTCTTGCTAACGTCATCACCAGGTGCCTGCCATGGTGGCTCCTGGCTCAAAAGCGCGACTCCCCAAGCCAGAGTCGTCGGTTAAAGGTAAATCTACGGCTCTTGTAAATCGCCCTTCTTTTGCAAAATTTCACCTACGTTCTTCAATTGGGTTGCCGCCGGCTCTCCTTCGGATGGACACGTCCTTCGTGCCGGCGTGTCACGGTCGGAATGATGCTTCCGAATAACAAAGGCATAAATGAATCCTGATGCGAGCGGAGAACGCGATCCTAACGCCCAGCAATTACCGCATCGGAACGGCAGGTCATCGACATCTGCAACCTTAATGTTTCCCAATCCCCAAAGAACGGGTCGCAGAAGGTAATCCACCTTCCCAGGTGCCGGTGACCGAAGTCTGTTCTACGTCGCGCGAATCGATGCTTCTAGCGAAGAATATAGGCAGTCCCGAGGCTGCCAGTCCTTAAAACGCGATGGTGGTAGTGGCACGGCTCTTCATTGTCTCTCCCGCCCTCATTTCCCGCTAGGAGCGAGCTGCCTCATTGTACCTGTATACCCCCCGTAATGTCCTCACATCCAGTGTGTCGCATCCTTCCTCCCGCTGTATGATTTGTTGACCGCTTTATAGGATCAGTCGTACCAGTATAGCGACGCGGACTCGTCCCAGGCCCCCAGGGTCCCTCGTCGGACTGCCATGGCTTGCCAGTTCTGCAGAGGTAAGTTTCCGTGCCTTTGAACTCTATTGTCGACCAACGTCGCCGCCACCCCGGGACCAGGCCGAAAACTCAAATGCGACGGCAATCGCCCGTCGTGCACCAACTGTGACAAGCGCGGGTTTGCGTGCAACTACGTTCCAGTGTGAGTGCGCCTCCCATGCTGTCTAACCGGATCGTGTCTTATGTATGTGTGGCCCCCCTTCCTGCATTCTGATAGGTCCGAGCAGAATAAATAGCCTCTGCACTATGCTGGTTCTGGGTTCGGTCTCTCAGCTAGTCTTGATGGTAGAAGTTGAATTGTTCGAGCTCCGCATCGTCGTCGTCCTGTTCTCCTCTCCTCCGCACCGTCCTCGGGATACACACGCCATCGTCATGGCTTCGGACCGTTTGAAGGACCGAGCGAGGACGCTTTTAAAACCGACAGAGAAGGCGCGTTCGAAACAATCAGAACCTTGCATCTCCGAGTCCATAGGATCAGCGTGTAATCTACATAACATCTTTGCGATAATGTTGCCGCTTATTTTGATAATATTAGTCTGCACGTTCCTCGGTGCTCAGCAAAGTCCAGCTGTCGTTGAGAGCGTACCGTATACGTATAATCTAGAGTATTGACGTCAACGGTACTTGTACTGAAATTTGAAAGGAGAGGGGGAAGCGTCCCACTTTTTGATATCTTGACACTTATTAAAGACTCCGGATTGGGTGTCGAGTTCGAATGGGGACATGACACCCGGGCTATCTGAACATTTGCCTGGCTGCTGTTGATTTGCTTGCGCCCAATTTAACTACAGCGTCCCTACGGCTTCATACAGTCGACTGCTTATAGTAAATCTTGTATTCCTTGCATTGAAGCATCTCTTAGTAGCTGCTTCCCCCGCCCTCTAGCGTGGTATGTTTAGTAGTAGGCATCTTATTGAACGTCTACGTCGAAAAGTTCGGGCATACTTGTCCAAAAGAACGTGCACTGGACCTAGCCCCTGAAACAGGGTACGTAAAATAGCACCTGGCGGACGTAAAAGCACAATGCAGCCTGGGTGTTCCTGCTATTCCTAAAAAATAAACTGACATGACGCCGAAACAAGCAGCTGATAATGAAGGCACCGACTAGCTGGCGTTGCTTCCGTGAAACGAGCCAGCTGTCGCCCTTGTCCTGTTTTCGGCTCATTTGTAAGATTAATATAGACCCTGACGCTGTCTATAAACCCAGCGCACCACGTCAACCGAAGGCTTCGCGGGTTGTTGTCCCAGACAAGCGTATGTACACTCCCCTCGGCCCTGGCACCTGCGACGAATCATGGCACGTATTTTTGATGCGTTAAATCAGAAAATCTCCACGAGCGAACGCGCGGAGGGCCGCAGGTCGCCGCACAATGAATGGTGGCCCGCGAAGGATGATATCAGGCCATCAGTCACAAGGCAGTCCCGGAGAGGTGATGCTGATGCGGCTACTCTTAGCTGCATATTTGTGGGTGCGCCCATCTTACGGCCTGCGGGTGGGCGCGGCCGGCGAATCAAGATGTCTTTTGACCCAAAACAAAACATCAGAAGAAGGATGGGCTTTCCTGCGCCAGCGCAGCTCAGCTTAGGGCACATCGCTTGCGCGCAGCGGTATTTACTTACCGGTGCGGTGGCAGTTCTCATGCACACGAGCCAGAGGACCGGCGATGAGGACAAGGTTTCGCGGTGGGGCGACGTTTTTCGCTTCACGGGTCCTGAGGATCCACACAAGTGCGCCGCGATGGACCATGGTTTCTCATGGAGAGTGAGAAATGGGCACCTTCGGAACGTTCAAGAGTACATAATTTTTCAAAGCACGCCAGCGCGCCATGCGGCGAGCCGACAGCCGTGTAACCTTGCTGGGTCAGATGAAACCGGCCTGGCGATTAACCCCTGATAGCCCCGCGTAAAGTTTCATGAACACCCGGGAGGTCATAGGAGAGGTGGTTGTTGTCTAGGAAAGGATTTAGTGGAGGGATGGGGAGCGACAAGGTTAACTTCGCCTCGAAGCACTGTTAATAACCATGACATACCGAGGGAGAGGGCATATACAGTCGGTATTTCATTTGAGCTCACGGCTGTCTCCTTCGCCTCCGGGTCTGATTGGAAGAATGGGAAGCTGCCGTCGGCCTCCCTGTGGCGGGCGGTCATTTCTGCGCCCAGCTTGTTGCGCTGCCTGACGTCTTGACCAATGGCCAAGGGTCGGACCTAAATATTTGAATTCTGATCGTTCAGGTGAGCGTCGAGGGTGATGTTGGTGTTTCGTTATTTCCGCAGGTCTGCCACTTGCCTGCCACATAACCTGAGGAGGTATGAGGCTAGCTAACACCCGTTGGCAGTCAACGGCGCGACTTTGAGACCACGATAGCTCGACTTCGGTTTGGCTGAGACGACAGCAGGTTTTGCGCGCGCTTCAGCCTGAGTCGAGGTTCATACCGGGCGCTTTTCGGGCGTAGGTCCGAGTCAGAGCGCAACGAAAAAGGTGCCACTGGAGTGTAACAAATGAAGCAAAAGGTGACATTCCCGACGCAGAGGCGAAGCGAACAAAGGCGAGTCGTGCAAATCAGCAAGGGAACGACTCCACGACACCAGCAGCTTGGGGGGCATCCACTCAAAAAGTCTAAATCCGACTCGACCCGCCGCTATTGCGTCCGGACAGCTAGCCGAGCGCGGGCCGATCATCTCCGAAGTCGTTGCAGCAGTCGGTGGCGGTGCGGTGTTCCTCTTTCGCCTCCCGGTCGCATCTCTTTCGACCCCTGACGGTAGACAAAGTAACACGTCCATCGCACGCTGAGACCGTTCTCATCTCCAGGTCATCTACGGCATGCTGGATCAGTACCTCGTGTCCGGATCTTCCAAAGCATACTACATACCCGACTTCATTTCGCAAGACGAGGAAGAGTATCTCCTCCGTAAGGTTGTCGTTCCTTTGTGGCCCTAGGCGGTTCGTGAGCTCAACTTGACCGGGACTTGCTTGCGACCTCCAGATTACAGAGACTCCGAGGCAGAAATGGAAAGCCTTGGCCACTAGAAGGTACTCAGAGTGCTTCCGCTCAGAAGGAAACAACTTCTTCCCCTGAATCATGACGTTGTTTGGCAGGTCTCAACTTTGGGGTGAGCGGAAGCAAACTCTTCAGTGCTTCTCCTTTTGGTCCGTCTAAATCGGTGGTTCGTACAGGAGGCGAAATAATGCAGAAGGGCACGCTGGTCCCCCAGGCGATGCCTCCCTTCTTGACCACATAGTGCTTCGTTTCCGTGATGTTCGAGACAGTCACTGATGAGCTTTCTGTCCTCGCCGACAGCCCCGATCTCATGGGCCGACTGAGTGGCACGTCCGCGTTCGCGTCTTCTCCCCACCAACGTCCCAATCACGTCATCATGAACGAGGTTAATCACTTGCCCTTTTCCGTCACGGTGATTCTAATGTGCTGAAACGCGCTGCAGTATCTCCCAGGCCAGGGCATCATGGTGCGCTTACCACGTCGACGTCGCATCTCCGCATCGTGCCGAGCGCCGCGTTGATTTCTGTTAGCCACACGAAGACGGACCCTCGTACCACCCCGTCGTCGCGACCATATCGTTGGGGTCTCACGCGGTGTTTCACTACTACAGCTATCGGAACGACGGGGTCGATCACGGCGCGCTCAATGCAAGTTCAAGCCCAAGTACGCGCGCCCACGACGCCAGCCGAGGGCGCTCCGTCAACGACGTGCCTGTCCTCTCGGTGTTCCTCGAGCCGCGGAGCGCCATCATCACCACGGATGCGCTCTACACCGCGCACCTACATGGTATTGACGACGTGCACCGCGATACGTTCGTAGGCGCCGGGCGTCTGCGCCTGCCGCGGTCCGAGGGCGACTTTAAAGGTGATATTGATGAAGTGCAGATCGCGAATTGGCGGGCGGTCAAGGACGGGGAGAGCGCGCGGGTGCTCGAGGGGGGCGGCGAGCTGGAGAGGGGCACGCGGTATAGTCTGACGTGCCGCGATGTGCCGAAGGTGGCGGCCGGCGATGCGTTTAGGCTTCTCGGGAGGCGGTGAGTGCCGCCTCGGCGGGTGTTTGGAAGGGTGTTACGGCATTGGCGGGCGCGGACGTTGATTCGGGCTGCAGCTAGCGAGGCTAGCTAGCCTAAGGTTAAACCTAGTTTACTTAACGTTGACGTGCGGCGCTTTACAGATGATCGCCGTTTAGACGCGCAAGAATCACAGATACATCAGCTACGCTAAGTATTGGTGGTACATCCGGCGCCTATTTCGCAGCATCCTTGAACTGAGCAGGAACCTCTGCGAACTCGACTGGGCCGAACTTTTCCTTGATCGTCTCGATGGATCGGATTCTGTCAAAGTACGCCATCGTGTCGGGGTACTTGGCCCGCTCGGCGGCTCCCAGCGTGACTTTGACGGCGCTCTTGAGGCTTGCGGCGAGGGTGATGTCTGCGATGGTCAGGCGCTCGCCGACCAGGTAGACGCGGCCGTCAGCAAGATATTTCTCGAGGTAGTCGAGCGCTCTGTGCTGTGCGCTGAGCAGGAAATCGTGAAGCTATGAGGTTCGGGTGCTGTAAGTAAAGGACTTCGACCGGAAAGGTGAAAATGGTCTACCTCTTTGGTGTACCCGGGCATGTAGCCCCAGGTCAGGTAGAGCGAGAAATCGGAGAAGGTCTGGAGCTCGCTCTCGGCGAAGTGCATCCATTGATCGATCTGGGCAGTTTCCACCTTGTTTTTGCCCTGGAGCCCCGTCTCGGGGGCCAACGAGGCAACTGAATAGTAATATGAAGACGTTGGTCAGTCCCCGGTGTGCCATAGCGATCGCTCGCAAACACGACTGTAGAAGTTATTGCTCACCGTAGCTGGCGATGGCGAGGCCCTCGGTCAGCTTGCAGCTTCCGTCGGCGCTCTCGAAGGCGGGGACTTTGCCGAGAGGGAACTTGGCGAGGTACTCCGGCGTTTTGTTTGTCACGCCGAACTTGATCTCGGGTTCGGTGAGCTCGAGGCCTGAAATAGCGGCGACGGATTCGATCTGTAGCGGGTTGAGGTTAGTAGTGTTAAGGAGATATATGTGCGGGTGATAATGCTCGTCGGGTCGAGACGTACGATGGTGGTCTGGCGCTGGTATCCGCCACCCCAGAGTGTGCCGATAGGAGGCATAACGAGAGGTTTTCGAGTGTGAATTTGGCTGGTAGAGGGAGCTGAGTGGGCTTTTGACAAGTGAATTCGCTGACGAGGTTGTTAGATGTTCTGCATCTCGCTTTGCCCTTATTATACTGCAGAATGGTCGATCAGCTCGTGCCTCCCGCAGGCTTCGTCTCTGCCGTTTCGCGACTAGCTCATCTTGGTAATCGCATTTTCCGCAGACTGCGTTGTGGTCTCCGGGACCGGGGGCGTCTTGCAGGGCCTTGAGACCCACAAGTGCCCGAGGAGGAGTGATGGACGTCTGCTTGATCAGCAAGGCTCGCGGGACTGCAGAGACGTGTAGGGCCAAGTATGAGACTGGCGTGAACGCGACGACTGCGCTGGTCCTCGCTGGCTTGATCGGTGGCAGTGTGCCCGTCTGCGGAAAGGGTGGAGTGGGAGGTGGGGGACTGCTCATCCTGTGTCAGCGGCTTATGAAGCTCGGGAGGTGTGGATGTAGAGATTGCGATATGTTGGGAAGATAGGTGTTTAGCAAGCAGGTCCTGGGCCGTAGAGGAACTGGACAGGGAGTGGAGGAAAGAACTCTTCAGGGGCTCTGCCTTGCTTGAGCTATTACCTCCGAGTCTTTGAGCGCTGTGTGGGTTGATCGTCATGGAGGCCAGGACTATGTTGGTTTCAACGTTCATGTTCGTCAGCGACCAAGTCGCCATTTACCTCTCTCAAGGCCTTGTAACAAACGTACGCTAGGAATCTCGGGAAGCGCGGGTTGAACGAAGCGTATCCCTTGGATGAGCCTGGGTGTTCCCATATTGTACTCCTTCAAGTGAGTTAAGCACGCATACTTCATGGTCTCGATGGCAGACTTTATTGAACTTGCCCTGTAGCTTTATGCTCACGACGCTTTCATCGAACAATACCGCCTAGCCGTAATGCGTCTCCCCTACTTCCTCTCGAGCACCCCCACCCCAAACCTCATCGGCGCCGTCGTCATCCTCTTACCCCTTCTTCTCTCCATACTCCCCCTCGATCACCGGATACCCCCTTTCAGTCCCCGTCAGATCATTTACAGCTGCAACATTCTCCCTCTCCTCCTCGCCCCGCTCGCCATCCCATCCTCGTTCTTCTCCATCGCCTCCCGCCTCGCGCAAGCATGGCTCATCACGCGCCTGCCGCCCGACGCGCCTCTCAGCGCATATAGCTCGTGGATGCTCATAGGCCTCTCTCGAACGCTGGAGGGCTTCGTTCTCTCGCGCAGCGTCGGCTGGGCGTATCCTTCGCTGTTCAGCCACCAGGCGCTGTACGAGCGCACAGGCGGACTCGGTCCGGGCGTTGTCGCGTACGTGCTCGTCTCCGTCACGGGCAGGAGCATTCTCGCGTCGTCGTCGAGGCTGGTGGAGGACGCTGCCGTTGCGAGCGTGTGCGCTGGGCTTGGCTGGGCTGATGGGGCGCCCTGGACGTATTCTATGGCTTTTCTATTTTCGGGGGCGTGGATTGTGTTATCCAAGGTCCTCGAGCGGAAGAAGGGCGGTCGTCGTCAACCTCAGCCCGCGTATGAGGCCTTGCCTAGTCCCCAGCCCAACTCCTTCTCGCATGAACCGCTGCCACCTTCCCCACCACCTCGCCTGCGGCCGGCCCTCTTGGCGTTTATCATCCTGCTGACTCCCTACGCGCTCTGGAAGGCGTTCACACCGCGCACAGACGGACCCGGGGGGATCTTCACGCCGCCTTTTTCAGTGAAGGAGGCTCCTCTATACACAGGCCCCTCGCTGGAGATCCTCATCCTCACGTATCCGCGACTCGGCGATGCATCTGCTAAGGACTCGATACTCATGACCACCCTCTCGTCGTACGCCAGCTTGCTCACAGGCACAGGCACAGGCGCGGGCGCGGGCAACGTAAGCGTCTCGGTCTTTACGCATGCGCCGCAGGGATCGCATCCCGCGTTCGAGTACGCGCAGGAGACGTACGGGATGTCTGGCGGGCCCGAGCACGAGTTGGGGAGCCGGGTCCGATTTTATCGCGACGGGGACGAGCATAAAGGGATGCGCACGGGGCAGCATCTGCATGTCGCTGAGGCGTTTAGGTGGGTGGTCGAGCGGCGCGGGTCTGGGTCTGAGGAGGCGGAGGCGGAGTGGATTGTGTTGGTGGAGGACGACTTTCCGCTGTGTGGGCTGTGGGGATGGGCGGCGCTGCAGCGCGTGATGGGTGTGCTGGGGCGGGGCGGGCGGAGGGGTGGGTTTGTTGGGACGGGCGGCAGGTGAGTAGTTTTGTCATGGGTGATGGTCCAACGACCGACGGCCTGATGATTTTTGCGCGTTTCATCAACTGGTAGCGGGCTCATCATCCACCGCTCGCTTCTCCCGGCGCTGAGCATGGTTCTCCGCGCACACGCGGACCTCGCCATGCCGTCGGCCGTCCCCTTTGGCGCGTTCCGCCCGGCGGATCTCGTCATCCAGGACTGCCTCCTCGCGCGCGACCCGCTGTGCGCGCTCGACGCGGCGCAGCAGCCGCAGTACCCCGCGTGGGCGTGGGCGCAGGCGCCGCCGTTGGGGTCGGCGTGGAATGTGAATTTGGATTTGAAGAGTGGGAATTTGAAGAGCGGGGGACGAGGTGAGGACGTGGACGGCGACGGGCCGCTGGTGGTGAGCTCGCGGCTGATCATGGACCACCGCGGGGCGCGGGTGAGTACGGCTGCGGGGCGGGCGTATGGCGAGGAGCAGTGGCGGTGTGGGTGGCGGCATCCGTTTCATGGGTGGGAGAGGGTGGGTGTGGTGGAGGTGTAGGTGATGCGGTGGAATAGTGTTAGTAGTGCTTGTTCTTGGTTGTTTTCGGGTAGAGGTTGTTGTATGCTTGGCTGGATTAGTTTGGGTGACTGCAGATGAGAGCCACTGGTAGGGAAAGTGGCATGTACGGTGGGCAGTGCGCGTCCAGTCGACGTGAGTCGTCTGTCGGGCATGTCATATGCGTGGGCAGCGTCTCGACCGGTTTCCTCGCAGACCCCGTCAGCTCCGAGCTAACCTCACTATAGAACTATAGGGCGCCTCTTCGACACAATTTTTGAGCTCCAACACGGTGAATCTTGGGGCGATGGAAAGAAACCTGGCGTAAATTAATCCAATTACTACTTGCACATAATGCTCGCCTGCTAATGTTGGACAATGCGGGTTCATAAAGGGCGATTAAGAGTGGAATCTAGTGTATGATTTGGTTGTACAATCATAGTATAACGCGCGCGCGCGAGTGGGCGTTGTCCGCATCTCGTCGTCCGTATGCATACCAACCAGTTCATCTACCCAGCGCTGCACCTCTAGTCCACAAACAGCCCGCCCGCCTGCGCCGAATCGCTGCCCGCTGCAGCCCCCTGCGCCCTCGGCCCCTCGCCAGCCGTCGCGCGCACGCCGCCGGCCTCGGCCTTGATGTTCTCGAGGCTCTTCAGGAACGCGTTCTGCCGGGAGGACGCGCTCCCCTGGGCGGCGGTCTCGTCGCGGATGATGGCGATGACGTCGCCGATCGCGGTGTCGAGCTTGGCGAGCGCGCTCTCGAGGAGGAACGGGTTGCCTGTTAGGGCGCCAGATTCTTGGGTGGTGCCGGTGCCTGGGACGGTAGATTCGGGGGCGGCTGGGGTGGTGGATGGGGGATGTTGGTGTGAGTGATTTGAATCAGACGAGGGTGAGGACGTACCATGGGGATCGGACTTGGGGAAGACCTGGAGAGGATGTCGGTGTCATGCATGCAGACAAGAGAGAGCGAGGACTCACCTGGCCTGGGTTCTCTCTCGATGGTGATGGGGGAAGACCATGTGCTTCAGTGGTAGGGAACTTTGCGTCGGCTGCAGGGTGCAATGAGACGATGGGGTAAGTGGCGAGTGGGCGGACGTACCTTCTCCCAACATATTGTTCTGAGCAGTTGCAATAGGTAAAGCGAGAGGAAGATGTGGTGGTTGGTAAAGTCATTGCATGTTTGGCAGATGACGTAGTTGGTCCTGCACCACTAGGATAGGGGCGAACGCGTCGAAATCTTGTGGGTGTTGTCAGGCGTGTACTGCGAGCACATCAGCGGATAATGTAGATATTGAAGTTGGGCTGCAGAAAACATTGCAGCTTTCACATAAGCGCGTGAGGGACAAGTACAAGGGCCTCCCAACTTCCTATGATATCCCACGTGGACATATCATAAATAAAACAAATATTTTTGAGACTCCGCGGCAAGATTATTTTGTGAGTCAGGATAAGCTTATGCGGATTATCAACGAGTTTTGAAGCATCCAGATCTAACCACCCTTTCCCCATCCTAAAACCCTGCGCTAACACGCAAGACGATGTCCGACGAAGAAACGCTCCAGAAACGCCACGACGACTCTGATTCCGAGGATGACGACGAGGTCGAGGACGTCCCCTTTGTCGACATCGACCCTACCACTCTCACTCCCCTTTCCCCAGAGGTCATCTCAAAACAGGTCCGTACTGCTTTCGTTCACATCGTACACGACGTTTTGACGCGAGAACGCGCATACAGGCTACCATTAACCTGGGTACGCACTCCTAGGCCTCCGTTTGGCTGGCGCACTCAGCCTGTACGCTCATCTCGGTATCACAGGCACGATCGGACATGTCGCGCACGGAAAATCGACAGTCGTCAAAGCCATCTCGGGCGTCATGACCGTCCGATTCAAGAACGAGCTCGTCCGGAATATCACCATCAAGCTTGGTTATGCCAACGCCAAGGTCCGTCTCCTCCCTCTCCCCCGAACCCATGACGCACGTGCACGCCGATGCTCAAGCGCTCTCCTCCTGCCTGCTTCTGTAGGTCTACAAATGCGAAAACGAAGCCTGCCCACGGCCAGGCTGCTACCGCTCCTACCGATCGGACAAGGAAGACAACCCGCCTTGCGAGCGGCCCGGGTGCGGCCATCGCATGAAGCTCGTCCGTCATGTCTCCTTCGTCGACTGCCCCGGCCACGACATTCTCATGGCCACCATGCTGAACGGCGCCGCGGTCATGGACGCCGCACTCCTGCTGGTTGCGGGCAACGAGACGTGTCCGCAGCCGCAGACGTCGGAGCATCTTGCCGCCGTCGAGATTATGCGGCTCGAGAATATTATTATTCTGCAGAACAAGGTGGATCTTATCAAGGAGGCGCAGGCGCTCGAGCACCAGAAGAGCATCTCGGCGTTCGTCAAAGGTGCGTCGCTCGTCCATCTCCATTCCTCCGTCTCGACTAACAACAACACTAACACAACGATCGCACGCAGGCACCGTCGCCGAATCGTCCCCCATCGTGCCCATCTCCGCCCAGCTCAAATACAACATCGATGCGGTAAACGAATACATCGTGAAGCGCATCCCGATCCCCGTGCGCGACTTCACCTCGGACCCGCGGCTGATCGTCATCCGCTCGTTCGACGTGAACAAGCCGGGCGCGGAGGTCGACGAGCTCAAGGGCGGCGTCGCGGGCGGCTCGATCCTCACGGGCGTGCTGAAGCTCGGGCAGGAGGTCGAGATCCGCCCGGGGATCGTGACCAAGGACAGCGCGGGGCGCAACAGGTGCAAGCCGATCTTCAGCCGGATCGTGTCGCTCCATGCGGAGAACAATCATCTGCAGTTTGCGGTGCCCGGGGGGCTTATTGGGGTCGGGACGAGGATCGATCCGACGCTGTGTAGGGCGGATAGGCTTGTGGGGCAGGTGTTGGGTGCTGTTGGGAAGCTGCCGCAGGTGTACACCGGTGCGCATCCCACCCCTTATGTCTCCTTTTTTTGCGTTCGTCGCTCGTTCTGACTGAAGGGGGTGGGCAGAGCTCGAGATCAGCCTCTTCCTCCTGCGCCGCCTGCTCGGTGTACGGACAGAGGACAAGAAGCAGGCCAAGGTGTCGAAGCTCGTCAAGAACGAGCTGCTGCTCATCAACATCGGCTCGACGTCGACGGGCGGGCGCGTGCTCAGCGTCAAGGCGGACCTCGCCAAGATCCAGCTGACGTCGCCCGCGTGCACCGAGGTCGGCGAGAAGGTCGCGCTCTCGCGCCGGATTGAAAAGCATTGGCGTCTCGTTGGTGAGTGGTGCTTCCTCATTCTGTCTGTTTTGGGGCGTGCGATGGCGGCTGGCTGACGCGTGGTGTGCTTTACAGGGTGGGGAAGTGTGCAGCGCGGGACGGTGCTCGAGCTCGATTGAGCGGGCGGTTTTGTAGATACTATCTTCGGCACTCGTGTAGCGCTAGGGAATGCGTGCAAAACTGCTTTTGTGCATCGCCTTTTGATGCCTTCTCTCTCTATGGTGAACCATATATATCAAGTGAGCTGTGTTCAGAGCAGAGTTGATTGCGATTGCAAGAGGGAGAGCAAGTATGTAGCAGGGTTGAGCTATCTAATGTTATGCAAGTGTATCGGTATTCGTTTACTTGAGAAAGCGTGTGCATGGATGCGCCTGAGGGTACATGGCAGACAAGATGAGGCCCGGGCAGGCGACATCATGCGGCAGCGGGCAGATCTATCAGATCGAGCTCGCGCACGTCCACACCTGCGAACGACCGGTTCTTCACGCGCCGGCTCTCGAGCTCGCGCTTCGTCAGCCAGAGGTGCAGCAGATGTACGGCGTCCTTGGCCTAGAAACAACCGCGGCCTTGTCAAAAATCCACTCTCAAGAGAAGGATGGGCATGATGCCACTCACCACAGCGAACAACCCCAAACCAAGCGCGTTCCGCCACCACACCGGGTCGCTGCCCGCCCACACGTCCGTCCCGCGCCAGCTCGTGCTGAGGCCCATCACGCCGAGCACCGCGAGCCGCTTCGGCGTGCTCATCTGCACCCACGCGCGCTCGTCGATCCCCGCTAGACCCAGTCCGGCGATCGAGCCTGAGCCCCCAGCGAGACCGCGGCCGCCGCCTGCTGTGGTGGTGGCGGCTGCGGCGGCGAGAGCGGCACCGGCGCCGCGCGGGCGCACGGCGAGGATGCGGCGGAGCAGCGGAGAGTGGTGCGAGGCGCGGAGGAGGAGCGCGCCCATGAAGGATGCGATGCGCGGGATGATGAGCGCGCCGCCGACGAGGCGGCCGAGCGAGGTGCCGGATACGCGGATGGTGTTTTCGGCGGCGGCGGCGGGGTCGTCTGCGTCCCCTCCCCCTCCTGCACCTGCGCCTGCATCCCCTGCGTCCCCTGCGCCAGCGTCCCGATTGTTGTTGTTATTATTCCGCCCTGCAGGCTGATTCCCCTGCTGCTCGCCCCCATCCCCATCCCCGTGCTCAATCTGAATCTCAAATGGGCCGTCCCCGTTGATAGCCAACAAGATCCTCTGCAGCGGCCCGTTCGCCGCGCCCGCACCGGTCCCTCCGCCGTTTAGCACTGCCGCCTGCACGCGCGCGTAGAGCCGCCTGTACCCCTCCCGCACGAGCGGGTACACAAACAGGCCGAGCACGAGCGGCGGCGGCGGCCATGCGCTCGCGCGCGCGAGAGCTGCATTGGCGCCGGCGCTGGTGCTGGTACCGCGAAGCAGCCTGAATCCGCTGGAGCTGGAACCGGAGCCGCCCGCTACGGCACGCACAGCGACGGGCGCCGAGGTCGGCCACGCGAGCAGGACGGGGACGAGCGGGGGGATTGTCGGGCGGAAGGGCAGGCGCGAGACGAGGAGGGCGAGTGGGATGAGGGGCAGGTTGACGAAGCTGTGCCAGGGCCAGTTGGACGGGTCTTCGGTGAGGAGAATGTCGAACATCCTGTAAACCGTGGTGCAGTCAGCGCTTGATCGCCAGCACATATGCCGATGGAGCAGATGAAATGGGGACGGAGAGGTAGCACGCACTCTTTTCCGATAAACTCCCTAAGCGCATACGCCCCGTACGCCGTCCCGGTAACGTACAGCCCAAACCCCACACTGCCCACCGCGAAGCTCACGCTCGCGAACGTGACCGTGCGCCCGACGACGCTCAGCAGGCGGTTGCCCGCGTTGAGCACGCGGAGCGCCGCGGGGTTGCGGCTCTCGAGCTCGTAGCGCGCGCCGCACTGCGGGCACTTGAGCGCGTTCGCGGCGCGCGCGCGCGACTGCTGCGAGGACTGGATCCAGTGCAGCAGGCACTGCTCGTGTGCGACGAGTGTGCACGAGCAGGGGTGGGTCCATGCGCGCGGGGGGTCGTCCGAGGGCTCTGCGTGCGCGGCGGGCGTTGGGCGTTACGTTGAGTAAGTGCTGGGGTGTTTTGTGAGGGGGGACGGGGTGCTCACCGTCGAAGCGCTCTTCTTCGCGGCATATATAACACAATTTGACCTATAACCCAGCACACGCACGCATATCAGCCACCTATATCCAACTCCCGAGTCTCGCCCTCTCATGCCAGAGAAGGACAAGCGGGAGGTTAAACGCACCCTGAGATCATGTATCGTCGGCACCCGCTTCGCCTGCTCCCACCTGCTCGCCCGCTGCTCCTGTGGCTGCTCGCGCTCCCGGGGCTGCTCCTGCTCCTGGGCCTCGGGCTGTGGTCCCTGGGCCTGCTCCCCCAACGCCGCACCCAAATCAACAGGCGACGACAACGCCGACGAGGACGGTGTCGAGGCGGGGGAAACGTCCTCCGGCGCGAGCAGACGTTCCGGCTCTTCCTGGTGGAAGTGGTGGTCCATGTAGAGCTTTCAAAGTATCACTTCGTGTTGTGCTTCAAGTTGCGGGCGGTGATAGATCCGAAGGTGGCGTGGGGCCGGTCAAGACACGGCTTGCCAAAAGCAAGCAAGAGAACAGAACAGAACAGGTGAAAAGACAAGGACTTGCGATGGCGGTGAGTGTCCTTGCGGTTGAGTCAAGACAAGACAAGTAAGCAGCAGCAGACCTATGACGCGTGGCGGACAGGCGCTTATTCCTATTCTCACTCACTCGCCCCTCGTCACACGATCAACACCAGTCAACACCTCAAAAAACAGTCATTTTTTCAATTGTTCATCATGCTCTATGACTCGACAAAAAACGTACAAACTGCAACATCACAGAAGGGAAGAAAAAGATGAACGGGCGAAGGGAGAATAAGACTCATTAGCATGTATTTACGTATACTTGTTGCGTGTCGAAGAGCGGTCATGGTGCCGTGATCATGAAAAAAGCAGGACGGTGAAGCGTGAATGAACAAAAAATGAAGAGAAGGGAAAAGGAAAAGGGAAAAAGAGAAGAAAAGAGAAAAAAGGCCGTTCGCCACGTCAAGTGGTTTGCTCGAACAAGCCTGGCTTACGCTCAACACCTCGTCTGTCTGCCTTGTCTTGTTTTGTCTCGATATAGACGAAAAATGCAGCCCGCCTAGTTCTCCACAACAGCGGCCGCCGGGACCGGGCTCTTCTCGCGCTCATCAGAAGCAGCAGCAGCAGCAGCCTTGGGCTTCTCACTGTCGCTCGCAGCGCCATTGCCGTTGCCGTTGCCGTTTTCGTCGCTGTTGCCATTGCCGTTGCCGTTGCTGTCGTCGCCATTCGCAGCGGGCGCAGGGCTCCTCCGCCGCTCCTCCTTGCCACTACCGCGTTCAGCAGGGCTCGCACTGCGCCGCCGCGGGCTTCGGCTCCGCTTGCGGTCGCGGTCGCGGTCCGAGTGCCGGCGGGGAGAGCGGGACCGGTCGCGATCGTCCCGCCGGGAGGAGCGGTGCGGAGGGGAGCGCCGGTCGTATCGCCAGACAGAGGAGGGAGGGTTCTTGGCCCACTGTAAGGTAGGGTGAGTATATGCGGGGTAGGGATGAGGGTATGGACAAACCTGGATGCTCAGTCGGGAGCCTTCAAAGTATCGTCCATGCCTGCTCGTTGCGAAAAGGTGTGGTTAGCCGAGTAGGCAAGGTTGACTGGAGGTTATACATACATGTCATAGTAAGCGTCTTCGGCGTCGCGCGTGCTTCTGAATTCAACAAACGCATAGCTGTCCAAAGGGGAAGAAGAGCAGAGGGGGAGGAAGGAAGATTCGTTGAGCGCACGGTTCGACTCGGACGGGAGGGAGACACAGGTTCGGAAGCGGAAGAATCGAAGAATCGAGAATTTGAAGGAAAAGTGCGGAGCGGACGCGGGCGCGGACGGAGCGCGGCGGACCGAGGACTCGGTGGGGACACGCAAGAGCGGCGTCTTGGACAACGCGAGCCTCGGGTGAGGGTCTCGCGGTCCGTTGCATTATGTATCGTGTCGCCTCGGCGTCGCATGGCATCGTCTCGACTCGAATTCGAACGACTCGACTCGTCTCGTGTAGCTCGCTCGCTCGCTCGTGCTCGTTCATCGCATCGCAGTTCGCCAGTTCGCTCGGGAAATGTGCGCGCGGTATGCCGCGGCGTGGCGTGGCGAGGCGACTACGGGAGACAAAGGTGACGCAAATGGAGCGGGGGAGATACTCACGGGTTAGAGGACGCATGCGGGTTGCGTGGGGCGGGGACGTCGCAGCGCACCAGGGGGCCGAATCTAATGGAAATGTCCAAAAAGGCGGGGGCATCAGCATCAGACACGGTATGCATAGGTTGGAGAAACGGACCGCTCGAATTCGTATGCGAGGTCGCGGGCGCGCGTGGAGGGGTGGAAGCCACTGACGAAGAGGATGCGCGGCATTTGTAGAGTGCTCTTGTTGTGCTCTTGAGGTCGGGGGACGTCTGCGGGTGGTAGGAGGAGGAGGTGGAGGGCGTTGGAGTGTCTGTGGGTTGTGTGCGTTCAGGTGGAAAAGGAACGAAAACGGGATGTATGCACCTGTTTGTGGCGTTTGGCGCCCAGACTCCGCGCCCAGAAACACTCACAAACAGACGCGTACATCCTCCACTAAAAAACACAGGCAACACACAAGGTATGTTACTCACTTTGTCCAGGGTAGAGCTTATTCTAAGGAACTCGTTTTGACAGATTATGACATAGAACGTCACCACCTAACACAGTAACACCCGAACAGCTCAGGAGGAAGGATGCTTGTCCGTCGCATTCGCATGTATCTCCAAGCAAGGACTGACATATCACAGAGAGCATGGACTTGCGCGTATGGAAATTTCTCCGGAAGCTGCGAACGGCCACCAAAGACCCCATCTGGGATCTCGTTCTCCGCCTGCCCGCCAATACCAGCACCACCTACGACGCCCTCGAGCCTCTTTTCCGGCCCGCCCACATCTCGCGCTACCAATATGTCAACCTAAGGCCCGTCCTCGCCGCCCGCTCCCTCGCCCACCTCCCCGCCTCGCCCCCGCCCGCAGCCTACCCGCCCTGGCTCACCTCCCACCTCCTCACCTCCAAAGTCCGATCTGCCGCAGAAGCCCACTCCGCCCTGTCCCTCGCATACGACACTCTCGACACCACCCACCCCTCGTACCACCCCTCCCTGCTCGTCCTCGCCACCCACGCCCTCGCAGCCCACGCCATCCTCGCCCCCGCATCCCGCGTCGTCCGCACCTTCGTCACGACGCCCGTCGCAGCCGCATCGCACGCGCCGACGCTCCACTACAACGCCCTCCTGCACGCCCTGTCCGCGTTCCCGGCCTCGGCGCCCGCCGCGGACCTCGCTATCGCGCTGCTCGAGGCGATGCACGACCAGCGCCTGCCGCTCTGGCCCTCGACGTACTCGGCGCTGCTCTCCGACCGCTTCGTCACGCTCCAGCTCACCAAGATGCTCCGCGAGAAGATGCGCTACGAGGGGGTAAGGCCGGATGCGCGCCAGCTGCAACAGTATCTCAGGATCTTCGCCAAGGGGGGTGCGATCGAGACGAGCGGGGAGTATATGCGGGCGATACGGGAGTATTGCCTCGAGAACGGAATGACGCCGCCGTTGGACGTGACGAAGGATGCCGTAGGGCTGGATGAGAAGGATGGAAGTCTGGGTTCGGGCAGTATTGGTAGCGTGCACCCCGCGAACACACTATACCTTCGCGCGCTCAAGAACGACCCAGCGAGCGCGATGCAATACCTCCACAAACTTCTCCGCCTCCAAGACCAAACCCCAGATTCACCGTCCTCCACGCAACCCCAGGATTCCCAACCCGATACCAACTCCCCTACTATACCCACACCAGACCCCGCTCCCCCATCATCCCCTCCCAAAACCTCGGTCGACATCCACGACTACACATCCACGCTCCTCTCCCTCACCGCCGACCACAAAATCCCGCCCGCCCGCGTCCTCACCATGTTCGAGTCTCTCCGCGCGAAGAGCAGCCCCGCCAGCGCGCGCCCGACCGCGGTCACGTACACGGCGCTCATCCGCGCGTTCCTGCACTCCAAGGCGCCGCCGTCGCGCGTGCGCGGGCGCGTGCTCTCGCCGCTGCAGATCGCGCTTATGCTCTGGCTTGAGCTGTTCGATGGGGACGGCGGCGGGGGGCAGAGGCTGCGCCTTGATAGGTATGCGGTCGCTGTTGGTGCGCAGGTGCTTGTGAGGAGTGGGAGGCATGAGGAGGCGTATTGGCTGCTCGAGACGTTTGCGCGGCGCGGTAGGGCCGCGATCAAGGCGGGGAAGACGGGGAAGGTGCCGAGGTGGAGGGCGGCGGCGCCTGTGCATGTGGGTCCTGCGCAGAGAAGGGCAAGCGAGAAAGCGACGCGGCTGAGCACGATCGCTGTGAACGACTTTATGCTGTCCTTTCTGCGCCGCGCGCCGCTCCCTCTCACCTCCTCATCGTTCGCAGCATCAACAGACGACGTCTTCCACTCTACACAGCCCATGTCCGCCGCCGACGCGGCGCATGCGGCGCTCGACCTGCGCGTGCACCCGCGCGAGCCGCGCCCCGCGCTCGTGTTCGCGCTGTTCGCGCACATGCACGGCACGTTCGGTGTGCACCCGGACGCGGCGTCGCTCGGTATCCTCCTCAAGGCCGCCGTGCTCGCGGGGAAGCTCGAGCGCGAGAGCGTCGGGCTCACTGTGCGCAAGGCCGTGCGCAGTCTTTTTGGGCTGCGGGGTGCTGCTGGGAGTGGAGATGACGGGCGACGGCACGGTGCTGGAGGTGGGGATGGAGATGGCGCTGCTACGTCTATGCCTATGACGCGTCCGCCCGCCGGCCCCGAGCCGCTCGCAGTGCTCATGCACTCGTCGAGCACACCCGCGGTGTACGGTCGCCCTCCAATCAAGATCAAGTGGTCCGGCGCACCTGCAGACTGGGCGGGCGCGCCCGCGCACGAGGTCGCGCGGCGTATATTCCGCGGCGTCGTTTTGGGGAACTGGCCGTGGCTGCGTGGTGTTCGTGCTGGGTGGCTCCCCGATGGGCCTCTGTCTTCGTCTTCGTCGTCTCCTGCACGTTCGTCGGCAGCCGGCAAGTCGCGATTGGAGCGGGAATTTGAGCCGGAGCCGGGGCCGGAACTAGGAAGCGCGCAGGTCCAGCGCGGCCCGTGGGCGCTTGCGCTTGAAAGGCATCAACACGCTAAACGCGGCGCGCACGCGCACGCGCCGCCATACCCGACGATCCACCCCTCGCCCGCGTGCTTCGGCGCGTACATCCAGCTCCTCGCGCTTTCCCCCGCCCCGTCTCATCCGCTCCACAGTGTCGATGGCAGCAGCGGAGCAGTAGGAGGCGGCACGCGCGCGGACGAGATCCCGCAGGTGCTCGCGTGGATGCGCGCGCTGCGCATTGTGCCGGACCGGCGCATCCTTGCGATCGCGCTTGTGTTTGTGTCTGAGCGGGTGTATGGGTATCCGTACGCCGAGCAGCGGCGCCGCTCTCGCTCGTCGTCCGACGACCTATCAACATCAGCATCAGCATCAGCATCATCAGCATCAGCATCAGGTCCATCAACGGACTTCTGGTCCACCCCGCTTGTCCCTGGCGCTGACGCCCCAGGATCAAGCGCCGTCGGAACGAGCTGGATGGCGCGCTGGGGTATGGGCATGGGCATGGGCGGCGGACAGGGCGCGGAGCTGCAGCGTCGCCGGGCCGTGTTCGCGCAGCTCGTCGCGTGGGTTGATGGCTGGGTCGGCGCGCCTGATGAGCGCGAGATGGGCGAGGCGCTCCGTGCTGTTGCGAGGATGCGTGATCGGTCGTTTGGGGGGCCGACTGTTTGAGAAGGAGGGGGGGAAGGCGAGGGAGGAGGAAGGCGAGGGTGAGCGGTGGAGGAATGATAGGCGCTTAGATCTGGTGGTGCGTGCTTGGAGGTTTTTTTGGCGCTGAGCGTGAGGTCATATATCGCACAGTTTATTTCTCTCGTAATTCACGCGATACATAGGCATTTGTACATATACCGGCAATTCTATTACTGTCCATAGAGCCATCTTGACACCAGATCTGAGAATAGATGGGATGGTAAAGACGATGAGGGAGGAGAGGCGATGGGGAATTGCTCGTTGCCTGGCTGCACTTGATAGGTTTCAGAGTCGTCGATGCACTTCATCGAATACCTCGATTCCCACATGGACGAGGGAGACCTCCGTTACCCCGCTAACTCAAAAACTGCAAGTAGGCCTAGGGATCATGCCTTTTTCGGCATGCTGTATCTTGGCAGCAGTCAAGGCGATTGACCAATCAGATGGGACATACCTGTGACGTCTGCTTCCTTGATGACGGACACTTCATTCACGACCTCATGTTCAACATGGATGCCCGTCCATACTCGGGCCACTTTAGGAATTAACATGGGGTGGAACATGTCGTATCTTAGCAGCAGTCAAGGTGATCAGCCAGACCACCCGCGTGCCGCGATACACCTGTTCTGCGTCTGGAGTCCTTGATTACTGTGCTCATATGAACGGCGGTGTCTCCCTGTCCACCATCCACTTTGGCCCGTATTGGGAAAATACTGGTGCCTTGCGTAGGTGCGACGTACTAGCGCATCGCGGATGTGGAAGAGATTGAATGGCATCTGGACGTTTTTTTTATAGGATTGATGTGTCAGGAGAACAAGCTTGGAAAGTGGCTGTCTCTTCTTGCTCCTGGGTTATGCTAGGGGTGGCACGTCCTGTGCCTTTATCTCCGCTGCTACTGATCTTTACGTTCTCGGGATGTCCCACAGATGCGTGAATGGCTGTATTAGGGGCGGATATTTGTTTGAGCATCGTCACGCATATCGCGATCGCATGCCTTAGAAGCGTGTTTTCTACATCACGTGTTCACAGACAAAGTTCAGATCTACGCAGTCATCAGAAACGCGTTCGCTGGTGCTTTCGGAGCCGAAGCCGGTTTGTCTGCAGCGGTGTAGTGGTCCCCTGTGAATAACAGCTGGGGATCTGACTGAAGATCTTGCCGTTCCACATCCAGTATATATATAGGTACTCTCCTCGCCGTACTCCCTGTAGCCGTTTCCCCACTGCCATATCCGCATCACCAGAATTCAGGAAGTCTTGAGGACCTCGGAGTGAATATGCCTCCTACGCGCAAATCGGTTCGCTACGCTTTTCCACCTCAGCTCAGTATCGGGGCTAATTGTCATGCAGAAAGCTAGATTCGAGTGCATGCACACTGCCTGTTTGCTCAAGGCGCAGCCGACATATTTCTCGGGATCGAGGGACGCGCGAGTTCACATCGAAGGCAAACAGTAGGTCCCCCTTCGCGCGTAATAAATATACATTCCTCACCTTGCGTTTTAACAGCTTGGCATTGAAGCGATACCGTTGTCTGGCGTGCGCGTACGCAACCCCGGATCCTTCCTCGATTAGAAGACACTGCAGGAGCAGACACCAGTATACGCGTGGACAACCGGTAATGTGGTTTGAGGACATTGCAGGTAAGGCCACAGTGCATGCCGGTGGTCGCCGTCTATACTTAATAAGTACTGAACACTCATTTTCAGGCACCCAGAAAGACGACTGGAAGCATTTTTATGTTAAGCTCGCACCTCTCCAGAATTTCGGATCTCCCCGGAACACCTTCGTGTTTGACATGCAGGACCTCTTCTCCGGAATGCCGGCTCAACATGGGGGACGGGAGAGCACGGCGCCTGGAAATCTGGCCATAGCCCCAACATTCCACGTCCAGCAGCCCAATGCTCCCCTGGCTGATACCCTTGTCAGCTCAGAGTCCAGTACCTCAGTGAACAATTTGCCTTGGCCGGCGCCCAGCTGGTTGTGAGCTTTGGCAGAGCTTGTGCTCACTATGCATGTTTTATGACATGTGATAACTCATCATGTAAACGATATGCTTCACGTTATGTCCCATGTATTCATGTGGTTTGGATATTACTCACTCGTGACAAGCCTCGGAGTTTTTCGCTGCGCAAATATGTGCGACATAGTGTCGGGGTTTGTGCCCTTGAATGGTGGACATGAGATCTCATATTTGTGTTATCGGCTGGTCACTTTTGAGGATACCTCCGCAGAATGCGCCTATGGGCTAACGACTCCCTGATAGGGTTTATGCAGTGTTGAATATACCTAGTACCAAGGTAGCAACACCTTCCGTTTCTTCGACTTAACTCTGTCTTGTTGCGCAACAGTATGCTCGTACTATAGGTAATTGTCATTACATCAACCTTAGAGCGCAACCACGGACAATCCATAGAAATATGGGGTTGTAAGAGACTGTGCAATGACACGGCCGTGTTTGCCTATCGTTAGCTCACTTAAGTGTCCATTGAAGCGTGACCCCACGTCATCCATTAATATTTTGATTTTAACCTACCGTACTGTACTGTAAAGGCACGCACTGTGCGGTAACTCATATTTCTTGTGGTCCATAACATATACTCGCCTCTTACCATAGAAGTTGAGCAACGAGGCCTGAGGGCTAGGATAGACGTGCGATGCCAATCTCCCAGACTTCAAACTGATTCCTTCCTACTTCCGACTTCTCGTATTTTCTTTTAATTCTCTATTCCCATCCCGCGCTCGTTTGTGCGCTGATCACGCATATGCACGGCACTTTCGGTGTGCACCCGGACCCGGTGTCGCTTGGTATTCTCACCAAGGCTGCTGTGCTTGCGGGCAAGCTTGAGGGTGAGAATATCGGGTCCACTGTGCGCAAGGCGGTGCACAATCTTTTTGAGCTGCGGTGTGGAGATGACAAGCGACAGCTAAGTGCTGGAGGTGGACAATGAGGAGACGGAGCTGCCCGAACCGCTCGCGGTGCTCATGCACTCGTCGAGCAGTGTGTGGCCGGCCCCCGATCAAGATCAAGTGGTCCGGCCCGCCCACGCACGAGGTTGCGCGGCGCATATTCCGCGGGGTGGTTTTGGGGAACTTGCCGTGGCTGCGGTGGCTCCCTGAATCCTGATGGGCCTTTGCCGTCTCCTGCACAGCCGTCCGCACCTGCAGCCGGCAAGTCGAGAGTGGAGCCGGAGTCGGAGTCGGAGACGGGGCTGGAACCGGAGCTGGGGAGGCGCGCAGATTCAGCGCGGCCTGTGGGCGCTTGCGCTCGAGCGGCACCAACACGCTGATCAGCGTCGAATTCTTATCTTGGATTTGTTTCAGAGCTCTCAGCAACAACCTTTGCTCGACCCTGTCGATGGCAAGCCAACACTCAGTAAGTTCGCTTTTTCATCGGCTCTTTCTTCGAGACACATTGAATTCGACCTGTCGTGTTTTTCAGAATCAGACCACTTTTATTTTCCCTTCAGCATCAGTGTCTCGTTGTTGGAATTCAAGAATCAAGACGCTTCATGATAGATCAGTGGGCTGGTTTGCTCAAGCCTAAACCGATGTCAACAACTCTGAGTTAGTGAGTTAGTGAAATCGGTACGTGTTTTGCTTTCTATGATTTATCTGCAATTTTCTGATTTGTTTCAAGGCATTTTTGAAATGAGAAAGCCCTGGCGGGTTTGATCTCAGTTTCGAAAGCCTCAGAAGCTCTGAAGCACACAGGGCTCTTCGTGAACTCAAGCGAACGGATCGAGTGCTTTGGGACTTGGAGAAGATGTCCGGGGATGCTGACATCGGGGATACTCCCAAAACATCCTGGAAGGCCCCATTACTCGAGGACAATGAAGGCGAAGAGGGCTCTCCCTTGATAGGAGATGAAGGAGACGCGGACACTGCTTTCATAACCATTGAGCTTCTTGCTCATTGGGCTGATCCCCAGGCGTCTCAAGCTCCTGCGACCGGTCTGGCCGATTCTTTGGAGCCTGGGGAGCTCGACATCCCATCTCCGGCTGAATACAGTCGTGGTAAGCGTCTCAGAGTCTCAAATTTTACGCTACAAGGAGTACAGACAGCACTAGCTATTGTAGATGACTGTCCTACGTCTGAATATCAGCTTAGGTTTTTTTAAGTCACACTTTGAGGTTCAAAGTACTGTGTGATAGGTGACGAACTATGTCGTAAGTTCAATTTCCGGGTCAAGCGTGAGGCGTGACGAACCTACGGTCGTGTAGGTACAGTAGTGTAGTTGTTGCGGTCCGGATAACCCGTCCTGTAAATCATTTCTGGAGAGGAGGCGCGGCTCCTTAGCGATCCGGCAACGACCAGAAATGCACAACGCACCGCCTCGAGCTCGACAATGCGTCCCCGTCTCCTCCCACCACCCACCAAAGTCAAAGTTAATCTGGCCATGTTCGATCGGCGATCCAAGATATCCTCCAAGAACCGCCACCGTGGCACCCCATTATCCTCGCCACCGCGTTCGCATCAGCAGCCTCTCTTCCCCGCTCGCCACTGACTTACGATCAGCACGGACGGCAACAGTCCAGGCGCGGAGAAACTCGTATCTGAAATCATGCACATCCTATCCAAGCCTTCTCTCTCGACGCTCGCGCTCGTCTCTGTATCCTCGCTGATGCAGAAGGACGCTGACAGCCCAGGCACTCGGACGCACGGCCCCAGGCTGATCATCAAAGCCTCGTCAATTTGATAGAAGTGGTGTGATATATATAGTCAGCAGCTCTTCCAGCGTGCCTCAATGGGCGTTGTCATACAGCAAGCTCTAGATATGAATCAAAGTGGATGGTGGACAAGGAGACACCACGAGTCACACGAACGCGCTGAGACGCCGAGACTTACATCAGAAGGCGGTGGGACATCGAGGCGTACTACCATTGCAAGGCGGTGGACGCTGAGACATACATCGGAAGGTGGTGAGACACCGAAACTTACACGAACGTTTGAAAGCGGTCATTGAGGAAACGGACGGGGCACAGGTGTGCTGCGGCCCGCGGGTTGTTTGGCCAATCACCTTGACTGCTGCTAACAATACAACGTGCTCAACTTCCAGATACGACCAAAAAGGGGCGGTCACTAACGTATACAAGCATACATAATCGAGAGAGTGGACATCAGCAGATCTAGATATGCCGCGTACCTCCGAATTCGCGAAGTACCCTGAGTGTTGAGCCAATGCTAAAATAGAGCATGTTACAGGAAGATGGTCCCTGTCCTCCAAATATGTACAGTAGGCGGGGTAATGGAAGCCTCCCTCGTTTGTTGTGTGAATCGAGGTTTTCGCGAAAGAGGATGAGCGACCTCGTATTCTATAAAATGCAGCCGGGAAATGAGCGACTCCACATTGCCTCTCCCACCTCATCGTCTTTACCAACCGCTCTCATTTGCCACTATATCCGCATCACCAGCGGAACAGAGTGAATATAGACCTCGCGGTGACTATGCCTCCCCAGCGCAGATTGGTTCGCTACGCGTTTCTCTCTTACATCAGTGCACAAGCTGATGTCATGCAGGAGGCTAAATTCGAATGCATACACACTACATGTTTACTCAAGGCGCAACCGACATATTTTTCGGGATTGAGGGACGCACGAGTTCACATCGAGGGCCAGCAGTAGGTCCCCCTTCGCGTCTGATTTTATCCCTTTGTTTCTAACTTTGTGTTTAAAACAGTTTGGGATTAAAAAGATACCATTGTGTAGCATGCGCTTACAAAACTCCGGATCCTTCCTCGATTAGAAGGCACTGCCGAAGCAAACATCACTATGGGCCTGGACAACCGGCACAGTGGGCCGAGGATATTGCAGGTAAAATCTCAGTACATGCCAGCGGTCGCCTTCTGTGGCTAATAACGAGTATTCGATTTCAGACGCTCTGAAAGATTACTGGAAGATGTTTTGTGTCAAAGTCATGCCTCTCCAGAACATTGATTCTCTCTCTAGCCCCTCCATGTTTCCCGTGGAGGATGCATTCTACGGAACAACTTTCAACGCCTATCAGTCCAATGCGCCCTTCGTTGATAACGGCGTGCGCGGCTCGGAGACCAGTAGCTCAGCAAATGACTTGTCTTTGTCACCGCTTAGCTTTATGTGAACTTTGATTGAGCTCGTGCTCGCTATGCTTCTTCTTCTTCTTATCACATATGTTACACCGTCATGTTAACGATATGATTCAAAATATGTGGATGCAATATGGATATTAATAATGGCGAGCCTCAGCTGAGCTTCTCATTGTGTAGTATGTGCATCATAATGGTGGAGTTTCTCGGGTGGCCGAATATTGGGAGTGAGATAAGTCCTGAATGTGTGCATCGGTTAATCACTTTTAGTTAAAGGGCACAAGCGAAGCATGCACTTATGCCAACGATTTCCCGTTAATGTCCGTGTACTAGTATCAAGCTTCGCTGGTGGCGAGGTATAAGCGGCCGTACCTCCCATTTCTTTGAGGCACATCTACTTATCTTGTTGTGTATCAGCGTTATTCGTACCGTACATTAGGACGTGGTCCATTCTGAGAAATTGAAAGAAGAACTTAGTTTTTAACGTGTGGTCTTTCATAGAGCCAGTCGTTCCATATAGCTACTTTAATGGCCGCACACGCGCGCCGTCGGGCTACCTGGCCTGCAAAACATGACATATGTAGACTACAAGTGCAAATACATAACAAACGCCCAGAAGCCTATATTAATATTACAACTCTTCCACTCACACCTACGACAGAAAATAGACCGCTCTTCTGTTCTCGATCACGTAGACCCTCTCCTCGCAAGATGTCCCGCCTGCTTGCGCGTGCAGAAAATACCGAACTGCTTGCGCCGCGGGCCGTGGAAGTTCCGCCGGGGCGCCATGGGCCCTGGCGCGTCGACGGAGGGTTCCAGCGCGGGCTCGGCGGCGGCCTTTGGATGCTGACGATGTGGGTTCGCAGGGTGCACGTGGGTAGCGGCGACGGTGGCGCGCAGGAGAGACGAGTTCAGGAGGTACTTTCGCTGCAGCGCAGTGAGCGGGTGTTCGGTTACTTTGTCCGGGAAGGCATCTGGGGCTGTGAGAAGGAGCGAGGAGCGGGAAAAAAGCGAGGAATGTAGGGCGCAGAAACGCCAGAAGGGGTGAAAGGGAGTGATGAGGTCACTGTGATTTAGACAGCGAGGTAAAGGACAGGTGACCTACGCGGCATGAGTGTCGCCTCGGAGGGCGGCGATGACGTCCGACTGGGCGACCCTAATGAGGGCGTCACAGAACGTGACGCATCCGATGGGCTTACAGAGTGCTGTGGCTGCTTGTCGCCCAACGTTGGAGAAGAGGCGCCGCTCAGACTCGCTCTGACCAGCGCCTTGTCGATCCCGAGCTCAGAAAACGGGTCTGACGGGTCGGATTTTCTGTGGATGACAAGCCGCGTAGACAGCGGCAGAAGTAGTCTGTGCAGTCGCGCTGAATTGCCCTCTTTAGTTTTACCGTGGAAAAAACGACAGAAAGGTGGGTAGCGCTTACCTCGCAGCTCGGGCGCGAAATGCGGACGGTGGTATTGGAGTAGAAGCAGCAGCTTGAAGTACTGCGATTTGTAGGCGAGGAGATGCTCCGGGCAGGACGTAAACAAATGCAGTTTGACGCCCGCACGAGTCAGAGTTGAGCGGGCTATCTGTTGGAAAGAAAGGCGGGTGTGAGTATTAGGCGTTCAGGCCGTGGTACACGGCGGTTTCACCTCCATCAGTGCGATTAGCTACGTTATACGACTTGTTAGATCGTCGTAGAACTGTAGAGAACAATGGAACATCACTTACCCGCTTTCCATGTTGCCGAAACTGTGATAACGTAAAACGTATGCGGGTCATTAAGATCTCCACCTGTTGAGCGGCGGGGAGGAAAGACGACAGGGAAGAGAGGTTATTTGCGAGATCGAGAGAAATTTGGCGCAAGCGTCGAGTGCTCGTAATACGCTCGATGTTACTACTACTGCTACTCGTGCTAGTGACAAACGAGCTCATCGTGTACTAACAGAAAAGAACAGATGAGGGGAGTGTGGATGGGTTGACAAGGGATGGCAAGCAGCAGAGCGGAGATGAAATGTGCGGGAGAGGTTGAGTCGCGGGGAGGCATTTATATGTGGATTATGGGCACAGCTTTTTCATGGGTGAGGGGGCTGGGGCTTTTGCCGCGAGTTCGAACCGAGCCGCCCACCCGAGCGACTTGATCACTTTTTGCGGGGGGTGGCTGGCAGCGACAGACTCCGCGGCATGAAAAAGATCGCCAGATGGACATGACGCTGTGATCCTGTGGATTTTTTGCTCCCAGGGACGAGGCACATATTTCACGAGCGCGCTTTCACGCTCCAATGACGAAAGCTGTCTAGACTTGTCTATTGTAACTTCACACCGTTCAAAGGCATAGGTATGGATTCATCTTCAGGAGACGATATGTAACACAGGCCCTAGGGGGACATGGCGCTATCGAACTGATTTGTGCTGGCACACCAAGGCAGACTCGTTTTAGGGTGGCCATACCCGAAGGAGCAGTTCGGGTTACATAACACCAAATACGTAACAGGTCAATCAAACACACGACAACAACGCGTCCACGTCCTCCGTGTTTATTACTCCATCCCAACTCCATCCATACCCAATACTTATCCCTGTCTTTTCTCCAAGTATCCGTTGAATAATATTCTGATACGTCACAATGGAGGCTTCGACAAGCAGAACCGAACAGGAGCGGCAGAAGCAGATCGCGCTAAGGAAACAGATTGCGGCTCTCCAAGCACGGCTCACAGACTTACCCGAGGACACGCCGCCACCCCGGTCGCGCTCGCCGAAACGAAAAGAACCAGAGTCTACAACGCTTGTGCCGGCGACTCCATCCAGTGTGTACAGTTCCTTGCTTGTCTCCCTTGCAAATACTTAATGTCACAGAGAAGCGCAAAGTTGCGCCCAAAGACTCGTTCCAAAAGATACAAGCAGCAACCAACCAACCCCAGGCGTCCGGGTCTAGGCACGGCCATGACTCAGCTAGTACCCGGGGCCAGCCATCCACATCGCAACACGAACATCAATACGTGAAGCCCGCGCAGTCGAATGTCCTCAGCAGCCTGTCCAAGCTGAACGGGAACTCACGAGAGCGCAAAGAGGACTACGAGGCCAGTCGATCGGTCTCGCTTGCGGACAACACTCGCCCCCCGAAACGAAGCTCGAGCTCCACTGAGACGGCGGCCAGCACATCCGCGCCCGCCGAGCGCCCCAACATGCCTGACCCATCATCCACCGGGGTAGCTCGCGACGACAGCATGGCGATCATCGAGGACCTCACCATGGGCTCTGCGGAGCACACGGCGCCCGCGTACGACCCCTCGTTCGAGCAGCTGGAGCCTAACTCTGGTATACGGCTATCGTACGTGCCTCCAGTACTATCGCTCTGCTTCGGCGCCGCTCATCACATTTGCTAAATTCCCATTCGCATACCACAGCTCGCGATCACTGCCGCACGACGATCTCCAAGACTACCTCCGGGGGCGGTACTACCTCTCCCCGTCGAAGCTCTACTCTGTCATCCGTCTGTCGCCGAATAAGCAGGGGTACGACGTTCCCGTGGACGGCGACTGGGTGACCATCGCCGTCGTCGCTGAGCGGGGGCCTGTCAAGGTCAGCCGCGCACCCGTGTCGATCACGCCGGGGGAGGACGACGGGCAGGCGTCGGATGGCGAGCACGCAGGCGCCACCGCTTCAGACGGCAAGAAGGGATATAACGGCAACGGGAAGGATAAATGGAAAGGAAATGGAAAAGGCAAGGGCAAGGGCAAGGAGGACGAGGAGGCACCGAAGCCGAGCGGGAAAAAGTACGTCAACATGCGGCTGATCGACTTTGGCGCGCGCACGCGCTCGTCCGCGACGGGCGGGAAGGCGGTCGTGCGCGGCGACGCGTTCCTCTCGCTGCTGCTGTTCGAGGCGGACACGTTCGACGAGATCACGGAGGAGGGCGGGCGGAAGCGTAAGGTCTATAGGGGCGGCAGCCGCGGTGCGTACGAGGCGATGTCGCGCCTCAAGGAAGGAGATGTGATTGCGCTGTTGAATCCCAAGGTGCTGAGGCCGTTCCAGGTGTGTGTTTCTGCTTCTTTTTTCGTCATACAAGTGTGCTCAGTATCTGTCACTACTTTCTATCACTACGACTATCACCACCAGCGCACAAACGAAAAGCCGCACCCGTCGTCCAACATCCTCGCTGTGACACCCGAGTCCGCGGGCTCGATCGAGGTCATCGGACGCGCCAAGGATCTCGGGATGTGCAAGGCGGCGAAGCGCGACGGGAAGCCGTGCGGGAGCTGGTGCGACACGCGCGTGAGCGACGTGTGCGACTATCACCTCCAGAGCGCCGTGCAGAGTCGCAAGGCGGCGCGCCCCGAGTTCTCGATCGGCACATCGGGCCTGACGAGCTCTGCTGCCGCTGGGGGGTACAGGAAGCGGAAGGAAGAGTTCGATCCGGCGCGGAAGTGGGGGCTGCAGCCGTCGCTCGACGGCGGCGGAGGTGCAGGTGGAGATGGAGGTGGGGGTGGGGCGACATACGTCGTCTCGGGGCATGTGGTGAATAACTCGCGGAACGCGGTGCATGTCGCTGAAAATATGGGGAGGGAGGGGCAGGCGAAGGCGAAGAGGAAGCTCGAGAAGGACGCGGACAAGGAGCTGCTGTCGCTGCTCGAGCGGGACAAGACCGGTATGCGCGCGGTGATGCGCGCGCGGGAGGTCGGCGAGGGCGGGCTGCGCAAGCTTGCCAAGGGTCAGGCGCAGGATAAACATAAGGACAAGGACAAGGACAGGGCTAAAGGCAAAGACAAGGAACCGCCATCGACATCAGATATGAAGCCCGCCGCGCTGGCGAAGAGCACCTACTCTGCGACGATCATCAAGCAGCTCGGCTTTGACCCGGCTTCAAAGGCCGGGCAACACCAGAGCACGACCGACGCGGCGATGCAGAAGAAGGTGGGCTCCGAGTCTCCCCCTTTCTTTTCTTTTTCTTCTTTTCTTTTTCCTTCTTGAGATGCTGAACGCCAGAGTACGCAGCTCGACACCCTCGCTGCGCTCCAGTCGGACCGGAAGAACATACGGCTCGGTTCGCGGCCTGGGCCCAAGATACGGTCGGGCGTCTCAGTGCCCGAGTGGATGCAGGAGCACGAGGAGTCTGGGGAGGCAGGGTTCTCGGACGGAGAGCCGGACGAGATAGACTTGGATGATAGCGATGATTGATGATTTAGGTATATTTACGGAGTTGTATGGTGTGTAGGATTTTCTAACTATACCACTGTGGGCTAAAGGGATTACAACACTACTATTATCAGTATCAATCAAGGAAGGCCCAACAGTCATAGTCAATCGTGGTCAAATTGCATCTTAAAGAGTCCAAACCTGATAGCGCCCCAAAAATGACATTTAGTACGCGGACTAATAGTTAGCAAGCCACCAAGGGAAGGTACAGATATCTCGTATATATAAGTTTACGATGTGTCGACATGGTGAGCCTTTTCTATGTCTAACCACCGCTAATTCCTCACGACAATATCCGAGCTCAGCCCCTCTTCAGGTGGAACATTTGCTGTGGCAGAGTGGCACGGCGCCCAGCGCGTACGGATGAATACGCATATGTGTACTTCGCAGCGCGAAGCACGATGATCCCTGGTCAATTTCTCGAACATCATCATAAGGGCTCGGCTGAGAAGCGGCTCGGAAACTTTCAGGGATTTCGCAGCATTTTCCTCTGTCATAACGAGCAGCTTGAAATTTTTCCTCTAACAGTCGAAGTTCATGTTGGCGGCATCGTTCGGAGCCATGTTGGGGAGATAGGGGAGGGCGGACATGCACCGGATATCACCGAGCGCCACGGGGGCAGTCACATCGGCATCTCGGCAAGGACTGCGATGAACTCCTGAAGCTTGAAGATTGAAGAGTCGCCCTTGAGTGCCAGCGACAACTTAATCGGGTCGCTTGCTGTTCCTTTGGCAGCTCGGGTAACTTATATCGCTCTCTCAAGGTCATGTCAGTCATCAAGGGCAAGTCACTGTCCCCATAAGAGTTGGCAATTGCGAAGCCGACGGCTGACAGCGGCAGTGACGATGCTCTCAACGCCCACGTTTACGGTGCGTCGTCGCCAAAACAAGTCGTCTCGGATCAGTGATCGCTCTTTGCCTTCAAAGTAGACAGGTGGCGCTTAAGGACTGTAGAACGGTCCGCTTACAATTTACCTTACTGACCGGGATTGACTGAGTCACAGGTTGCCTCTGGAGTGAATAGCTCCACGGCCGTGTTTCCGACATCGCATCGGATAACAGGGATTGCTCGAAACCATGCAGATGCGGCGAGCGAAAGCAGGTGCGTATACTCGATGTGCGCTATAGTGCGCTATAAAGTGGACGGCGGGGACGCTGTCAGAAGATCAAGTGGTGTTCTTCAAACACGCAGATGGCTTCCTACCCCAGCGAAATCAACCCCCTTTCTTCTCTCAGCGACGACCTCGCGTCCGAGCTGCAGACTCGGGTTGAAGCGTCTCTACAAAACATCATCAACCGTAACCTCTTCAACACTCAGTTCGGTCGCAGCTCCGACCTTTTAGCGGGGCTTCGCCGCGAACTCACTCAGGGTGCCAACTTGGACGACCCCAAAACACGCGCAGACGCCTTTGCAGCTGCGAACCTCACTCTAACTGAATACGATGTCTATGCACCATACATTGCCAAGTTCACCCAAAGCTCTCCTACCCAACTATCTGACGTCGTCGACCTTCTCGCCCCTAGGTTGCCTCACAACCTAGGAAAATCGAGCTCGACGTCGGGGAAGGCGTCCAAACTTGTCCCGAATCATGGACGTGTCCCCGGCAGCGTACCGCCATATCTCAAGGAAGGCTCCTCCCATTTTAAGAGCAAACCCGGCTGAATACTGTGCGCGCCCATTTTCATGGGATGCTTGAGCTTCATCGACGTCCGTGGCGATGACGGCAGCATAACGCGCATATCTACCGCTGCAGGCAGTGCCTACAGCGCGCGAGTCGCTATGGGCTTCACCGACTTTGAGCGCGACCGTGACCGCCTTTCGGAATCAAATGAGTTCCTTCGTGCTGCTTGCTTGCGTACTCTGCTGATCTTTCGTAGTTCCTGGGCTTACTGCACCGTTCGGTGTCAACCTCATTGTGAATTACCGCTCCCTCATCCTCACACATGCCGCCTTTGCTCTGGCTGAGCCCTCCGTCGACACGCTGAGCATGATGTGGTCGACCACGTTCATGGACTTTATCCGTTGGATTGACGAGGAATGGGAGGTACTTGTGAACGTGATCTCGAGTGGTGTGCTGCCCCATTTTCCTGACACAGAAAGTGTATATTTGGCTATTGTTGTGAGTTACGGTGCGATTGCTGTGGTTTAATTTCTGTTAAGTTTCCCCCAGAGAGACGAAATTTCACGCAGACCCGAAGCGAGCGGAGGATCTCCGCAAGATCGGCCCGCCCTCGGGAACCGCCGAGGATTGGGCGGCGAGGATTTGGCCCAAGCTCGAAGTCCTGTCTGCCATATCCGGTGGGACATTTGGGCGCGTCTTACCTCAGGTACGCCATGACCCGTTCCCGAAGAAAAGAGCAAATACTGAGCAACTGATAGGTCAGAGCATACATTGGACCATACATCCCAATCCGCGTTCCTGTGTATGCTTCCTCGGAATGTGCCATAGGCATGGCGTATAATGATCGCATATTCAACGTTGTCAAGGTGCTTACGGGCAGCTACATCGAAATGCTCGAGATCATTGCCGAAGGCGAAGATGGGGAACTCAAGAAACTTGTGCGTTGTTGCTGCAGTCTTCAGTGACGTAGTCAGCTAAAATTTAGTGTCTTAGTGGCAAGTAGAGAAAGATAAACTCTACGAGCCGATTGCAACTACCTACGACGGCCTCTGGCGGTATCGAATCGCAGACGCTGTACAGCTCGTCGGCTTCGATCCCACCGACGGGACACCTCTTCTCAGGTACAAGGAACGGCGCGGGTAGGTTTTTACTTACTAAAGACGCTTCCGAAATACATTGACAATAACATGCAACACAGCCAATCCATGAGACTACCTCACGCATTGATCACTCAAACAGACGTCGCCGAGTCCGCGGCTACCGTCGATGGGCTGAAGCAAGCCGAGTTCACGACGTGGCTCGACGACCGCAAAGTGCCACCCACAGTCGGATTCTTCGTAGAGGCGTCCCCAGACGACAGTACGTCCTTTTGATCTGATTGAATGCCACTCGATCTCACAATCTCTCATCTGTCAATTCGCTGGAGCAGGGCGTATCCCATCCTCAGCCCGAGACGCGTTGATGCAAGGCTTGATCGAGGTGAACGAGAACTTTGCCATCGGCGCGCACAAGGGGTCTTCCGTCAAACCGTCCATCCGAATTTTCTCTCCCGGATCATTTAGCGAGTTCAGGGCCTGGAAGGGAGCGTTGAATGGGACGGGGAGCTCGCAGATCAAGGTGCCGCTTATCATGGTGGATCCGAAAGGTCAATAATTTCTCCTGTCGAGGGTGATAGACGAGGTGCACTCGGGAGCTCTGGGACATGTTTTTGCGATTTTTGCTTATTAATAATGCGATGTTATGATAATCCCGAAGTATATTACTTTGTTCTAGGCTACGGAAGACATCGAAGGAGATGAATAAAATCGTAGAGGTCTAAGGTAATCAAAAACCAATTTCGAATCAAAGATGGGTGTCCATGCAATGCAGGACGAAGAGATGTCACAGAGCGCCGTCGAGTTTACCCTTCGCCACCTCTAGTCGTCGCCTGTTCTTTACGACGACCTCAGGACTCAGGTTCGCCTCAAGGGGAACGTTCTCCGCGGAAGTCACCGCGCCAAGAGCATACGAGTACGCGTACCGGTACTTCGCAAGGCGCAGCGCCATCTCAGCGGCGTTGCCTAGAGCAATGACCAGCTTCTTGCGCGCACCGCATATTTCCGGCGCGTACGCGCCCCCGGTGTGCGTGTCGAGCGCGACGAGCGCGGCCGCCAGCTCCGCCGCGTTCAGAAACCCGGAGCACGCGCTCTCCTCCTTCGGAAGGTCGTCCGCGACGCATATGTAGTCGTGCGGGAACGGCTGCTCCTCGGGCGACTTTCTCGGGTCCTGCGTCATGAGCAGCCGGCCGCTCTCGAGAGATCGGTCCAGGCGTCCGTTCGAGATCGCGATGATGCGCCGTATCACGTCCGGGTGGGTGATCTGCTGCACGTGCGCGAGGGTGGTCGTCTGCGAGAGTCCGGGGGGAGGCTTCTTGAGCGTCTGAATGCCCGAGAGTGCTTTGCGCTGCGCAAGGACCGCGAGCAGGCGCACGAGGGCTGTCGGGCCGATGTGCTGTTCGGAGACGAAGACCCTGATCGTTTCTGCGAAGATCGGAGGAGGATCGCACCGGTCGTGCCAGACGGGCAGAGCTTCGGCAGTCGAACTACCCTCGGCCCTCGGGCCATTTACGTCCCAAGGAGACTCGGAAATTTTGTGCGAAGCTTCGTAGGCGATGCGGAGGAACGACATGAGTTCGGCGTTCGTTACGCCGCACGACTCGGAAAAATGAGTGAGAGTGATGATGAGGCGTAAGGTGTAGATACGGCTTTTGTCTGCATGGCAGATGTAACGTTTGGAGAAGACAAGCTGTGGACTCAGTCTCACCTCGGTGTAAGGTAGCCTGCCGGTACGCGTCTTCTGCCGGCTGTTGATTTGGCCCGTATTCCTCCACCATTGACTTGCACATTCTTCAGAGAGAGTGCATACGTCAGAGTAGGCGTTCAAGATTATAGGGTGGAAACCTACGCTTCGACCTTATACAAGCTCCACTTTTCTTCCTCATTGTGCGTCCACGTCTCTACCAGGTTGCTGGCCCAGCCCTTCCTAGTCGTAAGAATCTGCAGTGCCTGAGAAAGCGACTTCGTGTCAGAAATCAGTAGCGCCCGATCCGTAGAAGGAGATACGCCAGGAACAGTAAATCGAGGCCACTGGAAGAGAATACAAAGAGCCTCCAGCGCCATTGGGTTGACCTGAGCATGAGGAAATGCCGGGGAGCGTTGAAGAATAGCACAGTCGAACAATAGGTCGATTATATGCGGTCGGCGTTTGAGCATCTCGAGGCAGAACTTCTGAGGAGCAGGAGCGCCTAGCATCGTAAGACCGTGAGAGGCTCGCAGTGCATTCTCTTGCGCTAGTCCGAAGACATATGCACCGACTTTAGATCCCTTCTTGGCGTCATCCGAGGCGCCTTCGAGCTTGGAGTGCAACTGACACTCAAATCTCGTCTTTTTACCAGCAAAATATTCGCTCCAGCGTTCGGGATACTCGAGAGACATTGAACAGAGCGCTTCAAACAGATCTGAGGCTACCGTTGGGGAGAGCTTCCCTGTCAAGACATAGTCGGTCGTGAGCGCCCTCAGTAAATCAGCAGCCTTTTGACGAAGAGAAAAGTGCTCCCGACGCACGTACTATGCGGAAGGAGAGATCACCTATGAGCCTTTGGATGATATGTAAGAACCGAGACTACTGACCGAAAGACATGTGCCGATAATGTTGTGTGCAACTAGCTGATCCGCAAGAGCTTTCCGTTGTCGCTGATCGCCTAGCATTAGCATGTTGGTGACCAAGGACAACGCGGTGAAGTGGGCAACCAAGCTGAACTGAAAGTGGCAGCCGCAGATTCCGTGGTCAAGGACAGAAGCTACGGCTTTAGCAATACCTGCTTTCAAGCACGAGAAGCCAAAAGAACCAAGACCGTGGTGTGAAGAATCGCTCCGAAGGACTTCATTGTTCAAGTGGTGCTGGATAGCCTCCTAAGCCACGGGTAGAGCAGGAGCCGGAATCCATGCGAGCGCATTAAGTGAGTATGCGCATGGCAATCAAGAAAATGGTGGTCATACTATGGACGCGTACGTAAAGGCGTAGCTCGAGTCTGGATGCGACACAGTAAGTTTCGCGAAAACCTCGGCCAAGTTACGTGAGAGCAGCGGTTCAGATGCATTCAGAAAGCCACAGACGTTTTCAGCGGTGAGATCGGCGGTGCGCATGTCGGCAGGCGGCCAGTGGAGACACAGAAAGTTGACAGGGGACGAGCGTGGTGTGGTGTTCAAGTTCAAGGCGCGTGGCTGACGCGCCCGAGTCATATACAAGGTCACGTGGCAAACACCCAGAAGAGGCGGTGGCTCTGTTGTCGACTTGTTACTGATCTCCCGCTATCTCCAGGCGAACGACTTCATACATCTCTCCCTTCGTAGAACAGCTATCCTCAGACGCAGCCCACATACAACAATGGTTAGAGGATCAGGCGGGTGTTGAACTTAGTCCACATCTTTGGTGCCGTTTGCTGATGCCAGCACACAGGAAAGTTCAAGGCTAAGCGTGGTGGAGGACGCAGCTTCAGGTGCGTGATCTTAGTTTTCGAAAATGATTTTGGATAGTGATGCTTTCTCTTTCTTCTCAGCAAGAATCTAGTTCTTGATGAGAATGGCGTAGCAAGCTCTACCGATCGTCGACGGTTAGTCTCATCTTGTAATTACGGCCCCCTTTTCGTAACACACCTCGTTTTATCACGACAGGCCGAGACGGGGAGAGGAGGTGGAGGATGATGACAAATCAGATGAGGACGAGGAGGACGAAGAGGACGAAGAAGAAGAAGAGGAGGAGGACGAAGAGGAAGGAGAGGGAGGAGAGGACAAACCCGAGCTAACCCGCGCAGAGCGGCGCGAGCTCAAGAAGAAGCAGGCCGCAGCCAAGCAAACAGGCAAAGCACCGAAGAAAGCGGACGGGAGCGGCGGTGATGAGGACGATGAGGATCTCATTAACCCCAACCATGTCCAGAAGAAGCTCAACATATCGGACATCGGCTCACAGCCCATGTCAAGGCGGGAGAGGTACGTTCATCCTTGTCTTCATCGATACAGAGTGTTAACAAGTGACACCTGTTACTCAGAGAAGCTAAGGAGAAGCAAGAGGCGAAGGAACGGTATTGGAAGGTATGTGTCCCTCATTTTCGCCTCAGATACGCTAGCAGCTATACGGAGTCTTGACGCCTCCACAGCTGCACCTCCAGGGCAAGACCGATGAGGCCAAGAGCGATATGGCTCGTCTAAAGAAGATCCGTGAGGAGCGCGAGGCGGCTCAGGCGAAGCGCAAAGCTGAGCTCGACGGTACGTTTTTTTCGACGTCTTCGTGGTGTTATGATTCCTCTTATCTGAATATGTCCACTAGCCAAATCAGCCGAGACGGAGGCCAAGAAGCAGCAGCAACTCAATCGTAAAGCTAAATGATTCTTTGCTGGCGCAGACAGCGTCGGAGAAGCCCAAGTTTCGGTGTACTAGTACCTTACTGCCAACTTACTGTACTTATCTTCTGCCAACAGTGCCATGCATAAATATACAGTTGAGTGATATTAAGATGCGTCAAAGTCCTCTCACCGAACCCGGGGTGGGTACTGGGACCGCCGATCGATGTACTCAGAAGATTACAGAGACCGTGTCCGCGTCGAGACACGGGGAATCTCAAATCGTAACTCGATATTCGGCAGATGAAATTGGCATGGACCCAAGTTTAGTCCCATCTCAATTTAGCGCGGTATCATAACTAGAGACGTAGTTTCGTGATCACTGACACCTTGCGCGCGCGTAGTGGGTGTATGCAGTTATAGTATCTTTCAATGCACCATCTTCTAGTGCTCGGCCTAGCTAGGCTGCCTCAGGCGCCATGATGATACCAGCTTCGGGTAGAAAGCCGATGGCGTTGGTGCGGCTAACAGGGCACGCTGTAAAATGCGCACACGAGGTCAAGCGAAGACGTCTTGCGATCGCTTAGGACGTTGCGCGCTATTTGGATGCCTTCACCCTGGTAAAAAAAGAAGCTCGGCATTGACTCGGAGTTGGAGGTCAGCGGTCATTAACGAATTCGACATGAGTTTACCGCTTAACATACTAGGGAATCATTGTCTTCGCAGAAGCCATGAAATCATGGCGCAGGTCCGCGCCTCCGAGTCCGTGTCCATCACGAGGACTAAAATAACAACGACTAGGAAGGGAACCAACGTGGGTACCTGACTTGGGTATTCAGAGAAGCGCTGAATTCGTATCAATATCGTACCGAGTCTGCGAAAGGTAAGGCGACATTGGTAACGACTCTCGCTCCCGTTCTATGTAGCACTGTATTTTACCCAGTGAGATACAGCTGCCGAATGTGCAACAAGGGAAGCTCGCGCTCAGCGCTCAAACATCGAACTGGATACGCTTACTTGGGTGATGCGTTCCTACTAGTAGAGCTTAAACTGTACTCGGCCCCTTTCTCGGTGCTGAATTACGTCCGTTTTACGTCTCCTCGCGGACATGGGAAGTTCAATCTTGAGGTTACAACACTGAACACGGGACACGTTCAAGAGGTACCCGCTCACCCGAATTTATGAGTGTCCAACATCCACTTCCCTTCCGGACTGGTGTCAAACCGGTGCCTTGAAGTGGTCATCGAGTATATCTTCCGAGTCCGCGGCTCAGCTCCGTTTGCTTAACGTTGAATATCGATACCATACCCATTTAGATGGTCTGGCCGTTCCATGAAGTTGACGGTTCACTGACGCACGCGTAGTGGGTGTTGTATGCAGTTATCTTTTAGCAATGCACCTTCTAGCGCTGTAAAATGTGCACACGAGGTCAAGCTTCGCGCGGGAAGCCGGCATGCGATCGCTCAGGACGTTGGGCCCTATTCGAATGCCTTCTAATGACAGCCCCCGGCAGCCGTTGCTGTGCTCAAGGCAATGATGACTTGCCAGGATTTGCCGTCAGGATTTTGCCCCTAAAATGCAGGCACCCCAGCCTTACAGCTGCGGTGGACTCATCGCCGAATCTGTGTTGAATGAGATACACATGAATCACCGCCTTCTTCCCTAGGCTCAGGTCTTACTTCCCCAGAATTCTCAGTATTCCCGAATTCGGGGTTCTCATATCAATGCATGCCCTAGCCCAGCTGCCCGAGGCTGTCCAAACTTTTGCAACAGTAACGGAAACTTCTGGTCGGACGGGTTGCCGTCCGAAACACTGCGTCCAATATAGTAGACATCTATAAGACACAGCACTTTAAGCTTTAAATTTGAATATCATGCAGCTGCAGATCCATGCGTTCTCCATTTGTACTGTAGCTTCGCAACTTTGAAAGTCTGTTCTGATCTACGCTACAGCTTCTTGCTAACGTTTCTTGTTGACGTCATATTTTACTTATGCCTGCTCTTGTTGTTAACTTGGAACGCGAGTAGTCGTCGGTTGAAGTTAAACCTATGGTGGATTCTGGCACAGCGTTGCTTCTTTGTACCTTATAATGTAGCGAGTTGCAGGGTCTTGCGCTAGCGAACTTCATTGTATCTGTATATCCGCCTACAAAGCGTTCTCGTAGCTATGCCTCCGCAACGCAGACGAGTTCATATGCCCCTTGGCTCTGCCTTTACTGAACTAACTGACACCATGCAGGGTGCAAGGTTTATGTGCTCACACCAAATTTGTTTATCCAAGATGCAACTGACATTGTTTTCGCAATCGAGGGATGCACGAGTTCATATTGAAGCGCGCCAGTACGTCCCACTCCTGCTTTATGTTTGCTTCTTTTTCACCTTAGGGTTTGCCAGCCTGGGGTTAAAGCGATACCGGTGTTCAGTGTGTGAATACAGGACTCCTGATCCCGCGTCGATCAGAAGACATTGCCAGGGAAGACACCAGTGGATGCCTGGACAGCCAGCAGTGTGGATCGAGGACATTTTAGGCGAGTGAATTCAACTTGTTGGACCTCTGTCGCTGATAATGATGCCTCATTCTCAGACGATCTCAAAGAATACTGGAAGAATTTCTGCGTCAGTCTCAGAGCGCTACCTGTTCAGCAGTCTGCTACTTCTTAGAACCACTACGTGCTGCCCACACATGATTCATTCTAGGAATTACATCCCCAACGTGTGGAGCAGGGATAACCAAGCGTCGTGTCTTTAATACCATCCATATACCTCGATGCACAACAAATCTATAGGCCATCGGCTGGTAAAACGAACCTGACGGACCAATGCTACTCCAGGGAATGACCAATCTTAGCTAGATTTTACATAACTTGAACCAAGAGGCTTGTGCTCGTTGTTCCTTTTTCTTTTTCTTTCTTTCTTCTTTTATTATTACCGCCCATCATGTTGAGGATAAACCTGAGTTTTTGGATGTAAACTTAAACACCGTTTTCAATACTTTATTAAGTTCCACCAGATTTCACCGCATTGCTAGTAGACGGGCACTAGCACCGCCGGTAGAACATTCTATCCGGAAGTTCACTCAAGTCAACAGTTCTGAGTTACCCTATTATTAAGGAAAATTTAAACCGATTACAGGCTGAGGATACTATATCTATTAAGCCATAGTCACTAACTTTCAGAAGTGTGGGGGCGCGGAACGTCGCCTACAACCGAAACCGAGAACATACTGTATCTTCGTCACTTGTTACTACATTATCAGACAGCTCGTGAACGTTACAGTGCGTGAACAGGAACGTCAAACAACAGTATAACAGTAATGATTAAACTATGCACAATGTTGCATCAAGAACCGATGCAAGTCTATCTAAAGTGGGGGTATATCCATGAAAGGAACAGCAAAAAACCAAACGGCAAAAGCTACAGCTTGAAGGTCGAAGTATTATCGTTATCATAGACACGAGCCGAAGCGTATTCATCATAATCATCGCCACCCAAGATCATCACACAAACAATGGACATCCACCAACAGTATTCACAGCTCATAATTGGGGCCGAACGGCTGGCATCGGGGCATCGTGGGATCGTGGGAACAACGAACTCAATAGACGCCCGTCGAGCGCCCGTGGCCATCGTGGTCCGCGCACATCCTATACAGCGTCTCTTGGTCGAGCCCGCGAATCCGAAGGCAACGCTGGTACAGCCTCTTGTCGACGGCGAACGTTATGCGACTCGCGAGATGCTGTCCGGCGACAAAGTCCTTGATGACGTTAGCTATGAGCCGCTGCTTATGCACGTTGATGAGCGGCTCGAGCTGCATCGACGGCGGGAGTGACGCCAGCGCGCCGAACACCTCTGGATGCGCGGGTGCCTCGAACGCCATCGTCTGCGGGTCCACGCTCACTGGCTCGTGCGGGGCCGTGGGATCAATAAGGTCGGGGAGGCGCGAGTGGCGCACGAGACGGGAGAGATAGAGACCTACAGCGCCTTCATTAGCCATACGTCGAGACACAGCATGGGAAACGAACCGATGAAAGGTACACAGGCAGTCGGGATCTTGCTCTCGCCCGACGTCTTGCCCTTTGACCCCTGCGTCTCGCTCGCTGCGTTACTCACCCCAGAGGAGCCTTGCGGGGTAAGCGGCTTGGCATCGACCATCGCTGCGAGCGCCTCATGCATCGCTTTGAAGTCGTTGCCCGCGTCCGCAAACTGCTTGAGCTTGCCGAACACTTGCGTCTCCCACATCCCGACACGCGCCCACGAGCGACCCATTACCCGGTGTACAAACTCACTCTCCAGCCCAGCAACGATGGCGACCAGCGTGTGGAAGTTGCTGAGCACGTACGCTTTCTGCTCGGCACAGAGTCCTGTCAGCCTTCATACACTACAAAAGAAGGAGGCGAGCACTTACGAAAGCAACCCGGATCAACTTCGCCACCAACAAATGCCGCTCTCCAGGAGCAGTAAGAACCACCTCCGAGATCACGAAATTCGCCAGCAGATTGAACCGCGCTCTGAGCGCCGCCAGCGCACTCGTCTTCTTCGGGAACCTGCTCTCCGCCTTCCACCGCGCCCGATCCTTGAGGTACTGCGCCCAGTCCGACACGGGCACGTCCGCGCCGGCCATCCAGTCGTCCAGGATGAGCTCCTCGGGCTTCACACCGAGGAACAGCTCCCGGTCGATCATCGAGAAATGCTGCACGATCACCTCGGCGCTGAGGCCCAGGATCCAGCTGCGGTGGTACTGCGTGCCGTTGCTGCCCCCGCCACCTCCACCACCGAGGGCTGCCTTGGGCGAGCCCATTTGCTTGGGCGCCGGGATGGGCGTGATCTGCGGTGAGGTTTGCGTCGGGAGCGCAGTCGAGGGCATGCGGGACTGTAAAATCTCGATTGGGACGACGTCCTCGAGCGCCGGACGCGCGTCTGCGCCCCGCCCGGGAGAAAGGGGGCCGACTGCAGTGGGACCACCAACAGCGTCAGCAAAGGCGCCGTGGCCGTTGACGTGACCATTCGCGTCGCCAGCAGGCGTGGCGAAGTAGCTATCGGAGCTCGACCCAATATTCGAGGCTGGCGTTGTCGAAGCAGGAATCGTGCTCTGCGACGCAATCGACGACATCGTGTCCCTGTTCTTCTCCTTCTCTCTCCCAGCTTCCGCGGCGCTCGTCGGCGTATCAAGGGCCGGCGGCGGCATCTCGACGCGCGACAGCCGCCTCATCGAGCCCGTCTCGCTCCGGTTGTACTCAAAGTCGTCGTCATCTTCCATTTCCTCGTCGCTGTCCTCATCGAGCCACCTCGGCCGCTCGTCACCAAAGTCGCCCGCCGCCATGCGCTCGCGGATCGTGCGCACCCAGCCGTCGACCTTCCTGGCCTTCAAGCGCCGTTTGACGGGGTTGATCTGCCCCTCGAGCCGCTGGAGTGCCTCGTCGATCCCGCCGTCGCCGTCCGAATCATCAAGCGAATCCACAAGTGCGTTCATCTGCCACTGATGGATGCCCGTGCCGAGCCCGGCGCTGTTGTCGCCGTTGTCGTCGGGCGCCGCGGACGGGGGGCGTGAGGACTCGGAGGCGAGGGAATCGCGCGAGCGGATGCCGAGCGAGGAGACGCTTTCCCGCGAGCGTCGGACGAACTCGAAGTCACGCCGCAAGGGCAACTTCCTCGGCGCCTTCCTCAGGCCCTGACCTCCAACGCCTCCGCCGACTCCATTGTTGTTACCAGCGCCGTATGGGCTGCCGCCGCCTTGGCCAGCAACATGCACCGCGTCCGAAGACGTGTCCGACAGATCCAGATCGTCGATCGACACGACGTCAAACTGCCACGGCCGTGACGCGGACTTGAACTGCGCGACGAGCGGGTTGAGCCGGCTCGCCGAGGAGATGATCGAGCCGAACGAGTCCGTCGAGCCTGTGCGGAACGATGCGAGCGAGTGCGCGGATGACTCGCGTGTGGGCGCAAGGCGCCGCGAGCCCGACCGATCCCGTGGTTTGAGAAGTTTTTGCTGTTGCTTCTGGCTCGCAAGTGTGTGCTCGTCGTCCTCTGCGCGGGTGTGGGTGTCGTTGTTGATCATCATAGAGCGCGCATCGCTATCGAAAGTGTCGACCGTGGAGATGGACCGCGCGTCTGTGTCGGCCTCGTGGCCGTCCTCAGAGAGCTCCGTCACAGCGCGCAGGTGGGTCTCCTTCCCGTTGCCCGCCTCGGAAGCCCGAGCCTCGTGCTCGTGCTCGTCTTCTTCAGCCAACGTCTGTTCGTCCGCGCTTGCTCTCACGCTCCCGTCTGCTTTGGCGCTAGCAGGCTCCGGCTCCTCCACCAGGGTCGCCGGATACTCCACATCCCGCGTCTCGAACGCGTGCCCGTCCATCATCTTCACATACTGCCCCACCCCGCCGCGGACCGTCAACAGATCCCCCGCCGCGTTCATCTCGAGGTCGAACACGCTCACGTTCGCAGGCACAGCGAGCGTCTGCGCCGGCTGTGTCGTGCGCGAGTTGCTCACCCGCCGCCAGCGCCCGAGCCGGTTGATCGTCTTCACGAACGCGCGCGACAACATCCCATTGGGTAGCATCAGCGCCGCGGGCCCGTGTGCGCTCAGCGTATCCCCCGTCACACTGCCGCGCGTTCCGCCTGGGCCGGGTGGCGACACCATGCTCGTGTGCAGCGGTTGGCCCAGCAACGTCGTCCCGCGTGCAGGAGGCGCTGCGCCCATGCCCATGCCCATGCCCATCCCGCCTGAACCCATACCCATACCCATGCCCATCCCTCCAGAGGCGCCGCCCATGCCCATGCCCATCGACCCGCCGAACGAAAACGAGCCGCTCGCGTCACCGCCGTGGAAGACAGACTTGGTCTGCGCCGCGCCGGACCCGCCGACGTCATCATCGGCGATAAAATCGAGATCGACGTCCGAGTCGTCCGCGTCCTTGGAGATGGCGGCCGCAAACTGCTCTCCAAGCACGTGCGTCCGCCGGGGCTTCCCTGCGGCGGTACCGGCGGCGGTGCTGCTCGCCATCGTCGTCGTCGACGGGCGCGCGCTTGCGTCGCTGCCGCCGATGCTGGGGCCGCTGATGGACTGCCGTGCAGACGCCGTACCGGCGCCGCCACCGCCCTGGGAAAGAGAGTGCGCGTGCGCACGGTTCTGCCTCGTGTGCGCCTCCTTGCAGTCCTTGACGACCTTAATGAGCTTCTTGACGATGCTCTGCAGAACGGATCAGCAACCTCGTCACCTACGCAATCGAGACGAAGCAGGAAAACTCACAACCCCATCCGAATGCTTCATCAGAATCGGATCCCTGATCAGCGTATTCAGCCAGCTCCCGAGCAACAGCCTCAGCTCCCGATTCGGCACAAAGTCCATGATAAAGAACGTCAGCAGCCAGTACCGGATCGCGACGAACGTCCGCACGCGCACGATCCGCCGCACCATCTCGTCGCTCCGCGTCTCGTGCCGCTCGAGCGACCAGTGGAACCGGCAGATGAGCAAGTGCGCGAGGTCGACGGCGGTGATGTACGTCCGGTACGTCAGGAAGAAGTACAGCAGCTCGTCGTAGTTGAGCTCGCTCGTCAGCTGCGCGATCCACCGCTCGATTGTCGCAGCGATCAGCACGCGCGGCGCGCCGTCCTCGCCGTCTCCTCCTCCTCCTGGACTCGCGCCCGCGCCTCCTCCCCCAGCACCGCTGCTGCCCCCGCGGTGCGAATCAGTGTCCGACGCGGCAGCAGCAGCAGCAGCAACCGCCGTCGCCGCCGCCTCCGCGTTCCCCTTCGCCGTGCGCGTATTACGCCTCGACCTTGTCGGACTCGAAATTCCCGTACGCGAGCCGGCCTCGAGACTCGACTCGTCCGCGTCGCCGAATGCCTCGGACGGGAGGAGTAGCGCGCCCCAGAGGACAAACCGCGGGTCATCGCGCGGCGCCGCGCTGTCGTCCGTGCGGAGCGTCATCTTGATCGTCGTCTCCCCGCCCGCGCCAAGGCTGCCCCGTGAGGCGCGTTCTGCGTCACTCATGAAAAGCCCGCCGGCGGTGTCGTCCCCGTCGTCGTCCTCTGCATCTGCGTCAGGGTCGTCGGTGTTGGGGACGATCTTGTCCAGCAACGGGAGACCCGAGTATGTTTGGAGCACGTCGAAGACTTCAGTTGAGTAACGCGAATGGAGCGCCGTCGCGGGGAGGGGGGCGATATCCGGTGCTGGTATGGGTGCGGGCGCGGGGTCGTCGTTGAGATTGAGGTTGAAGACAGAATCGCGACCACGCTCAGCATCAGCCTCAACGGCCCCCTTTTCGCTCTTGACGTCTGAATCTTCTTTGGGCTTGTCCTTGTCTTCTGGCGCAATAGGATCCTCGGTCGAACCTTCACCAGCAGCAGAAGCACCATCATCATGCTGCTGCGCCCCCTCTCTTTCCTTCTCCCGTCCTTCTCCTGCCTTCTGTTCGCGCTGCCGCCCGTCTCCGCCAAACGCGCTCACCTCCTCCGCAACAGGCGTCTCCACATCCATCTCCGCATCCGCATCCACATCTCCCAGATCCGACGCACTTCCCCGCCCTGTATGCATATCGTCCGCACGCGCAGTAAGCCCCGACTCGAACGACTGCATCTCGCGCAACACGCGCGGCTGCACACCAGGCAACCTGCGCTCTCCTCCTGGTCCTCCTATCCCTGATCCTCCGCCTGGCCCTCCTGCTCCCAGCCCTGGTCCTGGCCCCGGTCCTCCGATGCCGTAGTACGCCGAAGGAAGCGTCGGCGAGTCGAAACTGACCCCGTTCCCAAACGGATTAATAATAAACCCTCCCCAGCCCGCAAAACCCGTCCCGTCGAGCGCCGACGACGCCAAATAATAATGCGAGTGCGAATTCGCATTCGCGTTCGAGTTTGCGTTCGCATTGACATTCGCATTCGCGCTCGCGCTCGAGCCCGACGTAGGCGAGCCCACGCCCCCAGCGCCGAGATGCGGCGACTGCGGCACGACCACGTCGGACTTCCAGTTCATCATCGCCGCGAAATTGTCCCCCGCCGAGGTGGGCAGCGTCCGCCCGCGCGCTCGCCCCGTAGGCTGCTGTTGCCGTTGCTGCTTCTGCTGCTTCTGCTGCTGCTGTTGCTGCTGCTGTCCGCTCCCACCACCCGAACTCGCACCCACACCCAAAGACGCGCGCGCGATATCCGCACCCGTGACACTATGCGAATGCGCCCGGCCCGTCGACGCTGGCGGATGGCGCATGGACATGCCCACGGAAGCAGCGGCAGTGCCGCCGTCGCCCCCTCCCACGGTATACCCATGATTGCTAGTTGTGGCGTGGGGATGCGGATGTATATGCGACATCATGGGGTGCCCGTGCCCATGCCCGCGCTCTTGACTGTGGGTGTACGTCGTAGCGAGACCGAACATGTCCGGAATCGAGCGCGCGCGCTGCAGCTTGCGCTGGGTCGCGCGTTGCATGTCGTATGGGGCATTAGCGTTGCTGCTATTATTATGGTGGCCGGGTGGTGGGCCGGAGGGGCCGGAAAAAGAGCCGCCCGCGCCCGTGCCTGCGGGCGGCAGTGGCTGCTGTTGTTGTTGCTGTGGTGGGTGGGTGGTCTTGGGGCGCTGCGGGAGAAGTGTATAGACGCTCATGCGGGAGCGGCGCGAGCGGCTCTGGGTCGGCTCGGGCTCCTTGAAGGTGGAGGGTCTAGACGCAGAGGAGGAGATGCTGGCTTTGTGCTCTGCCTCGGCGGCGGCAACCGCTGGCGCTGACGCGTCTCGATAGCTGTGGTGATGATATAGGTCAGCATATATGCATACATGGTACGATATCAGCAGAGGCAGGGGCAGAGGGTTGCTCAAAGGGGGAGGGGCATTCTAGATGATAGCAATGACCAAACTCACCCGACGCGGTACATGGTCTTGCCATGCTGATTGATGAAGGAAGTGATAGCGTAGGGCGAGCGGACCTCCTTGTTGACGCCGTACTGCTGGTCGAAGCGCTTCTTTAGCTCGTACGCAGCCTGACCCGAAGACGTCTCGACGAATGTGCCGTCGGCTATGTACCGATCGACCAGATGATAAGTCAGTCAGCTGAGTATATGCGCGCTTGAGGTGGTTGTGTGAAGGCGAGTGGTTGGGGGGTGAAAAAAGGGGGAGGGAATTGAGAGACGCACGGGATATGGAGATATCGGCCTGAGCTACGTCCGGGGGCAGCTCATCTGCAGACAGGGCCTGGGAGAGGTTGAGAGAAGACTGGCTTGTGGCATTGGAGGAGGGCGGCGAGGCTGGAAGGGCGGGGAGGAGGTTGTGTGAGGAGGCGGGGGAGGAGGCGGAGAGGTCGAGTGGGGGCGAGGACTTTGGGGAAACGGGGAAGGTGAGGTTGTCGGATTCTGTCTGAGAGAGGAGAGGCTGGTTTGTGGGAGTGGAGAGGTGGATGACGGGGGGATCGTTGTCGGACATTGCCGTCGTGGTTGTTCGTGGTGGTCGTTGGTGTTCGGCAGACAAGGTGAGATGGGATAGTCGGGGAGATCAGAAAGAGAACATGTTGAATTAAGTTTTTATGTTTTTGAGCGGGAGGGGTTGTGAGACATGCAGTGGATGGAGAGACAAAACAAAACAAGGGCGTTATGGAGTGACCCCCACTTGTCTGATCACGTTCACCTTCCCTTTCCTGACCAGACGCGACAAACAGACACGCGTTTTATTTCTCTGCAACCATGTCCATCGTCACCATACGCGTCTGTTATTTTCTTTATGACGCGCCCTCTCTCTCTAACTTTTGTCTAGAACGTCGAGTTCCTCAACAACCCCGCCCGCTTCCTCGATTCATACAAGTTCAAGGTCACCTTTGAATGCATCGCCCCTCTCAAAGATGGTCCTCTCCCCTCCCCCCCTCTCATTCCCCCCGCTAACCAACCCTACAGACCTCGAATGGAAACTCATCTACGTCTCCTCCCCAGACAACGAGCAGCTCGACCAAGAGCTCGACGACTGCCTCGTCGGCCCCGTCCCCGTCGGCGTAAACTGCTTCGAATTCGAAGGCTCTCCGCCCGACCCCGCAACTGTGCCCCCCGAAGACGTCCTCGGCGTCGCAGCCCTCATCCTCACCGGCTCCTACAACGACCAAGAATTCGTCCGCGTCGGCTACTACCAGAACACAGAATACGACAACGACGAGATGCGCGAGGCCCAGCCCAAGCCCATCGTCTTCGACCGCCTCGTCCGCGACATCAGCACCAAGCCCCGCGTCACCCGCTTCCAGATCAAGTGGTGAGTGCTTGGCTTCATCTCGTCGAGCGCGTGTGCATGTCACATGCGCGTTTTTGGACGCGCTTGGACGCGCAACGAGGCTGCGATCTGGACAACGCGTACTGATACCCGCGGCTCCTTCACAGGGACGTCGCCCCACCGCAGCAGATGGGCTCGGCAGCAGCAGGCGCCGCTGCATCTGCAGCTGTACCATCAGCCAACGACCTCGACGACGGCGACGTCGAAATGCAGCCGATAAAAACCAACGGCCTCTCGTAACTCCTGGGCACGGCTCTTCGGTCAGCTGTTACCATCTTCCACAGCACAGCTCGCCTAGCGCGCAACGTTCGCTAAAGCGCGCGGGGCAAAGGGTGCCGTCTCGTAGTCTCCTTTGTGCAGCCGTTCTACACGTGTCGCTGCGCTCTTTTGAGTAGCCGTCTCGCGAGCGCACGTCTCATACCGCTTCTTATATCCTTATTTATCGCCCATCTGTAGCCCGTAGCCCCGCCATGCGCACAATCACAGCGTGTCATTCTAGGAATAATGCATACATATCTAGACATGGCCTGAGTACAAGCGCGCACTACACATCAAACATGCTGTACATGTAAGTAATCTCGACTGGGCGCCGAGGTGCGCTCAAGCTCATACGAGCGACTTGCTCTTGTACAGCAACACATACGCCGAAGAATCCTCACCTGTTTGATCGAGACGTTAGCACATTCACCTTGCGAAAAAGCAGTCTCACCCACCTCCACCATCAATCGTCCCCAACTTCTCCTTCGGGAACACGCTGACCTTCTCATCATCAAACTTATACCAGTCCTCATCGTCATCATCAAACGCCGGCCCCTGCCCGCCCGTCGTCGGACCGGCAATACCAGACCCCGCGCCCTCCGCGCCCTCTTCGCTGGTGGACGTCTCACCAGCAGCGACAGCAGCCGCATCCGCCTTCGTGTGGAACACCGACTTCTTCACGAAGCCCATATAATGCCCCGAATCCGCCTGCGGGCCCTTGTGCGTCACGATCGCTGTCCACCCCAGCGTTAGTCAGAACAAAGGCGAGCAATCGGCTGGTTAAAAAAAGGACAGAAACGCACCAACAAGCTCATAAAGCCCCGTCAAGCTCGCTCCATAGTCGCTCTTCACATCCGGATGCACAAGCTCCTCGAGCTCCTTGAGCTCCCGCGTGCGATACACATGCTCCGGCTCCAGATCCACATCCTCCACGCGCCCTTTCCCCTTCTCCTCGCCCGCCCCACCAGTGCCGTGCGGCGGCGCCGAATCCCCCACAGACGTGCTCGCGCTCACCGGCCCCGCCGCCGCATTCGCCATCTCCACGTCCCCGTCCCTCTGCACCGCCCTCCCCGCCGCACCAGCACCACCATCCTGGGCAACCCGTGTGCGCTTGCGCACCTTGCGCCTCTCCGCGCGCTCCTTCTCCATCTCCTTGAGCCGGCGCGACGCGGGCAGCAGCTTCGCGCGCAGCTCGTCCGTCGCGACGTCCAGCCCGTCCAGCTCCTCCGCGAACTTGACCTTGCGCATGATCTTGGCTTTCTTGCCCACGTCCCGCCGCCACGCGAAGCGCACCATGTGCACGGTGAGGTACCCGGGCAGGCGCGACAGCCGCGTCGTCTGCGTGTACACGGCCGAGCGGCCCAGTGAGGGTGAGTTTTTCTCGACTTCCTGGTTCAGAGCCTGTGTGGAGGGAAACGAGTGGTTGGTTTTATATATAAACAATGAAGGCGAGAAAGAGGGAGACATACGTCCATGATGCCGGTCTGCATATAGTTCGTCGTCCCGCTGATATTACACTCGATCTTGAGCACCTTCTCAAACGTCACCGTCGGCTCTTCCTCCGGCGCCTCATTACACTTCAGCCTTCAAAAAAAGTAACCACCATTAGCCTCAATCCCGCACTCAAGCGCCTAACGAAAACGCACTCCCTGCGCACCTCCCCCATCATAAACTGGTCAATAAACTTCTTCCCGGACGCGGACGCGCCGTCCGGCTCAAGGCCGGGCACGATCTTGAGGTTGTTCGCGATCTGGGTCCAGCACTCCTCCGCGTCCTGCTGCGCGTAACTCGCCATCATGCTCACTTTGGAGCGGTCGAACTCGTTGAACTGCGGCACGACCTGTCGCAGGACGGAGAGGAACGAGTTCGGGATGAACGCGTCGGTCGTACGCCCCATGCTGCTGTACAGGTCGCGCATCGCGCGCGGGAGGACGTCGAGCGTGGGTGCACTGTAGACAAGTAATGTCGATAGCGTTAGACAGCGTGCTCGATTGACTAGGTGGGGTGAAAGGGATGATAGGCGTACACGCTGAGGGCCTGCTGCAACTCTGGGATGGCGCGCATGGCTTGGACGACGGAGTTCATGTAGCATGTGTTTCCGAGACTGGCGGCGAACATGAGGTGGTTAGGACTGCGAGGATGATGCATACGTCTGCACGTACTTTTTGAGACCAACTGGCAATGCCAGCTGCACAGAAACAAGATGGTTAGACAATATATACGAGATACGCGAGGCACTAGACGTACCGCTTCCGCCATCTCAGCATCGTCCATGTCTGCACGATCAGTGTCAGTACACTCTAACCCCTGAGGGCGCATATACGATCGCAACTGACCTTCGAGGAAGACGATAGGCTTGGGTGGCGGCTTGGGCAGCTCGCCCGCCGCACCGATGACCATGAAGGTCTGATCCTACAATACGCATATAGGAATCAGCTTTTGTTAGGAAGACTTGCGCATCGTATTCACCGCTTTAGGGCCAATCTTTTTCCAGTCGCTGTCGTCCTACAAGAGCACATCGAGAGCGGTTAGCACACATAGTGAGACAAGGAGGGAAGGAGGCACCTTGAGCATGCCGCCCTTGACCATGACCTTCATGCGCTCTGGTGGCACGCCCGTGAGGTGGTACACGGCGTCCTTGAACACGGTCGGTGGCTGATCGGGGTCGAGCTGGAGGTCAAAGACCTTGCCCGCATGTTTGATATGCACATCCAGTGGTGCCATCGTCTTGTTCTTCTTCTCCTAGTTTATATGTTTGTTGTGAAGCGCGATCTCCTTGAGGAAACACAGAGAGGTCTGGCTGATCTGGAGAGGATCTGACGTACGCGTCGTCCACTGCAGCCGGGCGTCCGATCTTGGAGGGCGTGACACCAGAAAAAGGTGACATGAGTTATGTAAGCGGCTCAGAGACGGGTGACGCGGTTACGCTGACGTCACAGCCGGCGTTGCGAACACGTCCCCTCTCGAGGCGCAGCATTTCGGACTCCTACTTAACACCTCTCTTCACTTTACTCCATCATCATCCTACTCTAACCCATCGATAGTCGACCAACATGACGATCTAGTGAGTGCACGGCTGTTCATGAAAAGGCTGCGGACGATGCTGACACGTGGATGACCAGCTACACGCTTACCTTCCTGCTCCTGACTGCAGAGGCAAGTCGATTCACTTTGATACGCGCTCAACTGCCAAAATCCTGACACGTCTCCATCTTCGTTAGATGGCCACATTCTGTGTTCTCGTCTCACCTCTGCCCTACGCTGTCAAGAAGCGCCTCTTCCGGTTCCTCTCCGAAAGTCCTGTTGTCGCCAAGATCGCGTATGGACTCAAGATATCGTTCATGTATGCTTCCGTATGTCCATCCAATCAACGTACCAGCGCTGATAACTCCCCACCTCAGATTCGTCGGCATCCTCTTCATCGACGCAGTCCAGCGCATGTTGCGCGTCACAGCCGAGACTGAACAAGCCAAGACGGGCGGCCAGGGCATGCAGGACATCCGCACAGAGACAAACTACGCCGCGCGCAAGTTCTAGTATGTGCCCTCCCATTCGCATTATCTTTGCAAACCTCTGGTCTAACCCCACTTCATCATAACAGCGCACAGCGTAACACCTACCTCACCGGCTTCTGCCTCTTCCTCTCTCTCGTCCTCACCCGCACGTTTTACATCATCCTCGACCTCATCCACACCCAGGAGGAATACGCAAAACTCAAGAGCCAGGTTCGTCTCACCATCTACTTTTGCCGATGCGTCACCAACACCCACTAACACGTGATTACTGCATTCTGCTTCCGAACGAATCTCCAGACCGCGAGCTCCTCCAAGAACGCCATCTCCTCCGCCGACCAGAACAAGGAGATCGCCGACCTCAAGAAGAGGCTCGCATCCGCCGAAGCCAAGGAGCGCGACTTCGGTGAGCACTTTTTCTTTTCTTCAGACATTACCTTCCTCGGTCCTTCCGGCTGAGAGTGCACGTGCTCGCGAATCATTTACTGACGTCACGCGTTGCTTTATTTTTCGCATGGACATAATAGAGACTCTTAAGAAGCAGAGCAAGCAGCAGGCCGCCGAGTACGACCGCCTCGCTACCGAGCTTAACAAGGCCAACGGGTCGGTGTCCGACAAGAAGAAGGACTAAAAAGCTGGCTTTCCACGGTGTTCCTCCTTGTAGATGAGGGCGCGAAGCCGCAATTATGCGATGAGCATGGGCGTTGTGCTTGATTCTTTCTTCAATTATATATGTCCGGACTTGTATGTATCCTCCTACTTAGCTTCTTGGGCGGTCTGGCGCAGCATACTACTACTTGAATAATCTTGCAGTTTTTCCACTTGCGCTGAATAACCGATGCCGTGCACCAATATTTAGTGAGCTTGTTTGGCAAGCTGTGCGCGTGGTCACGATTCGAGAGATTGATAGCTGGTGGGTAAAAGCTTCTCATGTCGTTGACTTTGCCTGCGTATCGGTTTGAATCCGCACAGCGAGGTGAGAATAGCGCCCTTAAGCTCTCCTCTCGGATTTGCGGACGCGCGTTAATATTTGATCTCGGTAGTCACTTTTATGTTAGCGTTTGAATGGCTGGACTTTGCCCGACGAGACGTCTGAGATAGACGCGCGCCCAGCCCGCTTGGTGGATTAGCGCTTAAAATTCCGACTCGAACACTCCTCGAGCTTTGTCAACTCACGCCAATATTGTGACATTCCCGAGCCTCGTCAATAGCACAGGAATTGGCCTACTTGCGTACGTGCTTATGCGTGTGGTGAGCGCATGGACTTTTAACTCTCGTGGACGCCCGCTCAATCATTAATGGCGCGCTTGTGTATGGATAACGCGCGTGGTCTCGGACGCACTAGCGCTATGCTCAACTTGGGCTAATGTACTACGGGAGCGATTGATTCTGAATCGTAATTCATGATGCTCGGTCAGTTCGTCGACGAAAACGACTTCTCAGGGTCGACCTGTCAAGAATGTACACCGTGACAAAGCAAGGCTCGAAGTACGGTAAGCTCGCTCGAGCCAGCATTGGCCGTCCACAACTATCCTGGATGGATACAATCGTTTAAGGAGGGAAGAGGAAATGTGCCGAATAACAACGAAATATTCGGACCGGTCATACTCACCCTCGCTAACAACCTCGTCTCATCTTTATTCACGGCACCAACACAGTGAGCAGCACATATGAGATGATCGCAATTGCGGGCGCGAGCGGTGCGGTCGGCAAGCCGCTCCTCGAGGTACGCTTGGATTCAGACTTGCTGCTTTTAAACACTTATAAATACTGCCCTCAAACAAAGCTGACCGATGATGCTACGACACAACGCAGACCCTCTTCGCCGGCGGCACCGCGACCAGAGTCGTCGCGCTCGTACGGCCCCCCTCCGGGAAGTAGTACTCGTCGGTCAGCGAGTACCATCCCACAAGCTAATAGAGTAGACGCTTTCATTGGACATTGTTGAGACTTTTGCGATTGTCTTAAATTTAACACCCTCATTCGCTCATCAACTGTTTATCTACCTGGTGGACATCGCTTTCAATTCTCATTTTCACTTGTAAGCTTGCGGACTTAGCTGGAATTTAATTAACTTTCAGTAACGAGCTGACTTAGTGTATCTCGACGTTTGTTCATGTAAGGCGATTGGATTGATTGTACACAACTAAACATCGCTAGTACATAAACAGGCAACCAATATCCAAGGCCACTCAACGCAAGTAAGTGTTCAAACGTATAGTACGAAGAGACACGAAGTCGTAATACGGACACCAAAGATGAGAGGTAAAAGGGAATGTCAGCATGGGAGGGATCCGTGCATGATGCAGTTACCCGTTACCCCAGCGGCTGTTTGTTCGTTCTGTACGACAGCGCCAAGGTGCCCCGACGCGTTAAGGGCGCATCGGACCGCCCCAGGCTGGCAATGACCTGAAAAAGAAAGGAAAAAATCAGTAACACGTATCATCGCTATCTTGCTAGGACCGAAGTCGTCGAAATGTTGAGGGACCGTCGCGGCCGTCGCCATAAGAGCCAGCTGTAGAGTGGGATATTAGCATGCAATCGACTAGGAGGAAAGGAGGACGACTAACCATTTGATGGTGTCGGGTGAGCCGGCGAGACGAGCACCGCGGCCATCATGCGGCCCCACTACTAGCATCGGCCTTGCTAACGAAGCGTCCATGGGCGCATATAGCACGCGCGGTCCGTCCGCCAAGCGCCGCCCGCGAGCACGGTCCCGGTCCAAGTGGAGTGTCCGCGTCGGCCATGGCACCGGTCAGCACCGCGGCCATCATGCCACCCCGCTACTAACCACGGGCTTGCAAACGCGGCGTCCGTGAGGCGCATATAGCACGCGCGGGTCCCTTCCAGACTAGCGGTCAATACGAGCGGGCTGAACGCGCCGTCGCAGAGGGCCGACCAAGGACGACGGGTACTAAGAGCGAAGCGGAGTCAGAGAGATGACGAGGGCGAGGGAAGGGGAGGAGAGAGAAGCTAGAGGGAACTGAGGAAAATTCGAGGGAGGAGGGCCTGCCTTTTATCTCATTTCGATCCTCCGAAGCGGGTTGCACTTGTTGATTTCTACAATTTCCCGATCTGTATTTCCGAAGGGACTTACAAGGCAATGTCGAGCCCGCGGCAGGTGGGAAGCGGCTCCGTCAATTTTTATTTTCTGTTTCGAGCTGCCGTGCAAGGGCCGTGAACCGATTGACCTCAAGAACGGAGGGTGGGTTGATTCGCGACGACAATCAAGCTCGTTTTGGGAAGGCGAGATGCTAGGAGATGCTAGGGTCATGGGAGTGTGAGAGCGTCACGGTCAGGGGATAAGTGGCATCGCGAACCTGAGTCCGCTGTCACGGTAGCCGGATAAGCCAAGGAAGCTGCCAGATCTCAGTGGCACGTTTGAAAGCTTATTGTCAAGGCTGGCGCCGTGAGCCCGGCTCGTCGGAGAGACGAACCGAACATTGACGTCGGGACATCCCACCCTCGAGTCGGCACGCAATACTTATCATTGGACCTCAGAACGGAAGCAAGCAAGCTGGGAGACCACGATTACGGAAAACCGGACAAGTCATTCTAAAAGCGTCGGGATAAATACAAGAAGATGGAGCGAGAGGAGCAGCGGGCGTTGTAATCGGACCTCGCTTGCTCGGAGTGAACAAAAGGAAAACAGCGTCAATGCCCTAAAATCGGAAACCATAATGCAAAACATGGGCAAACATGTCTGACAGCGCGAGGCAATACTTGACTCCGATATCTGGCGATTAACGAGGGATGGGCCTCGCCTGACCTCCCTCGGAGCTAGCACGCTTCCGTGGACGCCCCAAACCAGCCATGGGATAACGGGCGTGTCTCGCCTTTCCTGAACGAGCCCAGAGGTCTGTTTTCATATTCTGATGGGCCTCGCTGCCTCGATGCGCTGTGACTATTAACATCAGATCTCCGCCACCACCCAGAAAAATTCATGCACACCTTCCTCTCAAGGAAATTTAGTGGGGTAAAACAAGAATGTGTTGCTGAAGCGAGGGAAACCGTTCGGTTCGTTCAGAGCTGCCCCTTGGCGCCATGCAATAACTATCTCGTTAGCTTGAGTCGACCATGAGTGACGGAGCTGCAGCGCTTGTGCGGGCGTGCACAAGCGTCGATGCCTCGCTGACATTATTGATACTACTAGGCTTGATGGTTCGCGATGCAAAGACATCTATAACGGCAAAGCAAACGCTCGAAGGAGCCGTCGGGTTGTTGCAGTGGCCTATAAGAAAATCAGACTCTAAATGCATCAGAACCAAGCAGGGCTCCACAGTTTTCATCTGAATGATAGCGAGCATAAAAAAGCTGACTGCCTCCGTGAGTCATAACCCGCATCAGCAACTGCACCCTCATTGGAAGATATTAATTGGCGTACTCCGTATTCCGGGCCACGCGACTATAGTTAAAGAAAGAAACTTCGCCATGCGCGTCGCGTTTCGGGGCTTCGACTAGTCTTGGGCTCGTAGTTAGAACCACGATAATCTCAAATATGTAGGTACCAGGCACTCTGCGATATGACCAATACAAAGGCCACCGATCTAGTAAAACATAATAATTTCATCAGGAAACAGAAACTGAAGAAATAATGTAAGCGCCCACCCATTAGAACTACCTACCGCCACTACCCAAGCGCCTAGTCAACGTTTTTCCAGCGAAACACTTGAGCGAGAATTTCGCTAGATAAAGCTGCTCGCGTTATAGATACTCGAACCCCATGAATATTGCAATGTCATCGGCAGAAACCATAGTGCCTACCATTATAGATTCGTATCTGTTCGCAACCTGAACATGTAGTATCACAAGTTCAGCGCCAACAGCACGGGATATTTCGAGGGCGCTACGCCTCACCTGTTGTGTTTGTCGGGTTCGCTGCGGCCGAAAGAGAAGTTCAACGACAGCGTCAAGGCTCACCTCTTTCAGAACCCGGCTAAGCTCGCCTTTCTCAGGACCCAAACCCGACCTTCTCGACAATCGAGAACGATGAACGTGTCATATCATGGAGATCAAAGCCCTAGCGCTCCTACTGCAATCCGTTGGTAACGAGATGAGTGTTCGAGAGCGGAGCCTATGTCGAACATTGAAAGCCTAGGCGCTTGTTAGGGGTGGTTGCATGATCAATACAGGTCTGAGGGTTTCGGACCCAACGCGAGCGATATACGACCCCCTGAAAAACTTCGAGAACGCCAATCATAGAAAGAAAGGCACTCAAGTACAGTGCTTGTTTGTGGTCGTGGAAGAGTTGCAGGACCCAGTCGTTAGCAGTAAGTGGTTCCGAACGAGGCTGGCGGCGAGCTGTGCAAGCCCTTCGGCACCTTGCGAACACGGCGCGGCCCGACATGGCGCGCTCGTCCTCGCAGCGCAGGACGCTACATACAACGAGCAGCCCCATCACATTATTCATGGAACGGTATTAAGCAGATCGTATGTTCGGGCACAGAACACCCTCTATCTACATGATATAGCATTCGATCCTCTACGAGTATTATATAACTCCAGCAAGAAAACAAAAGCAAAACCGAGAAACCACGACCAAGCGTGCAGATAACTACCTGCCAGCCAACGACGAAACCATTCACACCAATCACGAAATCCGCCCCTGCCCGTTCTCCCTTGGCGGTGCCCCCGACAGCCCATAGCTCCCCGCATCCAACGACGGCGACGCAGCATGCCTCGGCGTCGTCGTCCCGCTCCTCCTCCCCGTGCTCTCGCCCGTCGGAAGCACCGCAGCCCCAGACACACCCAGCTCCACCTCCTCGCCCTCGTCCTCGCTGTCCATCGGCGTGCCCACCCCGCTCGCCGCGCCCGACCCGCCGTTGCCCGACCCGCTCGCATTCGCACTGCGCCGCGCCCGGCGCGCGTGGAACGTCCGGCTCGCCGTGGCGTTCGAGAACAGCGGGAGGAGGTACCGCTCGTCCAGCGCCTGGAACCACTTGCCGTCCTCGCTCGTAACTCTGCCCAGCCTCCGCCCGTCTCCCTGCTCTAAGTCGCCCGCGCCGTCGCCCACCACACCGGCGGCGGCGGCTGTAGCGGCGGCGGCAGCGGTCGGTGCCATGGGGAGCGTCTCCCCGTCCGACTCGTATGAGTCAGACGACGCAGCCGAGAACACCGTGTTGCCTCCTCCTGCCGTCGCCACTACGCCGGGCGAGCGAAGCGCAGTGGACGACCGCCCACCGCCATAGTGCTGTCCAATGCGTCCGCCATGACCGCCGCTGCTCCGGCCCACATACCCCGGCGATCGCGCACCCTCATCCACAAACCCACCATTGCTATTCCTCCCTGTAGCGACCCACGAGACGCCCGAGCGCCGCGTGTACCACGGGCGGCCCATCTCGTCGTCATCGTCGTCGCTCGCCGCCTCGTCCTCCACGCCCGTCCGGATCCCAAGCACCTCAAGCATGCGCGCCGTCGTCCCGCCAAACACAATGACCGTGAGCACCACCACGACGAGCACCGTCATGCGCAGCGTCGGCGCGCTGTCGCCCTTGAACCCCGCCGCGAGCGCGACGCCAACCGCGCCGCGGAGGCCCGCCCAGAAGAGCATCATCTGGTACGAGTGCGGGAGCTCCTCGCTGCGCTGCCCGCGCGCGTGCTTCAGGAAGAAGTTGATCGCCTCGCTCAGCGGGAACACGGCCGCGTAGCGCGTGAACACGACCGCGACCGTCGTCACGATGATGAACAGCGGCTTCACGTAGTGCGTCATGCGCTCGCCCGCGGGCGGCGCGGTGAAGAGCGAGAGACCGAGGTAGATGAAGATGAAGTTCTCCGAGAGCTGCGCGAGCGTCGAGAAGATGTACTTGGTCGTGCGCTGCGTCTTGAGCGACATGGTGTGGTACGCGTAGTGCTTGAGCGTGATGCCGCAGAAAAGCAGCGAGACGATTCCGGACATGGACAGCCCGTTTGAGAAGAAGTAGCACGTGTAGGCGGAGAGTGCAACGAGACAGGACTCGATCGCAGGGTACTGACTGAGCGACGAGTGCTTAAGTGTCAGGGACATCGCGAGGCCGAAGCAGACGCCGAGCGCCATGGAGACGCTGAAGTTGAGCAAGAAGATGCCGATACCATGGAATATCGACGAGACAAATATCTCCGTCCCATGGAACTGGGTAAGCGTCCTAACCATCACGTCACAACCACATTAGAGGAGGGATGACACAGGCACTGAACATATACTCACTCATACATGACGATACTGACCGCATCGTTCAACAAGCTCTCTCCAAATATAATCGAGTACAGCTTCGGATCGACCTTGTACTGGTTGAAGATGGCGAGAATCGTGACCGGGTCCGTCGCCGAGAGCGTCGAGCCAAAGATGAGACATTCGAGGAGCGTCACGTCAAGCGATTCGAGGCCGAGGAACGAATAAACGTAGACCAACACACTGCCCTGTAAGTGGTGAGAGACCGCCCCTCTTTCTTGAACGATGCTTATGCTAGGAAAACGCACCCAACGCCGACGGCGGAGATGAAGGTCCCGAGGAAGGCGAAGGTGAGGATGGACCCGAAGTTGCGGAAGAAGTTTTCCTGGTCGAGTCGTCAGGCGGGGCGACAGCAAAGCCAAGGCAGATAGATGCGACGCACCTGTTTGAGTTCATATCCTGAGTTGAGGATGATAGGCGGCAGGAGGAGGTTGAAGAAGAGTGTATGCTTGAATGTCTACAAAGACCCTCCTCGTCAGCAAATGATCCTTCCTGTCATATGCTTCGGCTTGGCAAGGGACATAATCGCGGTGCGAGGCACAGCCCACCAGAGCTGTACGGGAAGACGACCATGCTCTTCCGAGCCCGCCATCCACAAAGGTGATGCAGAGAATGCGAGAACGACAGACTCACCAGCATCTCGCGAATCTCCGTCCCGGGCGCGAGCCTAACCACCAGCCCGACGAACATGCCCGCAAAGATCGAGACCAGTGTCTCATGTATCGTCTTTATGCGCTTGATCTGCAGATAATACGACGTCCACAGGGAGATAATGAGAAGGAGGCAGACGAGGAAGAGGGACCAGGAGGAGTAGAACTCCTCTTCCTCGACGACAGGCGTGTCCGAGGCGGTGGCGTCGGCCGCTGCGACGGTGAGGGATCCGAGGTTGACGCCCATGGTTGAAGGATTAGTCGAAAGCTCGCTGGAGCGAACGGTGGACTGTGGGCTGACGACGTGGACTCGGTCGAGGTGTCGTTTGTAGATGTTGAAGGTGGTGGTCAATGCAAGCTGCGCACTCATCAACGCCTCCGCACCTTCCTTTCCAGGCACCAGCCTGCCCGCGCCGGTGCGCTGAAACGTGTCCCTGTCTCCGCGTTTCACGTTTTTTCTCCCACTATCCTCTGCTCAATATCGACTACTTTTCTTTGACCTCATGCGTTTAGAACACTCGAACCAGTGAAATCTGGCACCGCTTTTCGCGGATTAACACGCTCTCCGGAACTTAGACTCAAGCGACAAAAGATGCGAGAAAAATGCATGTATTGAGTATATGCGCGATGCCGTCCCAGGCTGTCCCCGTCCAACCCAGTACCGCTATGCCTCTACTACACTCCCGCCCTGGCCACCGAGCCCCAATCCCCAAATCTCCAGGAGACCCCAAGCCGACTGAAACGACCCTAAGCGTGGAAGGGAGTCAGTGATGAGAAGCAATAGAAAGTCGGAGACGTGAAGACGAGTCTGGTGATATGCGGAACTGGATAGTAATCAGGGCCGACAGTGGAAGTGGCTAAGGGACGTCGCCGACGAAGAGGTGCTCAAGTCGAGGTATGCAATCACTCGACTCAGAATAAACGCGACGCTACAGGACTTGAATCACTGCAAGAACGCCGTCAGCAGAGGGTAAGAGAACCAACATCGGATGAAGACATACCACGAAGTACCTTACGCGTCGCAAATCACGCGCAGCATAGTGGCATCCCACCACCAACCCGTCACTATGCCGCTGAAGTGACACGCCACAGTCGTTGAGAAAGCGGCAGTCAGACTGTTACGCGCTGCGAGGTGCGTCGCCCAGGGAGCAATAAGAATGCTCCTGCGCTCAGCTTCGCGCCGGAGTTCACACTCATCACGCATGCTATGATGTAGCAGAGCACGCCGTCGCAAAGCCTTGATGCACTGCAAGAACACGATCAATACGAGGCGCGAACGATGGAAGGGCAGCGAAACGTACCACCAGACTCATCACGCGGGATGAAAGACTTGATGCACTAGAAGGTATGTCAACGTCAGCATGGGGAAGCACCCAAACTAACACCACGAAGACGTACCACCAAATCACTCGAGCTCCCAGAAAGCCAGCGTAACATTGTGGCGACCCACCACCACCCGTCACCTTGCCGCAAAGGTGACGCGCCACAATGTTGAGGTGTTCATCTTGAGACGGCACCTGGGAACCAACGAATCAGCGCAAACCGAAGGCGAAATCCATACTTGAACGTCTTCCTGGCACATCTTGAGCGAGACGACGACGAAACCACCTTGCCCCTGTGTCGCCCGAGGACCTCGGGTTGGACCCCGTCATAGCGCCAGGCCCGGGTCGAAACCGCACAGGCCGACTAGGAGCCCACGACCCTGCCTACACCCACGAACACATGGTCGACAAGCATATGGCGGCTCCGCTGAGCGGAGGAAGCTTACACCGCTTGGACCGCGAGGGCACGGGCACGCGCGCGGCGCCGAGCTGCCGAAGCAAACAACATCACCGGTGACAACACGGTGTGGCCTTTCCGCTCCTGGCGCGCCGCACGACGTCTAGATGCCTGCAGCATGCGAATTGGGCTATGTGGGAGGCCTCCGACGGACGAGAGGTCGCGCGGTGGACCCGGGGCGGGAAGACCAGAGGCCGCTCGCAAATCTCGGTGGACTACGACTCGGCATGGAGCTTATGGGCGTAGGGCACACGCGACGTCGAACGTGGACTCTGCACAGAGGGCAGGGGGTCAAAGTGCGTGCTCTCAGGGACCGGTGCTGAGAGCAGAGGCGACTTTATGCGACCGACCTCGCCGCCCGCGCAGCTTGGGATGCAGGACCCGCTGGGGACTTCGGAGAACCTCCGGGACGAGCCCTATGCTGTGTGGCGGGCGTCAGGATTGGATGTGTTGGTGGAGCTGAGGGGACACTTACGAAGTCTCCGTTCGTATGGCCGTCCGCGTACCGTCTTGAGGGTACCTGGGGAGGAGAGGACCGGTCAGGATCATGGGCCATCCACGAAGAGGAGCAGCAGGACTGACCTGCCGATTGCGGCATGGCTTCTCGCGCAGCCAGTTGATGGGCGTCTAGGGAGATGATGAGCGTGAGGCGATGGGTGAGGGAGGAGGGGAGTGGACTTGCCCAGTGGCGGATGAGGGAAGTGAGGGGAGGTGAGGAAAGAGAGACGGGCGAGTGGCCCCCCTTTATATACCTGGGCAGGAAGCAGTGGCTCGTGCGCTCGTGAGGCTTGATGGCAGCATTCGAGCAACGCCTTTGCCACTTTGCCACAGCTTGTTGCTCGGTTCGTCTGATTGGAAACAGCGGACGGCTCTGGGGCACTCCAAATTCCGGCCCTGGCCTTTCATCATCGCAACGAACAAGAAGCCACTCCAACACAATACATTCCGCCCCGGATTGGGCAGGTTGGACACGGCTCGATGACTCGACATCGCTTCCATTATTCAACAACCACACAGCAACTTGCCTATATCAGGCCGAAATCGGCGAGGGAAGATGGACCCACAATGTATTACAGCTAGCTGATCACGTCCTGATAGTGCTCGGCTCACCCCGCCGCCACTCCGTCCCTTGGAAATTGGCAATATATCCGTCTAATGACACCCGGTGACATCCAACTGTATTGAAAGCGTCTCCATCGACCCTTTTTGCGTCCATGCCCTGACACACTACGCGAACGGGTCCGCTCAAAAAAAACGATGAACTCTTACCATCTTGGAACGCCCGATCCGCTCAACCAGCCCGCTGCCCGGTTCGCCCGGCCGGCTCACGATCAGTCGAACGCACAGCAAGTTCCGCCGGGAACACTGATCGTTTCCCTCCTCCCCTTCTTCTGTTGATACTGTATTGCGGGATTCTCGCACAGGCGACGCGATAACGCAGCAGGCCCTAGGCCATAATTAACCCTGAACCTGAACACGAGGCCCTCGAGGTTCGAGGCGTCCAATGACCATCGTGACATCCCTTCCCACGAACCCGTTCCGCCACCCAATATCACCCAATCAGCGAGTCCGGTCGGTGGCGCGGTGTCCATGGACTTTCCACACTTGCTGTAGACGCTAGCTTGGTTCCATTACTTAGGCGCCGGGGGCTCGTTCGAAGAACGTTCGGGCAGGTGGGCAGGCAAAAAACGAGGGTGCTGTGCGTCGCCTTTTTGGAACGAAACACGAGGCCAGGTGCATACGGCTCCAAGTACGGCTCTTGAGGTGCCTATAGCATCCCTGAAGATCGGCTGGGGTGGGTGGAGCGTGTTTTCAGGGCTGGTCTGTTCGTTTTTGTCCCGGGAGAAGCTGATCTCGGGCTCGGACGAGGGACCTAGTCATGATGTCTCGCGAAAGAACAGGTGTCTCGCGTAGGATAGCTGGTAGGGCGTAGGGCTTTCTATGCCCGAGAAATTGGCATGACCTCAGGAAGACCTCGTGCCTCACGTTCAACGACCCGGTATGGTTCATCAATGTTGGAAAATATGGCTCGCTAATACTGGAAAACTTCGGGCATTAGTAGCCTCAAGCGCGGCAGATTTGATAAGCCCCTCGATGCGTTTATGTGCACAATAAAAAATGATTCGGCGAGCGACGATGACCTGGGCCTGGGTCAAACGCTCGTAGAGACGATTTGCAATACCGTGGCCGGTCATCGTGACTCATGCTGCCGTAAACGCGACCATGCGGCGCCCTCGAGTGTGCACCAGCACGCTTCTCGACTCCACACAATCCGGGATAGCTGTCTTTGTCGTATTGTTGCCCTGTAAGGAACGGCCTGTGCACCTCTGAGCTTGAGAGCCGTTGTTAATTATTTTCTTCGGTAATTTCGCCGCGAACGAACACTTCTGCTCCTTCCTTCCTTGTGGTGTCGAGAGCGATGACCTTGTCACTGGCCCCCAGCAAGAATTCGTATGTGCCACTAGCGCAGCAGCAACCGACACATCCCGCTGCTGAGGATGAGCAGCCCTCTAGGCTAGAAATGACCAACGCACGAGGCGTATGATGCTACGGCGATCAATACAAGTTTGTCGTATGTACTTCATCAACTATCAGTGCATACAGGGCTAGTAGAGGAACTGAATCTCCTCGGCCACCTCGTACGCTCCATTTTCCCAAAGAACAGCGGATTAATGGCAAACGAGGATGTCAAGAATGGAGTCGTTTTGTAGGCTTTATAGCCTCCCTCAGGCAGACGAAACATAAGAAGACCGTCGTTCTCCATAGGCTCTGAGACGCAGATCGTAGCTTCTTTCTTCCCAAAACGTCCTGGTTTTCTAGACTTGGTGAGTTAACGTTATTGCGCGCTTTAGGATCTGCTCACATTTTCGCTCTGATGACGTTATCCCTCAGTACAAATGGGCAATGTGGTAGCAAACGAACCTGTTGTCTCAGAAAGCTCAATAATACCCGTTTCTTTCCTGATATCAGAGGCGGTGCCGTGGTAATTTATCCAGGTTCACTTTCTGAGACAAGAAGTACTTCGAAAAATGACAAGTCGCGCATGCGATCATCTGAAATTGTGCCCAAGCCTGGCTAACATCCGTGTTGCCTCTCCGTGCGTCCACCGTCTACATCTAGTAGATTGGCATGGTCGAGTGATGTGAATCGAGTCCCGTGCATTCTGCCACGAGAAGTAGTCACCCACGACTGGATCATCGGTTTCGGACAATACACCCGTGTATTCCCCTGACCAAGTCAGCGCCCTGCGCGGTCATCTATATTGGCTACGGATAAACGCCTGCGAGATCCCCAAAATGCCTTCGTGGTGAAGCGGGTACCTCGATGCTCGACGCCAACATCGACGCGCAGGTTGCAAAACGACAGATAAGACGCGCCCTCTCCGCCCACGTGCAGGTCACGCCTCTCGCTAACCTGTTTGACAGCAACCGCCGGCTGTGTTGCCTCATCCTCAACCACGACCATCATCCCTCGTCGACTCTCTACAGCGCTGCCCATGTTTCTTCCGCTTTTTCTCGGGGCTCGACGGTGTCTTCCACAGTCCGCAGGGCGCTGATCCATCCCGGGCCGCTTCGGGTGGCTCAACATAGGAGGCGTGTGAAGTGGGTGGTGTTTACACCTGTTTGGCATGCAGAGAGGCTTTATATTGCGCGGCTCCATGTGACTTGCCCGTGACTTACACCCTCACACCCCGTGACCCACCCGCATCACCATCTCGCCCTTCGTCTCCTCGTCCTCGCCTTAGGGTCCCTGTGCACACGCTGCACTATCGACTGGTGAGACTCCAAATCCATGAATTTGCCTTGCGATGTTCTATGCACACGTTGGGTGACGCACTAAGCGATAGTGTGCTCCTACTTTGGCTTCGTTGAAGAGACCCCTCTTAATACTATCTCCCGCTCGTCCCACGCTGTGATATGCATGACGCCTCGTTCGTGTACTAAATCCATGTCGTACGCAGGTCATCCGCAGCGCGTTCTGCCGAGTCGTCGCTTGCGGCCAACGATCCCATTATCTCCTGCGATAGGCGTCGCCGTCTCGTGAAACGCACGCACGCACCCCCGCCTCTGCCTCTGCATCTGCAATATAACATCGGCCCCTACCCTCCACCTTACCTTCCGACATGGCCCAAGCACAACCCACCCATGACCCCACCCTCAACTTCGCGGAGACGCCGAACCCCTCAAATCAGCCCGCTCAAAAAGGCGCACCTCCGGCCGCGGTTCCGCCAGGGGTGACCCCCGGCTTCCCGCTCGACGGCACCGCGAACCAGCAACACTTGACGAACATCCTGAGCCAGTATCCCATGTTGAAGAAGGTGAGTCTCTCTCCGACGTTTGGTCCCTATCTTCAATCCCGTTCGCCGTTCCGTTTGTTATCGTTTGTCGCCTATCCCTGCGCCAGAGTTTCGGGACGTGTCGAACGGTCCGTGGAGTGTGAAGGATGGATGAATACAAAGAACGCCCGCTTAGGTGAGGGTGTTCTTTGGAGCTTTGGGTCGCATGATCGACTTTCATACGGCCCACGTGATCTTTGACATTCGTCACGTTAAGCTCAGGGGTAGAGACGGTGTTCTCGACAACGGTCGTGCTCTCGCGGCGGCGGTTTCTGTTACTTTTCTCATGATGTTTCGCCGAGGTTCTGGGACAGATTCTGACGACGCGTCTTCTCAGCTTATGGATAATGGCTCCCTCGGTCCAGAAGATGCTGCTACAGCCCTTGCTACCCTCAGTCATCCCACCTCCTTCGGCGGTTCATCCGTCACGCAGTTTCCTGTGACGAGTGATCCGGGCCCGAGCTCACATCCTCGAGGGCCGCCGAATCTTGGACAGCTCAGCGCTGCTGCTGCTGCCCAGCAAGAGGTCGAAGAAAGCGGCACAGAAGACAACGACGCTTCGCCCGTGCAGCAGACCCCAGGGGCCCCGGTGAGTGCCGGCGGGCGCTCGAGAAGCAGTCGGAATGCCGCCATGGGCAGCGACGAGTGGGCGAGACAACGAAAAGACAACCACGTACGCCTTCCTCTCCGTCTCCTTTTCTTCGCCCGCGTATTTGCTAACACCCGAGTCTTTCCCTTTTCCCCCCCTTCTCCATCATATAGAAAGAGGTTGAGCGACGGCGCCGCAGCAATATCAACGACGGCATCAACGAGCTCGGGCGCATCGTGCCTAATTCGTCGGGCGAAAAGGCGAAAGGCGCGATCCTGCACCGCGCGGTGCAGTACATCCACCACCTCAAGGAGAACGAGGCGCGCAATATCGAGAAGTGGACGCTCGAGAAGCTGCTTATGGACCAGGCGATGGGCGACCTGCAGGCGCAGCTCGAGGAGGTGCGCAGGCTGTGGGAGCAGGAGCGTACCGCGCGCCAGAGGCTCGAGGGCGAGCTCGAGGTCCTGCGTGGTGGTCCTGCGGACGCGGATGGTGCCGCCGCTGGGGCTGGGAATGCTACCGCCACTGCTGCTAAGAGCCGATCCGGGAGCGTGGAGAATAGCTCGCAGCAGAAGGACGGGGAGGCAGCCGTGGAGGGGGACGGCACGCTGGAGCGGCCGGGGAAGCGGACTCGCACCGAGTGAAGATGATGCCTTGCGGTCCATGCTCTACTTCGTGACTGAAAAGCGCTAGTGTCCCTTTCATCCTTTTCTTCCCATGTAGCAACTTGTTATGACCTCGATGTCTCTTTGTCGGCGTTTTCTCAACTGTTTTCTACTGCTCGTCTTCTCGTGCCTTCCTGCCGAGACGCATGTCCTTCGTGTATTATAGCTAGCTCGCTGCCTACATGCCACTTGTGCTCTTACTACACTTTATCCTCAGGTGCTAAGGTCGGAGATGGGTTTGGGGGCCAGCTACTCTCCAACTAGGATTCAAGGACAATTAATGGGGTGCAGAACGAGCGGCCCGGGATCAAGCCGCCGGATCCTTCGTGAGTTACCGGGCGTTGCACCCGGCCCCAGACCGGAACTGTCTTTTTGCGAACCATCAGCGCCTCTTTCCCAGCTCATTGACTTCCGACAACTTGAAGCTCTGCACATAGGACCAAACACTTTCACTTGTCTTGTCAGAGTTATAAACTCCGCACAATGTAAATTGAGTCGGAGTCTCGCCTTGACGCTGACAACCAAAGACAACGCTGATAGAGCCAGCGGCTGAGTAAGACGGGCGCTTGGAAGCGCTGACTAAAGGTGAGCTCTAGCAGGTCTTACACTTTTCCTAGTTACTCAGCGCTGTAACTGCGTGTAAAACGCCAGGATTTATAATGGCGATATGTTAACGTTGTTATGATGCGAAGGTCTTGGTTTATCATCTTCCCCCATGGTTAAGGCTGAATAAGTTCATCGTCGCTTCCTCGTACTGACCGCTTTACTCAGTTAAGTTCATCCTTGCTTCTTAGTACTCTCATTACTTCGACGCTCGGAAGGCCCAATGTCTAAGGCCGAGGTTTAGTGAGCGGCCCTGTGCGCACTCCTCAAGATCTGATTCGTCGGTAGGCCGTACTAAGGGACGACTCCTTGTTGTCCGTGCACATATAACAGTAGCTGTTTCGAGTCGGAAGTCATCCTCATCCCAAATCGCACTCACCCCACCCCACTGCTCATAATCATAACACCCCGCTCACCTTAAACATGTCTCTTCCTCAAAATATTCGTGAATGGCGCTCAAACGTGACTTTAGTCGTTTTCTGCGTGGAGCCTCTGACAGACAAATACATTGCAGGGCGGCGGTTACAAAAACTTCAAACTTGTCGAATCTCCTATCGAGGAGCCTAACCCGACGGAGGTCCTTGTCAAGGTTCATGCCGTTTCCTTGCAGTACCGCGATCTCATGGTCTCGACTGGACAATATCGCGGGTGCGTCTTTCTTCAAGTTCGTCCGTGTTCGGAGACGTTTCTCCAGGCTCAACTAGCTGGCAGCTCAAAGCCGAACGTCATCCCTGGTTCTGACATGGCTGGCGAGATCGTCTCAGTCGGGCAAGATGTCAAGGGCTGGAAGGTCGGCGACCGCGTCTGCTCCAACTTCTCGCTCGATCATCTCCATGGTGACACCACCCCGGAGACATGGGCCACCAGCCTCGGTGGCGCCGTTGACGGTGTCCTCAGGGAGTACATGAAGGTCCCTGCGGTAGTGCGTGCGCTCTTCCTGCTTGAACTCTTCGCTGGGCTCACCCCTCATTTAGTCGCTTGTTCGCATTCCGGAGCACCTGTCGTATGAAGAAGGATCTACGCTTCCGTGAGCAATATTGCTGCTACTCCGGACACCGTCTTTATTGACGCTCCTTCAACAGCTGCGCAGCCGTAACTGCCTACAACGCCCTTCTTGGTCCTAAGCCCCTCAAGGGCGGCGACACCGTGCTCATCCTCGGCACAGGCGGAGTCTCCATGTAAGCCCTCTCACTCGTAGCGTTGTCGACTAAACTTAACGTCGATCCTACACATCCAGCTTCGGCCTTCAGATTGCTGTCGCTTCTGGAGCGGAGGTCATCGTCACCTCTTCATCGGATGAAAAGCTCAAGATCGCCAAACAGCTCGGCGCTCACCACACTATCAACTACAACACAATCCCCAACTGGGACGAGAAGGTCTTAGAGATCGTGCGTGTATACCTTATCCCTCTGGCCTCTGTACGTCTGACCAATCCATCACGTAGACCGGCGGTAGAGGGGTTGACCATACTATCGAAGTGGGTGCATAGTAGTTCTGAATTTGAGTACATAACTCATAGATGTTCGCATGAAGGTTGGGGGACCTGGCACGATCCCGAAGTCCGGAAACGCGATACGTATGGGTGGACATATCCATGTTATCGGGCACGTAGCGCAGGTACGATGACCACCTATCCCTATCCTCTCCAATAAGTGATGCGCGATTTCTAACCCGAAGGCTAGGGCGAAAGCCAAGTTCCTATCCTAAACATTATCTTGAAAGCCATGAACTATCATGGTGTGCTAGTTGGCTCGGTGGCATCGTAAGATCGTCGCCCTTGAAATACTCGATGTGTGGTGACTAAAAAGGGATTCTCCGTCGCTCAGATTCAACGCCATGAACCGCCTCTTTACTGCCCGTAACATCAAGCCCGTCATCGATAAGGTCTTCCCCTTCGAGCAGACCGTCGATGCGTACGCCCACCTCGAATCGCAAAGGCATGTTGGCAAAGTCGTCATCAAGGTCTCCAAGGATTGATTGTGCCACGCCAAAGGGATGCTGTGGACTAGTCTTGCTCATTCACTCAAATGAAATGTTATTTTTCTCATCCGACTAAATTTGTCTATGAGCGAGAAGAACACGTTGGCCAGACATCAGCGGATAGGTCGCTCTGAGTCATGTGGCATGCATCGAAGCAGTATACCCATCAGGCGGCTGAAACATATCCTCCGCAGCGAGCTTGTTAAGGGAAAAGAAGACACGACAGAGGTTTGAATTAAGCGTCCTTGGAAGCGTGCTAGTTCCGAGGGAGGTCATGGAAAGCACATAAGCACCACCACAACCGTCTGGCGTCGGAGTCTGTCTTAAGGCCACGCATTGTCGGCTACGTTATTCGGTATTTGGCCAATTATATTTCCCAATTCCAAGGCGCTGACGTTGTATTCTTTTTGTCCTTTCCAGGCGAGGTCCGATCGCAACGCCTGGTCACCTCTTCTCGCCTCTAGCGGTCCGGTGTGATATTATGGCCCTTACGGAACAACTTGTCCTATTTTCCGGCGTGCTTTCTGGCCTATCAGTCCGTCCCCTCCCTTCTTATGACCTAGCAAATTCGGACGCGCTCGGAGCAAGTTAGCGCGAGCGCGAGAGGCGCCGATTTCCTGGAGTGAAATACCTTATCTTCCTGCTCAAGTGATCACGGAAGGATCGGGCATTTCATCTCCGATCTACGAGTCGGTGGCGGTATCTTGATGTGACGGTCAACTGGATTTGCACTTCTGGCGGGGACGCGGAAAGCTCGGAGGCGGCTCGTTGCAGTTCGTCAGAGTTCGTCTCCCAGATGAGCCGGAGTTAAGGCGCGAGCCCGTGACGTTAGGCTTTCAAACGTGTTGCCAGCTTGCCCTTGGCTTACCCGACCACGACCCTGGTGGCGCGACCCGGACGCAGCGTCAGGTCCGTGGTGTTCCCGCCCTACCTTTCTCCGTTCTCACACTCTAAGTACCCGCCTTCCCAAAGCGGACTTGAAGGATGTCTGGCACGGCCAACCGACTAACCCTTCGATCTCGAAGCTGACTAGTGCACGGCCCTCGCACGGCACATCATCCGAAACAAAAAAGGAGCGAGGCCACCTTCTGAGCGCACGAGTCATCGGGTTGACACTTCAACAAGCGCTTGCCGGTCCCCCCGCAAATGCAAAGAGGAAAAATGAGAAATCAACAAGGATAAATATTCTGTAGCTCGGTGTCGAAACGGGATAAAAGGCAGGCCCTCCTCCGTCGAAAAACTCCTCAGCTCCCTCCAGCTTCTCTCTCCTCTCTCCTCTCAGCCACCTCCTCTCCACGGCTATGATTTTCTCTTCACCCGTCGTGCTGTCGGCAGGCCCTTCCAGTGTCGCAGTTGCGCGCTAGCATTGGCTGGAGTTTGGAAAAATGCCCGCGCGTGCTGAGTGGCCTGCATGATGCCCACGTATTCAAGGCCGTGGCTAGTGTAGGAAACGTCGGCCGCGGCGCTGACCGACGCTGCTCACGACGCGGACCCATGCTCGGCGACTGCTATGTGCACGGGCTACTAGAACATTCTTACGATGACCTCTAACCGTTCAACCGCCATTCGGTTGGCTCCGCCTCTCATAAGGCAAAAACGGTATGTTTCGTTGCTTGTCGCCGTTGTCATATCTGACCCATTCTCTCTCAGAAACACTAGTCACTAGTGGCCTGTCTTGATCCGATTGGGTAAGTCCTTGGATTATTTTTGTCAGCGTCCACTCGTCTGATGGCCTTCTCCTCCAGGACCAGCAGCACAAGAGCCCGCGAGAGGCGCTGCTTGCTGCGGAAAAAAATGCTCTAGTCGTGCTCTCCGCTGCGATGTCTATGTCTGCTCGTCACCAATTTCTCTGCTGGCGCTGATTCTCGACAGCCGCCCCTCGGTCCCAACGCCGGTAGTCGCAACGACTTCTCAACACCATGGCATTTGTACGTTCAACAACATCAGTCGTATGGTGCTTTCGACTTCTATCTCGATAACGTTTTCCTCCCACCAACGACTTACTCTGGCGACCGACTGCGGCGACTCTTTGGCAGTTACCTCCTCCGGCGACTGCCAAGGCGACTCTCTCTGGCAGCTCTCTGGCGATTAGCTCTGGCAACCACCGACTCTAGAGTCGACTCCGGCGCTGTCGTCTCCAGTCTCGCCAACGACCGCGGCGCTTTTACTGGCCCGGTCGTGCTTCAGCGTTGGTGCGGACTCACATCCCGCCTGCGTGGAGCAAGAGGTTTTGGGGCTTCTGCACCACCTCGATATTGGGTATATTTGCCCCAAATTTTTTGAACCCCTTAGAGACTTCGGTCTCTTTCCCTAGTGACTTCGGTCGCTAGCCTCGGAGGCCTCGTGCCTCAGTCACCTCTCACGATCTGGTGTGCTCGCCTTTGTGTTGGGACTTCGTGTCTCGTCCTTCGGTGGCCCCGACGTGACAGCTTGAAGGACTTCGCGTCTATTCTTAGTGCGTTTTAGCACTTGCGTTCCCAGTGCTATCTTAGGTACTAGTTTTGACGGTTCGAGCGGGTTATCTGTACAGTGGTCGCAATGTTGCATTTCGTGTCTTTAAATATATATATCATTGGCATTTTCCGAACACCCGTTGTGAAGTCACCTCACCAGTACTGCCAACTCAGACTGACAGCTCGGAATCGATTCAAGGTAATGCACTTTATGCATGGCGAGTTGATTAGGCCTTTCTACCTTTGACGGTGAAACTTACCATGCGGAGAATCGCTTGACCAGCCGTGACTCAGCATGGTAATCTATAACGTATCAAGCCATCTTAATTCTTGACGACAAACGCGCGCATATGAACTGACTTTGAAACCAGATCTTATATCCGGAATACCAGTAAACTACGTTCGAGTTCCCGTCACAGAGGGGCTACTACTTTGACAACACACATGGTATCGCAGAGTCTGCAGATATAAATACGATAAATAATGTTATAACAATAGGCGTAAACGAGGCCAGTTGCTCGTAGATGAATAATCAGCCGCCGACTTTAGACCCAGGTCCAGGTGACGCCGTGGAGGCGGCCGGCGGACTCGGCGGCAAGTTTGTCGAAGGCACCCTGCGAGAAGTCGAGGTCGGTCAAGGTGCAGCCAGTGCAGCGGTCCGTGACGGTGACAGTGACGCTCTTGCCCTGGTCTTTTAAATGGGTTAATTACACTATAGGAGCCGAAGGGGAGCGGGATGCAGGGTGCTACTTACAGTTAGCCTTGATCTTCTTGTTGCAGACAGGGTTGCTGTTAGGGTTCGTGCCGGAGTAGCCGGGGTACGTGTCAAAGAGACTCTCTGACACGGCGACAATCAAGTCGCTGGGAGAGTTGGTGATGCCGCAAGCGCCAAGGCCGTCCTGGTACCAGGTACCTATGGTTTTGTTTCAGTCAGTATGTTTGACAGCCTACGGCAATAGTACAGGAAAATGTAGGGACGTACCGTCACCCGTCTGAGTGCCGGTGAGATACGATGGGGTAGAGCGAGTCTCGGGGATGGCAGCTGCGTTGGCGACGACGGCGAGAGCGACGAAAGCGAGAGCCTTAGAAACAAACATATTTGTTGAGGTGAAGGTGAAGTTGTGTATGGGACAAGAAAGTGTCGAATAAAGAGAGTGAAGTTCGCTTGACCAGAAGCGGATGAAAGAAGTGCAGATGAGGGTAGGGTCTACTACCGTCCGCAGAGGGAGTCTTTTATATGACTTGGACCCACATGCTTCGCCGCGCTGCGAGAGAAGCCGTCGATGGCAGTCTGGTCAGATGTAGTAAGCTGTCTAGCTGGCCGTTTCCACATCCGCTGCAAGAGTGCGATGACCCTAATGACAAAAGCAAGCGTTGCACTGAGGGCATAAATTGGCAGTGCAATGAAGTGCTCGGCCCGTGCAACACCATAAGTCTGCCAACGCATCGTCTTGATGAAGTTCCGCGTTTCCATGAGTGAAGAGAATTGAATACCCCCATTTTGCTGCCAAGTGCTGTGCTGAAGCGTTCCAGGGCGAAAGAGTGCACGAGGAGAGATCAAAAACACATGCAGTAGCGAACAGCGAATAGACGTAGACACTGTGCTTTCCGAAGCTTACATCAAGATGGAGGCTATGAAAGACACAGCTCAGTAAAAGTGAATGTCACTCGTTGATGCCTAAGTGAAGTTCTTGTTGCCAGGTTAAAGCATAGTTCGTTACTACGGAGGCCTCATATAAGCATCCGAAGATTCGTAGATCATCCAGCAGAGGGGTTCGCAGGCAATAGAGAGAAAACCAGTTCTAATGTTTATCGAGAAGCATAGACGTTTGCATTTGACACTCAAAGATCGCGTCATTCGGCAAGAGCCCAGGCCAGCGCGTTTAATCATCGTACGTGTCTTGTGCGGTGACTTGCGGCCCGCGCGGAGTGAATCGTGGCGACGGTGGCTATCAGTTGGCTATCTCAAGCACATGGCGATTCGGAGATGAAGTGGCTGAAGTCAGAGCAGCACCTGTGTCGCTGAATACAAATTGAAGGGGGCGCGGATGTGAACAACCGGGATTGACGAGGAGGAGAGGGGATAAGCCAAGTCAGCGCTAGTCAGCTCTGTGTCCGGAGTCGGCGGCTGTACTACTTGGTGGGCCCGTGGCGGAGCGGAACGGCTCCGAGGCCCGCCGCCGTCGAAGTAGAGTCCTGGCGCATCGCCCGCATGGACAATGAGATGGATAATGATACGAAAGGAGGCTATGAACGCAACAAATGCAATTTAGCGTTGAATGTTATCTCAGCTAGCTACAGAGTGAATGGCCGAGTTTGCCAGCCCGAGGATGAGAGACCAAAGTACAATTCATGTTCGAACTATCTGTACAACATGTCTAATGAATGTGCGCACTTCCAATGCGTGACTACTTGAACGCTACAGCCCATGTACATCTAACCAGAGAAGGGATGCGAAGACATAAATACGATAAATAGGAACGAGAAGTCTACACGAGACCATGTGCTCGTGGGCGATTCAGCACCTCCCAGGAACTAGAGCCAGGTCCAGGTGAAGCCGGTGAGGCGACCGACGGACTCGGCAGCGAGCTGGTCAAATGCACCCTGAGAGAAGTCGAGGTCGGTCAGTGCGCAGGCGGTGCAGCGATCCTCGACGGTGACGTTGACGCTTTTGCCCCCATCTGTTTGAATAGTCGAAAGGTTTAGTCAGATGGATCCCGTTTTACAGAACAGGGAGAAAACGAACAGGTGGCCTGGATCTTCTTGCCGCAGACAGGATTGTTGTTGGGGTTCGTGCCGGTATAGCCAGGATAGGTGTCGTAGAGCTGCTCCGACACAGCGACGACCAAGTCGGTCGCCACGTTGGAAACGCCGCAGGAGCCGAGGCCAACGGCGTACCAGGTGCCTACATTTTTGTGAGGTTAATAACGCAATATCGGTGAGGTATGATATGGCGGCATGGACGCACCGTCACCAGTCTGGGTGCCAGAAAAAGCGTCGCGGCGTATAGCGGCCGCGTTGGCAGCGACGGCGATGGCGGTAAGAGCAAGGGCTTTGGATACAAACATCTCGGATGTTGTGAAAAAGGTTATATGTAACAAGAAGTGCGAATAGAAGAGAACTCCGCTTGACCAGAAGCCGAAGGATGAACAGGTAGGGAAACTAGGGGAAACTGGGGGCTTGCTTTGGCGGAGACGCTCTTTTTATACCTGCCGCTGGAAGACGCAGTCCGCATGTCAGTATCCTGCCAGCTATCCTGCCGCGAGAAAAGACTAACCGCGATCTGTCAGAGCAATGTCCAAGTTTGTCCTCGCTGGGGTATCATCATGTCCTCTGCGGAGAGATTGACTGTTTACAGCACGATTCAGAGATCAGGTCTCAGTCCTCCATGGGGCTGACCAATGCGCTGACGGGCTGCTACGCTGTGCGACGTGTTGTGACCATGCATGAAGAGAAGGGAATACACCATCGCGACAGAATGGCTGTGTCGAAGTGAACCTGAACGGAAAAGCACAGCAAAGACCTTAGGCGATGACGAACGCGCGGAATCAGATAGCGAGATATCAGTGCGCGCGTAAGAGTGCGCAAATCAAGACCTTTGGCTCCTTGACGACGAGACGGATTGCAAGTTAGACTCAACCATGCGCTATTATGTGAAGCCACTGTAAAAGCATAAGAACGCGAACACTACTTGGATGACTTGCTAGGTTGAGTGCTAGTACGGGTGTAATCCCGTCACCTTAGGACGTGAAGAGCATTTCGTGCCCGAGACATAGTATGTTATCAGTCCAGAACAGCCATACGTTAGGAACACAGCCATGAGCTCAGGTAGCGAGAAACCCAATGGACCAATACATGAAGCATACGGGCACACGGGTGTCAGCCAGGTCTCCGAAGAAAATCCTTTGCCCAAGTGAGTCACCCAGCAAGTTGATGTACGCTGAATGCGTCTCGGAGCGGGACAGACGCTAAGATGTCAGGGGAAAGGATAGCATATGCATTGATGTTTCAATGCTCTCGTGGACGAAACAAGCTCGGTATGGGCGAAATTCTGCCCTGACACGTCAGCCATTGGAGTCTGTCGGGCACCGTAGACTTTGAGAGGCCCGTCGTTGACGAGTAAGTACGGTCGCGAATAGACCGTGTAGGCTGTTATCCACCAGAGTGGGTCATAATTCCTCCTACGATCCATGCTGGAGAAAGGAGTAAAGATCTGGTAGTCCATCATACCAAGCTTCGCTGAGTGTTAATCGCCGAGCGTTGTAGTCGAAGGCTCGAAGCCCTGTTGAATGACGAGATGGTAGTCCATGTATGTGGTGCATTCATAGAACATCCGCACAGATAAGGGAAGGCTATGTACGGAATGTCCTGAGGAAGGGTTTCAAGCTTGAAGAATGAGCAGAGGGCCGCGGTGGTGGTTCAAACGTTCGAGAACAAGCCTGCCAAAGACAGGGGCCATGCTCGGTTGTGAGCTTACATAATCAACGTTGCGGCGGGAGGTTTGTGCTCACCGTAGTGTACGGTGAGCAACTCCGCAGCGTAGTTGCTGACCCGGGTCACTAACGTCATTAACCTAGCAAGGTCACTAACCCAGTTACTAACGCTATAGATAGGGGTAATTAATTCGTAGCACACGCAGCCTTTGTAATTACTGAATATGACTACATATCCCAGTTGATTGGGACAACTGTCGGCTCAGGAGCGTCGTCAGAAACAACCTCTGGCTCACCGGATGTGCCATTGTTGCTGGCACCAGCACGAGAGGCCACTCCTTCATCTGCAAGGAGATCAAGCAGAAGCGATGATGAGAGGTCCACCGTGTCCTCTAGATCAAAACGCTTGCAGCTAAACTGCTGCATTTCTGTTACCTCGGCCTTCTCGTCCTCAGTAAGCAGGCTCTGATCAACCACGTCGTCCGGATCAGCTGCTGACATGACATCATCATCGCCTTCATCCGAATCGCTCTCGTCGGCATCGTCGTCTTCTGCAAAGTCATCGGCTGATTTGATGCCAGGTTTGTCTCCCTTCACGGTCTTCTGGAGATCGCGCCACTTAACAGTTTGGCGAAGTTTGGGCTTGTGTTTCTGTAATATAGAGCCATGGAATTAGTACACGTTGAAAATAGAGCCGAATTAGGGCATAAGTACGAACCTCCGGATTATTCTTATGAAAGTTTCGAATCTTGACCATACGCGCCAGCGTGGAAGCGTCCTGCCGGTTTCGGCGTGAAGAGTTGAGCCAAGAATAGACTGATGCAGTCCGTTCATCAGCCATCGAGTTGCACCGAATCGAGAACAGGTGAACACAAAGCGCCTGAAAAATTAGAGGGAAATGAGAATCTTCCTCGTTAAGAATTCATAAGAGCCAGAACAGTACCGCTAGAGGTTGGGTCATGCCGCTTGTATCCTTGGCGAGCCTTGACCACCAGGAAAGTGGGGCCTCATCTTTGACAAGAGGACGGTCAAAGGGATAACCACCTCTCGCATAGATGCCAAGCTGCTCCCTGAGCTTCTCATTGGCCTCGCGCGCAGTCATCCCAGCGATTACCTGCTTTTCGTTCTCATATTTGATGCGCAGCATACCAAGCATATAACGACCGACACGCCGGAGGGTCTGGGGGTACTCTGAATTCCCCGAAGTTGAAGCGCCTGGAGTCTGAGAAGGGATCTTGAGGCGTTGAAGTGCGAGTGGGTTCAGATCTTTCATGATGGCTGCACCACGGTAACCTGATAAACCATAGTGTCAGCCAAATGAATAAGTAATAAAAGAAACAAGGCGGGTATCTCACGAGGATTGAGTACAAAGCCCGTGAGATAGACATCGTCAGGGCTATCGTTGATCATCTTGTTGAATCTGTAATTAACTCGACGGCGGATCTGCTCAGCAACTGCTACAGGGATCTCGTAGTCATCCTTGCGAGTGACAAGGATATCATACAAGGAGGCGACAATGGCCAACCAAAACTCACATACACTCGAGACATCAGTGTTGACGGCCTCAAGGCAGGTGGTTGCTTTCGCAACTGGAGCAAGTATCTCGGTCAGCCGGTCAAGTTCAGCCCGAAACTGCAAGGCAGTATAGCTGCCCTCAATAAAGCAGCTGTTACAGTCCTAAAGTAGGCGTGAGTCGCACAGAGTTTGAATACATTAAATGGGGCACTGCACCGGAATAGTGACTTTCTTCTTCGTACATATGGACTGAATCGCAGGATAGCAGCGCTTCACCGAGTTCCCGGAGTGGTATATGGTCACAAAACGGGTTTTACCAACGGATACAAGACCACGGGATATGTTCAGCTCCTTTCGTGCCGTCTTGAGTGCAGTTGTTGCGTGGGTAGACTTCTTGAAGAACTTGATGGTTCGCCGAATCTTTGATATCACCTAGAGAACTGATCAGTGCGAACTCAAGGTCTGCGCGTAACTATTTGTATGACAAACCTTACTAAAGAAGGGGAGCTGGCAGATATCTTTTGCGAGTAGATTTGCGCAGTGGCAGGGATCGGGCAGAATAATGAACCAGGGGTACTTTGCCTTGACGAGTTTACGCGCTTTTGAAGTATTACCCGTTGAGTCGGAAGATATCCCACGGAAGTGACTGGGTCCAATGGCCTGTATCACCTGATCTAGCACGCCAAAGATGTATTCTCCGGTGTGTGAGCGGTGAGATGACTCATCTCCGTCCATGAAAAAGACTAGGCCACGGGGAGTTGTGACATGGACAGTATACACAGACTGGGGGAGACGTGTGGTGTTGCCATCAAACGAGATCGTGAGGTCGGAGCAGCTGCGTAGGTAATCGCGCTGCAAGATTGAGACATTCGAAGCTTCTTGCGGGATGTGGTAGTCGGCAATAGTAGTGGATGATGCAGGGCTGTAGTACTGATTTGCGATCTTCATCAAGTTCTTCCACTCCGGAGAGTCTACAACAGTGGGTGGAACACCACAGGCACAGAGAAACAAGAGTGTCGCATAGTCCAAGCGGTCCTTGATCTCCGTACAGTAGGCTTGGTGTGCAATCTTGGCCATCGGCCCAAGTGCCTTCGGCGCTTGATCAGCGGGCGTAGTAGTGCTACTAGGGACAGCGGGCTCTGCTGCTGCTAGCGCTGCTCCGCCAGGAACCACTGTGACGGCTGATGTGACACCAGTAGAAGCAGCCTTCGCGTCATGGTCAGCAACCTTTTGCCCGAGTGACTCGTTCTTCATCTTCTGCCGGATACGCTCCTTCAGCTCAGCGTCTAGCCCCTTACACTGCTCGACGGCATGCTTGAATATCCGACCTTTGGCACGGTTTACCCAGAAGGTAGGACAGCCATGGGTCGCACCTGCACAATGATAGACCACCTTGTCGTTTTTGGCGATTAGATATGCAGGAACTGACGCGAGAAGCACGTCCGGATCAGCTTCAACACCACCCTTTCGCGGCTTCTTCATAACCTTGCATGCTCTGTACCATGCCATGACCACAGCCGGGTTCTCTAGTGCAGCGCCCTCATCAGCTACCAACTTTGCCTTCTTCCTCGCTGGTTGAGCTGCCGACTCGCTGGATTCGTCCCCACTCGCAATCTCGTGATCTGTAGAGCGAAGGGTTCCTGTGAAGGCCTGTTGCTTGATGTATCAGGTATGATTTCACTAGATAGTATTAATGATTGACGCACTGTTGAACCCTGATTCTTTGCCGCTTCCGTCAGATCCCTAGCCCACTTAAGCATGATTGCTGAGTCGGATGACTTCTCGGACTGAGCTCGACACTTTGCGATGGTGTCTTGCAGTACATCTACCACTGCAACCAAGCCAGGTCCCCTCTCTTTGAGCACAATCGGCCCATCGCGTCGGCTTTGAGGGCAGAAGGCCATTTCAAGGGCATGATTCACTGCCCCTTCATAACCCTTGTCTTTGATATCAACGTCGTTGGGCTGGTAGTATGCGAAGTTGATCTTTGAGGTAATAGGTAGGTTATCTGGGAGAGTTTCAAGATAAGATCGCAGGTCTGCGAGGAGCTGAAGCGTCGAGTGATCCATTGGAAACCGAGTGTAGCAGACGTCTCAGAGACCTCTGGTGGAAGCAGATTTCGAATCATAAGTTCACTCATCAACTGTTTCAATGTCAACTTCTGTATATTAGCTGCTGTCAAAGACGGCCCGGCGTCCAGCAAATGGGCTCGGTATTAATATACGATAGTGCTAGGAGGTTAGTGACCACCCTCCCGAGGCCAACCCTGGTCACTAACACGTTAATGACACGTTACTGACGTTAGTGACCGGTTAGCCTGCCCTAAATCCCAGAACCGACCAGTTGCTCACCGTACACTAGCTCACCGTCCCGCAAGGCGCGAAGGACCACCGCTAGCCATGACCACCATCCCAGCCCGCCTCGCGCAGACCACGCGTGTATCGAGAAACCCATCGGAACGCCGTATGCGCGTCATTGACCTCTACCGCGACTGGATTCGTGCCGTACGTCCCCAACCCGCTCCTCGTCGACTTGGCCCGAGACTAACCGAACCTCCGCCCCTCCGTCCTCCGAATCCATCTCTCGCCGTATTTTCTGCTGCATAGGCCCCCGAAGTCTGTACTCTGTATGCCATCAACGTCTCTCCCCAGGAAATTCGGCACGCCATCCGGCAGAGGTTCGAGCAGCACCGCTACGTCTCCGACCCGCGCGCCATCGACGTGCTTCTCCTCAAGAGTCAGCAAGACCTCCAGGAGACGCTCAACTGCTGGAAACAGACCGATCACGTTCTGGGCATTCTCCTCGAAACCAAGCAACGGCCGCAGAAGTCGTTCATGCAGAAGTTCCTGGAAGGTGCGTCTATGCTTCGTCTGTCTACGAACACAGTTTTACTCAATCTTGGCTACAGGGCGGGACGAGGACGCCATCACGCCAGCTGCGTCGGGTGTTGTGTAGACGAGGTTTTGCTGTTCATTGCCCATAATAGACAACCATCAATCATTCTCTTCCTCGTCTGAATGCACTAGGCTCTTGTGCCATCACGTCGACGAAAGCCTTGTCCTTGGCCTTCGAAAAGAGCTGGCATTACGGTTCAACGTTCAACAGCGAGCGTATTAACCATTCGCAAAGTAACATTCCATCAAGCAAAAAGGTCCCGTATCTTAATATACTAATAACAACAAACGAGGTGTATGTACGATAAACGGAAGGCAAGAAAGCAAAGCAAGCAATAATCCACGCAAGACTTAATCTAAGAATCCGAGCGCATCTCGACATCCGCGTCCCCCGTCTTTTCTTCTGGATCGGGCGGGGTCAGTGGGGTAACGGACATGCCTGTTGGGAGTGCGACACCTTCAATCGGGGAAGGCGCGACATCATCCGAGGAGTGTGAGTGCAGTGCATCGTCGTCAACACTAGACGGGTCGGCCATAGCTGCGTCCCCATCTGCGTCGCCGTCCGCGTCCTCTGGCTCCGAATCGCTCTCGTCCATCTCCAGCGCATTCTCCACCGACATTGTCATCCCGCCATTCCCGCCGCCGCCCTCGTGCTCCGGAGTATTTTGTTCCTGCGCTGGCGTCTGCGACGTCGAGGCGGTGGCAGAGGCAGAAGTCAAAGACGACGACTTAAGCTTCGATTTGTCGAGCTTGCGGATGACCTTGGCGATGTAATCCTTAGCAAACTTTTTGATCTTGGCTGTCTTCTCCTCCGAGAGCGAGTCGAGCTTGTTCTCCTTGTAACTGTTCGACTTTTTCTCCTTCTCCGTTATCACCTGCGTAAGCTGCAGAATGACGGTTGAGCATAGGTGATAATTATAAACAAAAAAATATCACCTCTTTGGCGTATTTCTTGAATTGGTCCCGGTCAAAGTGCTTCGAATGCTTCGACATGCACTTGACGACCACGGCGCCAACGAGCTTCATCAACCTCTTCTCCTTGCCCGCCTCCTTTTCCTCTGCACTCTGCCGCTTCTTCTCCCTCTTCTCCCTGCGCTCCTTCCTCTCCTTGCGTTCCTTCCTCGGCTCGATAGGTGGGGGCTTCGCCGCCGTCGCGGTAACCTGAGCTCGGGCCTCGGCCTCTGCTGCAGCATTGGCCTGTGCAATGACGGCGGCAATGTCCATGCGCATTTGCTCCGCAGTTTTCTTCTGTTCCATCTGCGGCGGCACGACTGCGGGAGGCGTCGGTGGTGGGGGCACGAACTGCGCACGCGAAAGGCCCACGTTCGCCTTTTGCTGCCAACCGCGGGCGGTAGGGAGGTGAAGCCGAGCGCGCTCCTCTTCTTCCGTGAGGTCGACCTTGACGCGCTTGAGTGACGGCTGGGATGTGATTGGGTTGATGACAACTGTCTCGGTCTCGACGATCTCGCCATCCTAAGAGGGATATTAGCGTGATTCCCTCGAGCGCGATATGAGAAAAATAAAAACGCACAGCTATTCGCTTGGGGATGCGATAGGCCACCTCCAGCGTATCCCAATAATCAAGCAGCTATTTTTATTTTATTTTAAAAAATTGTAAGCAATTCCTCGACCAATTAAGAACATTGTTCAGACCTTCTGAGCGAGCCCCTTGATCGTCTCGTTCTCCAAGTTTAGACAGTTCTGGACGGGTATACGAATCTTGGAATCGTCCACTTTGTTACGCTGGATGAGCGGCCAGTTGACCATGCACTCGAGCGCCTAAGAGGCTATGAGCCCCTGAGCGGATAATAGTCCAAATAGCATACGTACAGTAAGGACAATATCTTCCTCCTTTTCGTAGTCCTCAAATATATTCGTCATGAGACTAAACCCACGTAATCGCATGAACTGGCGAAGGACAGCTTGGTCCTCGGTTAGCTAACCATTGACATCAGCAATTTTTAGTAGATCCCTATGCATGTAAAATCGGAACCGACCTTTATTCTTGTCAAAAGCTTGAACAGCATCTTCTTGCTCGGCGTCTTGCGCACCGCCTGCGCCACCTTCGGGATGTCCTTGAGAAGGATTGGCGTGAGCTCCGGCTATGTCGTCGCTTACGTCAGCACGCGGAAATTTTCCAAGAAAATTCGTGAGATATACCATGTAGTCCTCGTCGAGCTTTCTGCCCTTCTTCTTCTTGCTGCCTTTCAGTCCGTACTTCTCGACCTCGTCCGAGATACCGAGGGCTAGGGTATGTTAAGCTAGGTGTTGGAGAGGGCGACGGTACGGAGAGGCTTACCGTCGAGGTAGAGGTCATCCATGCCCGCAATATCCGTCTGGGTCTTTCCACCAATGAAGCCAACGCACTGTGGCTCGCCGCAATAGCATGGTTGTGGGTCATGACTACGACGAACATCAATTTCTGTACATGTAAAACATTGCAAGGCGAGGAATGCACGTACCCATAGCGGTCGACGTTGTAGTTGAACGTCAGCTCCTCGTTACGCTTGACGGCCCGCTTGGCGAAAATGCCCATGCGAACATGGGGCCCGACCGTCCACTTGGCGACGTAGCAGTTGGGATTACAGCTGTGGTTCGCAAAGCGCCCCTTGCCTCCACGTTTCGTCGCGTCGATGTACTGGAATAAGGTCAGTATGGAACAGGTAGCAGTGGGAGAGGCCGACGTACTTCGTTACTCTGCAGCATCATGAAATAAAAGTGCCGTATTCCCTCCGCCGCGTACTCCCGCATGCGCTTCAGAAACGACGGGTGGCTCACGACATCGCCAACGTACTCGTAAATGAAAGCGTCCCTAGAACGATGGTTGAGGATGTACCAGTAGGCGAGGCACCGGATGGCACGTACTTTGGTATGTCTGAACCTGCGCGAAGACCAAATCCCTTCTTCTCCGTTTGGACAACTTCGATGTTTGCGTACTGCTTGCGCTGAAAGCTGGGAACACTGTCAGTCGCAGGGAGCCAAACGCACTAAAGGGATACGCACCGCTGGTTTTGACAGTAATTTCGACATCGACACTCTCCTGGGATACATTCCACCTCCGTAAGCCTGTTGATGCAGTCGGAGTGGGGTCCGCATGCGTCCGAGGGGTCGCTGACGCCTGCAGGCAAATGTGAGCGCTGGGGCAACTACCAAGCAGACGTAAAACGGAGGGTAGTCTCGAAAGAGACTACTCTGGGAGTACTACGGAGGAGAAAAGAAGGAGTAGATACCAACCTGGCTCGAACTGACAATCGCAGGCCATGCCCTCAAAGGCCTCCCGTGCCCGTCCCAGGGTGCCATACTGGTAATGGTTCCCCGGGAGTTCTACGAACGTGCTCATGGCCGCCGCCTCTGCGCGAGGCAGGTCGCCTATGAGTTGCGGGCCCTTGGGACGGGGCTTTACATCTGGCTCTACGGGTACTGGTGTACTAGACTCTGAGCGCTCACTCTTTGCCGCCAACATTGGCGACGGGTCAGGCTTGAGCTCGGGCTCGGGCTTGGGCTCAGCTTTGGGCGAGTGTGGGGAGAAGAGGTTGTGTGGGTCCTGCTTGGAGCCGTTGGTGTCCTCCTGCTTAGGGGTGACGTGGGCGGGTGTGCGGGTGCTCTCTTCCTCCTGAGGCGTGGAGGCGGGCAGGTCGGGCTTGATATCTTCCGACATGGCGCTTGCTGGGTCTGGCTTTACATCCTCGGTCTTGGGGATTACGAGACACATACTTGGGCTTTCGCTCGATGGGGTGTGAGACATGGTGGTGGCGGACAAGGGGGCGGTGCCAGTGTCTCCGTCGACGATGGGTTGGGTGATCACAGCTCAGAGGTGCGCACAGTCGCGAAGTAAGACACCGTCGTCCACGAGTAGGTTTGGCTACAGCAGGAGCCAGTCAAGGCCTGCAATGGCAGAATTTTGTTAGTTAGGGGACTTGCTGTACAGAGGGCGCACTGACCCGCTAGCGTGCGTGCAACAGTGTGAAGCACTTCAAGGAGTATATAGTCCACCAATTGACTGGGGCGAGCGCGCAGCGTCGCGCGCCTCGGCAATCCGAAAAGTTTCGCGCCGTCCGCGGGTCAGGCAAATGGCCCCTCCCTCCTCCGCGAAAAAGCGCAAGCGCGACGTCAACGACGATGGCGGCGCCGCAGATGGGAAAATATCCCTGACGCTCTCCTCTCAGCCAAGTTCGAGCGTGGGCCCTGTCCTGGGTAAGTCTGCGCGCTGTGATGGTTGCGGACAACCTTGGGTTGACTAAGGGGCTACATCACAGCCAACTTCCCCTCCGTCAAGCCCTCGAAAACTACATCGTTCAAATGCTACAAACTATCTCACGGGACATCCAAGAGCAAAACAGAGGACGAAGAGGATACATCATTCGCGGAGATGCCCACGTTGATCGCCGGGGAGACCGATGCGGTTGAGTTCTTCTCCTCAGACGAGACCCGACAGGCATCGTCTGGCAGCAGGTGTGTCGAGTTGATCCTACTGAATGCTATTAGTCCATTGAACCTTGGAACTAGATACTATGTCGCCGTGCATCGCAAAAGCACAGGAACCACTACCCTTCGCCCCGTACCCTTGCACCTCCTCACACAGCGGGTTAAAGCTCTTAAGAGCATACAACCTGCGCCTGTATCCGCGTTGCAGCGACTCGAGGCACGCGCCGCTCTCGGCGAAACGTTCGGGACCAAGAAAGCACAGGCCGCGATCCGGGCACAAGAGCGGAACAAGGTCGATGTCTCAGCCATGCGTGATGTTGCTGGCTATCTCCAAGATAGTATTGCGGCCAATACGCAGTCCCTGCCGACGCAGGGTACGATTCCACTTCCTTTCCTCGTGACCATCAACCTTATTCATATCTGCTTTGTAGAAGAGGCCAAGGCGTCCGCAGACAGCGCGAGACTGGTGCCCAAGTACAACGCCGATGCACTCACTCCGCAAGACATCTACCCCTTGCATAACATTATACCGGAGGCGGAGTGGAAGTCCATCTCTGTTAGTTCCATGACGGCTGCTAAGACCCAGTCGGAACGCACGAGCTTGCTGCCGTTCAGGCGTTCGAACTGGATAAACCAGCACCTGAACCAGGCGTTTGCGGCTCCTTCCCCGAACAAGACAGTCCTGTGAGCCTGCTTCGCATTTTATTCCTCGAAAGACGCCTTTCTCATTCATTCTACCTGAAGACGGACCCTCTTCTATATCTCCACGCTACTTGCTTTCAGGCAGGCAGCCTTCCGGAGCGTCGACAGGAGTGCTATTCAGGAGAAGTTCCCTCAGGTCCCGAGCATCATCATAGACGGGATCATATCCCGATTTACTGAGAGCGGTAGAGATGCGACGAAGTACGCTTCCCTGCTGTCATCACGTTCACTGAGCCCATTGCTAATTGCTAATACCGCGCTACCAGACTACAGTCGACAACGCGCTCCGAGACGCTGCTGCTCGCGCACACTTTTGCCCTCTGCCTCCGCGTCGACGACTTCGCGTCGGACACGACGCTCATTGCTTCTGACCTCCAAAAACCAGTTACGACGTGAGTTATCACCCTGTGAACACGCCGTCAACGACTCTAACCAGACTTCCTCTGTTGCACAGGATCAACCAGCTCTTTAAGTCGCTAGGTGCGCCGGCTCTGTTCTCTTTCATACCCTGGCCTCCCTACTGACGAGTCGCATAGGTTGCACCATCAACAAACTTACTCAGTCGGACCTCAAACGTCTGGGTTTGCCTGACTCGGCTGCCGAGACCAAAAGAGCAGTGCTCAGTGCTCCGCTGGAGTTCCCAAAGCAGAGGATGAAGCGTCGGGCGTAACATTCCCGCTCTACCCTAGATCATGTATTGAAGAGCCTCATTGGTCCTTGCCAGCCGTTGCAAATTATATTGTTTGCTTGCTTGCTTACTCCCTCGCCATCCTTATCGCCTTTATGATCTGCTAAGTCCAGGCTGACTCGTCCCAATATTTTCTACATAACATATACACGCGTCCATATGGTCCAACAAGCCAACGCCTTACCTGACTGCGCATTGTCACCCAGCTAACCCCGATATGAAACATGTGTGCCGGGCTGTTGGAGCTGCCTGCTGTGCATCCTTTCGGTGGCACTGTTACGACCAAATATTTCGGGCGCACATATGGGTGAGAAAAGGCGTTGGCAACAATCCCTTGGCTCGTAAAATCACGATCGGTTTAGCGCACCACCTGCCTTGAGGACTCTCGACCATCAATTGTTGCCGACCTCACCCACCGGAAGAACACATTAATATATCGTCCTTTTCCTTCGGAGACGAGCTCATGAATGGCATCTATTTGTCCTAGCATTTATGACTGGCGTGTCGGTCTGATAAGCCGTTTTTTTTCTTGGATGCGGGCAGTCGTCAACAAACAGCTGTCTGTGCGGATACAGGAACCGGCCCTTCTCCCCCAATAGCAAGCTTCAGCTGCGAGCATCGACTTCATCGAGGGTGTCTTTCTGCACGTCTTCACATAGGTGGGTGTATCGCGTTATTGCCAACGTGCCACCGATGCTCCCTTCTCAAAGGAACTGTGAACTTCCTTGACAGGATCCTTGCCAAGGGGACCGCTGAAGAGTTAGGGTAAGCCCAGAGGCTTGGTACCCGCCTCCTACAAGTTCGATGACTCCGTGATACCCTAGACCTAGGCTTCGGCGAAGATAAGATGGGTTGACACCTCGCCGCCCCTTTTTTTCGGATCGGCGATCCAATCGAGCGGTCATGACCCAGTTCTCGAGGGAGTGAGCCAGTCCGGTTGGTTCTCGGAAGCCGCAAGCTCGTGTGAGTACACCAAGGACCGCCTCGGAGGTCGTTTTACGCAATTGGAGCCTGGGGATATTTTCTTCGGGCAGCCCTGAGCGTTTTTCGGGGTAATGGCTGCAGCGCCCGATGACCTAGCCGATTGGCGGCTCGTCGGAAAACAGACGGAAGCTTCTTTTTGTCCCGGAGACGGACGGGCGAAAGAGATGGGCAATTCTGGGTAGTACATATTTGTCTCTGCACAGGAGAAATTCTAACGTTGTTGGATCCCTTTCAGACTAACCGCGGGGACAAGATTGAGAAAGCCAGGTGAAGTGGGAAAAGTGAGGAGCCCGCGAGGGAGTCCTCGTAAATGCTGGGTAATTTACACATAAAGTGTACTAAACGAGGTCGTGGCTTGTCTGGGACTAGTGATCGCGTAACATCTACAGCTGTTTCATGCGTCTGTTTGGAGAAGCGACGGCCATATTCTCATAGATTGCGATCAAGTGTTTCTGGAATGGAAAGCATGGTTGTGCGCCAGGGCCATGCTGACCTCCACGGCTGATGCGCGTGCCGTCTAGACCCCAATCCCCCAAATTTTCTGTCAAGACAGGATACGGCGTCGAGCGTGATGGGGCGCAGCGATTTGTGGGTGTGTGGGAAGAGAACCAAGGACAAAAGATTCTGGAAAAGTCGAATCGGCGAGTGGCATGCTGCAGGCCTGGCGTCTGGGTTAGCGGTGGCGGAGTACCTGGCCGGCGCATCGGCTGATCAGCATTCGGGTTCAGGTTCGACGCTTTCAATAAAAGAGATTGGCAATTTACCTCGGTCAGATTTGCGTCAACGCCCCGCTCTCGCGACCTCGCTTGACCTGGGATTGGAATTCTGGACAGACACGGCTGCCAAAGACAATAACTAGTACGACCCTGCATGTCCCGGGAAGCTGGTTTTGCCACTATCTCGCGAAGGATGTCCCTGCCCGCCCAGCGTGCTGCAGCGTTTTCTCTCACCCGCTCGCGTCTGGAATATTAGACATATCCTCAGGAAGGAGGGAGATACGACTTGTTGCTGTGCGGGAAACTTAACCGGGAACTTAATTGTGAAGCCACCCTGAGCGGCAACAAAAGCTTAACAGCATGGACCTGCAAACGCCTCGTTTTTGTTGGATTGTAGAAACTCCGACACACAGGGACCACGCAGTGAAAGCGAAAATGAGCTCCGAACTCCACAGCATGACAAGCTACCCTTTGTGTTATATTACGGGTGGCACTGGTCGCTAGTGGCAGCACAAGCGCCGGGGGGTTCGGAGACCACAAAGACCTCCCGATTTGGCAGCTTGCATTCCCGGAATGGAATGACAGCGAAGTTCGAAGGGGTGAAAGTTTGTGAAAGTTGAAAGGGGTGTGGTGATGACGCGGACTTTGATTCCGTTTCCGACTGTGGCATTGACCCCGGCTCCCTTTGACGCGTTTCGACCTTGACCAGCCCCCGCCTGTTGAAACGGTATAAAGAGAGGGCCACTCCCTCGCTTTGTCCCCCATCCTCTCTTCCTCTTCCTCTCCCATCTCCTCTCAGCTTTTCTTCCCTCCCACTCTCTTCTCTCCCTTCGAGGACGCGTCTAGTACTCTCGGTGGCACCCATCCTCAACCTGGTCAAGGTGTGTATATGCGTTGCCGCCGCCGGCGATGCCACTGATTGTTTATAATTTCTAGGCGCAAGGTATCTACGACGGCTTCTGACTGGCTTTGAGTGAGTAGGTCTCCCCTTTGTCGAGTCTTTCGCCGTGTTGACGCTGCCTACTCTATAGTTCTATGCCCGCGAGTGGCGTGTCTATGTTCTGCTGGCTGTATGCGTTCGTCTGCTTTGACTCGCTGACTTAGAGGTCGACACCCGCGACGGGTCATCAAGGTTGGCTAGTGGCGACAGCTTAGCAGCAAGCGCCCGCGAGTGGCCGAAGCATCGATAACTTTGGTGTGTGTATTGACGTTGGTATCTGAGTGTTGCTTCCGTCTTTGCGCATCCTAGCCGTATTCTTGAGGTGTGGCCTGCGAGCGGCTGAAGCGCCCGCGACGGGCCGAAGGTACATTAAGTTCTCGTTGTCTAATTCTCTCTCTTTTTCTTTCTTTGCGACCATCGGTGCGGGCCTCAAGAGTCCTGGACGTCAAGCGCCTGCGAGCGGCATGAAGATCTTCTGCAGCTGAGTTTAGCTTGTGTTTTCTTCTTCTTTTGTTGTGGCTTTGAGTACGTGAGTGGCTTGTTTCTGGCGACCTTACTTTCTTGTCGACGCCTACGATGGCTCCGACCGTGGCCATCAAGAGCCATTGACATCGAGCGCCCGCGAGCGGCTTAGAAGACACTGTGTTGATTTTCTTTGGTTCTTGCACCCTTCGTTTGCTCTGTTTTCTTGTTGCTACTGACGACGCCCGCGAGCGGCTTACTTCAAGCGGCCACGAGTGCCATTCTTCAAGTTTCCCTGCTTTCTAAGCGGCCGCGAGCGCCATCTTCGGGTTTTGTTCTCTTTGCTTTCCTCTACTTCCTCTTTGCCTGTTTCAATCTCGTCAGTGCCTTGGCATCCATCAAACGGCCGCGAGCGCCAGCATCAATTTTTCCCTTGCTTCTCTCTGCTTACTTATTACCTTCTTTATCTCTGACGACTCCGACGCCCGCGAGCGGAATTTTTCAAGCGGCCACGAGAGCCACCTCAAGAAGGGCGCTGCGACGGCGCCAATGTTCCCTTTCCTTCTTTACGGTACGCTTTACTCCTCTCGAGTCCGAGGGCTTACACTAACCTCGCTTGTTCATAGGGTTTTTATAGGTTTTTTCCCGGATGTGATACAGGTACGATGTATTCAAACTCTCTCTCTACTGTGCCAGCAAATGCTGAGAATCGGACTCGTTAAATCTTTTTGGAACGATCCCGGTTGTTCTGCGAGCGCCTGACATGTACGTCCCTTTGTTCATATGCCTGTACCAGCAATTGCTGAGAACAGGATCCTCGAGGTCTTTCTGCCGTAGACGCTGGGCGGTTGATGCGTGTCTCTGAAGCGTCTCACAAGATATGAAGCTAGTCATTGTACACTAAGTACTGTTTTGTAGTCCTAGCTAGACGTGAATAAAAAGTCTCGTTTATTTTTCTCTTTGCGTAATATATTTCGGTTCTCAATAATAACTGTGTCGGCAACGTCTACTCACTGTAGGTGGCTGATTTATATATGAACCGAAGGAGAATAGTTAAAATCTCCCTGTCGCCCTGCAATGGCATGTAGTTCTAAGCCGGGCTTTATGACTCGGAAACACGAAAGAAGTTTATGTTCTAGACCTCCGGCAAGGATTTGACTTGGAGCAATGGTCCGTACTTGTACTAACCATTCGGCATTGCGTACCTTTTTGCCAGCAACTTTGCCATCACTTTTATTAAAGACGAAGTTAGCGTTGAATGATCGATGTACTCCTTAGAGTTGCCGTATTTGGTGAACTGGCTGGAACCAAGACGATGAAACTTGGACTTGGACTCATTATCAATCCAGATAACACACCTCGTCGCTGTGTAGAGGCTAAAAACCGCGAAGATTAACACTTCGTTGGTCAGTATTGTGGCAGGAGAGGGTGCTTCCAGGGGTCGATTTGAGCTGGTTTCTCGAACCGCGGCAACGCGCGTACTCCTAGAAGGAGGTCAGTATGACAACCGACCACCGGAATATAAAAACATGGATAACATGCGACTGCCAGTGGCGCCTTGTTTAAAGTTCGACCGTCGGGGCGTCCGCGTCAACATTGGCGCGCAACGTGAATCAAGGGTCCTCACCGTTGTCATCCCGGTCTTTCCCACGATGGGCTGCGACGAGCGGGCGCGTGTCCGCCGGTCCGGGGCGTCGTTGAGTTGGTCCCTGTTGGTCCCTGAGCATCTTTGTGGTGTCGATGTGATCCCTGAGTGATGTCCTCGCCTGCAGCCTGTCTTCTGAAACAAAGTTAGGTTGTGCCTTGAGATTGTTATGTAAGATGCCGCGACCCTTCAGCGCAAGACGTCATGGCGATGCGGTTGCAGGAGCTGATGCGAGCTGCAGGCGAGCAGCGATGGAAAGGAGTACTTCGTGGAAGACGGTGGTTGCGCCCCCCCGAGATTGGCGGACACAGAGTCTGGGCGAGGTGCTTTCCTGCGTTCTGATTGGCTAGTGCTTAGGCGCCCAGCCTCAAGTCCCAGGGCAGGCGGAGAAGTTGACCTGATTGGATCGAGTCGGCAGGGAGAAGAGTCGAGACAAAGTACGCTAGGTGCATGCGGATATCAGGGCGCGGATCCGATGCGACGGAGACGCGAGAAATGCCTTGCTATAGGAACGAGCGTTACCGGATGCTGGGCGGGACGAAGGATCGTGCCGAGAAAGCGAAGAAAGGAAGAACGGTCTGCTTCAGGCTTCAAGCTTCAAATTTCAAAGCTTCAAGCCAAGCTTCATGAATGACAATGACAGCGAAGGTTGTCAGGGCAGAATACAAGAGCCTATCAGTGATTTCAAGACCGTAAACGACGATCGCAAAATTGACCCCAGAGTAGAACTAGCAGCGCCACTTCTGTGTAGAGTTGAGGCGGATATGTAAAAGAGGGGGGCTAGTGTGTGTCCAAGTGGAGGGCTGAACTGAATTACAAAGTACCACCTCCTTTCTGGGCTGCGCAGCCTCGGTCCTTCCAAGAACGTTTCCATGACTCCACCTACTCCCGCGGCCCACTCGAGTTCGGCGTTCTTGAGTTGACGGTCGGGCCTACTCCACGCAATTGGCCGAGACACGAGGGGATGGAGGGAGGCTTGGGTATTTGTAGTGTGTCCCTAAGTTGGTTAAAGTAGCGGGAGGGAACAAGGGAGGCGGCAGTGGGTGCCAGGTGACAGCGGGTGCTCGGGAGTTGTAGCCGCTTATTAGCTGGCAGGGTTGACCGTTCGTTCGCTTAGCTCTAGCTACTTCAGCATCTTCTCCTCTCTCCCATTCTCCCACTCGCACACTTCCTCCTCTCCCGCCCCGACTACAAAACACGCACACTTTTTCCTTCCCCCTTTCTGCTTATTTTTCTCCCCTCGCTCCTTTCCTACGACCTCCGACGAGCACGTTTCACTTTTCCACCACATCATTTTCTAATTACCCACAACGACATGGTCCGCGTATCGACGTCCACTGATGACCCGCTTACCCTTCTTATGATGCCCCCTCCAAACGAATCCCCAGAGGAACGTGCCGTTCGTGAGCAGGCAGAAGCAGACGCACAGGCCCGTAGCGACGCGATCGACGCGCAGATCGAGAAGGACCGTGCCGCGATGAAGCGCAGGAAAAAGGCCGTCAAGGTCCTTTTATTAGGACAAAGTGAGAGCGGTGCGTCGTTTACTCTCGTCTTCCCGTCCCCTCCCGTGTCCTTGTGGACACCACATTTCCGCTCTGCTCGGACGAAGATGCTGACGCCTTCCTGTGTTGCTAGGCAAGTCCGCAACGCTCAAAAGTGCGTATATGCGTTCCGATCATTCCTCATATATGAGTGCTAATTAATCACGCTCGACTGCGTGCAGACTTCCAGATGCAATACGCCCCCGCCGAATGGGCCGCCGAGCGCGCGTCCTGGCGCGCCGTCATCCAGCTCAACCTCATCCGCTCCGTCCTCCGCATGCTCGACGCCCTCGTGCGCGAGATGCAGGCCGCCTCCGGCTCCCCGCACTCGCCCGCGGACTACCTCTCCGACTCGGACGGCGAGGCCATCTCGTCGTCCTCGCGCCCGCACCCGCACTTCGCCTTCACGGACAAGCACCGCTTGCTCAAGCTCCGCCTCGGCCCGCTCCGCCGCGTGCAGGAGGACCTCATGCGCCGGCTGGGCCCTGGGTCCGCGGAGGTGACCAGCGGCGGGAGCGCGCTCGCGGTGCCGTGGTCGAAGGACGGGCGGCCGTCGTCGGCTGGTGGCGGTGGGCGTGGACGGTCGGCGTCCTCGCCGAGGGATGAGGAGCGGAGGCAGTCACACGAGTTTGGCGTGAGCTCGACGAACGGGTGGAAGAGCGCGCTTGAGAAGATCAAGTGGGGCAGCAGCGGTAGCAGCGGTAGTAATGGGGATGGCGCGGCGGCCCAGGGGGCGCAAAGAAGGCGCGAGATCGAGCTGGACGAGACGACGGATGTGATTGTGGGGTGCAAGGAGGACATGAAGGTGCTCTGGGAGGACCCGGTTGTCCGCGAGGTGCTGGCGCAGAGACGGAAACGGATAGAGGATTCGCCTGGATTGTGAGTATTCTCCGTCCTCGTGTTGTTCTTGCATTTTTCGATGCCGGCCATCTTCCTCTCTCTTGGATTATTCTTAAACATCTTGTTTGTTTGGTCTCGTCGATCCTGATCACCGTGCACAGCTTCCTTGACGACATTGATCGCGTAGCATGCAAAGATTACGAACCTAATGACGAAGACGTCGTGCGTGCCCGTCTGCGGACGGTTGGCGTGCAAACATACCAGTTCACTATCGAGAAAGGTGAGGTGTCTCCGGGAGTATATGAACGTCTGGCTCGACCTTACATCTCCCAATGCCAGGTCGTGCAGCAGGACAAGACTGGCTCATGTACGACGTCGGCGGCACACGCTCCTCCGTACGTCCTCCCACCTCAATCCACCCCCTTCCCTTTGCTCAACCTCACCACCCTGTCACAGCGCACAGCCTGGGCCACGTTCTTCGACGACATGGACGCGATCATCTTCCTCTCCCCGCTCTCGTGCTTCGACGAGAAGCTGCGCGAGCAGCGCAAGGTGAACCGGCTCGAGGACTCGTATCTGCTCTGGCGCGCGGTATGCGAGAACCGCGTGCTCGCGCGCACGCAGATCATCCTCTTTTTGAACAAGGTGGACAGGCTGCAGGCCAAGCTCGCGCGCGGCGTGCAGGTGCGCGAGTACATTACGAGCTACGGGGACCGTGCGAATGATGCGCAGACGGCGATGAAGTGTAAGTGGCCATTCTTTCTTTTGTCTATTTCTCAGTCCGTTTTCATTTTGTTTTCCCGGATTGTTGTGAACTGGGTTGTGCACGGAGTGCTGACACTGATTTGTTTGACAATATCATAGACTTCCAGACGCACTTCCGGGACATCATGAAGGAGGTGTCACCACACCCGCGCCCCTTCTTCGCGCACTTTACGTCCGTCGTTGTGAGTAAACTTTCTTCAGCGTTTGCGCTTCTTCTTTTTCCCTGTTTTTTTTTGTGTCTTCTTGCTTTCAAAGTCGCTCGCCGGTGACCACGGACACCGTTGAGGCTTTTACACGGCCGCCGATCCCGCTTGCATGGGCTGGATTGGCGGCGAACTCGTATTGGTGTTCGCGGTGCGCCGCATGTCCTTTTTTATGTGGCGAAGCTGTTTCGTCCGATGGGCAGGATCAGACGGGCATCACTGTCCACTGTCCAAAGGACCACTTCTGGACTTGCTTAATGGTTTCGTACCGTTCCGAAGTCCCGATATTGGGCGCACACGGTTGTCTGTTTTGTGGCTTTCATATCACGTTCGTCATCGCAACGAGCGGGCGCTAACGGTCAATTTATTTTTCCTCCTGCAGAACACCTCTCAAACCGCTGTCACGCTCAACGCCGGTAAGCATCTTCTCTGCCATTCAACACTCGTTTCGCCTTGTGTCTGACAACAATTTTTTTCTCTCATTTTTTTTCCTCGTCGCGGTCTTGTCGCACCACCAAATTCGCACGCCTGCACACGCTATCAGTCGAAGAAAGCATCCTCCGCACGCACCTGCGCGGGGCCGATCTCCTGTAAGCCAGGCCCGCGCTCCCATTTTGCTACCGCAGGCGAGACGGCATACCCCATGGCCCGATCTGTTCGTAGCATCCAAGCGCCTACGCTTACGAGTTTCACGCAGGATCTGATATCTTTTCTAGACCATAGCTCCCTCGGGCCGTATATTCATTTGAGACACGGTGCTGCACCATACGGCCGGGGCCTATCTGCCATTCAACTATCTATCGCTTTTTTATATATCTATTCTATCCCACCCCGTCTTCGACTTCTACGAGACGCTGCTTCTACGTGCTAAGCGCGGCGGCGGCACACACGCATATATGTGTATCGTGTCCGCCCGCCGCTGGCAGTGCTCATTAATTTCGCTAATCCGTGTCATTTCCCATCCTCATGATCGCCCAGACGGCAACGCGGTCCCGACACCTGGATAAAATCTTGCTTCTTTATTTGCTTTCCATTTCATTTCGTTTTCACCGCATCTCTCCATCTCTCCATCTCATCCTCCCCCATCTGGTCGCGAGTGGCGATATGTCATGTTTTTTCCACAACTTTTCTGATGGCCTGCTGTATCACGCTTCCTGTTGTTTGTTTTATCTATCCTGTCTGTCTGTCTGTCTGTCTCTCTCTCTCTGTTCCGAGCCGTCCCCTGGCCCCCCTCTCCCCCCTACTAATTAATTTCATGCGGTGCAGATTAATAGCCTCTTTACTCTCCAGTGCTACTATTATTTATCGTACTAGCCCCTAATTCAAAGCGCGATGTCACGGCGATGATTCGTTGTCTGCTACTCTCTTGTGTAGCCGGAAAATCGGGATCGTGATGTTGCGAAAGAACATTTTGCTGCGAGGTTCCAGTCCTTGGTGAGGCAGCGCTGTTATCACATGTAACATGTATATTGGTGCTACCTTCGGCTCCGAGTGGTGCCGCTGTATGGACTTCTTCAGTCGCACGTCGCCTTAATACATCTGATAAGAAAGTCAGGAATGTTCAGTTTGTTGATTCACGTACGGCATTATTGAGTAGGAGAACAGTTACACGCATTACATGAATCACAAAGGCAAAGATCATGAGGAACCGTCAAGTTGAAGATGGGCTTCCGCCGTGTTCAGCCGCTGCTTATTCTTAGCCATGATGTCCGCGCCCAAGTTCTCCTCAGGCGGGATTTTTTCCGCCGCAGTCACCGCGCCGAGAGCGTACGAGTACGCGTACCGCCACTTTTCGAGGCGCAGCGCCATCTGCGCCGCGTTGCCGAGCGCGACGACGAGCTTCCGGCGCGCGCCGCGCACGTCCGCAGTGTACAGCCCGCGCGTGTGCGCGTCGAGCGCGTCGAGCGCGGCGCCGAGCTCCGCCGCGTTCACGAACGCGGCGCACGCGCTCTCCTCCGTGCGCGGCAGGTTCGCGACGAGGTCGTCCATGGTCGCGAGGAGCGCGGCGCTGCGCGCTTCGGCCTGTGTGGACGGCGGTCTGTTCTTCGGCGCGAAGCTCCGGCCGTGCTCGAGGGAGGTGTCCATGCGCGCGTGCGCGATGGAGATGATGCGTCGGATGACGTTTGGGTTTGTGATCTGTTGGATCTGCTCGAGAGATGTTGTCCGAGAAAGACCGGGTGGAGGCTGAGTGAGCGTTTGGATCCCGGCGAGGACGTTTCGCTGCGCTAAGACGGCCAGTAGACGGAGGAGCAGAGCCGGAGCGAGAGTCTCTTCGGAAGTGCTTAGGCGTATGATCTTCTTGTAGAGCGGACTAGGGTCGGTGCGATCGACCCAGTAGGGATGGTTTTCGGCCACGTTGGATTGTTCGCCTAGCTGGGTGCGTTTGGTGTCTTCGTCCTCCTCCTCGGATGTTTTCTGGTATTTTTGCGATGCCTCGTACGCGATGGGTAGAAATGACATGATCTCGGCGTTTGTGACGCCGCATGGATCAGCGAAGTGGGTGAGTGTGGTGATGAGGCGTAAGAAGTAGACATGGCTTCTTCCTGTATTGATAGGCGGGATAAATTCAATGAAAACTTTGAAAGAGAAGCAGTCTTACGGCGGTTGAACCAAATATGCTCATACGCATCTTCCAGCGGTGGCTCAATGGGATCGTAGTCCTTTACGAGATTGTTACACCAGCTTCGCGGCATGCTGGCATCAGACTTTAAACCGTCGTCGCATGAAGAAACATACATACGACAAGAGTGTGGCTTTGTTTTGCTTTACCTCTTCAAGATGAGTAAAAGTCTTGATGACCCTCTCTGCCCATTGTCTCCGAGATGTCAGAGTTCGTAGCGCTTTAGATAGCGACTTCATGTCGGCGGCTTTCATAACCTGATCCGCAGGTGTAGGAACGCCCGGAACAGTGAACCAAGGCCACTGGAAGAGCATACAGAGAGCCTCAATGGCATTTGTGCTTGCTCCCGAGTGAGGCAACGCCGGCGAGCGATCGATAATCGTACAGTCAAGCAGTAGGTCGACGATGATAGGCCGGCGCTTCAACATATCAAGGCAGAATTTCTGAGGCTCACGATAATTCAGCAGTGTGAGAGCATGCACCGCCTTGATCGCGTCTTCCTGGGTTTGGGCGAAGGCGTAGGCGCCGACTCTGGAAGCTTTCTCGTAGTCGTTTTCTGCCCCGTCCAGAGCAGAGAAATGTTCGCACTGGGACGGAAAATGCGTGAAGTTGCTGCTCCACAGTCCGGGAGCCTCGAGGGCCACCAGGCAGATGGTCTCGAAAACGTCGGCCGCCTGCGACGCGGATATCTTTTCTAGCATGACACAGTCGGTAATGAGCAGCCTCAGCGTCTCGACGGCTCGTTGACGAATGCAGAAATGGTCATGCCGCAGAAACTGATACATAGCGCGTTCAAAAAAGATAAATAGACCACAAAGATCGGGAAGACAAACCCGAAGACAAAGGCCGATGATGTCGAGTTTGAGGAGGTCTCCAACTATGATTTCTCTTTGCTCCATTTCGGCCACAAGTAGAAGGTTTGTTATGATAGCAAACGCGCCGTATTGGACTTTAACGTCTTCAACCAGATGGCGTTCCCGAGGCGCCATGCCAAGGGTGAAGAACATCACCTCTAGGAGCCCTGCATCCACGGCAGAAGATGCCCAGGGGCCAAGGGCACCGTACTTGGTGAGGGCGGCGCTGACGTGCTCGCTGTTAAGATGCAGCTGGAGAGCTTCCTACAGCCATGTGCCGCCAACTGCTGGGTTAGCGCGATGAGCTGAAACGAGAGTTACATCGCCGTACAATGGCTTTGCGGAGAAACCCCCATTCCCCATAAGTGTCGGCAATCCTAGTGAAGACTTGTTTCAGATTAGGGGTCAGCTGAGGCTCGGACACGTCCAAGAACTCGGAGATGTTGTCGTCGGTGAGTTCCATGCAGCTAGGTCTGCTCGTGGATCGTAAGAGCTGAAAGGGGGATGGTGGTATGATGATGTCGTGCCGAGACCCTGAGACGCGCGAGACGCGTCCGCACCGACGATATACTCAAACTCATCAAAACACGGGCTTCAGCTGCAGCATCCTTGGCAGCATCCGTGGTGGCGCATATATCCTCACCTACATCTGATAAGTGTACAGAGGGTGTATGACGAGTACAAGTTCTTGACGTGCCGAGATGGTGAGCCGGAACTACCGCTTGGGTTTTCGCGACTATAGCCCCCGTCAGACAAGGCATTTTCTACTGTCGGTCCTAGCTCAAGCGCTCAGGGCCTATGTTGGCGGTTGGGAGCCAGATATACAGGGGAGGGACTGGGTATCAACGTACAACTTGCCTCACTGACCATGATTGACTGAGTCAAAGGTTGCCTTAGCTCGAGTGAATAAGCGGCGGCGGCGATGAAAATCCAGTAATGATGATATAGATACAAGCATCGATGTATGAGGAATAGCAAAGAAAGAAAACCAAAAACTCGACCGAAAGAAAGCATTGAGTAACACATGAAGAGTGGGAAGAGCGAATCCAACTCTAATCGTCCAGCTCGACAAAATCATCGATAGCGCCTGGACCACACATCGAAGGTGACATCGTCAGCGGCAGCGTGATGTTATATGGCCTCGTCTTCTCCTGAGCCGCAAGCTTCTGCTCTCGACGTATGTGGAGGAACTCCGCCTCGTGCCGCTTATCCCGCGTCAGCTGGAACCCGCAAGCCCTCCTGATGCCCCTCGCCACCCAAGTATTTGGTGTGCCCTCGAGCGTCCACCTCGGGAGCCAGTACCAGTCGAGCGGGGTGACGTCGCTCTCCGTGTCCGCGCACGCTATCCTGTAGCCGATCCCTGCGAAGGCGAACAGCATGCGGATGCTCCAGACGAGCTTCGTGCGGAAGTTGACGATGTCGGGCCACTCCTCGTTGTCCTCATCCATGTCCTCCGTTGTGCCGAAGAAAAACTCGCAGATGTTGAGCGTGTCCTCGTGCGTGAGGCCCACCTCGCCGAGTTCGACGTTGCCGATCAGCCGGCGCAGATTGTGGTCGTCGCCGCCGTCGTAGAGCCCCCATACGAGTGGGCGCCATCCGTGCTGCGAGTGGATATGGGAGACGTGGCCGACGAGCTCTTTCTTGATCTGCGAGATGCTGGCAGCGTTGGCGGAGGGTGTAGCATGGAGTTTGTAGCCTAGGGCATAGGACCAGTCAATCCAGCCATTCATTGGTTTACTCCGGTAGACGAAGTGCACGTCCATGTACGATGGGCTCATCGGCGAGTAGACGCGGTGGAGTATCTCCGCTTCTCGAGGCTGAAGAATAGACGAACGTAGGACTCTTCAAACAAACGATGTCCAAAGCAGTGACTAACCTCAGTTACTCCCGGAGCCATCAGGCAGCTATCCCAAGCCTGAAGGACTGAAATCCCTCTCTGCACAGACCCCACAGGAATCTCCATATCCGCCTCCAGCTCCCCCACACGCTTAATGATTCCACGTCGGATGAGGGGAAACGATGACGAAGGGAAACGCCGGTCGTTGTCGACGGTTATGTCCTCATTCTTCTTGGTGGTCCTGATCCGATTGAGGGCGTAGTTGGTCCATTCCGTTTCAGAGGCTTCCAAGGGGGAAAGAAGAGGGCCAAACTTGGCCTGAGCAAGTTCAAGCCCCTTGAGCGTGCTGGACGGGTCCATGAAGCGGACATGTGGGATGGATGTCTGAGTCGCCTCGCTAATGCCCGCCGCCGGCGCGTCCGAGGTGATCGGAATCAAAAGGCGTTGATAGACGTTTGCAGACGCTTTCCTGTAATATGTCTCAGAGGTTTGGCGGTTCGACTCTCTACACGACTCACTCTCTACCAATACGAGGCTTGCTGAAAGAAGGATTTGTCTTCTGATTCTTCGCCTTCGTCCTCTTCATCGCCGTAGCCTCTCTCGTGGTCTTCTCGTCTTTTCCTCAACACTTCCTCATTCCCCGGGTCGCGTGGCAGCTGAAAGCTCTAAGCCTTGTGGATACCACGAGCAAACCAGGATCCAGGCACGACTAGGGTCATCAAAACTATCTTTCTGTCTAGAGGAGACGAGGTGATACTTGGTTCACTGACGATTTCATTGAGCTCTGTCAGCGATTAAAGCCTCCTTTCTTTTCGCTCGCGGTTCCCCTCGGCCATCCACTTCTGAAGCTTATTCTGTCCTGCGCATTGCAGGTTGTCCGCATGTTAGCTTCCGGGAGAAGAAATAGCTCCCAATTTTGACATAACTGAATGTTGCATTCGATCTCTGTCGAATGTGTAAATGCACCAGCACTTCAAACTTGCCGATTTGCTCATTCTAGCACTCAAAACGCTCTTCATCACGAACGCTGTACGTATCTTTACCATCGGCGCGCATAGGCGCGCATGTACACTTCATCTGGCATGTTCGGGTCGTCATCACCGCCATTGGCAACACTCGCCTCCTCCTTCCGGACTCTCTTCAGCTTGTCCGCGTCCTCCGAGTCGCGAGACAACTGGAACCCGCAAGCACCCCTTATCCCACGAGCGACCCAATTACCAGCCAGACCTTCTAGCATCCACTGAAGCTTCCATCGGCCGCTCTCGTGGGGAGCAAAGTCCCTCTCACTATCCGCGCACGCGATCTGGTATCCGATGCCGACGCAGGCCAGGATCAAGCTCGTCGTCAAAACGAGCATGCGCCGGAACGCGACCTTCGCCTACTCATCAGCGTCCTCGCGAGGCTTCTCTGCCTTTCCGAACAGCGCTGTGTGGATCGCCAGAACATTATCGGGCCTGAGATATACCCTGCCTACGTCGATCTTCTTCCACCTCGGTCCGTCTAGACCGTTGATACCAAAGCCATCGTACTCGCCCCAGGAGAACGGGAACCAGTCGTTGGAGGTATGGTCGCGCGAGAATCCGGGCTGAAAGACCATGCCGACGCTAGGGTCGAAGTCATCGTCGCCGAAGCCGAAGTTGTCGTCAGCCTGCTCTCGGCCTGGACGAGGGGGCTTTGGATCGTTGACGACGTGGAAACCCAACGAGTACCACCATTCGTGTTTATAGGAACGGGAAAAACTGTTGTAGCGGAGGTCGACGTCGATGTACGAAGGGGTGCCCGGTGAGTAGATGCGGGTTCTCACTGTCCCGTTTTCGGGCTGGTAATGAAAAAGATCCTCATCAGCATCTGGAAGATCTTCGCTAATCGAAACCAGCCAGACGCACTCGAGTGAGCGATCCATCATCTATCTTGATAGTCGAGTCGAGCAGGAAGATACCCTTCTGGAACGTCCCTCTGGGCACTCCGATTTCGCCCTCTAGCTCGCCCACGCGGTCATGGATTGCCCTGTGCAAGATACGAGGGTTCGTTCCACCAAAAGTGCTATAGATGTCGTCATCATAGTCGTCCTCGTCGTCACCGTCACCCTCCGGATTCAAGGCTTCGTATTCCTCGGATTTCGCTGTGGATGTACGGTGAGCGACGTAGTCGTTCCATTTTCCCGACGATGCTGTGATTGGGGATAGAAGTGGACCGAATTCATGTTCAGCTCGTTGCAGGCCATCTAAACGTTGCTGGGCCATGTTCCTCGGAGGCGTGGAGGGTTGTGGAGATGGGCGTATCTGATCAACCCTTCGCAGAAGGGTTAACGATTTTTAAGTATAGTGCGACTGCCACACCGTACTATAAATTCTTCGTAGCTGGGTGGTCACTGGCTGCTAAAACCATGTTATACATGAATATCTTCGTATTCCCATGGTATCTCTTTTGGGAGAAGTGAACGAAGCACACTTCAGCACCAAAATTAACTGTAAAGCATAGATAATCGCCGGAGATCAACAACGAGACGTGGGTGGTACGCTGTCTAGGCGCGTTCCCTAATTCCCTCAGGAGTCTGCCATTGAGATCAATCACAGCAGTACTACTTCTTGTTTGATCTGGCCAACACTGCCGAAGGTCATTCTGTTGAGCCTTCGAGTTCGTCATCCCCAGGCATTTTAGATTTCGTCCTCGTAGTTATCGTCGTCGTCGTCTTGTGAATCCGAGTCGGAAGACATGCCCTAGCTCTTGGTGTGGAAAGGAAGACAAAAGTATGCGTATAGACATCGGACAATACACTGAAATAGGGTTTGTTATTCTTGTACCGAAGCTCCAGGGCCTAAATACAAAGTAGGTAATAATGTCTTCGCTCCATCTGCGCCCTGTCCATTGAATACTGAATACCAGCGTTTGGTTACGATAAAAGCCCCGATTAAGCTTTGATAGTCTTGGAAAATTGACGACGAGTCCACAACAACCTCAAAATCTTGTACACCGCTGTACGAGCGCCCGACGACCGGGACCTTTTACGCGCATAAACCTGCCGAGAACAAGAACAGAGTCAAGGCGCGTTTACGTTCTCTGATCCTTGCCTAAGCCACCTTGATCACGACCTTCCCTACGTGCTTCTGAGACTCCAAATGGGCGAACGCGTCGGGCGCATTCTCAAAGGAGAACACCTTGTCGATTACCGGGTGAATTTGCCGTGCCTCAATGAGGCGGTTCATTTCCTCGAACCTGTTCACCAAATGTTGAGCAGATACATACATATGCAACATAAGGCATGCTTACTTCTCTACTGAACCGATCTGGATGCCGCGGTAGTTGATAGCCTTGAAGATTGTAGGGAAGATGGGGATTGCAGCATCTCCCTGTAGAATAAGTATTGTTAGGTCATGGCGGGCAATGATGCGTTAATACATACGCCAGACACAGCACCGATGATATGAATATATCCACCATAGCTCACAGCCCCAACGGACTTCTCGACTGTACCAGATCCACCGGTCTGTAATGATGGTAAGCATTCTCTTCAGCCTACGAGAAACAATAATTTTCACCTCAATGACGTGGTCTACGCCTTTACCATTTGTCTACCAATGATCGTTGAGCGTTGTGCACAACAAGGAGAGCTATGGGTACTTACGAGCTTCAGCACTTCCTCATCCCATTTAGGAGTGGTCTTGTAGTTAACAACGTGACGTGCCCCGAGCTTAGTAGCGAGCTTGAGCTTCTCGTCAGAAGATGAGGTGACGATCACGTTGGCGCCAGAAGCGACAGCAAACTGCAACGCGAACCTTCGGTCACAAACGTGCCGTCAGCATAAGGTTACAAGGCATGCGATTATCGTCGGCTCACATCGATACGCCGCCGGTTCCGAGAACCAAAACCCAGTCACCTCCCTTCACGGGACGAGGGCCCGTGAGGCCATTGTACGCCGTGACAGCGGCACACCTGCAAAAAAGCAAACGTCAGTGCACAAAAACGACATAGCTACTTCATATTGCGCACGGAAGCGTAGAGCCCTCCTCATAGGAGAGGTGCTCGGGAATGCGGACTAAAGACTGCAAAAGAAGTGTCAGTCACGAGGCACAGTACCGGTGCTGAGGGGATACATACGTGTGCAGGAACAGTGATGTACTCAGTCAGCACGCCATCGATAGGCCCACCAAGACAAGTAGCCTGAGCCTGCGGCGTAATCTCGCCATGCGTGTGATCGAGCGTGAAGTCGGCGCAGACACGGTCTCCGACGGCCCAGGCGGATACTTTGGAACCGACGGCAACGATCTCGCCAGCCATGTCAGAACATGGAACAACGTTCTCCTTCGTTCTATAACAGATTTGTCAGTTGTATGTGAGCAGAGGCGCATATAGGACGCACCCGGGGAATGCTCCGTTCGTGACCAGCAGATCACGGAAGATCAAAGACACGGCATGGACTTTGATCAGAACCTCAGAGTCCTGAGGCTGAGAGACGGTCGACTCCTGGAGCTTGAGCGCGCGGTAACCGGACCCTTGACTGCGATATTCTCGAGAAACCTTGGGAAGGACCATGTCAAGAAAGCAATACGAGTGAGGGTATAGGAGATGGGGTATTATGATGTCGAACTGTGAAGAGCGATTGTGAGGTATGTCGGCCTCAACGGGAACCATTTTATACCTAGCTGTGCCACTCCGTGAGGCCTTACTAAAGCAACAAGTTCGTCTGCCAGAGACGATATCCCGTCCATGTTCGTGGAGTGGTCGGACGATAACGTTTCGTACCATTTACCCGTACCTCTTAGAGGGCCGTATGTCGTCTTGGTCAGCTCATAACGCGGTCTAAAATAAGGTCAGGATGAGTTGCCGAGAAGTCGTTTAGGCTATGTAGACCAGGTCCGAGGGCGAGCATGGTCAAAGCAGCGCGTTCAAACGCCGAGTACTATACCGGTGCGCTCGGAAATGTCTCAAGATCTTCCGTAGGAAGGTATTGGCAGAACTTTCAAGGGGAAGGTTCGCGGCAAGAGCCAACCAGAACAAGCAATAATGTCTGAGACACGTCACAAGAACATGTGGGACATGATCTGGCCGACCAGTGAACGTGAAGGCAGACACAAGAAGCAAAGAACCAAGACGGTACTTGTTCGAGAATGTTCCCGAGTGGTGGCCAAAGAAGTGACGAGGCGGACGCCACCAAGGGTTTGTGAGCGCTTATTCCGGTCGCAAGTCCGAGCAATTCGAGGGATACCGCATCGATTGAAAGAGCGGCTCACATAGGCAAAGATTGACGAGCACGCTCACATCTGGTGCTAAGAATAGCTGAGCCTGCCTTGGTAAGCGTTCAGCTGTTCCGGTGGTCTTTCCGAAATCGCGGTATAGCATACATCCTCCGCTAGTTCTAAGGAATGTGGTGAACGGGGAAGAAGCATGCAGCAATGAACTCAGACTGAGATAACGAACAAACATTTGGGAACTTGAATGGGAGACACAAAGCCGCAGTTGCGGCCGATGGAGGACAGCCACGCGGAGCTGAAATAATCCTTTCGGAGACTGAAGTCGTTGGACGCCCCTAATCCAATTTACACGGCGCGTCAAACGGTTGGCCATAGTTTGCATCAACTCGAGGTTTGAGTGTGTTCTACGGAGAACGTTTATAATCCACGCGAAAATGACGATACATTTCCTAGACTATTGAAACCTATATTACACTTTAGTTATACATGATTTTGGAAGCGCAAGTTAAGCTTGGACGCAGTACTACATTTAATCTTTCGAGACCTTTATCACGACCTTGCCGACATGCTGCTGGGACTCCAGATACGAATAGGCTTGGATGGTCTGCTCAAAGGGAAAGACCTTGTCGACGACGGGCTTGATCTTCTTTGTCTTTATCAAACGGTTCATGGACTCGAATCTGTCATCGAGTGTAGGTTTGTGAATTCAACTAGTTAAAAACTTCAACGCTTACTGTGCGACCGAGCCTATCAAAATGCCGCGATATATTTTTGCGGTGTGGACAAGAGCGGGAATGGGGATTGCGTTATCACCCTAGGCTGATGTAAGCATGTGCTCGGTAACTTGGGGAGCGAACTAACTGATGCAACAAAGCCAATAATATGAATATAGCCTGCCATTCTAGTCGCGTTTCCGGACTTATGGACGGTCCCCGGGCCTCCAACCTTCAATTGGTGCTCCGTGAGTCACACATCTACGAGTGATGCTATTTTAGTCCATTACCTCGATAGTGTGGTCAACACCTCTGCCACCGGTCTTTGTGACATAGTCATTAGGTTCAAGTTAACGTGATGGCAGGAAAGGATGAACACGTACGATCTTTAAAACCTCCTTGTCCCAGTCTGGGTTGGTCTTATAGTTAATTGTATGGTGCGCCCCAAGCTGCCTCGCAACCTTAAGCTTCTCATCAGACGAGGAAGTCACAATGACCTCTGCTCCGGAAGCGACTGCAAACTGAAGGCCGAAGCTAATCGCATCCGAAGATACTCAGTAGGCACGAGTTGAACACGTTCGAAACACTTACGTAGAGACACCGCCAGTTCCGAGGATAAGGACCGTGTCTCCTCCTTTCAAGGGCTTCGGGCCATGAAGGGCGTTATAAGCGGTCAAAGCTGCACACCTGTACACGGAACTAAGTCTCAAACCGTCAAGATCACACACCCTACTTACGGGAGCGTTGATCCTTCCTCGTACGAAAGGTGCTCGGGGATGCGAACCAGCGACTGGTAATGTCATTTAGCACATGGCACTAGACACACGATAAGGGGCATACATGGGCAGGAACCTTTATGTACTCCCTTAACACTCCATCGGTAGGGGCACCAAGACTAGTACCAAAGATCTTCGGGCTCGTGTCGCCATCAAGATGGTCGAGCGAGAAGTTCGGAGAGACGCGGTCTCCAACCTTCCAGCCTTTGACGTCCTGGCCGACGGCAACGATCTCGCCCGCTGCGTCCGAGCCGACAACGACGTTTGGTTTTGCTCCAGGGTACTTGCTCATAGAGACCATAAGGTCGCGGTACTGCAAGGACACAGCATGGACCTTGATGATTACCTCCGTCGAGTTAGGCGGTTCGATAGACGATCTGACGAGTTTGATGTTTTGGTAGCCGTCACCCTGCCATCGGTGTTAAGTCAGACAGGGGCAGTAAATCAAAGCCAGACCGACAACAGTAGTATAAGCTTACGTTTGATCTATATTCGCGAATGCTTTGGGGAAGAGACATGGCGATCACGACGTTGAATGCTATTTAGTTTGATAAGATGCGGGAGGGATGAGAATGGCGCCGACCTGAGCACAATTCGGATTATATATCTGCACCGGAGGAGGGGAGAATATTGCACAAAGATACATGATGCAGCGATGACGCATGAAAAACAGTTTGGCCACCGCCCACCTTCACCTCCGTGTGGAGGCAATATGCTAAGGCAGGCAGCAAAAATCATGCCACTGAGCTGTCTCGGAAGGACAGCGGCGTGCCGTGGGCTCAAAACGTGCCATAGGAGTGAAAGACTAAAATGCCTGGGAAGAATTTTCATGCAATCTCCCTGCATTCGGTCAGTGATGTAGCCTTTGAATCACTACTTACGAATATGACTATGTACAGCGTCGTACATGAGACACGAATGATACCATCCATCCTTCAAGCCAGGAACTTTCCAGAATTTGCACATACATGGCCGCCCTCGCATCTGCTTGAAGGTGCCGCACGTGCGCGACGGGTGGTTTCTTGTTACACTGACCGCCAAGGATTGAACAGTGCCATGATATACCAGAATGCTGCAGTGGTGGATGTGCAAGGGAGATGGCCAGGGAGAAAGGGGCAGAGACTCTTCACGAGGATCATGCAATGGCCCGTCGCGCTTGCGTCGCGAGAATCCTTGGAACCCTATCGAAACCTTCCGAACATTCTCACGCTGTAGCACTATCAAGGATGCGCGTCATGTTCCCCATTAAGCAATGTACTAGAATGTACTGTCACCAAGATTGGTAGGCGATCCACGCCACATGTAGGAGAGAGCCGAGTATCTTTGAGCGGGAATATCAGTGAACTGGACTTCATTTTGTCAAGGAATCCTGCGCAATGAATGAAACGGTATCGTTGAAGAGTGGCGTATCATGGAGTGATGTCAAGGGTTTCGCCATTGGCATGACTCAGAGATTGTAAGGGGATACGAAGGACATATGGTTTGTACATTTTAGTTTGGTGTCTGCTTAGAACATTGCCTCGTGGCGACAATGATGGTCGACCGCTAGTGTCTACCACTGCGGTAGGGTTTGAGATCTGAGAGCCAGACACCGAGGTTTGACCCAGATCCATCGTGGGCATCTATAGCAGTATCTATTGTCACAACCAGGCGCTTATCATCAACTGATCAGAGCATTAAGTCGTGGCGACGCGATAATACAGCACTTGGGAAAAATACGAAGCTATTTGTCTCAAACTACCTAGTGCACCTCGTCAACCACCCTAGACAACAAGAAGTCCTGACCCTTCGAATCTACCATAATGAGCGGTACTTTGATTTGAGAGCTGCCTGTTCCGTTCGCCGCTCCTTTCCAGGCCCTGAACTCTGCAAATGATCTGCGAGAGAGGATGCGGATGGATGGTTTGACGGATGAGCCCTTCTTCGCACCGATGGCAAAGTTCTCGTTTGCATCGTTCAGACCGCTCAGTAATGAGTCAGGGAAACAATGCCTACTTGCTCCAAGGATGTTTCATGAAGGGCGTATACCGAGAAGCCGTTGGGTCCATGGCGAGATTCACGAACGCCCCCAGTGTACACGGACCAGTGGAGCACCATCAATGATTCATCCATCGAGAAGTGGATCGAGTGCGGCCACTTGGGCATAATTTTGACTGCGCCGGAGTCGGGGAGTGAGATGGCAGTAGTTGCTAGACGACTGTGCCTCCTGAGATTCCACATATGTTCCATCCGTCATGGCAGTGATGAACCACCAAGCAAAGCCACGTATGTCAACGCTGGCGAGCATCTCACCTCCCTCAAGTCGGGTGGGGTACTATCGGTGTCGAGTACGAATTCGGAGGAGTTAGTACTACCCGTGATTAAGCACCGAACCCGTCCTTGCTTAACGTCTGATAAATAAGCAACTCTGTTGTCCGTTTTTGAAGCACATTCCCATGTGTCATCTTCGCGTGTTTTAGCGGACGTGAAAGATTCTGTTGTGAGCTGACCAATGTCAACGATTTGGAACTTGCCAGTGGGAGAGTCGTCAATGATCCCAAAACACTCCTCGCTTTAGGGTTGCCAATGAGTTCTGTTTGAGAATGCAGAAAGACTTGCAACCTTATCACCATACTTGAGAGCGGCTCGGTAGCTTGGAGAGACGAGAGCAAAACCAAGATTCTCCTGAGGAGGCGCATTATCTGGCTCTTTGAGTGACGCCTGAGTGTGTTGACTGCTCCACGGAGAACGTTCAGAATGTATGCAAGCACCACTCTACAGTTCCTGGACGATTGAATACCAGTGTACACTTTATGTTAGGTTTATACATGATTTTGAGAGCGCAACTGAAGTTTGGTCGCAATGGTACATTTAATCCTTCGAAACCCTAATCACGACCTTGCCAACATGCTGCTGCGACTCCAGGTACGAATAGGCTTGGATGGTCTGCTCGAAGGGGAAGACCTTGTCGACGACGGGCTTGATCTTCTGCGCCTTAATCAAGCGGTTCATAGACTCAAATCTGTAATCGAGTATAGGTTTGTGGATATTTGACTAGTTATAGAGCTCAACACTCACTGTGCGACTGAGCCTATCAGGATACCGCGGTATATATGTGCTTTATGGACAACAGCGGGAATGGTGATTGAGTTGTCACCCTAGGCTGAAGTAAGTATATGCTTGGTGGACTTGAGAGACTTGAGAGCGAAAGGCTGACCGATGCAACAAAACCAATGATATGAAGATAGCCAGCCATCCTCGTTGCGTTTCCAGACTTTTGTATGGTCCCTGGGCCCCCAACCTTTATGTGGTGCTCCGTGAGTCACATATCTACGAGGGATACTAGTTTCATCGTACCTCGATAGTGTGATCGACGCCTCTCCCACCAGTCTAGGTGAGATGGTCATTATGTCAGTTCCAGGTGATGTCGGGATGGAACAAAAACGTACGATTTTTAGAACCTCCTTGTCCCAATCCGGAGTGGTCTTATAGTTGATTGTATGGTGCGCCCCGAGCTGCCTCGCAACCTTGAGCTTCTCATCTGACGAAGAGGTCACAATGACCTCCGCTCCGGAAGCGACTGCGAACTGAAGGCCGAAGCTAATCGCAGCCGAATATACTCAATATTCACGGACTGGAGCATTCATTCGAAACACGTACATAGAGACGCCGCCAGTTCCGAGGATAAGGACCGTGTCTCCTCCTTTCAAGGGCTTCGGGCCATGAAGGGCGTTATAAGCGGTCAGAGCTGCACACCTGTACACGGAACTAAGTCTCAAACCGTCAAGATCACACACCCTACTTACGGGAGCGTTGATCCTTCCTCGTACGAAAGGTGCTCGGGGATGCGAACCAGCGACTGGTAATGTCTATTTAGCACCTCAAGGCACCAGACACACGATAAGGAACATACATGAGCAGGAACCTTTATGTACTCCCTTAGTACTCCATCGATAGGGGCTCCGAGACTGGTGACAAAGATGTCCGGGTTCGTGTCGCCATCGAGATGGTCGAGCGAGAAGTTCGGAGAGACGCGGTCTCCAACCTTCCAGCCTTTGACGTCCTGGCCGACGGCAACGATCTCGCCTGCTGCATCCGAGGCGGTAGTGTAAGCTTACGTTTGAGCGGTATTCGCGAGTGCTTTTGGGATAAGACATGGCGATCAAGACGTTGAATGTGTGTGCAGTATCGCGCGTGATAAGATGCGGAAGGGATGGGAATGGTGTCGACTTGAGTACGGTTTTGCTTATATATCTGCACCGGAAGAGAGGAAACTATTGCGTAAGAATACATGATGCAGGGATGATCGATGACGCATGAGAAACGGTTTGGCCACCGCCCGCCGCGCTAGAAAGAGGTGCTGGAATGCCTCCACACGGAGGCAATCTATTGAGTCAGGCGGCAAAAACCATGCCACTGAGCTATCTTGGAAGGACAGCGGCGTGCCGTGGGCTCAAAACGTGCCATGCATATGAGCAAAAGACTCAAGTGTCATGGAAAAATCTTCATGCAATCACCATGGCTCCAGTCAGTGACGCAGAATATGAGTCACTGCTTACGAATCTGACCATGAACCACGTCGTACGCAATGCCATAAACTGTGTGCCAGAATGTTGGTGGTTGTGCAAGGGATATGGTCGGGGAGAGACTCCAGTGACGGCGCCGCCCAAATATTTTGGCTTGAAGCTCACGGTTTGTCGACGGCACATTGATATTGCAGTACTAAATTTCTCGAGATAATACTACTTATTACAAGGCCAACACCTTCGTTCCACTTCGGTTTATTTACACTATAGTTCCTGTAGTTGATACTGGGTTGGATTGAGTGATTACTTGTGCTACTTCCAATGTATACCACTTCTCGCGCTCGAACACCCAAGAGTGGCGATAGGAGAATAAGGCCGAGACATGAATGCATGACAGATGGCCGTAGTACAGTCGAGATAAATGTCAAACAACCAAAACGACTGAGAATTGACTACGATTGAAGTGCGTGGGATATCAACTAAGAGGTTAGATACGGTTAAAAGGGACAATATAAGAAAATAAGGGTTGCTTTGCAATAGATAGCCGTACAATTTTCCCCGGTTTTGTCACTGTAGTACGAGTAGGATGCGATATCCCTTAATTAACAATTAAAAGTTGTTTAGTAGTCAACCGCAAACGTGAAATAAGAGCTTTACGAGTACCGAAAGTCCAGGACAGATCACTACTAGAATTTCGGGGCAAAGCACCACTAACTTATGCCAAGTGTGCCACGGAACTTCCGGGGCCGCGACGAAATCGCTAAAAATGGCAAACAAAGTGACAGCACCATAGCTTAAGGTTGCCCGCGATCCATGATTGGCTATTTATGGGCAATGTACAGCAAAAATGGAGGTGATATGGAACGTAAAATGTGGATATTTTGGAGTAGCTATTCCTACTAATGCATATCTAGCACATTTAACTTAGAATGACACGCCAGGAAACACCAAATTTAGATAAAGCCCTCTGAAAATCCAGTGCAAAATGCAACGGAGAGCGCCACGGAATTTGTTTCGGACTGGAGTTTCAAGGCAATGCAATAGGCAAATAGCGGCAAATAAAAAAGGGTCATAATTTTAATGATACAATACAATGGATACGGTGGATGGATGCTGGATAAATAATATTGGATGTCCTGGTGTTCCTACTTATGCACCACTGTAAATCGGGGACGGAAATCGGGACTTGAACTCAAAGGTTACGATAGCGCTCCACCTGGAGTTCAGGTCACAGCACCACTGACTCATGCAGTATGTTCTACGAAACTTCCTGGTAGTGTAACTGTCAAAAATGACAAACAAAGCGAGAGCTCTGTATGGGTAGCATTGTGTCTGTGCCTAGACCACCACATGTCCATTGCACGTTTGCCTCGAGGTTTTGCTTTCGAAGATTGAAATACTCGCAATTTCATAGTTACTCCCTATCAATCGATTGGCGCTCGGTTCTCCCTTGATCCCCTTTGAACTCGTACGAGCACATGTCGTAGCCCTCGCCGGCTTCGATACTTACAAATCTATAGCTTGAGATTATCTGCAATATTAATGCATGTGTACTGACTATATGTGAGCAATGTACATTCCCCATTCACACATACTCAGGCTGGAAGGCTCAAATAACATAACTTACGATGAATAGTATTGGTATAAAATGGGAAGTCTAGACGTCTTGGAGGGTAGTAATTCCTGCTAATGTTTGTTTGACACATGCAACTCGGCAGGAACAGCATTGAAATGCTGAAGCTGACAACAAACGGCACATGTATTGACATGACACATGCAAGATATCTCCGAATCTTTGGGAAGAAAGAAAACGGGGAGGAAGCCAACAGCACATTATACGCATCCCGGAAACGTCCTGAAGAGACAGATATGCAACAGGAATATCCGGAACACCTACTCCTTGGGTACGACAGCAATCTAGGATGTCTCAGATATGGTAGCACAATGCAGGTTAGAGGACAGCTATAAAATCTACAGCAATCGTCCGTTAAGCTTGATTGCATAGGCATAGCTACATAGAACAGGTGTCCCACTACGAGAGCTCAGGAGAGAACAATGGGGAGGAAATTCTAAATGCTGGGGCTTGCTTTATACGCGTCAGTCTGCCAATTAGTTACCATTTTAGGACTTACGCAAAGGTTGCTAAGCAATGATATCACACATAGCGCCACACGAGGGAACACCAAACTCAGATAAAGTGTCACAATGGAGATCCAGTGCAAAATGCAACGGAGACACGGATTTCACGCAAAGGCGCCACCGGAGCTTCAAGGCAATGCAATAAACAGTGGCAAGCAAAGAAAGCGTCATAATTTTAATGATACGAGGGATTGGCAAACTTAATGCGGCGAGTACGGCGTGGGAATGTTCGGAATGTTCCAGGCTGGGGCGACGGGCCTTTGCATGATCCTCGTGAAGAGTCCCTGCCCCAATTTCTTACGTTATTCGGTTGGCTGATTCTCCATACTAATACAGGTAGGCTTGCATTAGTTGTCGTAGTGACCCATCGAACTTCTGCTCTCGCATCAGGATTTTGACACGTTCATTAACCGCACTTTCCTGACTTTGCCAGAGTGAACCTACTTTCCCAAAAATTGAAACCACAATTCTGCTGTTTTTGAGGGTTCAGACCGGTTTGATAGATTCGTAGCTTCCTCTTCATAACGAAAATTGCAGCTTAATTGCTACTGATGCAGTGTTCTAGCCAAATATTCTCTAGTAAAGAGCCGAAAATACCGAAAAAGTAAGTTCATCTAGGCAAAGTCAGGATAATGCCGGTAAAGCGGCTTGTCATTTTCCTGACGCCGCCCTCTTGCTTTCAGACATGACTCGCGCTTACTCAGGCAAGAGATATGAAGCTATTTGTCCCAAAGCTACCTAGTGCACTTCGTCAATCACCCGAGACAACAGGAACTCTTGACTCTTCGGATCCACTAAAATGAGCGGTACTTTGATTTGAGAGCTGCCTGTTCCGTTCGCCGCTCCTTTCCAGGCCCTGAACTCTGCAAATGATCCGGGAGAGAGAATGCGGATGGATGGTTTGACGGATGAGCCCTTCTTCGCACCGATGGCAAAGTTCTCGTTTGCATCGATCAGACCTCTCAGTAATGCGTCTCGGGCGGTGGACGGGATAAGTCCTGTGCGGGAGAGTCGATGATTAGGTTTCGAGATTATGCCCATTGATGTAAGATACGCACTATCGCCTGGGGATGCATCCACAAAGAAACCGACGCAGGGCGGCACCTTGCGATCGTCCAGCCATGCCGTGAACTCGACGTGCTTGAGCTCATCAACATGTGATACAGCCTCGACGATATCACCTTGGGTGATCAAAGCGAAGGGCAGCCTCATAGACTGGCTGTGTCGCGTGGCATCATAAGTATCCGCTCAGTTCAAGCGTGAAGTGAAGGAAGCTCACTTGCGACGTTCTTTGTACACGAGCAGAGGCGCGCCGTCCACAGGATCGAAGCCGACAACCTGTACGGCGTCCATGACTCTATACCGCCAAAATCCATCCCGTGTTGTCACAACGGGCTCGTAGAGTTTGTCTTTCTCTAGCTGCCACTAAGGAATAACGTCTGAGTTGCAGAAAGGGATTGTGGCGAGAAAACTTACAAGCTTCTTGAGCTCGCCATCTCCACCCTCGGCAGTGATCTCAAGCATCTCAATATAGCTTTCAGTGACCATCTTTACTACACTTGGATACTGATCGTGGTATGCGAGGCTGATGAAGCATTCCGTGCAACCGTACATCGGAACACGAATAATAACGTCGGGGCCAACGTATGCCCGAACCTGGGGATATGTCAGCGTCTATAAGTTGGATTGACATAGTATCTCAGACCTGGGGCAACACGCGGGCGAACGTCCCGGTGCAGACGGCCGAGAGGAGCTCAAGATTTGGCCAGACCTTTTTCAGCCAGCCCTCAGCAGTTCGCGAGGGCGGGCCAATCTTGCGGAGTTGCTCGGCTCGGTCCGGGTCAGCGTGAAACTTCGTCTGCAGTAGTCGACCTAGGCATCAGCAAGGGAACAGCAGGAAGTGAACTGATAAAATACCATTATAACGGAGTACACGTCGTCCGTCTCTGGAAACTGGGGTAGCTTTCCGACCGAGAGACCGTTCAGAAGCGTCTCCCATTCTTCTTCAATCCACCGGACAAAGTCCACGAGTGCAGTAGACCACGTCATGCACAACGAGTCGAGAGAAGGTTCAGCCAGGGCAAACGCTGCGTGCGTAAGCAAGAGCGAGCGGTAATTAACAATGAGGCCTACGCCCCATGGTGCGGTGAAACCGGGGGCTGGGGCCGCATGATCAACGTACAACAGAGGCGAGTGAATCCAAACGGGCTTACTGGACTCATCGAGGCGCTCATAATCGCGATCAGAGTCCATGAATCCTAGAACGGCACGTGTAGCGTAGCCAGAGCCAGCCGCAACAGGTATGCGCGTGATGCTTCCGTTGTCGTCGCGGACTTCGACGAACCGCATGTACCCAGTAAACACTGGCGCACACGCCATCCCGTTGACTTTGCCTGACCACGGAAAAGCGCCGAGCTTGAAGTATGGTGGTGGGTTGTTGGGGTCACGCCCGTACATTGGGATGAGCTTGGATGCCTTCCCAGATGTTGAGCTTGACTTGCCGAGATTCCGGGGCAGCCCAGGAGCGAGTAGATCGATAACATCGGAGAGTTGACAGGGGGAGAATTGGGTGAACTTGGAGATGTATGGCGCATACACGTCGTATTCGGTCAGGGGGAGATTGGCATCTTCGAACGCTTTGGCACATGTGTCAATGTCGTCCGCGTCGGCACTGGAGAGCCCTTGGCGAAGTCCAGCTAGCAGGTCTGAGGTGCGCCCGAACTGGGTGGTGAAGAGGTTCGACTTGATGATGCGTCGGAGGGAAGCTTCGACGCGAGCTTGTAGACCAAAGGCGAGGTCGACGCTGAGTGATGCCAGAGGTGTTGGATCGCTAGGAGTAGAAAACATGTTTGGCGTGTTATGCGAATGTTCCGAGTGAGTAACCTTGAGATGACAGACCAGAGCCACAATATATACTAGCAGTGGAGCTTCTACTTCTCCTTCCCCATTCTCTCCTCGTCGTTGAACATAGGAGCTTCGGCAGTCTGGTCGCTAGTCCTTCAATGCGGAGGCGCCTTCGATGGTGTAAACGACAGGTGTGATGACTACTTTTTGTTGAGTCAACGCTAGTTGAAATGAATGGATTTGAATTAGGATCCGATGTCGCACCTCGGCTGCAAACGGGGCGTTGTCGTCGGACGCATCTATGAGATGCGTCCACATGCAGCACACAGGCATTGTGCCGCTGTGAACCTAAGAAGGATACAGATCAGTGAAGATCCACTCGCCCCAGGACCGAAGATCACATACTTACCTGTGATGACGGACATGGCCTACGGAGAAAGGCTCGAACGCTAGAGCACCGAAATCCTGCCGAACCACTGTCCCGAAAGCTGTAACACGCGAGTAGAGCACGAGCAATTGAGCGCTCGCTCACGCTCTCAGACCTGCCGTAAAGTGGAGCCATTGTATACGTGCGCTACTGCATCCGAACGCGGCTGGAGACGCGCAACACAACCACGACGTTGCCACAACCGATCCTTCGACTTACTTTTAAACCTCCCTCACCTCATCACTCTACGGTTTTGAATCAAGAGCATACTTATGCTCCATTTAATATGTTCCAACAATTGGTGTCAATCCCCAGCTGCTCTGTCAAGGCTGCAACTTACGCAGGACGGGCCTGCTGCGAGCCAGATGGGACATATCGTCAATTCTGCACGAACAGAATCGGCACACGGTTTCTCCCGCTGCAGCGCATTTACGAGAGTGAGAATTCCACCCGCAAAGCGCCTCGCCAACTCAGTGTGATGCCGCTCTCAACACATGCCTGAGGCTGGTCTCGCGTTGGGCGCTGACTTGCTCTCATCGCTAGCAGTGTCCCAGGTTTAGTCCATCTCATGCGCGTGGTTTTTACTGGAACAGGTGCAATTTCATAACAATCGTAATCGCAAGCTATCATACATCTAACGTTACAGTCATCATGAAGACACGGCGCCATCAGACCCTCTACGCAATGACGGTGATCGGAGAACAGCCCAAATTGATGAGACCGTTCTGTTTATGGTACGAATCGGTAAGTTCTTCTGTCCTCATTCAAGACGAGGTAAACAGAAAGCTACTTACGAAGCTGTTGTTGTCGCAGCAAACAGGCTCGCTGATGCACGTCGCGCCCTGGCCCGCGCCGATGCCCATGATGGGGGTGCACTGAAAGCCGACTTGGCCGTCGATGCCGTTGAGGAGGTCTCCCAGACCGAGCTGACCGAGTTGGTCGCTGACATCCGAAACCTATGAGAGCGACAATCAGGCGGGTGGGTAGTCAGCAAGTCGGGTATAGGGAGTAGGGCCACATGCAGCTATCACGTACGTGCTGAACGTTGTTGCAGCAGGACAGCGCGCCAGTCGTGCACTGCCCGTTGTGGTCGGGCCAATCCTGGGGGAGCGCGGCGCTAGCGAGCACAAAGGGAAGGAGAATAACAAGAGTAGCAAACATGTTTCGCTGGCTGGATATCTGGTGGGCTGGGGTTAGTCGTCGTTCTCGAGACGTCTTTTATACCTCTCGAGCACACCTCCGATTGACGACGGCGACGATGACGAGGTTTACCTTGGCACCTCCAAGAGGGTATGGGGAACCCGGGTGCGCTACACGTTTTGTCTCAGTAGTAAGTGAGCGCAGATTGTCTCAGTACTCCCAAGCGCTTTCGAGCGATGGTATGGGAAGTGTTAATTGAACCTGGTCGCATATGGCGATCTCAGCCAGTCTCGGGTGGTAATCTCGGACTATACTTTGTCTCAGGTGCTCACAGAACATCCTTCTAGCGAACGACACAGCCTATTGAACCAGGAGGTCAGGGCAATAGCATGGGGTAGGCTCGTAATTGTCTCAATACTGCAGATCGTCAATGGTCAGGCGCCTCTCTTTCTCATCCTGCCGACGGAAGCAGAACTGACATACAGCCGCATACTGCGACAGAAGTTGTAACACTGGCTGACGGGGAATCTAGGCTCGAAAGATCCTGACTTCCCGTCGTTGTTCAGAAACCGTACACCGATGTAGTCCAGTGAGTCATATTTGTGTGAGTGTTACTTAGTCATAAACAAAGCGAGGTCCAAAAAGGAGCTCTCCATACTGTAGCCCGGCTCTTCCGAGTCGTTCAGTTGATTAAGTATACCAGACGGCAAGTGATGATCATAACTTTCACAGTGGGTGTTTGCTGAACATAAAGCATACATCCATAGACGATCGCATTGGCATTCAGGTCGGATCATCTACATTAGACCAAAGGTATATAAACCAAAGTAGGTTCGGGAACGGACACTAGTGTAAGTGACGTGTCTACTAGCAATACGCTTAGGCAGCGACATTGATAGGCGTGCAGCCGAGGTTGAGGATACCGTTCTACAGATGCAGTGAGCAAAAAGCACTGAAGGATATTTATGAAAATGCGAAGCGGGGAAACTCACGTAGTTATTGTGGTCGCAGCAGACGGGCTCCTGGGTGCAGGTCGCGCCCTGGCCGGTACCGATGACGGTGATGGGGTTGCAGTTGACGCCGACGTTGCCGGCGATGTTGTCCAGGATGTGGCCGAGGCCGATGACACCGAGCGGGCCCTGGGCGTCATGTTGCTGCAAGCAGAAAACGGTGCGTACAGTACGTCAGTGATAATGATCAAAATGTGAACTGGGAGGCGCATACGGAGAGGACGTTGTTGCAGCAGGACAGCGTGCCGGTGGCACACTGACCGTTGCCGTCACGGGCATTGAGTGGGCTCGCAATGGCGAGGGTGACGAGGGTGGCAGCAGCGATGACGAAGGTGTACATGGTAATGCGGGTGAGGGGATTTGGGTTGTAGTGAGCTGGAGGAACGACGCTGAAGCGTGTGGTTTTTATAGCCCAAGGGAAGCATCAGTTCTGCTCGCGAATGTTTTGCTTAGGGTTTAACTCGGGACACTTAGATGTGATGTCTCGTACCTAGAAGCTTGAGGTGAGACCGATCAGAGGTGAGACTTTCCTATCGGCTGCGGGGCGCTTCCATCTTCGAAGTATCTCGCTCGGAGGGCGCGAGAACTGCAGGCAAGTCACCACATGCAGAAAATAGATACTAAGCCTGTAATTGTAGGCATGATCTGTGGTTAGACCTTGTGGGTTATGCCTGCTTGCGTGTATACGGGGGTGGGTCAGACGTGGAAAATATGTTCGACGCGAGTCTGCGAAGCACTACCGGTTAGTGGACGAACAGTACATTTACGCTAAAGGTCTGAGACCCTTCTCTCACCTCTTGGCTGCCGACATATCCCTGCACGTCTCTGTCGATCGAGTCTGGACTCTCGGGCTCGACGGGGATTTCATTCCGTTGGAATTTGCGTCACAGTCTGCCGACCCTTGTTTCCGAAGACATGTTCGATACATGTTCGAGAAGCTACACCACCTTCAGCATCAATACTAGTTCGGCAGTGTATAAGAGATGACCACCGGCGTTGCGCGTTGACGATTTTTCTATCGACACTATCAAGTGATAAGCATTGGCAATGTCAACCGAAGCGAGAGTGAAACCATGACCGCACAGCTTTTGAGTGAAGGTCTAGTCCCGAAGTGGAGACGTCTGACATCAGATGCACGCAAAAGTCCGATGCGCCAAGCGAGGTAATTGATGGTGGCTGTCACTTTCTATGGTGTCGAAGTCTCTCGACATGGACATGGACCGACGACTGCCAACCATCATCGGCACCTTCTTCGCTTTCAAACGTTCTACGAACCTGCTGGGTGCCCTTGAGATGGATGAGGAGACACCTGCTTGTCAGTTGAGAGCGTGTCTATGACCTCAGAGGTGGGCTCAAGCTTGACCACGGTAGCTCACGGGCGCGTGTTACGCACACAGGTGGTTACCGGAGGTTTCTGAAGTGCTATCCACATGAAGGAATGTGATGAGTTTGCGATTACGAACGGCGCCCAGGCCAGGCGATGCCGTGCTGCGAACAAAGGCGAGCCCAATTTCCCTGGACGCGTTTGATTGGCTGCCGCATCGGCTGCATTCAGCGTCAGATAAAAGCGGCTCACTGTCTGCCAGCGCGGCCCATCTTTTTCGCCTCCAACAGACTCAACCATCGCTCCTTTGCCCTCCCCGCGGTCCCCAGCACTCGCAGCCATGTTCTCCTCCTTCACTCGTTTCGCCATCCTCGCTGGTGCCATCGGTGCCGTCGCTGCCTCCTCGTCCAACCCCGAAGACAACGGCTCCTGCGCTGAAGTCGTCAACCAGTGCAAGCTCTTTGCCTCCCAGGGCATCTTCCAGAACGAGTACTGCGTCCTCGCCTCCATCTGCGATGCCGACACCGATGCTGGCACCGACGGTCTCATCGACCAGGTCCTCCCCAACGTCCAGCCCCGTCCTACCTCCGAGGGCTCCCAGCGCCTCAGCCAGGACGTCTTCAACAAGATGAGCAACAACAGCCCCACGCTGTCGACTCAGAACATCATCGACGCGTACTACGGTGCTCTCGTGCGTCTTCTTGATTCTTGTCTACACGTTACCATTATTCCCTAACCTGGACCGTGTAACAGACTAACACCTATACGGGCACCAACGCCACTAACGCCCAGCAGTCTGGTCAGAACGGTCCTTACCCCACCGAGTACGTTCACCGACTTATTACATAAAACTATTCCTACTGACACGAACTCCTCACTTTAGCGCTGCTTATGTCTCTGACCTCTGGGACATCGTCGCCGCATGGACTGACAACTGCGACACCGCGGAGATCCCCTACAACAACTTTGCCGACTACCTCCAGTACGCCGCCCAGAGCGACTACCACCCCACGTGCGACTGCTAAACGCTTCACGGACAATATCCGGGGCTGCCCATGGTTTTTCCTGAGGCTATGCATACAATCACTCGTTTGACGGACACCGTTCTTTAGTCACATACGTCACATACAAACCATTTGAGACATTTCACTGGGTGGAAGGAAGGTTCTCACTTGTTTTTAGTTGGTTCAGTAAGGGTTATATATACTGTTGCTGGTTATTATACACTGCCGCGCGCTTCAGGCTTTGAGAGAGTCCATCGAAAGAGGTGGGTCGGTTCCACAGCATACAAGGTCATCAACGCGAACATGCTCAAGTTGCAGTGCATTGCGTCGACACCCAGACTTTGCTTTAGTCCCGTGCTAACCTTATGACTAATTTCCCTACATGTTTCTGGGATTCAAGGTACGCAAACGCGTCGACCGCTTCTTCGAAAGTGAACACCTTATCGACCACAGGGTGTATATCATGCTCAGCGATAAACCGATTCATTGCCTCGAACCTCACAAGTCTTGGGTCAGTTTCCTCCGTTCCTACCAGCCATCACAATTAGAGAGTACTTACTGCGTCACAGAACCGAGCATAATTCCACGGATGACCAGCGCCTTCAGAATGGCCACACCCAGCGGAATTTGGTGTCCGCCCAGCGAACTCGGAATCTGGTGCTCGCCCTGTACATCGATCGTCAGGTGGAAGCGAAGACGAATGGGAGACACTGCTGTATGGCAAACCTTGGCAACGAAGCCGATCAAGTCTAAGCAACCCGAATAACGGACAGCGTTCGCGGACTTCGCGATAGTCCCGGTGCCGCCAACCTCCACGACATGGTCCACGCCCCGCCCGTTGGTCTTGTGTTGGTGGAAAGTCAGCTCCGTGAAAATTTGTTTAACTGAGCAGAAATAAATTCACGATCTTCAGGACCTCCTCGTCCCAGCTCTCCGTCTTGTTGTAGTTGATCGTATGTTTAGCGCCTAACCGCTTCGCGAGCTCGAGCTTCTCGTCCGACGAGGACGTGATAATGGCGGTCGCGCCTGCGGCTACTGCGAGCTGCAGGCCGAAGCTTCCCGGACAACAGTCAGCAACCCCAAGCGATGTAAAGCACGTTCTTTCATGTTGCTCACATTGATACACCTCCGGTGCCCAGGAGAAGGACCGAGTCTCCCTTCTTGAGCGCCTTGAGGCCAAAGAGCGCGTTGTACGCTGTCAAGGCGGCGCACCTTGGCAAATATTCCTGCGTGAGTCAAGGTATCCCCTTTCTTTTCACATACAAACTCACGGAAGAGTCGACGCTTCGTCATAGCTCAGGTTCTCCGGGAACCTCACGAGCGCCTACGGTCATGCGCCCAGCGCTAAGCCTCAGCAGCTCCTCGAGGAACGAAGGTACGATACGTACATGAACCGGGACGCACGCATATTCCCTCAGCACGCCGTCGACACCCGCTCCCAGAGCACTTGCGGTCGACTCGGGAGTGATGTCTCCGTTGTGCTCAACGACCGCAATTTGGGCACAGACGCGCTCGCCGACGGTCCATCCCACGACGCCTGCACCGAGGAGGACGATCTCGCCTGCGGCGTCGGAGACCGGGACGACGTCGTCTTTCCACCTGTTCGGAGGAGTGGGGCCAGTCGATGGTCAGCGGAAGATAAGTCAGCGACGGAGAGCGCACCCCTTGTATGTGCTGTTTGTGACGATAAGGTCTTTGTACTGGGGTGGATGTCAACGTGATAAACAGAAGGTATGGCACGCAATGCAAACAGGAAGGGTCGTGTCATGCTTACGTTCAGAGATACAGAGTGAATTTTGATGAGGACTTCGTTCGCTGATGGCTTCTCGAGAGGAGCGTCACGAAGCTTGAGATGGCGGTAGCCATCGTGCTATTGTCCCATAAGCACTAGTCAGTGACTTGTTTTCTTTCAGAACGGGGGAATGACATACACTAGTGCGGAACTCTCGAATTGTCTCTGGGAGAGCCATGTAAGTGCTTCGTTGGCGGATATGCCGGACGACTCAGAAACCGCAAGATTTCCTGTAGCCTTTATATCCAACCGGCTAAGACGAAGGCATCGGGATATCAGAACAAAGTCAGCGCTGACGCTCATGTAGCCCGGTACTCAACGGAAAACACAAAGACGCGACGCTTGTATTTTGGCAAATGTATAAATCTCAGTCTTAGAGAGCGTGAGCTTTTCCACCCATATTTGTGCATCTGCCGCTGTTGTCGGGAAAACGTTGCTTGCTTCAAACCATCATTGATGGATTGGGAATTATACCGCCAAGGCAGCGCATCTTACGGTCGTTCGCCTGAGCACTCGCTGCGTTAGAAGGCATTCAATTCACGAAAGAGTGGATGCTTCATTGTAGGTCAGATTATCCGGAATCTTCACCAGCCTGATCGTGAGCGTCTACTATAGATTGATGAATCATGATCTATCATGATACACCCGGCACTCTTTCTTGTTATCTCCCCTTAGCTCCGAGGAAATGAAGACATTCTGTGCGAGTACGGTATGTAATCTCTCCGCGTCATACATGAGTACTAACTGCATCATCATTCGCAACGATGCGTACTATAAAGGAAACCCTAGTGGACACATGCCCTTATCCACTGAACTTCACTGTTACTGGTAGGCTCTGCGCAGCCAATACCACCTTGAAGTGGACGCCGCTATGCACTAGTTCTTAGCGAGATCCTTGCGTTCACGGTGATATGATCACGATGGTTTAGTAAGAAAGGGTCAACGAGGGGCCTGCGCTGTGCGCCTGTGGCGTGCTCATGTGCTTCCCATGGGTGCAGTTTCTCTGCATTCTGAGAACCAGGAAAAGCAACTTTCTTGTTTTCAACGTACGCGACTCCCTACCGGGCTCATATGATGGACTCCTCCGAGATATTTGGCTTCATAGGGTTTTCAGATCACCAAATGACATTGCGTGACCTCGTACATGTAGGTTTGCTGATAAGTACTTTCTTATAAGGCCCATCGACGATCACCGTCTGAGAAAAAGTGGGCTAGAATGTGTTACATAAGTCACTTGTGGCGGTAACAATTGCAGCTGAGGACGGACGTGCTCCGGTTCCAAAAGAACATAGTCTTGGCTCGGTTAAATTAGTACTTGTGTGTGCCGATCCTTCTAAAGTTCTCCAATCGTTATAAATATTATGATCACACGACTATATAGGCTCATGGTGAGGCGATTACGGCTTGGCTATTCCTCACCATGACTGCACCCCAAGGTGCCTCGCAAGAGCAGAGCTCTCATATAATCCCAGAGTCTGCGTATGTATTCTCCAACGATAGACAGGAGGGCGTCAGGTGCGTCCTTGTGCAGCTGTGTTTATTTTGGCGTCACTTAAAATGCACAAGACTCGATAACCAGTACAAGATCCTCAAGAAGAGCTTTGGGAATAACGTGCTTTACACTCCAGTCAGCCTGAGCTCAGAAGCTGAAGTGCTTGACAGCGGATGCGGAACAGGTGTATTTACATAACACTTACTCAGCATGCTTTGTATCCTGACGATCGATATTGCGTAGAGGCTTGGGTCAAGGACATGAGCCATGTGTTTCCTCTGGTCAAAATAATTGGCATAGATATGTCTACGAACCTGTTCCCACAAAATTCAGCCAACATCACCTTCCTGAAACACTCCATCCTCTCCCTTCCCCGAACCTGGACAAACAAATTTGACTTAGTGCACCAGAGCGTCCTGTTCAGCGCTCTCACCATTTCCGAATGGCCCATCGCACTTGCTGAGATTCTTCGGGTGACTAAGCCCGGCGGATCCGTGCAGCTGATGGAGCCCGTGTTTGGAATACGGGCGGACAGGCACATGTACCACGTCGCAAACGCTCTCGGCAGGGCAAGGAACTTACTGATCGATGACCGATTCGGTGCGTTGAAGAACATGCTCAAAGACGTGGGGTGTATCAATGTCACCATGGCTCGCAGCTCGTTTGCGCCGGAGGAATGGTCCGACGAGGAGCGTATGTTGGCGCGCGGGACATACATATCTGCGATAGCGTCCATAAAGGATGTTCTACTCGGATCGGGTGGTACTCCAGGTGTGGAGACGGCTGAGGAGTTTGACGAGCTCATGGAGGCCTGTGAGGATGATGGACCTGAGGTCGGTAGCATTGATGGACCTGACTATGAGGCATGGGCGTTTTATGCTACAAAGCCGTGATCATGTAAACTGTCCCACACAATTCCCAACATGGTCTGTTAGAAAAGCTCAGAGAATCCTCCGCCTATTCGACACTTTGTGGGATTTTGTGATTCAACATTGTGGCGTATATGTTCGAAGTTTATACTGTGTGCAATGCATCTCTTATTTATTTAATATCCATGCCCATTGATCCAGCGAGGGAGAGTTCATAATACCAAATAAGCTAAGTATAGGTAATGGTCGCTTGCCGCTCTCAAAATGAAGACCGCCAACTAAGTTTATCATAGCGGGTGTGGCGCGTGAAGGTGAAGACTAATACAGACGGTGGGTTCGATAAAGTCGATACGAAGTGGGCACAGTAACCTCGAGAAAAGAGTGGTGTTTATTCTTATTCAAGCACACACTATGCTTATTGTCGTACATATGAAACGTCCTATTTCACCTCACTCCTAGATAAGCCTAATAACAACCTTCCCCACATGTTTCTGCGATCCCAGATACGCAAATGCGTCAACTGCCTCTTCAAACGAGAAGACCTTGTCGACAATCGGGTGAATGTCATGTTCAGAAATGAACCGGTTCATCGCTTCGAACCTGTGAGAGCAGTGAGTTAGCTCAGAGTTGCTACTCGTTCCCTGGATACAGGCAGAGTACTCACTGAGCTGCAGAACCGATGAGGATACCACGTACGACAAGCGCCTTGTGGATCGTCAGGCCCACCGGGACCTGGTTCTCGCCCTAGAAAATTGTCGTCAATAAACCACAACGCTATAATAAGTGGTTGGGATGACAAACCTGGGCGACAAATCCGATAAGGTCTACGCAGCCCGAGTAGCGCGCCGCGTTGACGGACTTTGCAATTGTCCCAGAGCCTCCGACCTGATTACGGAGAGACAGACGTTTTTAGCCCTTGAGGAACTGTCTGCGTCCATAAAGCGGAAAGGTGCGTTCTTACCTCGATGACATGGTCTACACCTTGTCCACCGGTCTACAGGAGAAAAAGAGTGAGCTTTGGTGTTAAGTCACTCGAGCGTTGGGTGACATACAATATTGAGGACCTCATCGTCCCAGTTCTCTATCTTATTATAGTTGATCGTGTGTTGAGCACCAAGCTTCTTGGCAAGCTTGAGCTTCTCGTCTGACGACGACGTGACGATGGCTGTTGCGCCTGCGGCCACTGCGAATTGCAGACCGAAGCTTCGCAGATGTGAGCTATTCCGACGGAAAAGATGATTTGCACCATGCGTACATTGACACGCCTCCAGTACCGAGAAGGAGCACGTAATCGCCTTTCTTGAGCGGCTTGAGTTCGAATAACGCGTTGTATGCCGTCAGCGCGGCGCATCTAGCGAGAAAACACGGCATGGTAAACTAAAGGAATCCTTGGCTAGACAAAAAAAAAAAAGCAAACTCACGGAAGCGTCGACGCCTCGTCGTACGTCAAATTCTCTGGTATCTTCACCAGGGCCTATTCGGAAAAAAAGGTTCATGACTACATTCCCTACTCCAAATCACAAGTAACAAACGCACATGAGCCGGCACGCGCACGTACTCCCTCAGCACGCCATCGATGGCTCCGCCCAGAGCTCTAGCCATCGTCTCAGGCCCAACCTCGCCGTCGCGATAGTCGAGCGCGACCTGTACGCAGACGCGCTCGCCGACAGACCACTGGCCGCTCGAGGCGACGTCCGCGCCGAGGAGGGCGATGGAGCCGGCGGCGTCGCAGCACGGGACGACGTTGGGTTTGGGTTTAAGCCTGTTGCACAACGGAGATATCAGACATTCTGGTGCAGTCGAGCTGGATGGTTCGATGTTCACCCTGCGTATGTGCCCTCGACGGCGACCAGGTCGCGGTACTGAGATCAAGCTATGGTCAGCTTATGGGAGAAAACCAACAGGATCATTCAATGCTCACGTTCATAGACACGGAGTGCACCCTGACGAGCACCTCGGCCGCCTCTGGATGCTCCAACGGAGCCTCGCAGAGCCTGAGCTTTCGATATCCATCGCTCTGCCATCCCAAAAAGGATGACTTGTCAGCTTTCACGGCCAGCCACAGAAGAAAAACCAAGACACACGTTGGAGCGATACTCCTTGATAGTCTTTGGGAGAGAGCTATAGCTAGCCATTTCAGATTGAAGTCGAAGTCTGCTATGGTGATGCTCAGGTGAGAGCAACCGCGCGATGATAAAACCCAGTCCCCCCACAGACTTGCCGCTTCTTTTATACCACTCGCAACGCCCCGCTGCCGAACGCACGTTCTCATTGCGTAGCACATATGATGCGGCACCCTCGAAGCTGACTCAGTACCGCGTCCAAGTTTCACCTCACCATCACCAGACGGTGCAAAGTAGTAAGCATCCCGACCAGCGGCGAGAGACGGAGACGCTTTAGCGTACGATAGGCCCCACCTGTGTATTTCATGTCGGCGGCGGCGGCTCAGGCTGGAGACACCATCCCGGAGTTGGTAAAGTCAGCAATGATCGGAGAGGAGAATACGAAGAACTCAACAAGTGACCAGGCGCTTGTTTAGCTCGCGAGCGGCGCAGCGAGCTGCACGTGCCGCAGCTGTTTGGGGAGGTTTAGACGCCGGCGGAGTCCTCGATAAGCTTGGGACTTCTGCGCTAAGGATGGCATGGGCAGCATGCATGCCCCTCCTTCAAATAAAGGTTCGGTTGACGCCGGGAAAAACAAGAAGACACCTGCAACGAACGTCAACGCATAAATATTCAGATTCCAGTAAGTTACGCTATGTAAACACATTCGAGGATCTTAGAAACACACAAAAGGGGGGCGTGAAAAGGCGTATCGTATGAAAACAGTCGGGGGATGGAATGAAAAACCCAATATCACACACTACACCTGGCTCAGCGGCTCATACCCCCTCCTCCCTGCGCCCATCCTCAGCCCCAACCTCGCCAACAAGCCCTTCCCACTCCCACTCCCGCTTCCACTGCCACTGCCACCAAGACCGCCCGCCCCACCTCCCCGCCCAACCCCATCATGCTCCTCGCGCTCCGCCTCCCTCCTCCTTCTCGCCTCCTCGAACCCCTCCATCGGCACATCATACACGCTCCCATACTCGACCCCCACCTCGCGCCCCATCGTCCAAAAGTCCCTACAGTTCCTCACCACCCCCAGATCAAACGGATTCCGCGCCGCGCCGTCCTTGCTCGACGCGAGCTGCAGCCCGCGCGCCGCGCGCCCGCGCGTGAACCGGTCCAGCCCGGTCAGGTTCAGCACGAACGCGCCGCACGTCCCCGGGGCGCTCAGCCCGCCGCACAGCGAGCGCCTGTGCGCGTGCGCGTGCTTGGGCGCGCCGCCGCCGCCGCCTTCCGCGCCTTCCTGCGCGCCCTCGCCGTCCTCGCCACCCGCAGCCTCATGGGCGTGGGCATGCCCATGCCCATGCCCATGCCCACCCGCACTCGCATGCCCCCGATGCTGATGCCCCATCTGCATCCCCGCACCCGCACCGCCCGCCGCAAGCCCGCCGCGGCCGCCCATAAACCCGAACCGGCCGAGGTTCGACACCTCGAACGTCGTGAGCTGCCGCGCGACCTGCCAGAACTGGCTGAGGAGGAGCACGGACGTCCAGGAGAGCTGCAGGGTCGCCCAGAGCGCGACGCAGAGCAGGAACGCGTCGATCGAGGCCGCTTCGCAGAGCAGCGCGGAGCATACGGGGTATGTCGAGGCGTCGGATGCGGCTGCGAGGGCGTTGGAGAAGTCTGTGGATGGGTGCGTGCGGGTTTAGATTTGTCTGATGGGTTGTAGAAGGAGGAAGGGCGGGTGCGTACATTCGTAGGTGAGATAGTCAAAGAGACCAATGCCAACAACAAGCGTCGTCACAAAGACGAGGAACTGCCGGTGGTTTCCCGCGCCGACTGCGCCATTAAATCACCCGTTGAGCACGTACACTAACGGGCCAAACAGGATAACATGGACGTACCGCAATTCCACACCCACGGGCAGTGACTAGAAAATGCACCGCCTCAGCATACACGACTCCAGTAGACAAGCGTGTTTGTCACTCACTGATCGCTCCGCGCGATACACCGATCGCAGTTCCGACAGTGTCTCGAGCGCAGCGGTTTCCTTGCCTAAAAAACAAACGAACAAATAGATTGTAAGTCCCATCCCTTGATAAACCACCGACCGATCTCACCATGCACTGTATACAGAACGTCTGCCCATTCAACCGGCCCTCCGACGCGAGGTCTTCGATGATCTACGCACGATACAAACGCAAACACACATTTGATGCGTCAGCCAACGCATACACCAGAAACCACAACGACGATGACGAAGAAAAAAGGTAGTGCGCACCGCCTTGAGCTCGCCGTCGTTCGCCGGCTTGGGACACAGACCCGGGTCGAGCGTGATCGAGCGGAAGAAGTTGTACGCGCAGAGGCCGAGCGAGAGCGCGAAGCCCAGGTGGACGAACGGGTGCGATTCGGTTTCTGCACGGGTGGAGCGTGTCAGCATCGCGGAGGACGAGCGGGGTAAAAGGGTTTTAAAAAAGAGATGGAGGGAGGGGCGGGGATACGCACGGCCGAGGAGACGGCGGGCCCAGCAGAAGCCGACCCAGATGAGGGAGGCGGCGATGATGCCTGCAAAGTACGGGCTCTGGTTGACGGTCCCGGTGTATGTGTTCTTGTTGAGCAGGACGCGGGTCACGATCTATGTGACAGTCGACGTTTCTGAGGTGAGATGGGGATAAAATGGTGCGGGGCAGAAGACGCACATGATGCATGGCGAAGAACTCGGCCATGGCGAGGATGATGCCCGTGTACCACGGCAAGATAGCGAGCGTCGTGAAGATGAGGTAGAAGAACACAGCGGGGATGACGAATATCGCGATCTTCGTGTTGCGCTGCCATCCCGACCCCGCATCAGCAAGCGTATCCTCGCAGCAGCCAGTCAGGCAGGCCAACGCACCTCGCTGAGCGGCTGCGACGCGCGCACGCCGTACTCGTTCATCCCGCCCTCCTCCAGCGCGCGCTTCCACGCGCCCAGACTCTTAAGCTCGACCGCCATATCGCGGGGCGTCCGCCCCTCCGCGTCCTTTGCATGTATATCCCCGCCCATCTCGACCAGCCGTCTGATCACGACCCTGTTCCCACGCACGACGCTCCAGTGGAGCGGCGTCAGCCCCGCGTCGTCTTTCAGATTCGGACTCGCGCCGTGCTTGAGCAGCAGGTCAACGGAGAGCGCGTCGCCCTGGTACGCGGCCCACATGAGGGACGTGTGCCCCTGCGCGTCGCGGGCGTCGACAGTGACGGGCTGGTGCAGGACGTAGAGGAGGGGCATGACGGCGGAAGAGTGGGTGACGAGGTGGAGGGCGTTGTAGCCCTGGGTGTCGGAGACGTTGGGGTCGGCGCCGTGGGCGATGAGGAGCTGGACGACGTAGAGGTAGCCGGAGCGGGCGGCCCACTGGAGGGGCGTGGCTTGGAGGTCGCCGCCGATGGCGTCGACGTCGGCGCCTTGGTCGAGGAGGTAGCGGCATGTGGCGAGCTGGGCGTTGATGGCTGCCCAGTGGAGCGGGGTGCTGTGGTGGATGAGAAGGAGGCGGGGAGAAAAGGGGGAGGTGACGTACACGTTTTGGTCATCGCGGTCGTTGACGGTGGCCTCGCCCGAGTCGATGAGCCTGCGGACGGAATCGAGGTCGCCGCGCTGAGCAGCTGCTATGAGCTCATTCTAGGACCAGTTTGTCAAACGTAAGCGCCTAGGGCATATGTGGAACTCACGACAGGCTGGGGCTGGTGATTATAGCTGAGTCCCTCTGCAGTTGCATTCTCTGTCTCGACGTGAGTGGTCGCACCTGCTTTGTTGGTGCGGTCGTCCATGCAGCTAGTCGTAGCTCGTCGTCGTCGAAATCGTAAGAGAGTGTCAAGTGAGTTGCTGCGTCCGTCAGCGGGGCAACAGGCCTGTGTTGCACTGCCACAGCACTGCCACACATGACGCACCTCCTTCATTCACTCGTTCGACCAGCCCAAGTCTCTGACATGCTCGGGACAATTCTTGTGACGTTCGCTGCAAGGTCGGTCAATAACTGTGTAATCTTGAGAGGGTCATCTTATGAAACAGATGAACACCGTATAGAGCCGTGCTGCTCCTGGGCTCACGCGCCTTTCTCGAGCGCAGGATCTACAACGACCTCCAGCACATCTCCGACGACCCCGACTCTGCCTCTCTCCCGCCCCCGTCTGCGTCCGTCTCCAAGTCCCAGATATCGCACGCGCTGCACCCGTTGCTCGCACAGGCATGGTTCTCCCTCTCGTTCTCGGAGAGCAGCCTCCTCTTTATCATCCTCATGTGCCAGGGACTCGACCTCTTCAGTCCAAGGTGCGCACAGTCCCTCCCCTCTGTCCGAACAACGCTCACTCTGCTCAGCTCGCGCATGCTCGGGTGGAAGATCTCCCTCAGCCTCCTCATGGCGACCATCGTCCTCTTCGTCCCGTTCACCTTCAGCCTCACCCTCACATACAGGTCCGGTGCGTCATTCTCCCTCTTCCCCACGCCTCCGCAGCACCATGTAACCGCAATTTGACCTCACTCCCTCACCGACAGACATATCCCGCACCTTCCGCGCGATCCTCACCGCCATCCCCATCGCCCTCTACCTCTTCGCGCTCGGCTACATCCCGCTCCCCTCCGGCCCGAGCTACACGCTCCTCGCCGCTACGACCGCGCGCATCGTCGTCGTGGGCACGATCATCCTCGGCCTCATATCGGGTATCGGCGCTGTGAGCGGCGCATGGGCTGCTATCGGGCAGAAGACGTGCGTCTGTTCGTTGGGTGCTTCAGCGCGGTGAATATGCTAACGCGCTGAGCTCATTGGGTGGCAGGGCCGTGCCGACCGCGTCGTCCATCGCGGCTGCTGAGGTGTCGCTCGAACGCGTGCGCGAGGATCTGAGGACCCGCGGCGCGGAGATGCACACGTATACAGCGTCAAGTGTGAGACCCTTCTAATCCTTCAGAAGCCTCAATAGAAGCCAACGTCAACCATTGCAGACCGACGCAGACGCGAACAGCTCGTGGTTCGCCCGCGCCTTCAAGCGCGACAGCAGTACGCACTGTCTCCTCGCCCGCCTCGATACAGACCAGTGAACGCGGCACAGATCTTAGCGCAATGCAGCAAGAAGTGATCGGCCTCGAAGCGCTCGAGGGGCAGATGGTTTCACGCGTACAGCACCTCAAACAAGCGCGCGAGGCCGCCGCGTACGCGCAGTCTCTCCGCGGCAGACTGCTCAGCCGCGCGTGGGCGGTATACTGCGCGTGCCGGGTGTGCAGCGTGCGTCCCCCACCGTTCCTCCATTTTCTCCCCGAAGCTAACTTAATATGATAATGCGAACGCAAGTCCCTCATCAACATATTCTTCCCGCAAACCTCGCCTTCGAACACGGAGACGACAAGCCCGTCCTCGTACGGCGACATCGTCGCGCACGCGCTCGCGTACCTCCTCTCGCTCCTCCCCGCCGTCTCGCACCGCGCGGGCGAGCTCGACGTCGCGGGCCTGTCGCGCCAGATCAGTCTCGCGCTCGTGGGCGTGATCATCCTGAGCAGTCTGCGCGTCGTGCTGCGGGGCGTCACGCGGGTGCGTTCTGTCTCCTCGTTCCCCGTTCGCGTGTGGAGGACGGATGGCTGAAGATGCGCTCTGCATTGATCGTGTGCTGCAGCTCTGCCGCACGACATCGCGCTCGCTCTCCGCCTCGCTCATGCTCCTCGTCATCGCACAGCTCATGGTACGCACCCCGTCCCTCCCCCCGCTTTCCGCGCACTTCTCACCCCGTTTAATGTACCGCGTATGCAGGGCATATACCTCCTCTCGACGCTCGTCCAGCTACGCAACATGTTCCCGCCGTCGTCGTCGAGCGGCGGCGGCAGCGACGCGCAGACGAACGTGTTCGCAACGCTGCCCGCGTACGCGCTCTTTGGCGGCCTGTTCGACTGGGCGTTTCTCCTCGCCGCGGGTGCGTGCGCGGGCACGCGCTGGGCGGGGGGATGGTGGGCTGGGGAGGATGATTTGTAGGTGTAGGGGGTAGGACTTGAGGAGGGGAGCGGGTGGTGTAGGATAGGTATGTAAATTGGTGGGCGTGTTTTTTGTTGAGCGTGTTTGGGGGCTTATATAGCTGTGTAGGGCCAGTGTTATTAATTATTGCAGTATAGAGATCGTCGTATTTCCATAAGGCTGGAATAGACGCCTGTGGATCATGCGCCACTGCTCGCTTCCCTGCCTCCATGACTTCCCTGCATTCGCATTTCAACGACGTCATACACCTTCCTGCTGACGACTTATAAGTAGGCGTCGCCTTGTGTGTGTGCTCTTCACTAGTCTTTGTCAACATGACTCTGCCCACCAGCTACCGTGCCTACAAATCTAACGTGCGTCTCGCTGCTGGGCTCACTTTATCAACGCCCATGGAAAGCTGACCATACTGCAGGCCGACGGGTATCAGAACCTCCAGCTTACCCAGGTGGATCTCCGTGAGCCGAAACCGCTGGAGGCCGTGGTTAGAGTGCATGCTGTTTCGCTCCAGGTGCGCATGTCGTCCCCTCGGATGTCCTTGTAGTGCTACGCGCTGATGAGGTGACCTATACGTGCGATTTGAATGTGTGAAGTTCCGCGATCTCCTCGTCGCGAAAGGCGATTATGGCCTGTAAGCCCCGCTTTCCTCCTCGCATCCTCTCCGCCCACAACCACAACATCCATCCGCTAATCGAACCGAACCGATGCACACCGCCAGACCGACCGGCGCAGGCATCGTCCCCTGCTCCGACATGGCCGGCACGATCGTCGCGCTCGGCGAGGACGCACGGCGCTTCTTCTCCGTCGGCGAGCGCGTGTGCGCCAACTTCGCGCCGGACTTTCTCGCGGGCGAGCCGACGCCCGAGAACAGGGCCGCGCTGGGCGGCGAGCGGGACGGGGTGCTCGCCGAGTATGTCGTTGTGCCTGCGTATGTGAGTGCCGCGTGTTTGATTCGTCTGTTTTTTTTCTTTTCTTTCTTTTCTTTCGTGGGTTGTGGTACGACGGGCTTATGCGGTGTGGGTGTGGGTGGTAGAGTTTGGTGAGGGTGCCGGAGCATTTGAGCTTTGTGGAGGGCGCGACGCTTCCGTGAGTTGTGGTGTCCGCTGTGGGGTGGGTGTGGTCGGCGGGCTCACTGTGCTTGGTGTGGTTAGGTGCGCGGCGCTGACGGCGTGGAACGCGCTGACGGGCTCGACGCCTATTAAGGGCGGCGACACTGTCCTCGTACTCGGCACCGGCGGCGTCTCGATGTCAGTTCTCTCCCTCCGATTATACTAGATATATGAGGAATCTAACGCCACCGATGGCTTTCGACGCAGCTTCGCGCTGCAGTTCGCAGCAGCGTCAGGCGCGACGGTTATTCTGACGTCGTCCTCGGATGCCAAACTCGCTCTTGGCCGTAAACTCGGCGCCCACTATACAATCAACTACAAGACGACGCCCGAGTGGGACGAGGAGGTGAAGAAGATCGTGCGTTTCCCTCGCTGTCTCGGAGTGGGACGACTTGCTGAATGTGGGTAGACAAACGGACGCGGGGTCGACCATGTTGTCGAGGTACGCGTTCGTTCGTCTGGCATCGCGCATCTGCGGGTTTGCTGATGCCATCCACTCACGTACTGTGTGTGCTGTAGGTAGGCGGACTGGGCACGATCGAGCGCAGCGTCAACGCGGTGCGCCTGGCAGGCTCGGTGCACCTCATCGGCACGGTGTCGAAGGTGCGTGTGTCGTGTCTTCTCATGCATATTAAGCTCCCTCTGAGGTGCCTATCCCACGCACGCGTTGACTTTCGACATAGGGAGCAAGCGGAATACCGCTCATACCGGCCATTTTGCGCAGTATCAAGCTCAACGGCGTTGTCGTGGGTTCCGTTCGACAGTGAGCTTTGACACTATCTCCCGTCGTAATGATAATCGTGGTAATGTTGTGCTTGTGCAGGTTCGAGGACATGAACCGCTTCATCGAGGCGCGGGGCTTGCGGCCCGTGGTGGACAGGACGTTCCCGTTTGAGCGGGCGCGCGAGGCGTACAAGTATCAGGATGCGCAGGGGTTTGTGGGTAAGGTTGTGATTGAGGTTGTCGAGGAGTGAGTGCGTGTGTGTGTCAAGGGGTGAGGAACTGGGGAGGATATGATATTTGAGGTAGTGTGATCTACCATACCACGAGAAGTAGCTAAGTGGCTCTGATGTAAGCTCGGTAGATGAAGGAGAAATGAGAAGATAATATTTAATAATAAACGTCTTCCGTTGCTAGTACTCAAAACGGGGATGTTCTCTGAGTGAGGGCTGGGTTGGAGGCCATGGTGCAGCCTTTTCGGAGTCGTCGCTTGGGTAGTCTCCCCTAGACTGACCCTATATCAAAAGACAGTCGTTCTTGTATCGCTTGGGCGTCGCACTTGTCAGACTCCTTTACGCGTCAGCGTCCGATAAATGCGGGGATGCTACCCCGCGTCGGACTCAGATGCCACGTGGGCGATCAATGAATTGATCACATCAGCTTCCGGATGTGGAGAACTCCGACTCGGAAAAGCGCCCGAGCTTTGTGGCTTTCTTCCTGCGGCACGATCCTTCAACTTCAGCTCGCTTTTGAACAGCAGACTCGTGCGGGCTCCAGTAAAGGGGTATGGATGGAGTAACTCTGAGCCAACTCGACGGTCAACTGTAGTCATCAAAGGTCTGTCAGCGACTAAGTATGTGTAGATGACTGAGCGCTGCTGAAATTTGGGGTTTACAGCGGCACAGGTGCTTCACGATGCATCGCCCACGTTTGCGGGGATGTCTGTGATCCGATGCGGTGTCAGAAAGACGCCCAGAAGTATGCAAGCTCTTACATAGGACTGTCAGCCGAGCGCTCTAAGCACTCCGACACGGGGGTGGGCCAGACGCGGCGGACACAGACAAACGGAGATGCTCGGGCGTGTCGTTGCAAATGCTGGGGTGGGTGTTGATATATGATGCTGTAGGATATAATATATAATGTACGGCGGGGACGACGCTGTTCGCCAAAAGGCTGACTCAAGATCCCTCCGAACACGCAGCATGACGAATTCCTGGTACCCCAGTGACATCGCCCCCCTCCCTTCTCTCGGCGCCGACCTCGCTTCGCAGCTACAGACCAAAGTCGAGGACACATTGCGGGGCATCATCAGCCGCAACCTCTTCAATTCGCAGTTCGGCCGCACCTCCGACTTGTTGGCGGGCCTCCGCCGCTCGCTCACTGGCGCGAACTTGGACGACCCTAAAATATGCGCGGACGCCTTCGCCGCGGCGGACCTCCCGCTGACCGAATACGACATCTACGAGCCGTACATCGCCAAGTTCACGCAGCGCTCGCCCGCGCGCCTCTCCGACGTCGCGGACCTCCTCGCGCCCGGGCTACCCCGCAACCTCGGCAAGTCGAGCTCGACGTCGGGGAAGGCGTCGAAGCTGATCCCGAACTACTGGCGCGACGTCAAGAGCGGCGCGCCGTCGTACCTCAAGCCGGGCTCGTCGCCGTTTAGGAGTAAGGAGGGCGGGGTGATGTGTATACCGGTTTTTACGGGGTATATGAGCTTTGTCGACGTTTGCGACGATGAAACCGGCGGTGTGACGCGTATACCGAGCGCTGCGGGTACTGCGTATGCCTCGAGAGCTGCTTGGGGATTCACCGATTTTGAGCGCGACCATGAGCGTCTTTCGGAATCGAGTGAGCTATTCTCACTATGTGCACATTGTGGCTTTTGTGGTCCACTGACTTCTACTATTAGTCCCCGGGCTGACCGCACCGTTCGGCGTGGGCCTCATCGTCAACTACCGCTCGCTCATGCTCACGCACGCTGCCTTCGCGCTCGCCGAGCCCGCGATCGACACGCTGAGCATGCTGTGGTCGACCGCGTTCGTGGACTTTGTCCGGTGGATCGACGAAGAATGGGACGTGCTCGTGAGCGCGATCGCGAATGGGGAGCTGCCGCGGTTTCCGGACACGGAGAGTGTGCATTCGGCTGTTGCTGTGAGTGGCTGTCCGACCTTGTTATTTTGCTTTCTAAAATGAAAATGCTATAATGGCCGAAAACAGACGACGTTCCGTGCGGATACAAAGCGAGCGCGGGAGCTGCGCATGATTGGTCCGCCCTCGCGTACCACTGAGGGATGGGCGGTGAGGGTCTGGCCTCAGCTCGAGGTGCTTTCGGCCATCTGCAGTGGGACGTTCGAGCGCGTTTTACCGCAGGTGCGCATGGAACCTGTACCTACTGAATGAGCGAGGACTGATGATCCTATAGGTCAGAGCATACATTGGCCCGAGTATCATAATTCGCAATCCTGTGTACGCTTCGTCGGAGTGTGCGATGGGTATCTCGTACCATGATCAGGTGTTCAACGTCATCAAGACGCTGAACGACGGATACATTGAGATGCTCGAGATCACCGCTGACGGCGGAGACGGAGAGCTCAAGAAGCTTGTGAGTTTTCTACGCAATTTTAGCGATGTTTTTTAATTTGTTTTATCAGTGGCAAGTAGAGAAGGGTAAACTATATGAGCCGATCGTAACGACGTACGACGGCCTTTGGCGCTATCGGATCGCTGACGCCATACAAATCGTCGGCTTTGACCCTACTGACGGGACGCCTCTGCTCAAGTACATAGAACGTCGCAAGTAAGCTGCTCCGCTCCACATATTTACTCGACTAACGCTGACAATAACAAATGCTGCAGCCAATCCATGAGACTACCTCATGCATTGATCACGCAGGCAGATATCGCCGAGGCCGTGTCTCACGTTGATAGGCTGAAGCACGCCGAGTTCACGACATGGCTGGACGATCGCAAGGTGCCGCCTTGTGTCGGTTTCTTTGTGGAGGCATCCCCAGGCGATAGTGCGTGTCGTTTATTAAACTGGCTCAATTATCTCGAGACCTAATAATTAATTCACTGGCGCAGGACTCATCCCATCCGAAGCCCGAGACGCATTACTGAGCGGCTTGATCAACGCGAACGAGAACTTCGCCGTCGGTGCAACAAAGGGTTCTTCCGTCAAACCATCCATCCGGCTCCTTTCTCCCGGATCGTTTGGGGCGTTCAGGAACTGGAAAGGAGCGACGAACGGGACAGGGAGCTCGCAGATCAAGGTGCCGCTGATTATGGTGGATCCGAAAGGTCAGGAATTTACGTTGTCGAGGGTGATTGATGAGGTGCGGTAGATACCTAGCTGGGGCACATGTCGTTATGAGATTCTTCGTATTATTGCGCCGTAACAGTAATAATGTCGCTATCATGCCTGTGCGAGCAAGCTTCAAGTCTGGGAGCCCGATTTCAAGTTTATGAGACTTTGACGAGATTAATACTTGGAACCTTCGTAGTCGAGATAGAGGCTAAATAGTCTGAGATTTGGTTCGAGCCCGAAAATCAATCTCCGATCAAGTCTCCGATACCACACACTTGCTAGCGCTAGCACTAACACTGCAGACAAACGGCGATTTTATCCGGGATGAAACCGAGAGAAAGAGGCGGCGAGATGAAAGCCCTTTCCTCCGAGTTTTGGAACCCCCTTCTGCACAGGAAAAGGTATTCTTTTAGCCAACATTTGCGTCAATTTTGCGCTGGTAAAATGGACGGGTTACCGAATTTGGACTCTAACTTCCCGATTTGGACGTGTTTCTATCTAATCTCCGCACAGAAATGCAAACTCCGAGGCGAAATTTTAACTTTTCAGTAACTTTTCGCACAGCAAAAGATGGGTGAAAAAGGCTTTCATCTGTCCGCCTTCTTCAATCACTTTTTGTAACAGAAAAATCGCAGTTTGTCTGCAGTGTAACAGCTTATAGCAGAACGACGGCGCCCCCTTTTGTCACAAGAAGTTGAAGCTCATTCATACTTCCCGTTGCTGAGGTTGTCTAGCTCACGCTATACAACCCCTCTTATCCCCACCCACTACCAGCACACTCAGAGTCACCAGGTCTAGATCGCTCTCATACAGCTGTACCACATGTCCCCTCAGTGCTCTACCCAACATAACGGCGAGGCAAGACCCATGCACTTGAAATGCCGTTCGACTATGCACTGCTTCAAGGTGTTCCTCCTCATTAAGTGATTACGCATAGGGCGCAATAGATAAAGGGCTGCGAAGCAGTGAATGCCAAGTCACGCGTCGGTCAGTGACCGATGGTGACCGACACGATGACTAGATGTCGGTCATTTTCTGACCGTGACTGACGCATCTAGTCGCGTCTCGGTTATGAGAGCGACCGGTGATCCGGACGCGCGCGGAGATCTCGGGGGAAGTCAGGGGCTCGTAGATCAAATTAACATAGATAGCATACATCGTTCGTCTGTACCGTAGAAAAACTATGAAGTATGTAATAGAACCTCCTGAGTAGTATCATCTAGTGAGATCTCAATGTTACCGTCCGATCCCGACTCGTCTTGCTTAGGAATTGAGTCTAATTCTAATAATTCATACATGGACATCTCTTCTTCGAAGTTCTGGCGGGCTGACTGCTTGTAAAGATCGGACCAGCTCTTGTTGGCGAAGTTGAAGAGGTTTCGAAGCGGAATCTGCATCCCAATGATGGATACATTGCGAATGGGCTCGTCGTCAAGCTCATCTTCATCTGAGAGGCGCATATGCTGCTGAATAAGGGTATGGAATTGATCTACAGAAGAGTCAGTGGCACTAGAGTCTTCGGTCGGTCCTGGGCCATAAAATCGGGCGTTAAGGTCGTTCTGAGCACCAAGC